AATGGGCAGAAAAAGATAAATAAAAAGACTCGTGCGAATGAAAAACGCCATTAAATACGGAACGCTTTGCACATACATATTTCGGTTTAATTTCAATACATAAGCATAAATTTGCCTCCCTTAATTCCGAGTTGTGAGTCTCATTTTCTTGCTCTTTCCATTCAGCTAATGTTTATTATTTTAAATAAATGTATTTTATATTTAATGCGTGCAACTTGTTTGTGAGTGTGCTGTTTGGTGTGTGCGTGTGTGTGGGGGGAGAGAGGAGTGGCAGAGGGAGAATGCGAGTAAGCATTTCTGTTTGGAGATGGAGAGGTGAGTGATGAATGCAAAAGCAATACCGAGGCACGTTCGATTACGGAGTTTGGAAGGAACGACCAAATAGGAACAGTCATCCACGAAATCCCGTTATACGTATAAATTGTGCGTCAAATATTGACATAAAATAATTCACACTTATTTACGACGAACGCCTGCCTTTCGAGAGAAATTGTTACCATGCCAATGTGTGACTGAAGCATCACGATTGCAATGTGGAACTGGGAGACATTTGATTATTGTCGCTGCTCCGTTCAACCGTTCATTTCTTGTTTTCATGTTAATGATGGAACGAGAATGTTGACGGCAGAGCGGTGAATTTCGTCATGTCTGTTTTTTTCCTTCGAAACAGTATTATGGAAAGCCTTCAGAACCCTGTTTTTCCCATCTGATAGATTGGTGATTTACACACCGTAAATGTATCCACCTCCTTTTATTCTCGATTCAAAGAGAGGGTGTCAGAACTTAGTTGAAATTTATCGATTGGGGATGGATTGAACAGTTGCATCAACCACCAAATTCATTTTAATCATAGTTATGATACTATGTGACAAAAGATTATTTCTGTTGAATAATGTGCATAAAGAAGAGGGAGTGGAAGATAACGGGCATCTATTCCATAAAACGGATATTTCACAATATTAGGCTTCCCGTGTGCAAATAAAATGACTAACAGTCACTGAGTTGTATGTAACTGTATGTAGTGATACACAACTAAAACTGGCTAAGTTGATTGAAATCATGCGTTTTGTATGGAGATAATCACGTTTAGTTATTCTTTCAGTCAGTCGACTAATTTGGGACATTTTGACTAAGATTGATTTGTGATTAAAGTTAACTGCAGTTGCTTATTTTGTACGAGACAATCACTTTTAGTCAGTCAAAATGTCCCAAATTAATCGAATGACTAGTCAGTCAGAAATTTTCCACACGGGATTCTGTTTTCAAAATGGTACAAATTTTCCAAAGAGCTCAAGGTATCCCAAACGAAATTCCCAATTTCTCAGAAAAACACACGATTTTTGAAAAATATCCTTGGAACGAATGCGAGCGATCAATGAAACAATGTAAATATGTGCAAATTTAACTTCTGCCATTAATTTGAATCAATAAAACAAACAAAATTAATGGCAACAATAAATTGTGAAAAGCAATATATGCTGAAACCACAAATGTCATACAATGAAATAAGATTGCATGAAAATTTTGTCACATGTGATGTAGATACATACATGTATATAGATTATGCAAGAATTGGCGGTGATGTGAGGGGATTCGTTGTTCGGTTCTTCAGTGAAAAATCTTCATTGTGAATTTCAAGAAACAATAGAGTTGTGGGCAGTTGAAGTAAAGTTGTTCGTTGCGCGCGTGAAGGAAGCTCTATCCTAGCATGTGAAATTTGAGTGGTGGTATCATTTTATCGAAAGACGAACTTCATATCGCGCAAATATCTCATGTGTATTTTGTTAGTTAAGAGACTGCTGGCATTTTGAATGCCCGAAAAACCTTTTCTTGTCTATCTCTTTGCCAGTGTGCCCGCTTATCTCGTTCAGGTTCACAGAATGAAATGTTGGCGCTCTCACATATTCGCAGCGGTAAATGAGTGCAGTGAGTGTGTGTGTGTGTGCGAGTGTGAGTGGCTTTTGCTCAGTTGGCTTATGTATACTATATGATGTATGAGTAGACAATTTTCCCAAAGTAAACCAAAAATAGTATTTAAGTTTGCACTGACATAAATCATAATATAATATAATTCTTGTTCTCCTTTTTTTTCCTCTGGCGTGTCTATTTTGTCCCTGCTCTGGTTCCATTTCCAAAGCAGCAAAACTGCTTGTGTGTGAGTGTGTATGTGTCGTTTGGTGTCTCCGCACGAGTTTTATAATCATCCGTTTTTCGAGGCTTTGGACCGCTGTACGGTTGAAATCAAGATGATTTATCAAATGAGTGTGAGCGCAAAGTGAGTGGCTAGTTTTGTGCATTGGTTAAGTTTTGTACCGTTGACGTAGAGACAATGGACTTGTTCATGTGTGCGAGTGTCACACGTATTATGGCGTATTTATAATAACCTTTCATGAAACACACAGAGAGACAGACCCATTCCTCGTCATTGCACAATCGCTTTTCTTAGTTTTTTTTATGGCTTTTTCGTCGGTTCACATCAAGCAATATATTAAAAAACACATGAGAACACATATACACACGCACACAAATCCACATTGCACATATTCATTGGCCTCACAACAGTTATCCAGTGGCACTAACTTTTAACTCTACTGCAAAATACTATTTATGACAAGCGAACCAAAGCCTCGACCATTTTAATTTTCCTGACGAGAGCACACACATGAGCTTCAGCTGCATATGAATTGTTGTTAAATCCAAAGTTTCCACTTCCACTGGCATCACGGCACATACGAATACACACAAGCACTCACACACGCTCATATATGCACAAACACATATCGCCTAATATACAGCCACCGGGCCATGAATTGTGAGATATGTGAGAAGCGAAAAACGAAATCCCGACTACAATTTTAACCCAACAATTAAACAAAACTTTTGGCCATTCATCAAACTACAGGATTTTGCTCTTCTATTAAGCAATTTCTACGTGTCTTATGTATGAAATGTGTCGTACATTTTCACATATATGCAAATAAATGTGTTTTGTGCTCCTTTTTTGTGCCATCTCTCTCCCTCTCTCCCTTTCGCTCTCACACTCCCGCTCTGCCCAAAAGTATTTTTACTATCGCTACGAACGGTGGTGCCTTGAAATGTTCTGATGGAATTGCGCAATGCTAGTTAAAACTTGTGTTGGAACATGGTGGGTTTTTGCCTCAAAATTTCCACTATTTATTGAATCGCTCAGAGGATGAGATGAGAAGGAAACGGGAGAAGAAGGGAAATAGAGAGAGAAAAAAACCATGAAAATCATATAATATATGTTCTGAGTTCGTCATAACGCTCACAGCGTTCGGAAAATATATTTATCAAAGGATCGTACGCAAGCATTTGGTACTGATTTCAACCAAAATTTATATTTTCGCATCGACAATTTTGCGCTCGTGAAAATGGTGAATTGTGCACCAAGAGAGCATCGACCAACCGAACCAACGAATAAACGTGCGAGTGAGCGAGCGAGCAAACGAACGAACAGGAGTAAAATTATGGCTAAAGGAAAATCGAAAGACGAAGTTCAACATCTCATTCGACGTGAAACTTGCCAATGATAAAGTGCATTGCACAACTGAAAAAGAAAATAATTGCCCCGAACTATGGTTGCAGCAGCAGCAGCAGCGCAACGCTCAGCACAGCTACTGACTGCTGCATCGTTTCGTGTCGAACGGCTGTCCTGTTTTCCTCTGCATGACATTTTATACTTATCCGAAGAATTATTAACGGCAATAAAATCCATAATTATAAATATGCACAAACACAAACTGAAATTTATGTGTGTCCCGAACTCCCGGGATGCTCTAGGTAACTCTACACTAGTTTCGTTATGCAGCAAACGCGCAGTTTCACTATGTGCTAGTGTCATAACTAATCCACATTTTAAGTCAGGGATATTAGTTTTTTCTTCACGCTTGAAAATTAGCAAATTTGCTAAATGAGGGTTAGTATTTGTCTTTGAACCTGAACCACCGAAAACACGTTTTCTTTTGAAAAAATTCACATTTGTGAACGGTAAGCGAGAAAGCATGATTGATCGATCAGACGGATGAATAATCCGTAATGAGCATTTAACACTGATTTGGTTGCGAACCAATTCTTTTTTCGTTTCACTTCTGTTTGGCGATAATCAATCAATGAATTATTTCTTACTAATTTTGTTTGTACACGTTTTCAAATAAGCCACATAATACGTACCGATGCTTCGTTCATATGTGACTAGTGAGATAGGTATGGCTTGGTAATGAGAGAAGAGATGAAATCAAGAAATTAAAGGAAATGGAATGAAACGAGCGTAGAGCAAAGCCTGCGCTAATGTGGCACAATTGGTCAAACCAATCCGAATATTTCATTGCTAAGTAATTACTCGTTTGGGATTGCTTCTCTTCTCTCTCTCACACACTCTCTCATGCTCCCGATGATTCGCTTCACCTTTTATCTTTCGTTCAATTGCATTTTGTTTTTGTTTCCACCATCAGTCATCAGAATGCTCTGCTGAGAGGTATTTACTTTTTGTGTTAGACTTTTTTTCTGCTTTACTGCTGCTATCGTCGCACGGCAATCTGTTTACGATGCGTTACATAAAAACGGGACGCAGACACAAACAGATGAGTGAAATTGATAAAATGAAGATGTGTCATTAGCATTTACTTAATTTCTCGTTTCGGTTCCTCGGTCAGTTGACATTCTAATTAAGAGGGATTTGTTTTCTCAATTGATGAATTTATTTTATTTGCGAGAAGAAGCGAAAAAAACAACAAAATTTTTCTCGGAACTTTGGATGATGGAAGAGATTTCAGTTGAATTAATTAACGTATTGTTTTTACTAACGTGGCAAAGTTTGTCTACAGATGAATTACCATTTGTGTGATTTAATTGAATTGTGAGAAGCGGTGTACTAGTATTTCGTTGTTTCATTCAGCAAATCTTGATTAATCTAATTGAAGCGACTTGAAGGCCATACATATTGATTTTTTGCCATTCTTTTCTTCTTCTTTTTTTTGCAGTCAAAATGCTCGAAGATCTGGAGGAAGATACACACTTGTGCATAAAGTGCAGTCACACAATAGTCGGTCTGGAGGAATATATACGTCATCGAAAGAGCCAATGTAGCAAAAGTGTTTCATCCGCCGCATCGTTGAACCGTGAAATAATCGACACTAATCATTCGTATCGATCGTTTGAATTCACTGAACCGCCATCTGTTAAGCACGATAAGCAATTTAGCTTTAATTATGAAATTGAATCCGTTCACCCCGACCACGAAGATTCACACGACGATGTTGTTGTGTCGACGGCCGGCATATTGCCATCGCCAATGCATCAATCGGAGAAAGTTGCCAGCGACTACAAAACAGATCCAAATAAATCGCTATCGGAAAGTTATGATTATAACTATGGTTTGGGCGCTGATGTTTTTTTCTCGCTGCTCAATTTGCAGAGTAGTTCAAAATCGAAAACGCAAACGGTTACGGCAAATGTTTCCGCCGATGGTGCAAGTTCTTCGTTAATAAAAGATAGCGATAAAATGTTGCATCGAAAGCAAACGGACTCGGGTGGTTTATCGCACAGTGAGCATATAGATGATTGGATTAACAGTGGTGCTTCGACCAGTGGCACCGATAAACTTATGAAAGCAGTGAATGCCATTAGCGGAACAAAGAAACATGTATACGATTCACCTCAATACAATTACGATTACACACATGGTTCGCCGGAGCACAATTACGATGATGACGATGATGAAATCGAGGAGGATTTGGTCGAAGATGTTGAAGATGTTCCCCCGCACACTCATACTGGCGGCAAGTGGAAACCCTCGGAAAGAAATCGTTCAATGCACACCGCATCACGATGGTATGAGCGTTGGGATATTCCCGAAGAAAATAATCAACTGCCATTGACGTCAGCAACGGCCGCGACCGGATCAAATGAAGAACTCGCTGAAAATGCAGACGAATTCCAACCACCACCGAGCCATACAAAAGGCAAATGGGTGCCCGGCACAAAAATCATTAAACTCGATTACAAACACAAAGAGCGTCACGATTCCGAAACATTTACCGAACAATTTTTGTGTCGAACTTGTAATCGCAAGCTTTCGTCGCGAATCGTTTATGAACGACACCTAAGGTCAAAATTGCACATGAAACGCTCTCAACCAGAAAATGAACTGGAACAGGCATCGTTGCCACTGCCGAACATTGAAGAGATTGTTGGCAAAAAATGCTCCGCCAATTTGGACACACAAATGAAACGAAAGCGAAAAAGAAAGGACGAAATTGCATACATCAAAGAGCACCCGTTTAACGCAGTTAAGAAGCGGAATCGTCGCTTTAATTACATTAAATGCGGCGTGTGCAAAACGCGATTACGTACATTCATCTATGGGAAACATTTAATTTCACATTATCATTACCGACGAATGTTTAAAAATCCAACGGAATCGTATGCTACGATATTGGATAATATTCATCGAATCGTACTTCAATCACCGTATCAATGTCAACCATGCCGATTTTATGCAAACACCCAAGAAATGTTTCTGCGCCACTGGGATTCGGATGAACATTTTGAAACGGTTTCCGCTGTCAGTGGACAATTTTGGTGTGCATTTTGCAAATTCACTTGCGATAGTAACGAAGATATGCGTGCCCATTTGGTCGGCATGGATCATCAGGAAGTGGCTATGGCCATTAATAGGTCAGTGCCGATAATTTGCCGCAAAAAGAGTCTTATCCAATGTGATGAATGCAAAGAAGAGTTTTCCTTTAACATCGAGCTGCGTAAGCATGCACCCAACTGCACGGGATCGAAGCCATCACTCGGCACAGCATCAGATCAATACCAGGGAAAGTTTTATTGCTCCACTTGTAAGGAATGTTTCGCATCAATCGTCGCATATCAACGACATGCAACCTCCGTTCATTCAACAAAATCCTATTTGTGTGGCCCATGTGGTCAATCCTTTCCGGAATTGGAAGCAGCGAGGCGACATCGCGTTTCGGCTGAGCATAAAGTTCAAGCGGCCCGCATAAAAGCAAAGAAAACTTTGAAACGTAAATGTGTGGTGTGCGGCGAAATGCAAGATGATTTACTTTTGCTCAAAGAACATTTAAAGCTTGTCCATCCAGAGCACAGTTACTCGTATGTCACAATTGTTCACTTTTTTTAAAATACGAATTATCATCGAAATAATATCAATAATTGCATAATTTTGATTTGTTCAATTGCAGGTGCTATTTTTGCGCACAGAAATTCATTCTACCACAAGAGTTAAGCCGTCATATTCGAGACAAAGTGTGCAGAACCGATGACAAGCCACCGTGCAATGATGTATGTCACGAAGGCGATGATTTGAATCCAATGTCACTTCTAGAGTTGCCCATAATTTCGGATATCTCACAAGATGATGGAGTAACCAATCTGATTGTTACATCACAAAATGATCCGTCGACGTCAGTCGATGCAACCGCAGCAGAGTCCCTAGTTCAAGAAAATTATCTAATCATTGAGCACGCAACTGAATTAGATTTGGCCCAAAGTCAGCTTCAATTGAAGGACGAAGCCGGCCCATCAACCGAAGTGGAGCATAAAATTCTTTGGGGATGCAAACAGTGCGAGTTTCGGTAATATAATAGGCACATAAAATACCCTAAGTCAGTGTAGCATTTTATATTATTTCTCTTTTGTTTGGTTTACATTGTAGCACACCGACTGAAGCCGAGTGCATATTCCACGAGATGCTACACAAATGGAACATCTGTAACGACAATAAAATTCCATGTCCAATTTGTAATCGAACATTTGGAAAGAATTCACTGCGTTGTCACTTGCGATTGCATACAAACGAACGGATTTTCCAATGCGATCAATGCGATTTGAAATTTACGCGTAAAGCTAACCTTAAAGAGCACATCCAACGTATTCATTTGAAGCAGAAGAAGACCGATCCGAAGAAGCAGCCGTCAGCATTGAATCGACTGAAGCAGAAAAGTTCATCGTCGCCACACCACCACCAGCATCTGAAGAATGAACAATTATTTGAATGCTCAATATGCGAAAAGAGATTTTGGAAGAAGTAAGTCTTTTTGCTCTCCTCCTTTCATCCCTTTTCCATTAAATGGAACATTTCATAATATGTGTTTTCAAAAGTTTAAGTATTGTTTATTTCCTGCATGCATTCATTCATTCAATTTGAGCACGTTGAAAAATGAGCTGTGAAAGAAGAAATATAATCGAATAAAAAGTTCTAAATTTGTTCTGAGCACTGTGTGTGTTACGGGGACGAGCAAGAATTGGAAGCGGCGAAAGCGACGAGAAAAAAAACCAGCAGAAAATTATGAAGTTGTACAAGTTCACAAACGTTAACCTGCACGCATAAAATACGCTTGCAGCCGACGCACATTCCCATAAAATACTTGTCGAATTAAGTACCAAAAATACAGTGTGCTCATGCATTTAATACTCGACTTTATATAAATTTTTGCCTTGTTGCCTTTTCGCACTTGTTTTATTTTTCGGCTGGCTGATGGTCCCTTCTTTTTCCTTTCTTCGTTTGATGCTGGTTGTAACCTTTATTTAGATGTTTTTATAGCTCATTTTAGTGTATTTCATTTAACGTATATTTCAGAACGGCAAAAGCGCGCACGTCACCGCTGCCGCTGCTGTGAGAAGAAAACAGAGGCAGTAGAGGAACCAGAAAAAAAACAATAACAACACACTGGGAAGGCGCGCAATGCTGAATGCGTGGCAATTTGTGTGTTGGTGTCGCTTTGTTTAGAGAGACAGGAAAAGAGAGTTAGCCGCTTCGTTTCATTCATGTTATGACGTTATATGAGAGTGTGTATCACAATGAACATTTTATGATTGTTGTTCACTTGATGCTCTTTCTCTCGTTGGTTAGAGTTAACATACACCAGTACCGAAAAACATACCCATACACACAAACATAGGATATAGATCCCAAAATTTAAATAAAGTAACGTGTTTATGTGCATTCTATGGAGTGTGAGTATTTTGAGTATTTAGCCTGAGTAATGCATACGTGGAGTGAAACATTTTCCCGAAAATATAATACACACAGAGAAACGATAACCGTCTCAATAATTCAAAATTAAAGCGCAGTTAGTCGAAATGGCTTGTAGCAATTTGTCGGTAATAGCTCGGCATATTAGCCCCCGAAATGTGCATGTAAAAACATGTGTTTGGGCCATCTCTCGTACATGATAGTGGTAGAGTGTATCAAGATATTTGTTAACCCACCTCGACCAAAAACCCGATGTTCACGCCACAAAGCTCTCAATTTGCTCAAAGATGATGAGGAACGAATGGCAAGCGATGACGTCCAGATTTATCCAACAATCGAAATGAAGACAAACCGATATGCTATGCAGAAGTCATTGTTGCTGAAGCTTTTCCAAATTGATATGTCATGAAAATGTATTGATCGAAAAACTCACTTGACATCTCTACAGAAGCGCAAACCGGACGCAACGCCACTGAGCATTGTTCACAAAAGAAAATTAAAGAAAATTGCTTGAAAATTGCTTTCAAAAGCCAAAAAGCAATTTTTTCGCTCTCCAACCATCATATCAAATGCAAAAGAACTTAATATAAAGTCCATTTTTGCCTTTTCTGCAATATGTGCACTGCACATATACATACAGCACACAAATTATGTATTACTGTTAATGCACTGAATGCATCAGGCGCAAATTTTGCACAACCATAAGCATATTCGTTATATTTAGCATGCAAAACCAGGGCAGATTTCACATATCGAACCAAACAGAGACGCAACACTGTAGTTGTTATTGTTGTTGTTGCTGCTGCTGCTGCTTTATTAAGGACTATTTTCGTCTGTAACATGCCGTAAGACTCGGAATATTGCATGCTTTACTCGGCTTTTGGCTCATTTAAGTATATAATTTTCGGGATGAAAACACATGCTACCACACATTTTTCGTACAGTTGCTTCGTAAATCTTCAAAGCACAGCGTACAGCGCACATAGTATGCGAAGAGAGAGAGAGAGAGAGAGAGAGAGAGAGAGAGCGAGAGAGAAAGAAACAGAGCTTGGAATTCATATTAGTCGGCTGAAAATATAATAGAACCGAAAAATATGGCATTAACAAATGTGACGATGCGCATTTGGTTTAGAATATTTGAAAATATTGGTATGTGCTGCGTGAGTAAATTTCATTATTTGCAGGAAAAGAGACATTAATGTGGCGCGCCTCCAATTACGCAATTAGGAAGTGCAGTTATTCAGGCCTGATAGCCATTAAACTTTATACTGGGTATCTCTCTCTCACTCTCTCTCTCCTCCCTCTCTCTCTCTCTCGCAGCAATTTCCGAGGATGAAATTGTTAGTGAGTGACTGAGAGACGCAGCAAGAAAATTTTCACATTGCACATTGGTATTTGACTTGTGAAATTCGCAAATGACTTCTAAACAAATTACACAAACACATGCCCGAATTAAACTGCATTGCGTTCCAAAAGCATCAATTTGAAGACAATGTTGGTGGTTTGTATGCTTGCGATACTCCATTTGGCGGCGAATTGAATGAACCGAATCAAAAGCAGCAAATTTGGCCAATGCCATCGGAATATTGTGAAATGTTGAAAATAAATGTGTTATTCCCCATATTGCCTAAGTTTTGTTGCCTATTCCGGCTCATGCCGATTGCCATAATTTTACGATTTTGAATACAATGATTCGAAATGCATGTGCATAAACCTCGGTAATATTGATGGTGCTGTCGTATCAGTACACATCTCAAAACATCCAAATACAGCAAAAACGGCTAAGGCGAAGACGACGAAAAAGTCGCATCACCTGTGTATGCATGTGACCATTACTAATAATATACAAGCCATAAATTCGCATTCATCTTGAACGATAGCCATTAAACAATATTTCGAATCTCATGCGCACCGAAAAAGGTGTTCGTGTATGTATCCGCTCTCTTGAAATTGTGTTCAATTGATTCCAATAAACGATCCCCATTTCCGATGTCAAATGACAGAGCGAGCGAGCGAGCGAGCGAGAGAGAGTATCCCATATGCAGCCGAGTATTATTATCACCAACATATGTATCACCTCGATATGGAATCGGTTACCGATTGCACCGACGTGTATCAGTTGTAATGCAATCAACTCACTGCAATTTCAACTTCGAAAAACCGACATGAAGTGAAACATAATTATATTGTATTTCGGTTGCATTCAGTTTATAAACAATATTTATGTGATCGAATCCATTTGATCGGCCCAATGCAATGTGAAACCGAGCATTTTCGGATTTGCAACAAATTTTCTAATTGGGCTCAATCGAATTTGTAGCACCATTGACACATACACGCTTCCCATTCTATTTACATATGTGTGTAATGCATACTTCAACGATACATACACACACACACACACACTCACAAATCCACGTTGTCCGAAACATGAATTGTCCAATTCTTTGCATGATTTTAAAATGGATGCGCCTATGAGAGAGAGAGAGAGAGAGAGAGAGTGGCGGAGATTCGTTCGGCCACTTGAATGCACTGCATAGATCATTGGGTAAGTTTTCGCGTGAACTACTTCAAAATCCGCACGTGCAGCAATGAGAAACGAAATTATTTTCCTGCCATCCAACCAGTCAGCTAGGAGCTAGCCGATTACTGGAATGCAAAATATATTTTCGGTGTAGATAGTACTTGCACGCTACCGGTAATAAATTAGGACGTTGCAAAATAACCAAATAACCAAAATGTAAACAAACGAAATAAGCCCTGAATAACACTAAGAAAACGCCGGAAATATAAAAGCCAGGCTATAACTTAAAACTGGGAGACAAAAGTACGTACGTGTGAGTGAAGGGCTTTGCTCAGCTCTCTCTCCACAATGGCTGCAGCCAAATTGAATAAATTTCAAAATTTTCCGTTGACCCTTTTCACCGTGTTCCAGCATCCAATTTCGCTATTATGTGCGCGCTCTTTCTCTCTTCGCTCTACGTGTCTCTCTCTCTCTCTCTCTCTCCCAAGCTCCATTTTAAAATACATTGTGGACCGCTGTATTGCAATTGTAATTCTTTTTTGTTGTTCTCTTCTATTTTAAAAATTATCCATTGAAAAGAGGAGAGTTTCACCAGTGTGCAATGCCATCACACGGATGGAAAATAGCAACAAAAACAATAAATAAAAACTGAAGCGACCAGTGTAATGGATTGTCTGTAGATCGGGATTATGATTGCAGAGTAATAAAAGAAATATACCTGCAAAATGCTCGAATCTCGCTTCTTCTTCGCCTCTTTTGTTTTCGGTCGTTAGTGTGTGTGTGTGTGTGCGTCTGTGTAGATGTGTGCTGTTGTCGTTTTGTCTTTTTTCGGTGCTGCGCTCGGTAAAGTTCTTTCCTATTGGATTAACCGGTTTAATATGTATATAAATGAAATTTTTTGTTGTTGTCATTGCAATGCACTTTTTGTTTTCTCCGTTTGAGTTGCTTCTATTTTGTTACACAGTCAAAATTGCTCCTTTCATTCGGATAGATTTGAACCGGTGGAATATAAACTTGCGATGATTTTGTAAAACTGCCTTCGTCCATTCCTTTCATTTTGGACACAATGTTTTTGTCTAGTAGAGTGCTCTTACTCTCCTTTAGCATCACCGTTGTGCCGTGGCGTAGTCGTTATGTTTATTTTCTGCGTTATTTTATTAGTTGCCGTGGTGGATTCGTTCGCAGTGACATCGGTTGATTGTGAAAACGGCACGAGGGCTATTCATTATGAAAATCCATATATGTAGAAGAAGAAGAAGATGGAAAAAATGCAAAAAAAAGCTCGTACGGACACGACGAAAAGAGGAGCATGGATGAGAGAGTGGGAGAGTGCAAAAGGGAAAAACGCTGATAAATAGGGAAAACAGTAGTAGCATCAGCAAGATAAAATATAAATTCAGTTGCGGCTTCCTGTACACATTTAACGTCCATAAATAAAGAATAAGAATTTATGTAAAAATTTTAAGTACGCCAAACAACAATCACATACACACACATGGCAGGAGAGAAAAGAGAGGCAGCCAGCAACGGTCCAACAGGAACAAAAAATCCAATTCGCACAATACATTTATTTATGTGGTCGAAATTCTTCGCGCTTACGATGGCATTTTCGTTAGTCCAAACTCCAAATAGTCTATTCGTTGCACTTACAATCATACCACCCATTCCATGCGACACAGAAACACAGAGACAGAGAGAGAGAGAGAGAGAGTCACATCTCATACAAGTCGCCAAGTCGAAAAACTGAATGTTGCTGAACAAAAGCAAACGTGCCCGTGCCACATACACCCATTGAGAGGAGAGTATGTATACATTGTACACGCTCGCGATATATTCAGACTCACAGTTTGGCTCTCAAACGCCAAAGGACCGAATGAGCTGCGGCTGAGAGCACTGAAAAGAATCTCATTGTGTATGAAATGATCTGAATGGTGAATACGTCAGGTTCAAGTAGGTAGGTATTCGGTATCACACCCGAAAAATGGCAGCGGCACGAAGAGGACAACGACGAGTGGAATGGACAGTGCTAACATAAAGCACAAGCAGAAAGAGTTAAATACAGAGGATGAAAAATAATGTCGCAAATAGAAAAAGCTGCAGCCCGCAAACGTGAAGAGCAAACATAACAAAAAAAGTCACGGGAGGAAGAGAGAGGAAGAAAGAGGATTAAGAGAAATAATGATAATAACGACACAGAAGTGGCAAAAGACAACGAAAACAGTGGCAACTTGAAAAACTTTGAATTCCCGTACAATCGTCAAAATGGAAAATTCCTTGCATACAAGCGAATATCAAAATTTTCCACTGCCTTCATGCTTATGAGATGACGCGGTTTTTATGCATTGCATTTTTCTGAAGTATAGACAACATTCGAATGTGTACAAGGAATCTCTTGATGTTTTAAACAAAACTTTAACTTGCAACAATGACCAAATCGTCTATCTCTGCCAACAATGGCCAAATTAAAATACGGGATCCAATGCAAATGGTGGATAAGAACACAACTCGGAATAACAAAATATCGTTTCAAACTTTATTTCCACAGCGAGAGATGTTTCTATCATTAAGTTTTTATTTGCAAAGAAATGGAAAATAGTGAGGATACATACTGAGAAAGCGGGAGAATACAATATATTCGATCATTTGTAGATTAACGAACTTTTGGGTTCTTCTGGTGTAGTAGTCAATCCATGGGCCCCTAGACATAATTCCATGGACGGACAATACATTTATATAGGCAGTCTAAGGTCTGTCCGTGGAATTATGCCCGGGAGCCAATCCATGTGATGATGAACACATATTGAACCTAGGAACGTATCAAAACTATGATGAATTTTGTTTAATGACATGATATGACCACATGATTTTCCTTTCCAATTCAAATTTTCATAGCTCCATTGTCTATATAACAATTGATAAACTCAAATAGACTCACATTTTTGGAAACAGACATTTTTTTTTCAAAACAATTTCGCTATCATTGTAACAACAACATGCTCAATTTTCCCTTTGTTTGGTATGTTGTACATGAAATTTCAGTTCTATAAAAAGTAACGATGCGAAACACACGGTCGTTAGTATGCCTACAACTTGTTTATTGGTCAGCAAAATGTAATTATAAAAGAATTTTCCAGCGGTTGGCATTCTTGATTCTACCCGCTTTCAAGACCGAACACTTTCCACTTTTCCTAGGGGCATTTCTCACGAAAAGAATGAATGAATTCTTATAAATTTTGAAAAATTTCTTCCATTCGATCGGTCTGATTCGATCAATTTTTATCAATTCGTGTAAATAAATGTTCATTTACACTGAACTTGTGTTCTGGAAGTGTGTTTTGGTGGATCTCAAGGATTGTTCAGAACTACTCCCGGTTCTGGAAGTGGATCTTCAGGATGGGCCAGGGCATTGTCAAATCGGATCTGGTCCATCCTGAGGATCCACCAAAATCCACTTCCAGAATCGGGAGCAGTTCTGAACGATCCTTGAGATCCACTAAAACCTACTTCCAGAACACTTTTATTCAAGCAATATCGTCATTTCAGTACATTTTCTTACAATTTCAATAAAAAAGAAGAAATAATAGACATTTTCGCACATTTGCTCAAATTGTTTGTGTGAGAAATACCCCTAGCACTTTTCGACACCGAACATTCAATATGCTTTTCGACACACGAATTAAACATACATTTTTGGATCCTTTTTTGTGCTTGTTTCCATTTTTTTTAATGCTGGGAGAAAGCGTTTTTCATAAATATTGTGCCCTCGCATTTGGTGCTGAACGACAATGTGTACTTTGTGTTATCTTTTTTTAAATTAACAAGTCTAACTGAATTCAAACTCTGAGTAGATCACATTTTTTTGCCATCTGAATTCATGATTTACATGGGTCAAAGCAAGCAATTTGGAACAAAGTTCAAGTACAGAATATTGCTGCACTCTTCGAATTGAAAAAATTTCATTCATCAACCTTTCATATGGCTAAAAAATTCATGATTCATGAGGATTCATTCGAATTACTGACTAGAAAAAATTGTAAGGAATAACTTTGTTCGGTTCTTTTGATTAGATTTTCGTCATCAATCGTTCGAAATATAGTTTGTTTGGATCTAGTTTGATAATAATGTTGGATTAGTTTTTTTCTCTTTTTCTGGTAACAAATCGATATAATCGGCACGAACAAATCTCGTAAATTGAAGAAAAGACAAAACGCAATACGTTCGTCGTCCAATAAATTTGAGGAGGTCGTGAATCTGTGGAGGCGAAAAACCGGGCAAAAAGAATATTATAACATAAATAAAAAATGCTAACACAATACAATTTGGCCTTTTTGATTCAACAAAATTTGCTAGGTATACGTACAGGGTGTGCGACAATCTGTTTGGATGTTCTATGATTTTTTTATCGGTAACTTCAATCGAAACTAGATCGAATTCACTAATAACAGTGACTGAAGCTTCAATTTTGATGGGTGATTTCCTCTGTTTTCAGTCGAAAAAAAAAACTAAATCAAAAGCTTAAATCAAATCAAACTGTGCCGTTGACCATCTATTTGCAGCAGTCGTTGTTCTACACCCGGTGGTGGTACGCAGAATAACAACAATAACAATGTACACATTCGAATAAGATAATACACATAAAATAGGTTTAGTCGAAATAGCGTGTTCCAATGCACACATAGAACGTTACCAACCGACCCAAATGTTATTTATCTATGCTGTTTTTGTCCATTTTTCCGGCTGCTTTGATATACACACGCATATATATACACACATTTGTGTGTTTTGGAACGGAGAGCAAAAAAATGGAAATTTTTCTCCATTTAACATGCGGATCAACATTGTTGATACGCATATAACAGAAGGTTTATCCTTTGATGGAGTTTTTTTCCGCTTCATTTAACATCTTCAGCGTGTTGATATGTCATTTTCGATTTTTGGCGAATTCGTCATCCATTTTTGTGCGCTGATTTGATGCGATAATGGTTTCGTTTATGATTTTCGTACGACTAATCTGTGTGTATTTCCTTTTTTCGCAGGAGTTTACTTGAGCAGCATATGCATTGTCATCGTGAAATGGTGTCCGTTAAAGTGTTTGAATGCCCGGAAAAGGGTTGCTTATTCAGCGGACGTAGTGCAGCCGAACTGCGTGTACATCAGAACACTCATTCAGACGAGAAGAACTATCATTGCACCGTAGATAATTGCAGTTATAAAACGAAAACTAACGCATTGCTTAACAGGTTGAATCACAAATTGCCTGTTGTCTAGAGTACAAGTTCACAAAAAAACTAATCAAATTTTCATTCCAGACACATCAAGTCTCAACATCAAACCGACTCCATTCAATTATTATGTCCCCATTGCGATTTCCAAACAAAAGTTTCGAGCCATTTGAAACGACACGAACGTATTCACAGTGGAGATAAGCCATTTGCCTGTCCACACTGCGATTACGTTTCCAACAATCCGGTATGTGATTTTATCGTTTGTTTCAGCAAAATTCTAGCCTTCATTTTTGTTCAATTCTAACAATTTGGTTTAATTTGTTTTATTCTCAGGAAAATTTACGTAAACATGTGATCAAATCAAACAAACACCCTGGACGATGCTTGTATGAGTGTCAAACATGTTTGGCACCACCGTTTGCTACGAATAATTCAAAAGAATACAAATTTCATCTTGTTTCTGTGCATAAAGAGAAGAAATAAAATTGAAGATACTTTCAATGAACAAACCTCATTTTAGCGAGTTTTTATTCAAAAAGACGAAAAAAATATAAAATTCGAAAAATTTATTTATATTCCAAGTAACACCTATGGCGCTACGTAACGGACACTTTGAGAAATCGTTGGATGAGACACGACACGCAACACGACACGAACAATCCAGAAAAAAAGTGAATGGAGTACGGTTGGTATTTGTTTCCGCGTGAGTCATCACGAACCCGCGAGAACAGCTGACATCAATCGACACATAGCGAACGCTCTCTATTTGTTTTCTCCATCAAACAAACAATATTGAACCGATTCAAAAACATCTGACAAGTATCGTTTCGGCGTACGGTATAATAATGTGTATGTATTGGACGCGCACACACATCGATCAACTGCGCACTGTCGAGCGAAAAATATGTAATGATGAAATCTGAATGAGCAATAGATGCTTCACATTACAATTAACTAACAGCGACTCCGATTGACATTCACAGTTGGAAAAAAAGGTGCAACATGAAAACAATGGTTGCGCCTCGGCTCCAGTGCTCGTTGTGAAGAAAAGTGTTTTTTTTGTTTTCGTCAAATTGTTAGTCATCAATGTTTTTGAGGCATTTTACTAAACACTTTCAATCAGTAAAACGGTTTCTGATTCATTTTTAACTCATCAACTACACACAATTTTTTTTCTTTCCACAAACAAAGGGAAGGTGAAGAAAACGACCGAGTGAAAAAAAAATATAATTCAACGAATCTCAAGCAAATAAGGTTTTAGATTTAGTGGAATAAGTGTTTGGAAGTGAATTAAATATCGCATGCGGTGTATATTTTCTGAATTTACGGCATTGTCAATATTACAGTAAAATTATTCAAGGCAAACAAAGCGAAACAGAAAAAATTCTTATAAGTTTTTGAGTGTGTACGTTCGAAATTATTGTTGTTTTCAACAAAGCATATAATTAAACAAATTAAAGCTAGAGAAGTATAATCGCAAGCTTGAAAATGGTGCAGAAATTCCAATCTCCCGTCAGAGTATATAAATATCCTTTCGAACTGGTGATGAAGGTAACACTTATTAAAAAAATATTTTTATTCGCTTTTTTTCTTCTCTTTCTCTCAATATTATTGTACAACATTCTTTACCAATTAATAACAATTTAAATCGATCCAAGGGGTTTCGTGTGTAATGCGGGCAAGTCAATATTGAGCATACACATAGCATACAGACCGTTTTAACTCTCCATATGAAAATATTCCATATTCAATTGGCACAATGACAATCGAAAAAATTCCAAACGAATTTAGTGCACGCATTCAGTCGCATTAGTTTGATCAAACCACAACAACAAACCAATTAATGAAGAACAAAATCAAGAAATGTTTGTTTAATTAATAAATTCATGTTTTGATTGGGATTTATTGAATAATAGATGATTTTTTTTTTGTTGACGTCGTAATCAACGTCTTCCAGCGCGTAGCATTTGTTTCTATCTCATTCATCCGCAAGTAATTTGTATGTGTGTGTGTGTGTGGATTTGCTCTTGTAAGTGCACAGTGCACACGGTAATAATAAATCATGCTCGAAGAAATTTAAATATGCATTATTCAATCGGTGCGATTAACTTACGTGGTTGCATGTGAAAACGAAAAAAAAAACAACTCAAACACGAGGAATATGGTCAATATAGAATACATTGGCTCATGGTCACAGTTCACTTGTTGCAATCGTGTTCGAAATCAATTTCGATATGCAAGCGAATGATTACATTTCGTTTGCGATTCTTTAGTCCATTGGTTTTTCCATCGACCAAAAAAAAAATTCGAAATAGAAACTAAATCGCAATCGAAATCATATCGAACAATGAATGACTAGTTACGTCGAATCATTTTAATAAATATTTTATCGTTTTTGCTTTTCCGGTCAATCCGCTGTTATTTTTTGCTGCTGTTTGAAAAACAACAACATCATGATATCGAAAGAAGAGGAAAAAAACTGGTTAAACCACATATATCGACGAACGAACCATTTTATTGTCTCGCCAGTCGTTTACGAATTGCATTCAATAACATTTCCGCTTTGATATTGACTCGATCCAATATCATTCATCGAGTTCACATTACACAAAGTGAAAAAATGGATACTTTAATCGCCCTACATTGCTACACACATCAATCCACTCATATTTCGCCACATATGCAAAGAAACGATATATATTCAGCTTCCATTTATAGTTGCGGTAATTTCTTGGATATGACGACGTCGACGACTACGATATCGTGTGTCCCTAATTTTGTTTGTCTATTCAAATCAGCTGTTTATTTACGGCAGTTGAGTTTGTGTTTTATTGGTCACAAGTTTGTTATTTTTATTCACACAATGTGTGAACCACACACGTATGTGGCGTATGGAATGCAAGATAGAAAGAACAGAGAAAAACAGAGAAAAACATGTCTACAATATTTCAACTATGAATCTGCTTTCGATTCTACACTTTTCGATGGAACTTATCGTTCCATAAAATTCCTTCGACTAGTTCACCTTGAGGTGTTGTTTTGCACATTTTGCAAGGTAGCATTTACGTCGGTAGAAAGTTCATTTTTTTTCTAGATGTTCAGAATTCATATGAAAAAAAATATTGAATTTGTATAAGCATTCACCGGATTTCGTTTGAAATTAGTTCGCCATTTGATCAATGCAACCCGGCTAATTATAAACATTAGTGACCTTGTCCTCTGACACATAAAAAAAAACTGCAGATGAAATTGCAAATGACTCGTGCGATTCGTTCATTGCCTTCCAAAATTGAGCAGAACCGTTTGATTTGCTCTGCGCACATTAACTCTATCCCAGGCCCGTAGCGAGACTGAAATTCACGAGGGTGCTGAGCACCTGAATATTTTTTTATTATTTTCACTATTTTGTATGTACTTGATATACCAAATTTATCATAAGAAATAACGTTCGCTTGAACGTTCGTTTAGTTGAAAATCTTTTTTTTTGTAAATACCATTTCGGCTGATATTAATAACGTCGACTTGGCATGTATACAAAAACATTACTGAGAAGTCGTAAAATAAATGAATCATTCGATATGACTGCTGTGTGTTTATTTTACAACACAGTCCAAACAATGTGGAGGAATGCAGTAGCAAAATCAAAACGGTTACTGATATGCTATTTTGTTATGATTAAGTTTTTCGATGTCTTCTGAACGGCAAAAATTCAAAAGCAGGGAGAATGTATATGATGAAATAAAAAGAATTACTTTGGTAATCCCGAACTTTTCCGTACCGTTGGCCTGCGTTGTCCGTAGGTACTTTTGGTTATTTTTTGTGAATTTTCTTGAAATAAAGGCAGTGAAAATATAATAATGAAAATCAGCAGTAGCTATCTCATATGCTTTAACAATGTTTGACGTTTAGAACTGCTGTTGAAACTTTGTTGGGAGCGCCGCCAACCACAAATCTCTGTAACTATACGTTTGTGTGAAAGTAAAGTCTTTGTGTGTACTGTACGTTCGTGTGAATGCGAAGAGTCTATGTGTGCGTTGTACACAGAGATGTTGATTCGTGCAAACGTCGCATCATGCTAGGCGGCGCTATTGATATACTTTGCTTCAATCGTCAACAAAATACATGAAGTATTTCTCCGTTTTGATGAAAATAAAGTGAAAAATCGACAATTCTGTATGAGAGGTACCCGTAAACCGTACCTCATTGGCTTGACACTTTCTGAGGTTTCATTTTTTGAAGAATGTTGATCGCATTTGCAGAAGTTTGGTTTTTGGCCCTCAATTTTTTCCAAGAAATTTTTGACAAAAATTGAGGACAAAAAAATCAAACTTCTGCAAATGCGATCAACATGAAACTTTGAGAATCTTATTTTTTCTCCAAAAAATGAAACCTCAGAAAGTTTGAAGCCAATCGGAATCGATTAACGGGTACCTCCCATACAAAATTGTCCAAAAATCGGTAATTTTAGTCAAAATGTCAAAAAATTTGTATGGGAGGTACCCGTGAATCGATTTCGATTGGTTTCAAACTTTCAGAATCTTATTTTTTTCCCAAAAAATGAAATCCCAGAAAGTTTGTAGCCAATCAGAGTCGATTTACAGGTACCTCCCATACAAAAGTGTCAATTTTTTGAGGTTTTTCTTAGGGCAAGTACCCCAGGATCAAATCGAAAATGGCTCATCTTCGAACTTAAACTAAGTTTATTGGATACAAAACTTTTGGGACTTTCAGATTTGGATTATTTCAATTATTTTTTGAGTTATCGTGTTTACAAACAGCTACGACAACGACAACGACAACGACGACAACGACAACGACAACGACAACAACAACGACAACGTGGTTTTCTACGCGTTTCATGAGTTTTTATGATGATCTAAGCTAATTTTGCGAAAAAAGTTTTCGGGACCAATTCCTATACTTTCCCTTGACACGTTGTGTACGGAAAAGTAAAAGTGCAAAATGCACAAATTTGTGACACAAACACCAATCGATTGCCAATTAGCTCATTTTTGAGTGTTCGATGAGCCCAGCCGATCGTCGATTAATTCAGTTGTTCAAATGAAGCAGATGAGATTAAATCATGTTTCTACGAAGTTATTGATGTCGTGTTGGGAGAATTCAATGCACGTTTTACAGAGAATAATACGATTTTGTTGGCACTCTCAAATTCATTTGAAATGAATTTAGAAAAATTAAAACTACTTGATCAAATCGGTATAGAACTTCCACCTGAACATGAAATGAAAACTGCAAAAAAGTACGTCGAAAGCAAATATAAAGATTGGGAAAATGAAAAAGACAAAACTGAGACCGGATTCAACATTCTCTCAACATTGTATGAAGTTCGCGATGCGTTTCCAAAGGTGTACGAAACATATGCTATCATTGAAACATTCGCATGCAGTACATCAGTATGTGATGCGTCATTCTCAGCATTAGCTAGAATAAACATTCCATCTCGGTTGTCAATGACAAATGAAAGAATGCGAAATCTGGCATTTTTAGCTTTTGCACAAAAAAGACTTGAAACAATTCCGTTAGATAAAGTGATGCGAAAATTTAATGATGCTAAAGAACGTAAAGTGCAACTCTTCTAAACACTTTTCTTTCACTTTCTCTTACAAATGCCAAATTTTGCATTCGTTCATTTTACTCAAATCTCAATATATTGATTATTATTCAGAAAATAACAACAAAGCCACACGAAAATAAAATGTATGATCGAAGAGTAAAATAAAGTCAACTAAAGTAAAAGTAAAACTTGAATACTTTTGTTCTACAATTCATTCATCTGAACAATTTTTTCTTTGAAACTATAGCTATTTCTTAGGGGAACACTGAAATCTTTTCAAAGGGTGCGCGAAGATGTTCAGAGGGTGCTCCGCACCCTCTTGCACCCATCTCGCTACGGGCCTGCTCTATCCAACCAAAGGCAATCGGTTGTGAAAATAAAAATTGAAATAATAAATCAAAATAGCTTTTTTTTCTCCAATTTTTGAATCAAAACTCATTTAGACACTTTGCTGGTTATTAGGCTTGATAATAATGATATAAAAAAAAGTCATAATTACAATCATTTTATCAGCTCGACTTATTCATTCGGTGTTCATGCATGTTGCTTTCGACAAACAACCGCAAATAATTGAACGGCTGTGAAACTTGTTTTTTGTTTGTTTATTTCATTTTATTTTCCATGCGAACCTAGTGTAATTAAAAGCAATCAATGCGTTGTAGAGAATCCCATAAATTTTGCCACAATTTGTATTTTTATTTTCGCAATCAACATTAAATTGCTTTACATATTTCTAATGTCTAATGCATTGTGGTCCATTTGTGCGGCTCGAAACACACGACACACGCCGTGCGAATTATACTATCTGCGCAAACATTTATTTTACTACGTTGTTAAGTGATAAGTGCCTGTTGTGTGTTGAACGCCTGATTTTTCCGGGCTCGTGCTATCTGGTACACGTCTCTATTACATACTGTGCATACCGACAGAGTAATTCCAATGAGCATTTTCTTCTAAGTGAGCATTTAAATGAGCAAGCACAGCACGTAATATCAACGGAAAAAAACGAGAAAAAGGAAAAAAAAATCAACATAGAGACGTAACAACGTACGAGACGATACCATTCACAAGAAAAGTTCATCAAGTGCCATACAAAAGCATTCACTTTCCACTTTCTTTCGTCCATGTAACTCTAACCGATATGCTACTCGTTCCGTTTTGCCATTCATAATAGAATTAAGATCGATATTATTGTTGTTCTGTAAATAACGTTCCATACGCTCTTACGATTGAAGCGTCACATAACCATCCATCCATCTATCCAACTCTAATGTATCATGAGTTGAGTTGAGTAGTCGAATGCTTGTTCCATTTCACTGCCACACCATTATCGGTATCGGCAATACAAGTGTAAATAATTAACGAAATATCAAATTAAATATGCGATGGCTCTTGTTTATTTTTAACGCTTTTTTTCTTTCTGTCCAAAGAGGGACAAATACAATCAATAAATCGTCGCAGGCGGATTTCATGACATTCATCGATTTAGTTTATTTTGTATCGAACAATTGAAGACGAATTACAATGAAATTGATTTAATTTATCTACCAGCTGCTTAATTTCACCCCGAATTGTATTCATATTTGATTGATTTTAATCGTTTTCCGTTTTTCTTTTGAAAGCACATTGAATAACAAAGCACAGTAAGATAGAGGCGAACATTTGAGTTCTGAGAAAGAGTAACGTATGTTTTGTACATTGGAATCGACCATAAAGTGTTGAGTGAAGTATCGAAATTCCGGGACTCTTTATCCAGTTTTTCAATCGGTTTTATCCAATTCGGATTAATCGAAATGAAACATCCGCTGTTTTTTTCCTGAGAGGGCGGAAACTAAGTTTCTGAGCTTCAAATGTTGACAATGAAGCACTTTTATCGGTTCTACAAATGGGTGTCTAGTCATTTGTTATTCATAACAGTAAAATTGCTATGCTAATGTGTCACAATGTAGAGAATATGAATGATGTTCTGTTATTATTCATTTTTTATTTTGCGGCATTTTTTCTTACTGTTATGATTGACTAATACCAACATTAGCCACATAATTAATGTAATTTTGTATATTCGTCTATAAATACGCAATATGTTCCTGGTGTTCGGTGGAACACGTTGGTTGGGAGAAGCAGAAAAAATTGATTTTTTTCGTTCAATGTGCGTCATATTTTCGAAATGCGAGGGGAGACATTACCTGTGACAATGTATTTTTTTCGTTACTTTCTTCTGTTGACATCGGACACTTCTACTGAATATTTTATGGTTGAAATTTGATGTAGAATTGAAGCTATCGTAAGGTCAAATATCAAAGCGAGTGGAGATGGGGGTTATTGTTTATTAAAATGTGTTATTTCCGATATATTAATGGTTTTAAATTCCCCACCATATCTGAACAACCTTGATATTAACATTCATCGTCAATCGATAGAAATGATTTTCCAGGCAATTTAATTAAACAGAAATTTTTATGATACTCAAAGGCGATTTTAACACTGAACTCCTTTTCTCTCTCGATGATTACAGGCCTATGAACGCCGATTCCCAACATGTCCCCAAATGCCAATTGTACTCGACTGTACTATCACTAAGGAAGAGATTAAAGACGACGGTGCAATCAAACATACAAGCCGCCGTTGTAAATTAGCCGTCGATGCGCCATACTTACTGAAAAAAGTCATTGGCTTGGATCATGTATTCTTCATACAGAACAATTTCCTTGATATGCGAGCCCGTTCACTGAATATCGAGGCCACGAACGAAACATATGCATCGAGGGTTGAGATATTTGAACGATGCCGTTATTATGCCCATCCAGAGAATCCCGATTGGACTTGTTTCGATCAGACCGCGACGTTGGATATCAAAAACTTTTTCGGTTTCGAGCATTCGATTGAGAAAATGGGAATGAAGCAGTACACACAAACCACGCTGAAAGGTCGTGAAATTATTGAGTATTTCATTGAAGATTTGCGAAAGGAAGGCATCACACACGTCGACAGATGGCACGGTTCCCCTGTAAACGTTGAGAATGGCGACGACGCCGAAGCGAATGGTGTTTGTTCACGCAAACCATCGGTGTCCGAGTACAGCGAAATGCTGGACGGAGATTACATCTTAAAGCACTTTGGTACACTCGAACCGATGCAAGAATCGAAACTCTTACAACTGCATGATATGATTAAAGAATCACTGGGCGGTACACAACCCGTACCAGCCTATTCAATACTACTCCGATTTTTACGTGCCCGAGATTTTAATGTTGACAAAGCGCTGCAAATGTTACAAGAGTCGTTGGATTGGCGAGAAGAGAATAACATCGATCAAATGCTCCACGAATACAAAGCGCCACCAGTGATTACGAAATACTTTTTGGGTGCATGGCATCAAACGGATAAGCAAAATTGTCCAATTTACATTCTTCGCTTGGGCCACATGGATGTGAAGGGTTTGCTTAAGTCCATTGGCGAAGAGGTGCTATTGCAACATGCTCTGCACATTTGTGAAGAGGGTTTACAATTGATTGAACAAGCATCGAATAAAACAGGAAAAGCCGTTACAAATTGGAGTCTATTATGCGATCTTGAGGGCCTATCGATGCGACATTTATGGCGTCCGGGCGTCAAAGCACTGCTAAAAATCATTGAAACAGTGGAAAAAAATTACCCTGAGACTCTTGGCCGTGTTTTCATTGTCAGAGCACCGCGAGTGTTCCCGATCGCATGGACTATCGTCTCGACATTCATTCGTAAGTTGTGCAGCGTCTGCATTTTCATATTTATTTTATTACTGCGGGGAAAAGTGCCAATGAAATATGTTTATTTTCGCTACGTTTCAGATGAAAATACTCGTTCAAAGTTCTTGTTCTACGGTGGTCCAGACTGTGTCAACATCAACGATGGCCTGGAATATTACATCGATTCTGGCATCATTCCAGACTTTCTCGGTGGACCTTGCCCAGTAAGTTCAAGTGCTATTTATGCAGATACACAGATTTTTCGATTCAATATATCTACTTTATTTCATCAATGAGAATTTGAAATGAAAAAACGAAATTTGAATTATTTAAGTTTACAACAAAATCTATTATAAGACAGTTTTGTTAGAAGCAAACGAACAAGAGGAAAGAAACAAAAAATACAGCTCAATATGTCTACTTTCAAAAAGCAAATACCTTCTAATAAAACGAAACAATCAAATTGTTTTTAGCATAACATTTCCACAAAAACAATGGACCCGGTGCCGATAAATTTATACACACGTTGCTTTTTCATACCGTGTCAATGTGTAAGAAGAACTAAAGTTAAATGTATCATTTTGTTTTATCGCTCTTTTGCCCAAGCAAATATTGATTTTGTTTGTTTATACAAAAAAAAACACATACATTTCAATCACACATTCATGGTGCGTTGATTTCAGCTGTTGGACCCATGTGTTCGTATTTCGAATCGAAACGTCATTAAGAATTCATCCATTGAAAACAGAAGAAAGAAAATGAAAAAATAAAAACACACACACACACACCAGTGGAATTACATCTCTTCGACGAATACGAGCACATGAACAGTCTGAACATTCCATATATCAATTGACCGTAACGAATTCCACTGTCGCTGTTCATCATTTGTTGTTTAGTGAGTTTTACTCTATCTCATTCGCAAATCCATGAATTTAAGTGTTTTCCCACCAAACGAAAATATCAATCAATACAACTGTTTGTCGTGTGTGTGCTGCACAGAAAGCAACAACAGCAACAACAACAAAAGTCACGAATGAAACGAAAACACGGTTTTCCACTCGAAGAGCATACGAATTGATTTTATCACTCATCAATCAATCAATCAATTTACTTCACTACAACCAAATGTTAATGAACTGTTCGGTTCTGCTCTCTTTTTGTTTATTGTTTGTCATAAATTTTCATCAGAGGCACAGAAAATCAAAAACACAACAGCAGCAACAACAATAGATCGATCGCTTTGCACTGTAGTAGACATTTTCCTCCAAACATCTATATATAAACAATGCGAAAGGTCGCGTTTTATCTGATTACTCAATCACCTCACACTAAATATAACTGTGAGCGTGCTAAGTTAGATAATTTTTGCTAAGGGCGACAGCTTCCTTCCTTTTGACATTTATTCTCGTTTTTTTTTTGGTCGTAGCTGTTCATTTCTATTTCACGTTTTGTAAGATATATTTTATTTTGATCATCTGCAGGAATCAGTTGCTGTTTAGTACTTTTCTGTTTCTTTTTTTATCGTTTTAATTTTAAAAATTATGGCCACAGTTAACTTTCATATGAAATTCTAATCATTTACTTTGTTCTTGAAACAGACTTTACTGCATGAAGGTGGAATCGTCCCGAAGTCATTGTACAAGTCATTGAGCGATGATGATGGTGTGGGCTCGCCAACACATGACGGACACCATATTTACCAATCAGTCGATCTGAAACCGGGTCAAATTCAAGAAGTTATCATCAAAAATAACGACCCACATAGCATACTCACTTGGGACTTTGATGTTGTACGCAGCAATCTCAAGTTTACCGTTTATCGTACACCAAAATCGTTGCCAACCGTTTCCGGTGAGTGGACTTATTAATGGAAATAGAAAATAGACACATTTACAGGTCTTTCATTCAATAAATTGACGTTGATCATACTTTTGCAGATAAGGGACGTTCAATTTTCGAATCAGATGATTTAGAAGTAGAGAAGGACTATTATCGTGTCGAACCGACACTCGATTGCCATCAAAAAGAAAGTGTTCAAGTGAGTATCACATTTGGTAATTATGAAATTATGTCGCCGATTAACTGAACGTCAATGTCATTATAATTGATTGCTTGTCCAATGGTGCTTACGTTTCAGGGTTCGCATGTAATGGCTCACAACGGTAATTATGTACTGCAATGGATCTGTCCATCCACATGTGATACACCGGCTCAACTGATGTTCTTCTATGAAGTGCTGAGCTCCGAAAACTACAAAGGATCTATGTCGAATCTCCAGCCTGGCATATCGGCCATGAGTTTAGCCAGCTCGTGTCAATCTAGATGATCTTCTGTTACCGTTTTACAAAATCATCCAGAAGAAACATAAAAATGGGAGGGAATTCTCAATCAATGTTTCCTTCTTCAATCTACACAAACACACATACATACACACTAACGCTGAAAACGAAACTTATTCTCAATTTATTTATTGCATATTTTAGTGTTCTTGAGAATGAGCTACAGTTCAGTAGCTTTGTGTTACACGTACAGATAAAATCAGCTAATACGGAAAGAATTTACACACAATTTTTTGTTATTGTTGTTGCTTTGAAGAAAAAATAATGACTCTAAGTTGTAAATGTTAAGCGGTTAAACTCTTTGACTGCACAATTTATTTAAATTTATACATTAAGACCTGTTGTAATCTTTTGAGGAAAAAAAATCAAATCTTTTGTCTTTGTCAGCGTTCTTTTAAACATTTGTGTGGAATAATTTTTTTTTCAAAATTCACTTTTCACTCTTGTAGGTAACAAATTGTTTATATTTTTAATTTATTTGCTATGCTTTCGAAAAAGAAGAAAACACATTTTCGGGTTTTGTGCATTGAACAGAAAGAAGAAATGATGAAAATAACCACAAAAGCAGATGGTTTCAGGTTTGTTGCTTTAAAACAAAACTATTCATTTGTAAAATCCCGATTTAGCTGCTTTATTGTAGACTCCTCATCGCGACTCATATATAATTGTGACACGTGTCTTAAAATATACTTATTTTATGAAAATTAACAACAGAAATCAATGGATTTGTAACAATAATGAAACAATAATTCCATACATTAAACAACATATACCGTTCAAATGAATACTTATAATAATAAATGTACAAATTGTAATAGAAATTGATGAGAAATTTGTGAGATAGAAAGCATTATTTAACTGATGAGACTTGAACTCAACACCGATATAAGACAAATCAAAAGTAGTGGTCCCCCTCCCCATCATCTCTCATTGACAACGAGAACTTTATTCTAGTTCCTTGGCGTTTACTTTTTGAGTGCATATTATTCTGTTTATATCCCCCAAATACATGATTACAAGGGGGAAAGGCTTCGTTTTGAAGCTTGCTTTTCAATATTTTTTTTTCTTCTGAATATACGGTATATATATATATCAAAGTTTTACAAATAAAAAAAGAGCAAAATTCCATTCAATTATTTATCTAAATAAAGAATAGACTATTTATAACGAAGCAAAAAAAAGAAGTAAAATGGTAGTGAGAAAATTCAAACGAATTGTAATAAATTCATATGCTTTTCATTTGAATACCTTGTAACCCAAAATGATAGACTTCATAAAGTAATAACAATAAATATGAATCGTCTTAAATAAGGTTGTAAATGGTTGTGTTTAATTTATTTCTTGACACGCTCAATTTTTCAGATCCATTAAAAGGAGATAAGAGTAAAATCATGGTGGGTAAGAGGAGAAGGAGGTAAGTCAATATCGTTAAGATCTGAACATTGTTTGAATGGGCGTCTCGCAAATTGCATTAGTTGAATAAAAAAAGGTATGAATAAGAATCCTATGCGAAGCTATTTATCTGCGGTAACACGTATCCTTTCACTTCAAGTGGAGACAACTGGACATCCTTCAATGTGAAAAAAATAATGTTCCGTATACATAGCAAGAAGCAAATTATCATGACACCACAATAAATTTCAAATGTTTCGAAATCAATTGAATTCCGCACGCCTTTGATGCAAACGTCGATGCGAGCCCATTTAAATTTTTAAATAAACTATTTTTCTAGTATTACGACTTTTGACTGAAGCGACGTTTTGTGTTAGCGGTTCAAATATGTTCATAATACGGTCGAAACCGTGAAATGTCAGTGAGCGTTTTAGTTGCGCATGAAACACCATAGTCAGCCATCTTGGATGTAATATCATCTCTCTGCAGATTTTTTTTTTGTAGAAAATAATCGAAATTGTTTTTCTCACTTCGAAGAAATTTACGGAAATTTCCCGCATAAATACGGCCCAAAATATTTACCATTTCGATTTCACGACGTTCTTTAATAAGCGACTTACTCTAAGCGTATACAAAATACTAAATTTCGATAAGTCGACTGGAAACAATACAGCAAAAAAACGCATATATATTTTTATTTTGTCGTGGATGAATAGACTATGTCTGAGTATTTATTATACAAAAGTTTAACATAGCTATGGCTGCGACGCGAAAGTTGCAAGGTAAGGGAATACAATCCGTCTCTTTTTTAATTCAACCAGGCTCATTGTTGATAATTCAATTTATCGGAGGGAAAACAAAGTATTCGTCGCGTTTCAAAATGTTTATATTTCGATTATGATATGGTCGGAAAAATGAAACATTGCCATTATAAGGCTTTTGATTTGAATTGAGTGTATATGATTGCCACTGCGGTTTGTTAGTTCATTTTTTTTCATTGGTGTTTTTTTTTCTTCATATATATTGTATAAATTTGCTGTGTCTGCATTTGTGTGATCGCACAGTCGATTTGGCATTTGGAAATATGCAGCCTAAATGTTCTGGTGTTAGTGCATGTCAAATAATTGTTTGTGTATTTGCAAATACAATACAAAAAAATCAAGAAGAAGAAGAAGAAAAGAAATATCAAAAGGAGGCTGAAACAAAACAAATAAGCTGCGAGAAATTGGTGGCAAATTTGCACAATTGACATAATTACATTCAATTGTATTCGTTTATCTGGTGTGTGTGTGTGAGAGAGAGAGAGAGAGAGAGAGAGAGAGAGAGCTGTCAACACTTTTCTGTGTGTGTATGCAATTGCTATATTTGCAAAGCGGTTAAAAGCCGCTTCAACATGTTTTCATTGAATTTTGTTTATCGAACGCATTTTGAACACTTCATTTTAAATTATTTCCTAGTTACGTGCACATGTCAAACACCAAGCACATCGATTCAACCAAATTGTTGGTGCAATTATTGAAATTCGGCGAACCCAAAAACTGGTCAATTGAGAAGCAATTTTCACGATTCAATCAACAATTCAATTTGGAAACGATTTCGACGGCGACAAATTACATTCAAAGTAGTTTTTTTTTCAATAGTTCCGTCACATTTGTTTCCACCGCTTGTGTGTTCCCAAGTCAAACGATACAACAATACATGCACACTGACATTTAAATGGTTCAGAAAATAAAAGTGCATCGCAATACAACTGAATTTTGGCTGAATTATTATTAGACGCGTTTTAGAGAAGAAAGAAATATCAATTAAATCAATATGTTATGGAAAACGAAATGTAATTTTTTCGCTTCTAATTGTTAAGATATCGAAAGGGTTGATTGTAGAATTGCAATAATTAATGCATCCTATGTTTATTTGTACAGGTGAAATAGACAGATGCCTGAAAAAAGTCACAGAAGGAGTTGATACATTCGAAGACATTTGGCAAAAGGTGCATAATGCTACGAATAGTAACCAGAAGGAAAAATATGAAGCGGATCTTAAAAAGGAAATCAAAAAGCTGCAACGGCTGCGCGATCAGATTAAATCATGGATCGCCAGTGCAGAGATCAAAGACAAAAGTTCCCTGCTTGAAAATCGGAGGCTAATCGAAACGGTAAGCGTTGTTTTTGTTGTTGTTTTTCCTTCTCCTTTCATTCGACCGCCAAATAAACGTGCATGCATTTATTTGGATTGTTGTTTCTCTTTTCTTGACAGCAAATGGAACGTTTCAAAGTGGTGGAACGAGAAACGAAGACGAAAGCCTACTCAAAAGAAGGTTTAGGCGCTGCACAAAAACTGGATCCTGCTCAACGTGTAAAAGATGAGGTGCGACAGTGGTTAACAACATCGATTAGTGCTCTTCAGATACAAATTGAGTTGTACGAGAGTGAGATGGAATCTCTTGTGGTGGGCAAGAAGAAGCGGCTCGACAAAGACAAACAAGACCGAATGGATGAGCTGAAGAGTAAATTTGAACGACACAAATTTCACATAGCGAAACTGGAAACCCTGCTGCGTATGCTCGATAATGACGGTGTCGAAGTGGAACAGGTGCGGCGTATCAAAGACGATGTGGAGTATTATATTGAATCATCGCAGGAGCCAGACTTTGAGGAGAACCTCTTCATGTACGATGATATTATTGGCTTGGACGAGGTGGAATTGTCCGGCACTGGCATACCATCGACGACTGATAGCAATAACAGCAACGATACGGGCGATTCACCGAGCAGCCTGATTTCGGGCTCAAGTCCGGTGGCGTCGCCAACAATGAATAGCAGTTTTAATCACATCAGCGAATCGACCTCAGTGGAGTTCAGCGAAAAGAAGAACAAAAGCGAGAACCCAATTGGCAGCAAAGTAACAGTAAGTCAAACACTCTACCTAATTCTGTCTGTACAAATCAATTGAATGTTGCAATGTTTGTTTTTTCCCTCACCTGTGATATTATTAGCCCGTGAAACCGATGGCCGTGCGCGCCAATAAATCGGATCTAAATTCCACCATAAATAGTACAGTGTCCGCTCCGAGCAAAACTGTGTGTTCAACGCCTAATAAGAATCAATCGCATAATGCCTCACCTGCTACCGCCAATTCAGCGCAACTGAACGTGTCCGGAGTGTCAACGGTGGCGTCGACGGCTTCAATCACTAGCGTAGCATCGTCGATTATTTCGAGCAGTGGCGGCATCTCCTCACTTCAAAATCAATCATCTTCGGCGCGTGATGAAAACTATTCTCATGCAAAACCCATTTCAACACGCGATCAACAACCTTTACAAAACAGCATAATTCCGACAACTGCCCCTGTTGCGTTTGCTGCCGTTGCAAAACACAGTACATCACAGCATACAGCGAACGAAGGTAAAATGACAACACTCAAAACTTGACCACATCATCCGTTACTAACACACTCTCATCGGACCGAACGAAAACCAAACAAAATAAACCGTTATCATAATCGTTTTTTTTTTCTTTCTCACACCAACAGGACAACTCTATTCAGCATTTGCATCGACAGCTATTTCAACTGCAACCAGTCATTCGAATCAGACTGCCTCGCATCAAGCATCGACTGTGATAAATCCATCACAACAACAGGTATATACATGTTCACAGTGTAGCGAATTTTTCAAATCAGTTTCAAACTAAATGCCGTGTATTTGTGTTGCAGCAATCGAGTGCCGAAAACGGAGCTGTTCGACAAAGTAACATTCAGAACAACAACAACAACAATAACAACAACAACAACATCAACATCAACACAAGCAGTAGCAATAACGTAGTTACATCGCAACACCAAACACAGGGACTACTGGCATCAGTAACGAGTGGTAGTAATGTCTCTAGTGCACTTGACAGTCATGCGATCTTCACTTCCATTACAAACAATAACCTAACTACAACGTCAACAACCATAAACAATTCGATTACGAATTCAGTGTCTCCGACCAATTCCATTGTGAGTAGCATTCGATCACTTGAGTTTTGCAATTTTCCATTGTACTGACCCGTTATGCTTATCCGCCATCCAGATATCGTCAGCGTTGGGAAATCTTAAACAACCGCAGATTGTGCCGAATTCGTTAGCCAACACCGATTCGATGTCAACGCTCAAGACGATTGCCCAAGAAGCAATTAACCGTGCAACTGGTCTCGATAACAATTCGATACTCTCATCATCGAATTTACAAACAACAACCACATCATTAGCGTCAACACTTACGGATAACCGTGTGCCGTTATTTTCAAACGATACAACTATGCAAACGAATGGACCACACAGTGGGTCAAATCATAATAACAATGCGATCAATGCGAATAGTTTGCTGAAAACAAATGTCATCGGAACTGGTACAAATGAAGCGCATATACCACCGCTGCTAGGAGTTGCACCGCTTGGCCCCTGCCCGCTGAAAAAGGAACACCAACTTCAGTTCCAAATGATGGAAGCTGCTGAATATCATCTGCCGCAACCGATGGATTCGGAACGCCTGAGAACTTATCTGCAAAGACAGCCAGTTCAAACACCAGCAAGCTATCCTCAGGTAGGTTCAAAGATAGGTCACACGCAGCTCACAAGAAACTATTGGGTCTGGGAATTAGTTTTGTCGATTTTTTTAAATTTTCAAACATTTATTTGAATACCAAAATGAAATTACATTTCAATCAAAATATTGTCCATCGGAAGCGATGACCTTCTGCCACAATGTGGGCAATTGACGGATGCCTGCCTTAACAAATTCCTCATCTTTTGAGGCTATAAATGCATCGAGCCAATTTTGGATTTCTTCAACTGAAGAGAACCGCTCTCCGTCCATATGGTTTTGCATCGATCGAAACAAATGGTAGTCGGAAGGAGCCAGGTCTGGGCTATACGGGGCGTGAGCCAAAACTTCCCATCCGCTATTTTCCAAGTAGTTTTTGACCGATTTCTCAATGTGTGGCCGAGCATTGTCATGTAGGAAAATCAATGTCTCTTTTCTGGTCTCCCATTTCGTGCGTTTTTCTTTGATTGCTTGTTTCAAACGTATCAATTGTTGTCGGTAGAAAGGCCCATCGATGGTTTGACCACTTCTCAGCAGCTCATAATACACCAGTCCCTCCTCATCCCACCAAATAGACAGCATTACCTTGTCGCCGTGAATTTCTTATTTTGGCTGTGATGTTGCTGGTTGGCCGGGCTTAACATACGATGCTTTGCGCTTGGGGTTATCGTAATGAATCCATTTTTCGTCACCAGTGACAATTCGATACAGAAAACCTCTTTTTTGTGCCTTGCGAGCAGCATTTCGCAAGTCACTAAACGCCTTTCAGCTTGCGCTGGCGTCAATTCATGTGGTACCCAATTTGACAACTTGCGAATGAAACCAAGGGCCCTTAAACGATATCCAACAGTGCTTCGGTCAACATTCAATGCTCTGGCAAGCTCATCTTGAGTTTGACTCGAATCTTCATCGAGCAATGCCTCCAATTCCGCATCTTCAAACTTTTTTGGCTGGCCGGGACGTTCCTTGTCTTCCGTGCTAAAATCACCACTTTTGAACCGTGAAAACCACCGTTCACATGCACGTTCCGATGGAGCATGCTCACCATAGGCTTCCACCAACATTCGATGCGCTTCAGCCGCAGTTTTCTTCAAATGAAAGCAAAAAATTAATGCTTGCGGGAAATGTTGCTTTTTCGGTACAAAATTTGACATATTTGAGGCGCAAAAAAAAATGTTTATCCAAACTTCGATGAAATGATAGATGATGATTTTTGTAGTTTGACACTAGGCCACTCATGTGAAAAAGAAAAAAGTATTGCCCGATACAACCATGCAAAGTTACGCCATCTTTTGAAAAATCGACACGATTAATTCCCAGACCCAATATTTCGGTCACGGACACGTTTATCTTAAGTCAGTGTTTGCATAAATTGAAATGACATGTATCATTACTCGAAGAAGAATGTTTTTTCCTCGAAAAGATCCGTTTGAACATCATGTTTCATGAAATTTCCGTTTTTCATTCCAGAATCAATTACCACATTCGGATACTTTTGAATTTTTCCAACGTCTTTCTACGGAAACTCTGTAAGTATTTCAAAGAAGTCGGAGCTGCACCCATTGAACAGCATCCATTGTCAAGGCGTTGAATTAATCGCATTGGTTTTCCTTGCAGATTTTTTATATTTTACTACATGGAAGGAACGAAGGCGCAATTTTTGGCGGCAAAAGCGTTGAAAAAACAAAGCTGGAGATTCCATACAAAGTACATGATGTGGTTCCAACGACATGAAGAACCTAAAATCATCAATGAAGAATTTGAGCAGGTAATCGAAGATTTTCTTGGCACTGGTTGAGATGCACAACAGTGCAATTGTATAAGAATTCAATCTAACAATTCTGCTTTGTTAACCACACAGGGCACTTACATTTACTTCGATTACGAGAAATGGGGCCAACGCAAAAAGGAAGGTTTTACGTTTGAATATAAGTACTTAGAAGACAAGGACCTGAATTGATCTACGATAGTAAAAGTTACAATTACGGCCGAGCGCTACGAAGATCATCTTTCGTAAGCTATTTGGTATGCAAGAGCAAAAGAAAACTAAAAACAAAAACGAAATCCACTACAATAACAACAAGAAAAAAAAACACACACCGATACATAAAAAAAAGCAACATCCAACCGACCAGAGAGCAGTTGTAAAACCAAGGAGAACAAAAACTAAAATGTAGGTCGATGCACGTCTCACAGTGAAATATGTCAATTTCCTTTGGAATTCTGTACCAAAATATCAAACAGAAATTATCGAAAAGTAAAACAAAAAAGATCAAATTGAGAAAAAAACAGTAACGATACCAAAAAAAAGAAGAACGAAGAACGAAAACAATGTGGTAAAAAAGCGGACAAATTTCATAAGTGTTTCAGTTGACTGTATGCACTAATTCTAATGCTTAAGAATGAAAAAAAAGAAGAATTTGTTGGTCTGTTTGGTTGTTATTTTCTCATTTTTGCACGAAACTGTAAATTATACTATTTCATCGATTTAATTCTCTACGTCCAAATCAAATAGCTTATAAACACAATTTTTTTTTTCTTAAAGGAAAACATAAATAAATAATTGAAAAAAAAATAAAAAAAAACAAAAATCGTATGCAAAGTCTCTTCTATTTTTCATCAAACACACTCCACTTGAATTGTTAAAAAAAAAACTGTTATCCGTTTTTATTTTGAGAGCATGATTCGTACATATTTCTACTTTTCGCCAGAAAAAAAAAAACAAAATGAAAACTACCACATAAAACAAACGGAATCGAGGAATGTACATAATGAATTGGTGATGTGCAAATGTAAATTAACGAGTTAATATCATTGTTACAAAAAAATGAAAATGAAAACATAACATTTTGAAGCAAACGAAACGTTTTAAACTCAAACAAACCGCCCGTGACTCAAAGTACTAAATATAAATTGTAAAAAAAAAACAAATGGAAATCATGAACATTTTGGAGAAAACAATTCCAATTGAATTGTGGTATTTCGTAACGAAATCGCATTGATCATACATTGTATAGCCTCCCAGCAATAACACTGACGAGAGAGAGAGAGTGACTTGCGCCAATTTTTTTCTATCAAATGAAATCAATTATAAAGACAACACACAAGACACACACACATTGCTTCAAAAATCATTAACGAAACATGTAACATTTTAAAAATGCAGAAGAACTATTTACTACTGAGATGCGCCAGTGATTCATATTTCGCTAGCTTTTTTTTAGTTCATAAGATGGTCACAGAACACAGGCTGAACTGAAATTCAGTTTAATTGAAAGATGAAAACAAATGAGAAACAGTGCGATTCTTTTTGACACAGATTGCGCCAATTTTTAAACTGATTATTGATTGATTGATGATTTATTACTGGTGTTGACGATAAACGATAATACTGTAATACTATCCTTATTGTCTATGGAAAATATGAATTGTACGAGACGAACTGTCAGTGGAACATGAAACCAGCTAAAACTGCAAAATACAAACTTGAAAATTCATACAAAAAAAAAATATAAAGCGAAACAAAAAAAAATACGAAAAATAAAGAGAAAATTCATTGAACAATTAACATCTGCACGTGCTTTTCATTCTAATGATATGATATGGTTATTTTTATGTAAGTTATTGTGTATTTTTCTATTGTTTCAGCATTATCATTTTCATATCTATCCACATTGAGATGATAAAGGCCAGGCACTACAAGTATGTAGTGACTACATACTAAGTTGATTTGTAACCATGTGGTTTACGAAAAATGGAGATCATTTGCAATTTCAGCCAAATTTCAAATGAGTACTGAAAACATGACGGCACATTGTTACAGACCTTTGAAACGGACAAATATTGAATCAATTAGAATCCATCAGCAAGATATCAAATTTTGGATGACTATGGCGGCGTCAGCGATGAAAGTATTGAAATGTCGGTGAATATTTCACACGGAACACCATGGAGTGTTTAGTTATGATGTGTGCAGTTATAGCCATACCTATGACAATGTGAACAGCTGAGACTTGTTGAAGTTGTATAATTCCATACATTACCTCTTACACCCGGCATAATCAAGCATTAGTTTGACGAACAGTTGATTGATGAGCGCCAAAAAAGACGTTTTTAATTCAATATCTTTTTTTCTCTTTTTATTGCTTACGTAATAAATTAAATTGCCAAAAAGAACTTAACTAAAATTGTTTTAATTTTTTCTCAGCGATGTTTTTTTTATTTTATTCAATAAACACATTGAAAGTGATTATTCTGTATATATATATCAACTATATATAACGAGATGGTAAGATAAAATAAAAAAAACGTGGATAAGTGTGTGGTGTGTGTGTGCAACAAATTGCAATTTTGAATGCCAGCGATGTTTGCTTATGCATCGGCTTCAGCCTTAAGTTTGGCGATGAAAGCTTCTTTGCGTGCAGTAACCTTAGCCTTACGTTGTTCAAGTGTAAGTTTCTTGTCGGTCCAGCGTTTCTTGGTAGCGGGTTTCTTGTGATCCTTCTTTTGGTATGAAGGGTCGGCACGAATGGATGCGTGTGCCTTCTTGTAAATAGATTCAATCTAAACAGGATGGATGAAAGAAAAATACCACAATATGTATTAGTTTTCTCTGTTCAGTTGGCTCAAATCTCAAAATATGATGATGAAAAATGGGGTTGTGAAATGATCTCAGGATGTTTGATATATTTAGACAAAAAACATCGAACAGATCGTTTCTGATGGTTGATGTGGTCCATTTTCGGCACCGAAATCGCACGAATGGCATTTGATTTCGGTAATTTTGGAAATGGACGTAAACCATTCATAAAATGATGCAAATGTCGAAACGTGTATGAACTTATGGATACTTACATCATCAGCACGGATGCCCAAGTTAATGTAGCGGCTGAATTGACGTTTGAAGGCTTCATTATCTTCCTCTTCCAAAGTACGCATGTATTCGGCAACGTGAAGACCGAAAATGTGGGCACGATGAACTTCAGCGTTGAAGCTCTTTGACTCAGCACTGTAACCTGGGAAACGTTTGACTGAATGTGGAATGTTCAATCCACCGTCAACAGCTCCTTTCATGGCACCGAAAATACGGGCACCAGTGGTGGTACGGGCCAAACCGACATCCAAGAAACAACGGAAAGCACCTGGACCATCATCCACTGGCTCAACATTGTATTCTTCACCTGAATCGAATTGAAAATGACAATCGAATTTTGTGGTTAGCACTTTAATCCCACAGTCAACACATTTTGCTACAGCTGCTAAAAAAAACGGTACGAACCTGTAACATCAGTGCAACCACTGTAAAGTGAGTCCAAGCCTAATTTTTGCAAAATACGACGGGCTACCAACAAACCGGTACAGTAAGCTGCAGCATAGTTGGTCAAACCAACCTATTGAATAGGGAGAATTGCACAAATTGTGATTAGAATGTTAGCCGGGACGCTGTCACCAAAAGTCACGTGGGTGTGTTACACTTACCTTAACGCCGTATTTTGGCAATTCGTGCGAGTAAGCGGCGCACACAACGCGATCACCTTCGATACGTGAGTATGCGATTTGGGCAGTAACATCGCGGTTTGACAAACGAACAATCAAACGGTATTTTGGGGTGTTATACTTGTTTTTGTCTTGGAAAATCAAGCGTTTACGAGCATAGTAGTCGGTCTTTCCCTCACGACGTCTCTTGAACTTAACTTGGTAACGCTTGAAGTATTGTTTGTTCTTGACGACTTTAACGAAACCCTATGAAAATGCAACAAATAAAACACAAAATTAGTTTTTTATTGAAAAAACTTCACTTAAAAGCAATCAATCAATTGAAATGTTCATATGACGAAAGTATCCAGTTTTGAGGTTACACAGTCGAATTACGGTCTTGCAAAAGCCGAAATTTTTAATCAGAAATAATTTGGGGAATCACTCGCGGAACTTGATAAATAATTATATTTTCGGAATTAGCACACCTAGTACGATCGATTGCGATAAATATTATTTGGTTTTATGCTCACCATTTTAAAAAATATTCAGTTAAAACACCGCACCACTACGAATAATGTCTTCGCGGTTTCAATGGTGACACGAAAAGAAGGTTTCAATATGGCTCCGCAGTACACGTTGGGCACGGTACGGAAGTTGACACTTGACAGCTCACACATACTCGACATTCGTATTGCCTTATCCTTTTCATTCGACGAAATGTCAGTGGAATTTCGTATTTCGTGTTACGTATTACGATTTCGGTTTTACGTAGTTGCACGACTACTCAAACTTGATATTCGTTTTTTTATGAAATGCAATAAACTTTTTTTTCATTTCGAATTTTTGCCATTTCTTTATTCAAAAGCTGAAAATTATATCTTACGCAAATGTTATGCATATAAAAAGTAGTACATGAATGTTTGAAAAAAAAAGTTGTTTCTTCTCTTTCATTGAAGCCGCCCTTAAAATAAAAAAAATAATGTTCACTGGACATAATCAATGTCCCACACACGTCCGATACCAATAATGATTAGTTTGAATTTTTCCAAACAATGCTTTCAATCCAATCCAAATACTCGGATATGCGTGTATAAACTCCATAGCCATTACCACATCCCATTCCAAAACTCGTTACTCCGATTACATGATATGTACATGCTGACTTTTGTGTTGCAACTTGAAGTGGACCGCCTGTAGAGTATGCAATGCAAATGTGTATGCAATTTAGTTTTAATTAGTATGAATCAATTGAAAATGTAAATGATGCGGTTAGAAGATATTAATATCTTCTTTTTTTTCTTTCAACTTATTCGTCTACCTGAATCGCCGCTACACGTGTCTTTTTCTTCAACATCATCGCCAGCACAGAGCTGTGAATCGATAATGCCATTCTTCAATGCACCAAATCGCTGGTAAAACCCGTTACATCGCTCGTTCGTAATGAAATTCAATTGCACTTTAAGTAACTCGTCCGATGGACGGCCACGATCTTTGGTTAATCCCCAGCCAGTTGCTATTCCACTGGGGTATTTTATATCGAATTTTTGCCACAAACATGCTGGCCTAATGAAATCGTTGATTTGCACGTCTCGACTCAGTTCGAACAAAGCAATGTCGTTGTATTTCGATGATGGTCGATAGCTTGGGTGTCGAATGGATTGCAAAATGCCGAAATCTTCAACGTTTGGATCATCGGAGCGTTTGAGATTCTGAGAACCCAATCTGATGATTTTTGGTTTGATTCCACGCCATGACACACAATGAGCAGCTGATAAAACAAAGCGGTAACTGAAAAATGGTTCTGATTAATGTGGTTCATTCATATCAGAATATATCAGAATGTTCATTCATTGCTTACCTTATCAATGAACCGCCACAGTTCCAATCAATTGGGCCATTTTCGTCTTGCTGCCATCCGATGATGGCCATGTGTGGGAATTCCCCATGTTCGGTTGCCGTTCCACCAACAATGAAACCTTCGCTGCTCGGTTTGGCACACTTGGTTGTTTGTACTGTAATGTTCTCCGGATTCAATGAGAATGTTGTTACGACCGATTCTTCAATCATCAATTTCATATACTGTTTGCATTTTTGCTCACTGATCCGAGTTTCATAAGATGGAACTGCTGGTGCTGCTGGCGGTGATAAAGATGGTTTTGGTTGCAGTGGAGGTGCTACGGTTGGACCTGTCGTCGTTGTTGTTGTGGTCGTTGTCGATGGGTAGTAAACATTATTCGATGGTGCGACTGGTTGCACGATTGGCACACTGGCCGGCTTTTGTGAGCGCGGACAACATATGATTGGTAGATGACCTTTGTAATTACAAATTTGCGGTTGAATTCCTTTCTGGAAATCCCGTATTGCCTCCGGACACTGATTTGGAAGTGTACAAATGCCATTTGTGCGTCGAACCAAATTGAAACAAGCTTCACCTTCAATGTCTCCGGTACTTTCGTGCGTAAATGCAATGTCACTGGGTAATTTGATGCGTGTCTCACTTTGAATCTTTCTACGACCAATCTGCTGCTGTTGCTGCTGCTGCTGCATCAACGCCACAGGAAAGAAACTAATCAACAACAAAACTAATGCTCGCTTCTCCATGGTCTTTTCGTGATTACTGTTCGATATCAAACGTTTCCACTTTTGAATAAACTATTTAGAATTGAACACAGCTATTTATTGATTTTATTTCGTCGCTAAAAACAACAACAAGCGATTGTCGATTGCAGTGCTGTGAGCGATCGATGATGAGTCGTTCAAAAAGTCCCGACCACTACAAATGCAATATAAACAATAAACTGTTAAATGTCGTGCTAACTAGTTAAGTTGATTGTCATTGCCTATGTTTCAAGTGTAAGTTCAAAGCAAGTCGGTGCAACAACGGTTTAAAGCTGGTGCAGCTCCAACCAACACAGTTTCTGCGTACGATTTGTTGCTTTGTTTTTTTTTTCTTTTATTTTTCTTTCGCTCGAGTCGGCGTTGCTTGTGTGTGCCTGTGCATACAACACAAATACAAGGGCAATACCGAAGGTTTTGGAGCACAACGCAATTTCTTTCGCATCTACTGGACGTTTTTTTTTTCTTCATTACATTCCATTGCACAACCAGTTGAGTAGTTCAATTTATATTTGGCATGGAAATTATTTTATACCATCGCATCTAACATCAATTAGCTAACAGATTTGCAAGTGATATATTTTTGTCTGGAATAGGGAAATACATAGCATTTTTTCAATTTACATCGTAAGTTCCGCCAAAAAGTATTTTCGTATTGCCATACACATACAAACACTGATCAGATATGCGATACACAAACTACTAAAGCAACACACTGTGGTTCACTTGTTAGTGTGATTCAAGCCTTTCGGACGAAAGACATAATTATTAAATTCACTGCCGTCCGACCGCTGTACGCAAGAGCATAACAAGTGATTTTGAAAAAGAAAAGAAGAGACTCATCAGAACCGTTTAGCGTGTGCGCTTTAAAACGAGTTTTTTTTCCTCATATTTCGCACTGTTTCATCTTCAGAGTGGGATAGATCAGGTATGAATATTTGCACAATTTTTTTTTTCTCGCATGAACGCGCACTAAGAACAAAAAATTGTCAGCAAATCTTTTTTTTCATCTCTTCGTATCACTTCATTATATAGTTTGAATGTAGAACTTTTTGTTTTATGCACAACTAAAATATCCAGTGACTCATATTTCGTTAATTGCCCAAAAATGTATACAATATACATTATGCGCGGTTTATTTATTGAATATATAAACAACATTTCTCAGCGCACATTTTTACAAGAATTGCGCTTACGTTTCGTTGCATGCCGGCACATGTGTTTCCAAACGATTGCTCTGACAACTCAGTTGACATAGAGCGAATCACATTGATATGCAACGATTGCCGCTTTAGTGATTCATTTCAATCGTAAAGATTACTTGAATTACAAACTGAATAGAGAAAACTTATGAAAGATATCAATTCCATCATGAAATATCTATTTTTTGTCCAATTTTTAAATGCATTTTTCTCTATTTTAATTCGTCATTGCAGCGTAGTGGTACATTCGAACATATATGGTACAAGACAAACACAATCGAGGCAAATATGTTTAATGCAACAGCAAACATGTCTACATTCAGAGTCTCAGAGATTATTGGATGTAGTACACCGATCAGAGTATTCAATGATACAAGCTCTGAAAATGGCAGCTCATATCGAGATTGTTCGAATGGTGTGCGGATTCAGTATTCTGAATTGGAGCCGCTTGATATTAGTGACGAATCAAGTGATGAAACTGCTCCACAAGAAGTGAATGTTGTCGCGCAGTCAAACGTCGATGGAGTTGATATCAGATCTGGTCTACAGGTCGTTTTGCATCCAATGACGCATGATTACATTCGAGATATGATGAATGGTGTCAAGTCCACCCAGTCAGCTCGGACTGAAATCACACAAACTGAAAGGCCCCAAACCCGTTCCGACAAACTGCACAAAAATGACAGAAAAAGAGATGCATCGAAAATAGACCACAAATCGTGGCAATGGCAACCGATACTGAGACTTGATCGCATCGATGAAAATGGTCAAAACAGCAATCAATCGGAAATGTCCACAAGCAATGTTCCACCTATCGAATTTGATAGGGACGAATCAATTATTCGAGAACTGTCACCAGAAAAAGCGACCGAGATTTTTGAACGGGTAAGAGAAATTCGATGATTTTTTTTCCGGATTCATTAAAATGATGAAATTTACTTCAACTTTCAGCGTTTGGAAGTGATAAAAAAAACCATGCAACCCATATCAATGAAACCGAGAAATCCAAAGGCAAAGCGAGCGACACGTGCGACGAAAAAGGTAAACGAGCTTCAGACGCAATATGAAGAAGTACACAAGCGACTGCAAGAAAAGCCCAAAAAGCGACCAAAGAATGCAAAGAAAGGTCGCAAATTGTATAATCCCAGTGATTCGTATGAGGAATCGGCTGAAAAGGAAAATGATGAACCGGATGATATGGAACCAAAATCAAAGCGACCTCGAATCTCATCAGCGCAACCCGTCCGAATTCTACCGAATCGCGCTGCCAAAAATATTGCCAAGTAAAGTGGATGAATCGACTAAATGAAATCAAACACCGCGGTGCAATTAATTCTAAGAGAAAATGACTGTAAAATCAACAACGATGATATAATTTGTTATAATTTTCACTACGTAAGCCGTAGCTCATAACTTTCAATGTCCAAATATGGAATGTTAATGTTGCCGTAAACTGAATCCGGTATTCAAAACATTTAAAACGAAAATGTAATGATCAAATCTATAATTAGAGTAAAGTGACTAATGAGTAAAACAGAATCAATTCTTTTTTCAATATATTTCATTTTTTTGGATCGAAAACCGCTGAATTTTGTACAATTTCGATTGAAAATATTCGTGTACGTAGAATGCGGTCCAGAGAGCGTAATACGAAATACGAAATACGTTTCAGAAAGCGAAAAACGAAAAACAAAATACGTACATTGAAATGTCAAACATATCGAACGAGACAGTCTCTGTTTTTGTATGGTAAAAGCTAACTAAACCGAAAGTTGACAACAAAAAGTGACTTGTCATACTGAGTACAAGCTGCAATTTAGTTGATTGGAATAGCCTGCATCACGGTTGAATACGGAAAAACAAACAGAATCCAGAAAAACAAGTACGGAAAATGGCTGATAAAATCAAGGTAACAACCCGAACACTCAGTGATCATCCATTGAAGGCATCTGAAGAAACATTTGCACAACGTGAACTCGAAACCAATTTGCAAATGTTGCGACGCAACGAAGGCATAGCTGCACCGATGCGAATCATGATGGAAATGCAAGCGTACAAAAAGGTGGGCCGTTTACCGTTCCTGCCATCCAGCCGTTTGCACATGGATGTAATTACTGGTCGTGATGAGACGATCGATTTCAGCGATTTCCTTGGCACCGAAGAATTCTCCGAGCGTTTGTGTCAGCCCCAGGTTATGGCCGAGAAGAAATTGAATTTCAATTAAGCAAAAAAGAAAAATGTCGTCCATTTGACATACAGCAAACAATTTTTTGTATTACGATAAGATAAAATATTAAAGAGAAGTTCATTGGAAGCGGAAAAATCAGGGATTTTCATTTCGGAATTTCATTTTCAGCAATTCTTTTATATGCAAAAAGTGAGGTTAGAATCAACAAACACACAAATCATCGTCGAATTCGTTCGGCTTTGTAAGCTTTTGTATAGTACCCGTATACATCGAACACTGTCTGAGCTGTCAAACTGGTAATGCAATTGGTATGGAATGACGTTTACGTCACCAAAAAACAGAAAGTAAATAAAAATGTGTGTTGATTTAGTTTAGCCCAATTGAAAGCTGAATTTTTTAGTGATATATTGCGAGTTTTGAACTATGGGAAATGATCAGTCGCATATAAAAGGACTGGAAGTTGATAAGAAAGCCATCGATTCGACGGAATTTTGGTCGATTTACAATGGAGAATTGAAGAATGAAAATATCCCAACCACACTGATAACTATATTTCAAGGTGAACAAGTTGTTAAAGGGCAACTATGGTCAAGTAAAAGCCCATTGGAACGAGCCACACGGAATTTCATGCTCTATCGTCATCCATCGATTCTGCGATTCATCACATCATGGGAAAAGGGCTCCGTACATTACTTGGCGACAGAACGATGCAAAACCTTGTCGATGGTGTTGGCAACGCAGAACGATACACAAATATGCCTAGGGCTACGGAATATATTGTGTGCGTTGATATTCTTGGTTGAGAAGGCGAATATGTGCCATTTAAACGTTTGTACGTCATCAGTTTACGTGAATTCGAGTGGATCATGGCGATTGGGTGGCTTCGAACACTTGTGGTCAAAGAAAGAGGTCAATCAAACTCTGTTGGAACGATCTCAGACGTATCGATACACAAATGCACTGGACAAGGATGAGACCAAACGTGATTCAATCCATGGCATTGAATCGTTTGCATTTGGCGTACTATGTGAGGAGATTTTAAGCAACCGGAAAAATAGCTCAACTATACCCCATGTGGCCGAATTTCGAAAGTACTGTGTTGAATACTTGAGAAATTCAAACGCAAAAAATCGTCCAAGTCTGTCAGCCGTTTTACAACATTCCTATTTCAACCAAGACTTTGTACTGATACATTCATTTTTATCGGAACTGCCATTGAAAAATCAAATTGAGAAGCAAACATTCTTCACAGGCTTAGTAGATCGACTGCGTGAATTCGACGAAACGGTCATTGGCACCGAACTCATTGAATTGATTCTGTCGCGCATGGTCTTACTGGATGAAACTGCCAAATTATGCGTCTTACCATTCGTAATGCAGCCACGCAATGATTGCGAATCCAATTCAGCTTCAATCACACCAATCTTTTCATCAGAAACATTCACCAAATTTGTTGCACCCAAGATAAAGCAGTTGTTTTTAGTTCGTGACGTCCAAATTCGTTTAGTGCTATTAGAGTATTTTGCGGCATACATGGATTATTTTGAATCAAAAGAAGATTTGACCAAACAAGTATTGCCTCAGCTATTGCTTGGCATCAAAGATACAAATGACCAATTGGTCGCAGCGACCCTACGATGTTTAGCCGATTTAGTTCCAATTTTGGGTTCATCAGTGGTCATTGGAAGTAATCGATGCCGCATTTTTGCTGATGGCAAACCGTATGGAGTTTTAGAGAAAATGGACTTGGCACCTTCAGTTAAATGGGCTGAGGTGCGTTCGATAACACCTGTAATGAATGGTGCTGGAATTGGTGCTGATATTGTCTCCAGTAGTCCTCTATTGGTGTCTAGTAGTCCTCTGGCAACGGACACAGGCGGTGATGTTAGTGACAGTTTTGTTTCGATAGTGAATTCGACAAATGTAAATGGCAATGAAAAGGATTTAATGCCAGAACGACTGTCACCAGACGGAGCCGCCGTGGGAGAAGATCTTCAATTGAACAATGAACAGGCGGATCTCGATGAAGATGGATGGAGCGACTGGGAAACCGATCAACAATCCAACGAAATTCAAACCGATGCAAAAGTTTTTGATGACAATGAAAACATAAATGAGAGTTCAACGATCGTCACACCAAGCTACCAAAGAAACATATCAGTCAGCAGTTCAAACAGCACGGCAACCAATCAGAATAACGAAAGTTTCATTAAAGACGTAAAAGATATCGAAATTAAACCAATTAACACACATTTAAATGATGAGATTGATGATTTTTTCAAAGAAATGGAACCAGTTATAGCGATGCCCAGTTTGACATTAGCACTATTAAATAACCTCACCACTACGGGTAAACCGTCACCCGGCGAAACAAAGAAACACGATATCGAAACCGATGCAAAGATTGATCAAAATCGATTTGCTGTCACTGCTAGCCTAGATGATGATACATTCGACGATGCCGCTTGGGGCAACGAAGCAAGTGATTGGGATAATTAAAATAATTGTTTTTTATTTGCTTTTTCTGTTTGTATGTAAATAATTGATAGACAATTGATCATTTGACACTAAGATTGATTGCAATGTATTTTTGAAACGCAAAAAAAATGAGATTCTCTAATAAACCAACGATTACAAATTGAAGGCATAATAAATACGTTTTTTCATTGAGATTTATTAGATTTTAATTTTGTTTTTCTTCAGCTTTAAGTCTTTTTCTTTGAGAATGGGTCAATTCAACGAGGTCCGTATCGAAGATTGTCTTATTTGGCTGGATGCATATTCTCGCCAGTTGAGATTTTTCTGTCATTTTTGATTTTTCATTCCTGATTTGCAGACCATTCTCCTGTTCTTTAGTGTCAGCTCCACTGTCCTGCATATTTGAAATCCCCATATCGTATTTAAATGCGTGTTTCGATTTACATCGATCTTAGTAAAAATGTCCAGAATCAATCGTGCAATAAATTACTAATAAATAATGAGAAATGAAAGACTTAAACCCTTTTTTGCAGTTTTTCATTTAATTTCATGGTTTTATGTTTATAAAATAATTGCACAATCTTAAAATCAAATAATTTGATGTATATATGTATATATCAAGCCAACGAACCAGTTCTGATATAGCATTATAATGCAAACAATTTTCAAGTCTTTTCAATCGTCTTTTTTTTTAAAGAAATTAATACAATACACTTTCGATTATAACGCAATTTAATGCAATGAATTTCCATTGTGATTGATTGAATCTCCGATTTATTCAAACATTTGAGATGAGATAATAATATAGCCAATTATATAAAGCCCAATGTGTGCGTGATATCTTGATAATAATTGTTTTTAACAATTTAGATTATAAAAATGCCCTCAATCTCGTTTTACAAAATTATAACAAAAGCGCATATTTTACAAATAACAGTTTCTTTGATCATCCGGTTGTAATGAATGGACTGCATTTATTGTACCTATCGAGAAAGTCTCATGGATTTATCGGATTTGTTTCCCTTATGAAATGCAGGTTTGTTTTGTTCATTTCTTTTTATATAAAATGTCTTCTGTTCATCATAAATATTAGAATTAAATACACTTATATGCTGTGTGTAATGTAACTCATAAATCTCTTGGCAAATAGGTTTGCGTCTATAACATACTACACATTTCCTTATCGTTATGTCCAAATAACAATTCGGTTATCCTTATTATATCACTATGGGTATCACATTCCGCTTGGAATGGGGATTTATTTTACAAGTATTTTCAATCGCATTTGAATAATTTATTTCAACCGAATACAGGGATAAAAAGCAGCTTAGAGAATAAAGTGGTAGCAAGTGGAAAATTTTTCTTCAAAGTATTAATAATAAAAAGTGGTTTTGGAATAATTTTTTTATTTGACTGAATCGAAAGTGGCAATGGGCGAGTGAAAGACCATTTGTTTTTTTTATGTGTTCTTTTGTTTCTCAATGAAATCTTCAGTATGAATTTTAAAATGAAAGTTAATATGGATCAATTAATTTATTTTCGGAATATAATGCAGTATAATACAGATAGTGATGAATGCGCCATGCAATAAATATGTAAAGAATACGAACAAATTTAATCAATTTGTAGGGTATACACTTTGGTTGATCATCCTCTTTTATTTCCTATATAAGAAAATCATGCGATGCATTCAAATTTCAATTTAATTTAGATATGTAATTTTGTGACCGAGTTCTAATCCCAATGTCCTACTAAGCCCTAATTGATAATGTGTATATTTAGAGTACAAATGTCTTTATACCAATCGAAACAATAGAATCGATATTCGGAGAATATTCATACAATTGTCTTGTGTGCCAATTTCGGCAGAAAAAAGGGGAGATACAATTTAAGGAAGCTGCTTGATCATCCTTTAAATTAATTTGTATTGCAAAAAAAATAAATTCCCTTTCCTTTTACTCTCTTTTTCAAAAGAGATGATAACTCTACATCTCATTCATGCACGAATACTAAACTAGCAAATAAATAATAATAATGAATTCATTATGTGTGTGACATTTACAAAATACATATCGCCAAAAAAACACAATGATCAAAAATTTCTTTTCGGCCGACTTACATTTTAATACAAGAGGCAAAAAGACATTCAGAGATGTATACACCGTTTACATGTCAACTGTTTCCCTTCAGCTCAAATCAATTAGCGCATCAAATTTGCTGTTACTGGCGGTATCGAGTGTCCATGGATGGTCAAGTACATCTTCGCTGGCAAATCGAAGGTCGGGATCAAGTTGAAGCATGTTTGCAATAAGATCTCGCACTTCTTGTCCTATATCATTCCAATATGGTTCGGGGAACTCATAAATACCAGATAAAATTGCATCGAAAAGTGGCTCTTGCTCATTATCTGGTGATACGAAAGGTGGAAAGCCACACAACAAAATATACAAAATAATACCGGCCGCCCAGACGTCAATCTATTGTGAAAATTGAAGAAAATATTTAATTTAATTTATTGGGCAATGGTTTCATGTATCATCAGAAATGGATGAGCAATTATTTAATAGCCTGCTTTCAAGGGATACAATACCTTTAAGCCGTATCCTGTCTCCATGAGAATTTCGGGCGCAACATATGTCGGGGTGCCGCAAACAGCGGTCAGTGGCTCAGTCACTTCGCAGGCCAAACCAAAGTCAGCTAACTTCAACTGAGTTATGTGTCCTGCTTCATCCAATTCGACCAATAAATTTTCTGGTTTAATATCCCGATGTACAATTGCCAAGGAATGTAGGTAAGCCATAGCTGATGCCAAGTGTCGGATCATTAATCTCGCTTCAGACTCCGGGAAACGAGTAACACGTGTGATTGCATCAAACAAATCTCCACCGCTAACGTATTCCAAAATGAGAAACATATTTGCTGATGTATCGCAATTCAAGTGCAACGACATCACTTGTTCATGCTGTAATTTCTTCATTACTCTTATCTCAGCATCGATATAATGCTCTTTGCCCTTGCATTTCGATTTATCGATGATTTTCAATGCAAAGTTCTTTTTGTCGCTTTTCCGTTTGATTTTCAAAACTACGGCAAAATTGCCATCGCCAATCACCGGGCCCAAGGTATAGTTGTTCTGGATGATTTCGGGTAAACCAAGGGGATTTGAGTCATCACATTGAGTCGACACTAAAATCGTATCGTCATCCGCTTCAAATGCTGCATTATGTAAATTGACGGAGTTTTTCGTGGGCATTTGCGGTTTTGGGCCACTTCGAGCACTTCCCGTACGTAATGTTCTTCGGGTTTGTTGTACAGCCTTCAATTCGTCTACTTCTAACTTAAAATCATCAGCATTCACACGTTCACTTCCGTAGGCAAAAAATACATATTCATCAGCAAAAAAATCGGCCAACGCTTGCAATTGGACCCCTTGCAAGGTGTACATTTTTCGTACACATCCCGTATCTAATTTGACACATTGAGTTATCGCTGTCAAAACATGCTCAAACGATGGACTGTTTCGTTTGTTCAGCAGAAGCCTAAGTATTTTCCTGGGCTTGGTTCCACTTCGTATGAGTGTCACTATTCGTGGATGTACCACACTGTCACGCTCACTAAAATCGACTTTATCAAATTCATTGGTGTTGATACCATATCCATTCAAACCGATCTTCAACGGTGATGCCGGTCGTTGGGATCTCGTCAGGCGATTGGTCGCTTTATTATTTTGGCCAAGTGGTGATGATGTATAGTCCATTTTCTTGTAATTTTCATTATTACACAAACATACATAGCTTTGGCCATCTTCAAACTCATCTAAACTTGTGATCTAGGTTTGATTTAAAGGGAAAATTCGATAGTTAGCTTCATGTTAAGTGGTAAAGAGTATGTTTTATGGTGGCATTGCTTACTTTTTTGCCTAAGGTAGAATATATGTTGCGCACAGCACCAGATACACGGTCTTCGAGGATTCGTGTTAAATCTTCAGCTAGACTATCAAAAAATCTGTGGAAATAAAATGAAAGGGATCTTAGTCTTGCATTGTATTTAATCATGGCGCAATTTTTTCCCCCTACATACCGATAGCGTTCATTTGACACAGGAATCACAACACCGCCGTAGAATTTATCACCGTTTCGAAAGAAACGTACTCGTTTCGCTTTCCTTGTTGGCGTCCTACTACTCGATACGCGTTTTTTCAGTGTGTTATTCTTTGTGATTATAATCACCGAGCCATTACTACTCGTCGTGCCACCATTTTCATCATCCCCTTCGATTTGTTCTCCAGTCGGTGTGCTGCCATTCAAGTCCAAATCCGCGAGGTCTTTGTCCAATTCCGAATTTGAGCTCGTCGAGCTATTACTTTGGCTCACTACAGTTTCCAGCATATTACTGCTTCCATCCATTCTAAGCGACGAGAAATAGAAATAGAAAAAATATAGGAAAATCACGACATATTCTAATTAGTATTATGCTAGGTATTATGAACTCGAGTGAGCAGAAATGCTTTTTTTAATATTCACGATGATTGATTTAAGAAGTTGTTTTTAATGGTAGAAAAGGCAAAATGCCCATTTAGTCGTCAGCAAACACTAATTTTGTTCAAAAGCACAAAGAATACGGTTAAACGACGGAATGTTGCCAAAGAAATATCGAACTCAAATGACATATTCTAATCACGCCTTTCTATTCTATAGTTTTCGAAAGACAAGTGTACGAACAACATAAATAAACACATTTCAACTCACAGAAAAAAGAAAGATTCTATTTGTGAAACGAAGAAATGAACGAAAAAAACAAAAAATCGCTATTGGCACACACTTGTTGTGTACAACTTTGGCATTTACACGGACGTAGTCAAATGATTTTCTGTGGAAACGAACAGTGAAACGGTTAAGTTAACCGTTCGTTGTAAGACAAAATCTGAAATTGCATTCAATATGAGAACAACATGCCATAAAAAACATGATCAATCCAATCAATCCAGACGTAAACAGCAACTGAAGTGAGACGAACACAAGAGATACACAGACAGAGAATCACGGTCGAGAGAGAGAGAGAGAGAGAGAGATTGTGCAAAGGAAAATTGAATGAAATGAAACAGCATGTCGGAAGTAATGTGCTACTCGTTATACACACGCTCAGCTACATGTAATATTCACTTATGCTCATGTTCATATTTGTATGGTTTTTTTTATCATTGAATATTTTCTTTTTTTGGCCCAATTAACCGATACGAAATGAGTGAGAGAATTGGAATTTCTCTTAACCGAGACTATAAACCTAGTGTGCGATGGTGTGCGTGTGCGCGATATTATATGTATATATGTACTTTCTTTCTATAACAAACGGCATTTCATTCATTATTATAATTGGCGATTTGGCGTGTGCCGTTCTTCATATACATATATTTCTTTCTCGGTTGCTCTACCTCCGTGTTCCGCGAAAATGCACAAAAGAACAGGTAGGGGCAAACACAAGATATTCTGCAAGCATATTGAATATACATTTTTTTCTCGCTCGCTTGGTATTCGGTATAGATTCGCTCTACTTTCATGCCGATTACGATATTAGCTCTTAAATGTGTTTGTTGATTGTGGATAAGAAAATCATTGCCGTCAACAACCAGAGAGTACAATACATATATCAAAAAGCAGCCACAATTTATGAACGCTGCAGCGGCGCGCGGCAGCACCTTTGCTTTTTTTTGATACGCCACGCTACATTTATATACACACATCACTAATGGAATTTTATAATTGCCACTCGCACGTACTTTTTTTGCTTTTCTTCTCTACATACTTATGATGGAAAGAGTGAAGAGAATTTCGTGCTCAAGTACCTGTTTAAGCATAGCTCAATTGATATATATATATATATATATATATATATATTATGAAAGGTAAACGCTTCTTTGTTTGTATTTATAAATATGTACGTCTAATGGTTACCATAAAAAATAAATAAATCCGTTGATGTGATTTTGGCCGTGCACAGCAACGACTGGTAGCGCAGAAAAAGAAAAAAAATGTCCCAAGAATTTTTCTCCCGAAAATAGAAACTGATTGCTTTTTCAATGAGCTACAGATTGGAATGAATGTTGTTGATTTTGTGTAAATCAATATTCCGAATGTTGAACTATTCTAAATAATGTTGCACTGACATGAAATCGATAACGATGGGAACGGAAACCATGATAACCCACAATTTTCATGTCATGCCATGCCATGGCATAGGAAAAGTCAAGTGCAAACACTTTCACCGAAGTCATCAAACTGATTTGACATGGGAATAATGTTTAGCCACATTATTATTATCAAAACATATTTTTCGTTGGAATTTGCTTTCGTTCATACACATACACACCCGAAAAATCGAATTACTCGCGATGGGAGTCGTATTGATAATTATTTCCTACTATCTTTGGTTGTTTAACGAATTATTTTGCCTGATTAATCGTATGTGTTTGGAGAAGCATCTATTTTCGCGAGTCAAACAACGGCGGAAAATTTGCACAGAGCACACACGGCCACATATTCGCTGATAATGCAAAGTGCAAACCAATTAACGCAATTTATATACATCGTGTACCGCATTTTTCGTGCTCAATTATTCGCTCGGTTGATTAATTGACAACGTCTTCTTGTATTCAATTTGAAAACGTTTTTTTCTTAAATCATTTCTCTTTCACTTTTCTTTTGGCATGTACACTTTTTTATTAGCATTTTACTTTCTTATTGAAATAATGAAACAAAGGGAAAATTGATTAACATCACACCATTTTCCCCCATTAAATCTCTGTTCATTGTTTCATTTACCTTTTGAAGATTTGTGATTTTTATACAATTTGTGAACGGGATTTAAATGAATTATGGCCAATTGGATAGTAATAAAAATTATCTCTCACACTGAAATAAAACACATATTTACACTAGACCACAACCGAAAAATTGATAAAGAACCGATCTACACTGTTTCAATGTTTGAGAACTCGACACAACCATTCGCAGATTTTGGTTGAATTTTCTAAATTGGATAGCGACTATTTGGTGATTTGAAACGGCGTCTTATCACACAAAAAACATGAAATATACAATACAAAAACGTTGACACTGAATTTACAATACACAATTCGGCGAAAAAAGAAATATACTATTTTTTTTCTTCATCCAAGTTTTAAAACAACTCGACCGATTGTCCGCCCATTTACTCAGCATGAGAGACATACAGCCGAAGAAGAAGCAGTGGAAAAAAATATACACTTTGAGAATGAAGGGAATTTCTATGCACAATTGTTGTGTGTAATACACATCGATGGAGCTATCGAGCGTGAACGAAGTAAGAAGGAGAAGCAATCAATTCGTGTGTGTATAATGGCATATACAGTTTTTTTTTCTTCTTCTTTCGGTTGTTTTATTCTTAAATCACATACTGGTGTGTGTGCAAAAAGAAGAGATATGTACGCGTCTGTGTGTACGAAATGTAGCTTTCAAATCTACGAATGAAGTATGAATCGGTTCAAGTGGAAGTGTCAATTTACGGTTTAAATTTCGATACACTATCAATGAACGTTATACATGCCATCGATTGAAGAACAGGGAAAAATGTGGATAAAACTATGTATCAATGTAATTGATTGCAAATTCATGCTTATCACAATGATTATTCAATCAATATCAGGTATATTGCTTTGTATGAAGATGTATTTACCCCAATTCACCGGTTCATCTGTCACTGACAATAACTGATTGTCAAGTCAAACATTGGTTAACCTAGAACTTTGGATTAGAAACCATACAAAAAATGTAAACAATGAAATTTAATCCGCGAATATTAGTCTCGGTATGGATTTTACTATAAAACTTCATATTAGTATCGATTTTTCTCTTTGTTTCTATTTAAAATAGCTCAAGGTTTTTTTTATTCCATTCGTTGTATTGAATGTTACGAATATAGAAAAATTGAATATAAGTGTTTGGTGTAGTGATGGTTTGTATCACGATTGAAAATACTTTTCAAATAATTTCAGGCGTGGAGTCGTGGTGCCAGTTACAGCACCAAGCCGACGGCACGTCAGGCCGAAATTATGGCTAGAGGTTTGCCCAAACAGGCACCTTTGCCCGGCGTAAAAGATATTGTGGTTGTTGCTTCCGGCAAAGGAGGCGTTGGTAAAAGCACGACATCAGGTGAGTTTATGCTATGAATTCAAAAACAAATTCGAATTGAATTATTCAATTTAACTCATTCAAGTAGATTGATTATATTCAACCATTTGTCTTTTTCATTGACAGTGAATCTGGCAGTTGTATTGGCTCAAATGGTATCACACACAAAATTTAATAACCATAATTAGAAAAACTGACCTAAAACAATTTTATTTTCAAGGGCAAACGCGTTGGATTGCTTGACGCAGACATATTTGGTCCATCGATACCGTTAATGATGAATTTGAATGATACTCCACGTGTTGATGACAAGAATTTGATGATTCCGTTGCAAAACTATGGCGTTAAATGGTGATTTTGCTAACAATAACTTTTGAAAGTCAAAAAAGTAATAAATTTCTGTCTTATTCAGTCTGTCGATGGGATTTTTGATTGATCCTGATAAACCGATAATATGGAGAGGGCCACTTGTAATGTCAGCATTGCAACGACTTCTAAAAGGCGCTGTTTGGGACCCACTTGACATTCTGGTTGTTGATACACCGCCGGGTACAGGTGACATACATCTGTCATTAGCTCAAAATGTACCTATATCGGGAACAATACTAGTCAGTACACCCCAGAAAGCAGCTTTGAATGTTACAAAACGTGGAGCCGAAATGTATCAAACGCTCAAAATTCCATTGATTGGCATAATTGAGAATATGAGCCATGTCATTTGCACCAATTGCCAAGAAAAACTACAAATTTACCCCAACAGCACGGAAGAATTGGCAAAAGATCTCGGCATCGATATTCTAGCTTCAATACCTATTGATTCTCAATTGTCCCAATGTTCGGACTCTGGTATTCCCATTGTTATCAAATTCCCCGATTCAACACACCACAACAGCTATAAAACAATTGCAACCAAGTTGATAAGTTTTCTGGATGAAAGTGATTCGACTAAAAGTTGAGCGTTTTAGATTTATTTATAACATGATTTTTTTTATTTATAAAATAATAAAAATGGCTTTTCCTATAGATTAAGACTTCTTTTTGAGTTTTTTCATTTTTTTGTACGCTTTTTTGAAGCCGGTGTTTCTCTTTTCGGCCAACACCTCCTGATATTTTCGTTTGTTGTACCGTTGGAATTCGGCATCCTCCAACAGTTCGTCGACTAGAGACTTCTTCTTGCTCACCCGTTGACCACGGTCATTGTATTTGTCGAGCGGTGATGCCATAACGGTACCAACTTGGAAGTACTTGGGTAATGTTTTCAAATCGTTTTTCTTGTAGAAATGTGTTGGATTTAGCACCGAACGCATTTGAATAATTTCCAAATCTTGGCGTAATTCATCGGAGACCTCTGTGGCAGGCATATTGAACCAGTTCTTGCCCTTTGTTTTTGATGCCTCAGCCTGAAATTGTAGAAATACACGATGAACATTAGTATCAAACACTTAAGAAATGATTTCATTATTTGCTTGGATATGAATGATCAGATTACTAAAATTGACATCATAAAATCCACAATCAACCGTAGAACGACCCATTTTCGTTAAATTTCCATTCGGTCAGTTTTTGAAATTCGCCAAATGATTAAGATTGATTTCGATCATCGATAGAAAATGATTTCACTCGATGAACAAAAACCAAGCCTTGCATTCGTCAGATTCAAAGAACAAACCACGCGTAGATGTATGGTACAACTTGATTCGAATATCAAATATATGATTGGTATCGTTTGTGTGTACCAATAAAGCCGTTGACCGTATTCATCCGGGAAAATCGAGTAGATTCTCCCTTCCGAAATCGTTTCCAACTTCAACAATGTCTCGCTGGCCTTACAATGCTATCATAATCTCAAAGAAAAGCATCAAGATACAACGAGTGGAGTTGAAAATGAGTTGAGTCGTGCTCTACAGCCGATACGAGTGGAAATGTGTCAGTGTCGCGTGTCACATCATTTCGAAGTTTTTCAATGTTGACATTTTGTGTTCGATATTCACCTTTCTTTGTCGATGTGCTTCACGTTCGGATAGAACTTTCACCTCCCTCTTGGTCTCAATGCCTTTTAGTACACTGCTGCGCATCTCTTTCTCAACATCTGTCTTTGTCAAATCTTTATGTACATCAGTTAGGTCGATATCCTCAATTTCCCAGCCTCGTTTGGTTTTCTTCTCAGGTTTTTTCGGCAAAACACCATTCAAACTCGTCCAACCCATTGCTTTGCAAAATGCATCTAAATCGTCTTCACCTCTTCCCTTTGATTTATCCGCATCGTTGCCGTACAACGGTTTGTTGAATAGCGTTGGCTTCTTCAAAATGCTAATGATATCTATTGGCGGTGGTGGAATGCCTACAATGTGACAAGGTAATGAAGTAAATATTATATTCGCTGTTGAACTAAAACTCATCTGTGAACAAATGCGGCTTTTATTACTAACCTCCATAATCGTAATCCTCTTCGATATCCTCGATGTCATCGTTCTCTTCATCTGCATTTGTCTCTTTCTCACTCTGGTCTTCTTCTTGTTGTTTAGCGGCATTTTTATCATCTAAATGTTTAGTACTTGAATATAACATTTTTGAATTATCATATTCGTTTTGCTCTAAGAGATTTTGCTCTCCAACCGTGTCAACGGTAAAAAGATCCATGTTTAAGCTAGTAATGCTTCTCAACTAGTAAAAAAACAATTTCTTTGACAATTGACACCACGAGGCAAAACACGGACAAAAAATTCCCTCCAGGGATATTTTGAGTGTCAAGCAACGACTATTGCATCTGGCAAAACGAAAATACCTAACTGACACTCAGACTGTCTCGCTTGCCCCACCTACATTGTGAAATGTACAGTCACTGTCTCAGTTTGACTCATTGCGATTAAGGAGAATTGCCAACACTTGAGTTCGTTTCATACGTACGCACGCATACACACACACACGCGCACACAGAGGAAATGATGCCAGTGTGTTGGTGTGCATTTCGACGAATTTACTGCTGTAAATGTGAGCAAAGCGAAGGCGAATGAAGGGAAAGCATATTCAAAAACCGAAGCCATCTATCTCTCGCATACATGGAACATCGCATCGTTTCGGTCGACGATTTTACGTACTCGTTCCACTCTCGCGCCTAGTCGCATAGTTCAGTGTATTTGTTCGAACGCTTCAAATGTGTTTTCATTCTTTTTCGCTGGTGTCTCTCCATCTTTCTTTATTCAATTTATATTTTGTGTTTCCAACAAACGGCACAAACAGCCATACAACGCGCGTACATATTTGTGTAGCGTAATAGCAGAGAGCAGCCATATTAAAGTGAGACAAAAGATTTTCTACAGAAAAACGAAATAAAAAATCATTTCATTTCTCGTACGTATATACATATTCTTTCACCATTTTATTCTATTTTTTTCTTTTTCTCGCCAAAAAACCAAAATTGTGTTGTTTGTAATCAAAATGTAAGCAGCAGAAAAAAGAGCGTAAATCGAAAAGACAATAATCGACCAATATTTTATGTGAGAGTGTAACATTTTTCGTCGCGTTTTGCATGTAATAAACAAAAATTTTACGAAATCAAAATCACTTTTGATCAAATCAAGTTCAATTAGTGGTATGAGTTTCGAGGTTTTTTTTTTAACTTTTTAGCCAATTTTAATAATTTTCCCCATTGGTTTTTGTTGCCTAATATTTCCAGAGACACGTTTGTTTTGTGAATTTATATAGACATGTGTGAATGTGGTTTTGTTTTGGCGTTACATCGAAATCGGAATGTGAATTGTTGGTTTTTTTTGGTCGTCGCTCTCTTTCAATGAGTTCGTTTGACAAAAATACCAAAATACCAAAATCAAAAGTTAAATTTTAGTAAATGGCAAAATAGTTGTTTGTCGGTGATTTTTCGGCAGAATTTCAAATAAATGCATTGGGCTTTGATGTGCATAGTTTTTTCGTTCACATTTTGCCACTGAAAGTCGCATAGAGGATGTAATGTGCGTATCTGTGCGCGTCGTAATTTATTTAAATATCAATTTATTAATGTGCACTATACAAGCTATTGCTGCCGTTGCTGCCGCAGCGACTGTAGTAGTCTGCTGTGGTTGTTGTTGTTGTTGTTGCTTTTGCTCTTTAACTACTGTAATGAGAGAAAAAATAAACACAAATAAATCGACAGTACTGAGTACGCAGAGAATAAAAATTAAATAAAACCGTGTAATGGCCGCAACGTTCAATTAGAATTGTAGATATCTGGTGGTGCGTGTATGCGTAGTCAAAATCGTTTCAAGTGTTTAACTTGATAAAACCCATTTGCTTTTATCTTGATTTTTGTAAATAAATGAATTGCATTTCGAAGCATTTTTCGGTCGACGACAAACACTTCGTTTTGCGTACAATTTTCATCGAAACAAAATCTTACCACCAATCAAGCGTCTAACATAGAGCGCATTTATTCAAAAAACCGTAAATCTTGAAAATTCAGTTCATTAACTTGATTTCAAAGTTCGATTAGTTAATTCTCGGCCAACTTAAAAGTTGATTATAAGCCTTTTAAACGTATAACGTTTTTCTGAGCGCAACAGAATATCAACTGCAGCAGCAACAACAACAACAACTGCACAGTGCAAAATGATCATTTTGAACACCTTTCGCTTTTGCACACTGCGAAAATGTAATCACGTTAAATAAACATGTAAGCTCGCTTTATAATTACCATAAATTATTATTGGTGTCACACGTTTTGCTCAAAGCATATTAATTTGGCGCGCATTTTTCTCTCTGTTTCATATATATATATATATATTCTTATGCTTACACACACTGTACTCACTGATGGATGCGAGTTGCAATGAATATCCATAGCAAAACAAAATCGAAACGATGATGATAACATGTTGATATGTGTTTGTCTATTTTAAATAAATAGCCACAAAAGAGAAAGAGCGTATGATGTGTGCTGTTCATCAGTACAGAAGAAACAAGTAAGACGGTGTCGCGACACACAGCCGAACCGCACACTGAAATGAGAGAAATGTAGAAAAGGTGTGCGGAAAAAGAAGAAGAAAGAAAAAAAAGAGTTGTTTTTGTTTTTCTTTTCTCTCGTCTATTTCATCCACTAAACCATCAATTTCAATGTTTAGGCGCGATTGAATAAGACAGAAAACCAGACACACATTTTTCTTTTTTTTTCGAGGAGAGAGACAGCTCTCGAAAGAAGCGAGAGGTACCGTATGTGTGTTAGGCGCGCAGACACAACGCATAACCTCTAAGACATACGGTTTTTATATCGCTCATCCCATTCTAGCACGAGTTTTGGTTTTCACACACTCGGGGAGAGTGATCTCTCTCTCAACATGCTACGAATCTGCTCGCATTGAAAAGAGTCAAGAATATTTTCGTGCTGTGCCGCCGCATATGAACCTTAGAATACAAACACGAAACGCACAAGCATATATGTGTATCCCTTGCACACCGTCGCCGCTTGATAACGACAAAGAACAATACAGACATTTTTTTAGAAAGAGAATGAGAGCAGCAAATTTTGACACATTGCATGCCATCGTTTGTTTATCATTATTTCCTCGCGCGTCCGTGTGTAGATTTGTTGTGGTGAATTTTCCGTCTGAACTTTGATTGCTGTTATTTTCCCCTTCGCTTCACATAATGACTTCGCTTTGCGATGACAAGAATGTACTTCTTACTATACTTTGCATTCCGTACCATTTGTCTTTCTCTCGGTTTTATTAAAGTTTTCGTTTCAACAACGTTTACGGCCAATCGAAAAATGTGTCACTTCACTTACCGTTTAACTCTAACAATCGAAATGAGTGAATAAGTGTACATTCTAAAACAAACAACATTGGAAAAAAAAATCATACAAAAAGAGAAGGGCATCTTTGAACTGAATATTTCTGCCATCATTCTTATACAAAGTCTTCGAAAGCAGGCCGAAGAAAGAGACAGAAGAAAAAAACAAATCATCAAAACACGACGGCACCGTCTTTTTTAGCGTTCGTTCAACGTAAACACAAGTCCAACGCGCTAAAGAATAAGAGAAAGGCAAAATATAGAAGCACATCGCCTCCTGTCAATGTGAATATGCAAGCGAACATTTTCATTTCAGAATCACAAGAAAGAGACTACACTGTTTTCGCTCTTCTTGTTGTTTCTACTTCTCTATCCACTCTAAGTGACTTGATTTCTGTTCCTTTCGCGTATGAACACTACCTTTTTCGCTTGGTTTCTCTCCCTCTCGTCTTGTATCTCATTCGTAAAAGTTGTGTGTGCTTTCGCGTGACATCAACTCGGCATTTCGTATACACACACGTATTTGTACGTAGGAAAAAAAAAACGAAAAAAAAACGACGAGAAATACATTGCAAAATTGACGTATGTAGCAATGTACGGCGCAACACACAAAATCCATTCAGGACAGAGACACATAAGATATGTATTAATGTATAGTCCGTTTGGCATTCAATTGTACATACTTTCTCGCACTCACTCGAATCCGACCCAGACACACTTAGCAACATGCTAACAGCAGCATTCACACTAACACACACAAAGATGCTTGACACGCTCAAACCATCGTGCATCGCAGCAGCAGCAGCAGCAGCAGCAGGAGCAGCAGCAGCGACGGCAACAGCAACAGCAACAACGACAGAGAGATATATACAGACTGTTCGCTTTCGCTCATATCATCAATTCCAATCCGTTAGAAATTGGGAGCGCGTGCGAAAGAAAGAAATACAAGAAGTGAATGTTTATGTTTTGATTGTTTTATTTCATTTTTTCCTCTGTGCCGCTGCTACTGCTGCTGCTATACTTCACCCAAGTGCCAGCTTTTTTCCACTCTTCGCTCTATTTTATTGTCGTCTTGGTTTAATGGTTTGTTGTTGTTTTTTCTCTTTCACCCTTTGTCAAAGTTTTTCGGTGATGATAAACTTGACTACGGAGATGAGATTTTCGTATGTGCTACAGTGCTTTTGTTGTGCGTGTTTTTCAGATTGGAATATTTTATCGCAACGCTTTATTTATATTTGTTTGCATGAATGATTAACGGTGGATATGGAAATATTTTGTTTTTGTTTAAACTACAAACAAAAATCGACATTTTTGCTGAATTCTTTTCAAATATTTCTTTCTCTTTCATTTTTCAGAAGCAATAAAAGTGAAGTTCACGCAACACTGAACACTTTGCCCGGCTAATGAAAAACACGAAATCACAATGTTAACACCGACATCACAGGTAAATTCAATGTTAGATAAAAAAAAATCATTTTCTGATCAATATTCCACAATTGAGAAATATCTGAATTGAAATAATAAAAAAAATGAATGTTTATTGAATATTTTTAGGGTCATACCAGTACGGTAAATTTGGCCCAACTAACAGACGACACCAAAACATGCTACATCGCCCAACCGTTTGGCTATGCAAATTATGCATTGGTTAACCAAATGCCAATCGGTCAAAGTAATAATGGTTCTTACACTTTTTTATTTTTTTCCTTGTTTTCTTTCAAATCATTTTGTTTATTTTCTAAATGTTCATTAGTAGTTCGGATCTAAAAATGCTGACTGTGTGTATTCTCTTATTATAGCTGCATCGACAGTTGCTGGCATTGCTACGGTTGACAGCAATGGACGAATCCAAGTGGTCAATAAGCCAATCACAAACACCATTTCCAACATAAGCTTCAAGTGCGACGTATGCGGACTGATGTTTTCCCATTTGACGCTGTTGAATCATCACAAGCGGATCCATACACAAGACGGGACGGATGGCACGAACGATCAACAGATTACTGTGGTGACACAACAGGCTGGACAAAACTTAGTTCAAGGTAATAACTTAATTTTTAATGAAAATGGACAAAATATTGGCTCATATTCAAATTATTGCTACCAATGAAGCCATGGACCAGCAAGTGCAAGGAGGAGACCATCAACAGCACCATCACCATCAACAACAGGTAAGCATTTTTTAGATTCTGGTAACACAATTCAGCCATCCGGGGCGTTGAAGTCAAGTGATATCAAACAATATTATCGTTTATTCAGCATCATCAACAGCAGCAGCAACACCATCAACAGCATCACACTGCTCAACAACAACACCATGCCCGTAAGTACTTTTTGTTCGATTTATTTGTCTTCGAATCATTTATAAACGTTTTATTTTTTCTCAATCGCAAATTCCCATCCAAACAGAGCAACAGCATCATCAGCAGCCTCAGCACCAGACGCATATAAAAATCGATAAGACCATAAAGTGTATAACATGCGGTGGTCCTGTACAGCAGAACCCAAAGCGTAAGGGTCCAAAATTGATACGATGCGAAAATTGTATCAATAACGATGTGTCTTCGATAATGACACAACAGCGTCAAACACAAATCTTTGTTGCACCCGATGGTGATGTAAAATTCGAAATGAATCCAGACGCCATGGATGTAATCAACGCACAAAATGTCATCGGTGTCAATCAGGCCGGTACATCACAGCATCAACATTTAAAGCAGCCGAAAATTGAAAATGCCGCTGGTTCGTCAAATCAAGCCGGTTACTATCCGGTGAAAAAGCGAAATATGGCAGCCGTCACAAAATGTCACAAATGCAACGGATCCGGTGTGATATTCATCGGAGGACATAAAAATTCAAAAGTTCCGCCACAGGAAAAGCCTTTCCATTGTAACATTTGCGGTGGTTCATTCTCGCGGTACTCGAGTTTATGGTCACACAAAAAATTGCACAGCGGTGAAAAGAACTACAAATGTTCGATTTGTGGACTTGCATTTGCCAAAGCGGTCTACTTAAAGAATCATTCGCGTATCCATACTGGAGAGAAGCCATACAAGTACGATACAATTGATTAAAATTGGAAATGTTCATTTCGGTTTGTTGGTATTAATTAGCTTGCTTGCACCCTCTCTCTTCCCAATCACACAGATGTCAAACTTGCGGTATGCAGTTTTCTCAATCGCCACACTTGAAGAACCATGAACGCACACACAGCGGTGAAAAGCCATATGTTTGCGAAGTCTGCGACAAAGGATTTGCACGCCACGCCACATTGTGGAACCATCGTCGCATTCACACTGGGGAGAAACCATACAAGTAAGTGTCACTACCCTGTCAAGCCAGGCACTGCTCATCTTTTTGTTGGGTTTTTATGAGGGGATTATTCATGTTGTCTTTTGAAATCTACTTTTTGAATAGATGTGAGACATGCGGTTCGGCTTTCAGTCAGGCAGCCCATTTGAAGAACCACGCCAAGGTACACAGTGGAGAAAAGCCATTTAAATGTGAAATTTGTACAGCCGCCTTCGCCGATCGTTTTGCTTTGAAGAGGCATCGAAGAATTCACGAGAAATATGGTATGATTGAAGCAGTGTCTCTGTGTTATTTGAAGCATTTATTTAACAAATTTCTTTTATGAATCGTTCGCAGGTCAAACAGCACCTCGTCAACCGGCCGTCAATCCGGATGAACAGATGATCGTTCACAAAGAGGAAATCTTGGATCCAGAGGACAATGACGAAAATCAGCAAGTTGTTTTGACTGGCATCTAAACATCATCAAATCAGACAATGGAAACAATAATTAAATCTAAACACATTTTGCGAAAGCCCTGACCGACACAATACATGTTACACACACGGAATTCGGATCGATATATAAAACTAAATGCTAAACCGCTAAAACAAACATTTACTATACAATCCGTGCGATATAGTAAATAACAAACAAATTTTAATACAATTACAAGTTAAGTGAATGAAAAACAAAAAACAGAGCGAATAAAACGCATTCAGATGAAAAACCGGTAGAGCGACCGATTAAAACAGAAAAAAAAACATTACACAAATTAATGTGCTAGCATCCATAGATCTATATAGCATTAAAATAGCGTTAAGAACTTTCTAAAAAAAAAACAACAACTAAACACACCAACAAACCATCAGATTAAAATTATCGTTATTGATAAGGAATTGGTGTATTTCAATAGAAACAAACACACGTACACAGAAACGATGATTTCGTCATTAGTTCGATACTTGAAATTCAAGTAGGGAGAATAAATGGAAAAATTGAAATATGAAGGTTTAGAGGCGAACAGGTGGAACATGTGCGAATCAGATCTATGAGACAAGAATATTTTAACATTGTTTATTTTTATTATATTTTTCTCTTCATTCTTATATTTTCTGTAAAAATAAAACAAAGGAACAATCAACAAACAAACACATACACACACAATAAGTTTGGAAATAAGTTTGAGTTTGTACAAATGGTATTTAGTATGCACCGACAACCTAATTCATCGCTTCATGTAAATCAATTGGAAAAAGTCATTCAAAAATCACCTAACTAGCACCGGTCGAGTGCTATGCCATCGTCGTTGGCAAATAACGATGAATAGATCCATGCCCAACAGAAGACAGAAAAATCTTGGACAATACATTTTCGACATAACCAAAACCACACACAACACACACACACAAACCCACACAAACAAACAAAACATGAAACATTATAGTTTAACGCGATTCGATGCAAAAACAAAAACAATATCCATAGAAATAGTCCAGTTGCATTAATTTGTAAATAAATTCTAAGATTTTTCGATTCATTACTGTACTAACCTTTTAATATTTTAATAAAGAAAATTTAGAATAGCATTGCATTGTGCATTCATTGTGCTCGAGTCCGATTGGATCGAAGGATAATCAAGGGCAATTTATGGTTTGCATTTTTCCCTCCAAAATTGTGTATAGGGTATATGATTCATAGACACTCAAACAGAAAGAGAAAGCGAAATTCATGCTGCGGCCACTGATGTCGCCACTTGTATCGAATGCTACATTCGTTCACAAGTTCAGTTATACCATGCGCATTACAATACCATAAAAAGCCGTGTAGCGAAAACTCAGTGTCAAACATAAACACACTCGCACATTCAGTCACCTGTTTGAAGCTTAGGAGCAAAGAACTCTCTCAATTTAAGAACGTACGTTCTTAAACGGTTTGATTTCTCAAATTCAGTGTGTCTCATCAAACCTAATCCGAATAAGTTCTTTTTTAATAAAAAAAAATACGTCGTAACGAAATGCCACCGCCTAGAAAAAATCCACCGCTACAGAATTTTTCCAAACCAGAAAAAACCCCGCTGCAAACGCTCATGTTTTTGGGCATTTCGAGAGACAGAGCGTAAGTACTAGTACATGCACATTTGACATATTTTTCATAAAGCAATTCGCATGGTATTTTTCATGGTTAAAACGCTTTGACAGTGAAAAGGCTTTAGCAGCCACGGGCAATGGATGTTCAAAGAAAGCGATGAACTGGCTTGTGTCTCATGTGAATGATCCACGATTGGATGAGAACATTTTACGCGAATACACGTTGTTAGCTATGCCGGTCGGAGCATTTGGCGAGCAGCTATTGACTTTCTGGAATGATTCACGTGACCTTTGCAATTGGAACGATGCACACAATCGATTTCCGCATATGACATTGGTGTCATTTTTCAAGGTAGCATTTGTTTATTCCCGCTTTGCATGGGCATTAGTGACCTTTGAGCAATCAATTTTGGATTTTTCTTTCGTTGGGCTTACCAAACCAGGCTTCCGCCGATATGGAGCCGCACATCACAAAATCGGTAAAGGCTGTGGTCAACACACTCAACGCATACATAGAGAAACGAATCGATTTGAAATTGCATCAGGATGAGGAATTCATTGGGTTCTACATCAATCCGCCTGACAAAAAGTTTTTCGAAAACATTGCAACAACATTCGTCGATGCTGTCAGAACGATTGAGAGCAAAGAAAGTAAAGACAGTAAGTCAAATCGATTGCATTTTGGATGTTTTATTGTATTAAAGGCTTGCCAAACTAACGTCAATCACTTTGACATTCATTCAAGACATTGAAGACTATAATCAAGCATCGGCATTAATGGCTTGCTGTCCGTGGTGCACCAGATCGCATTCACCGAAGCGGAGTGCTCCCGTCGAGACAAGAGGGTGTAAGTATTTTCAATTGAATCCATTTGACACATAAATGACGCGACAAATTTTACTGTTTTTCAATCATTCAGCAATCGACGTGGACTGCGAAGAGAAACCAGCACAATTGCATTTGAAATTGGCCTACAGATACGACAAAATGGATTCGATAACGCTGTCTAGTTTGCTTGACCGATTCGAATACGTTGATGCATCAGCATGGGAACTGCGATTGTACTCACGCGATGCTCGCATTGAACAAAACCAGGTGAATATTTGAAATGTCATTCTCAGTCAAGTCATGTTAAATGGAGAACAAAGCACCGTTGACTGAACACTGTGGAGTTGCCAGGATTTGCGTCTCTTGCGCCAACTTTCACACTTTGTCTCCAACTTGCCCTGAGTTTAGAGTCTTTGTTAGCCTAACGATGTTAGGAATTTACGTTTGATATTCACGTTTCTCGTTTCGTTCCGTCATCACTGGCATTAGGTATTCAGAGTAATGACAAATTACCGCGCACAAGTTCACGATGAACTGAATATAAACATTGGCGACTACGTTTCGGCCACAGAAACTGCCGTGAGCAATGGCGATGAAGAAGGATGGATTTATGGTGCGTCACTAACAACGGGTACCTCAGGCTATTTCCCATCGGATCATGTGTTGAGAGCACCCGAGTCCGAAGCATGGAGTTTGCACACACGACTTCAGTTCGTCGGTTCGGGCAAGGGCCGTTTACAGAATGACGAACCATTAGTGAATAACATGCGTCAGCCAGAAGCTTCGCTGGAAGATTGTGCCAGAGCGGCAATCGATTCTTCGGTGAGTTTAACAACATTTTTCAGCGTTTCGAAACAGCTAATATAAGTGAAAAACATATCCGAATTAACAGCGAAAAACCATTCCATGGAAACCGACAATAGGAAAGTTACTCGAACGTCCAAACGATAGTCAGAAATTGCTGATAATGCGACATGCAGAACGTGTAGACTACTCGTTTCCGAAATGGACGGATCAGTGTTTTTCGGAAGCTTTTGGCTATGAACGGTTAGATTTGAATCTGCCACTTGTTCTGCCCGAGAGAAGAGACGGTGAATACCGTTATCCGTGGAAGTTTGATTCACCGATAACGAACATGGGTAAGTCAACATGGCCACACTCAAAATGTGCGCTACATTTACAATTTATTTCGCTTTTTCTTCCACCGCAGGTGTTAATCAAGCATTCTTGACGGGCCAAATGCTAAAGGAACAAGGTGTTTCAATTGGTTTTGTCTATTGTTCACCAGCATTCCGATGCATTCAAACCGCACAGGCAGTACTACAAGGGTTACAGACGCCTGCTGAGGTAAAAATCAGAGTAGAACCGGCATTGTTCGAGTGGTGCGCCTACTACACGGAAATTCCACAATTCCTAACGGTCCAGGAACTTGAGATCGCTGGATATAACATCGATGTAGGCTACGTACCACTTTTGTCTTATGAAGACTTGAAGTATAAGCAACGAGGTGAGAATCTTGATACGTTTTATCAACGAAACCACCGAGTATCCGACTACGCGGTCAAACGTTCCAGCGAAAACATACTAATTGTTGCGCATGCTGCCAATTTGGAGACCAATAGCCGACTCTTGCTGGAAGGACGACCGATGGCCTTACGGAACATACGAGAGCTAATGGAAAAGATTCCTTACGCTAGTATACTAGCACTCGAGAAAAACGAATATTTAGGCAAATGGGTCGTGGCAAAGCCTATTGTTCTGCCTCTAACACATAGCCGAAACTTTCAGTTTGATTCGCGCGTATTCACTGATCTACATCGACCAACTGCTCCTCGTCAAATTTGAGATGTCGTTCAGAAATAATATAAAACATATTTAACAACAAATTTGTATGATCATGTATGATTTCGTGAAAAAGTTCGAATTCTAGGGGGAAAACACATTCAAATATTCACACATATTCGGAACTCCAAATGCAAGTCTTGACTTACCATAAGCCATTTATTCAACACAAAAATGGTTTCCACAGAAATCACTGGATAGCCATCTAGCACAGCTACGAAATGCAAGTTCTGTATTGTGTGAATATTCCTCATTTTCACAACATTATGAAAGTGTTTGTTTCCCCTAGATTGATTTATCATTCGAAGTTGTTTAATCCACTGGCTAACGTGTTGGTTGCCCTTTTTCAGTTTTTTCGCTAAAATTCGAATCAACCGTTACGCTGCGATGATTTCATGAAAATTTTTGTTCGAAGAATATTAACTGCATGATAGTTTATTCGCGCTAGAGACGGCGATTGATAGTTTCGCATAACTGTATGATTTCTAGCAAAATGTTTTCGAAGAATTTTTATTAACGAATTCAACTATTTTTATCACGAATGATATTTTCACTGAATACGCATATAAACGAACAGCATATTCGTATAGAGATTCGTAATTAGTTCAAATTTATGCTCGAAAAAAGAAATATTAAATGAAACAATCGTAGAAAAACCCACTATCAAAACGAAAACCAATCCCATCGTATCCCATCACTGTTCTCAGAAAACAAATATATTTTGTAATCGATTAAATGAATTTGTAGTCAGATCTATAACAAAGAAAGAAACAATTTAGAAATCTATTTAAAGACACAAAATACACCAATAAAAGTGAACCTTCTTTGTTAAGTTTATATATGAAAGCCAGAAAAAAATAGAAGAATAAAAAAGAACAATAAATATCAATAGATTCGAAATAAAAAAAAAATGTTTTTACGTTTTTATTCAACACACATTGAGACATTTTACATATTTACAGAATAACACGTGCTCGATGTGGCACGGCATTCAAACGGAGGCTCGCTTAATGCTCAAATTATCAGTGAGAATTTCGGCCGGATGATATCCTCGATCGATAAGTAGTTCGTGGTTTGCGCAACTGGCTCCGCCTGAGCATGTGCATGAACAAGTGCTTATCTGGTCATCAACATCAGAATAGTAATTGGATTGACTTCCACCAAGCAATTTCCCGGTTGCATAAGGATCATCGTAAGGCATTAGAACGTTATTCGATGCAGATGACTGTGCTTCTTGTTCATCGCGACGATTATCTTCAGCTTGCCTGGAAATTTCAATAAATTTTATCGTGAATTCAGATTTTTCAATCAATATGATTTGGGTTTTCTTTTTCTCCTTGCAACATACATTGTCATGAAACGTAGGACGAGCAAATTGATGGAGGCAGCGACTACGGCCAAACCGAACAGAATGAATACCAAACTCAGGGCCACATAGCCAGGTTTACTCGTCAAAGCGTGGTCATTTTGAAGTGCAACATAATCACCAAATCCGATCGTGGTTAATGTCACAAAGCAATAGTAAAAACTATCGAAATAATTCCAGCCTTCATATCGGGAAAATACGGCGGCGCCCGTAGTGATAATAACTGATGACAGTAGCACGTTGAACAGCATCAAATTCGTCTCAGTTGCCTCCGTTTGTTTACATCGAATGTAGAGTTTCACTCGTTTTATGAACACCGATACGAATTTGTTCAAACGCTCACCAATAGACTGGAACATAACGAGACCCAATGGAATTCCAACCTGTATTTGAATGAAAAGAGACGTCTTTAGCACAATCAAAAATCTCGACTGAATTTATTCAGAACATTACCATTGCATAGCCCATGCAGAACGCCTTCCCACCAATTGTGACTGGCGTAGAGTGACCGTATCCTATCATGGCCAATACGACTGTTGCAAAGTAAAATGCACCCGCAAATTTCCACTGTGGACCCGCCTTATGGGGCTTATTTTCGATTACAACTATTTCCATCATTCGATAGTCTTCGGCTGTTATATTATACTTTCGAACAAATGTATTCTTTATATCTGCAAATATTTTTCACCCAAAAAAGAAAGAAAATTGTCAACATTTTTTTCTCAACATAAATCACCAACAAAAAAAAAATCGTATTTATTCAATCGAATAAAATCACTAACTTGATAAGAAAGCCCATCGTTTGCTTTCAGTTTCCGATTCGAGTGCATCAAAAACGGCAGCACCAATTAATAAATACGTAAATGTGCACACAACGAGTGACAAAGTTCTCACATTTTGCCGTTTCATTGTGCAAGATGTCAAAATATCAATCACACTATCACTCCCTTTAGGAAGTCGCATTTGAAGAAAATCGAACGCAAAAAATTAATCGATCAACAGAAATGGTTTGCATTGAACGTGCGTTTTTTTTTCTATGTTGGCCCAAAATCTAAGCTGCTGATGTCCATGTTGGCTGACCAATCGATATAATTTTTCACACAAAAAGTACACACACTTGATAGATAGAATTTTCTTGGGCCTTTTCAAGTGGAGTTGATATGGAATATATCGCTATTCGATTCAATCACAAAAATTTCTAGTACTTTTTTAATTGAATTGTGTTATCGTTTTACTTTTCTCTCTCTCTCAGTTTAATTGTATTTTATCGATATAAAGAAAAAAAAATGTTTCCAATTTTATCATAGACGTCTCGTAATTAAAGAACTAATTTTCGTTCCACAAGATTTTCTGACACTTTATGATGAAAAAGCTTCGAGAGTGTCTGATTATATGGTCGAAAAATTGAGTTTACCCTACTCTAGTGGCGAGAGCAAAAGAGAACACCATAGTCAACAGATATGTTTGTTACATCTTACAGCATGGATGCTCGCAGCATCTACCCCTCATCCCAGCATGTGTCATATGACAGCAAATGCATGGAAACGTTCACACTTAAGGGAAGCAATCCCTGGACACATGACATGTTGCGCGTCATACTGTATCAATTTTGGAAAATGTGTGTTTTATTTGCATATTGATTTTTTCTCTCACTTCTTCTTGATGTCATACCTTCAGCACATGAGAAGAGAAATACAGCGAATGTTTCTTGTTTTAGTAATTGATATTCATGAAAGTTTTATTTAAGATTTTTCTATATTTTTCTTGAGATTTCATCTTGAGCAAAAGAAACCGATTTGTATATTATAACGGGTCTATAGACCAACTTATGCGCAGCTTCAGAGTAAGGACACTCTACCAATTCATGCAATCCATATTATAGCTTCGAGTTTAGTTAATGTATCCCATTATGGCTGTTTGTTTTCTTTACTGGCCGTACTTGAAGGCTTCTTCAGTCCGATGCCCGACTGTAACACAAAAAACGGAAACACCTTAATTTATCTGATTCATGCAAAACTGTAAGGAAAAAAATTGTATTACCATTCTTTTGAATTTGCTTAGTCCGCTGGCTAACGTTTTTGTGGCATTTTTGATGCTCGAGACCGTTTTACCACTGGAACTAGGATCCACGGTTACGCTGTTATTCACTTCGCTGCGGTAGTCTGATAAGGTTCGGCGCCGATTCTGTCCACTGCTATATGCCGCTTGAACGGACGGTTTGGGTGGTGTCATAGTCAGATATGTTCTATCCTTTTTTAAACTTGGAATTGGCGACTCAGCTGGTAACTCTGATCGTTCTGCTAAAGAGCCTATGAATCATGAAAAAAAAATTAGAATTTGGTCAAACAAATGATTCAGAAACCAAATCGATGGTTCGTACCTGTTTTTATGTTAGCAGTAGGAGACTTGGACAGAACGCTTCGTGGTGTGCTGGTGATAAGAAAACTTCCCTTGTTATTGTCAACTGATGCAACTGTCTCATTGATCAAAAGCATAGATGCGACACTCTTCATTGGTACAAAGGCACGTAACGGTGCTGTTGATCGTCCACCCACCGTCTGTGACACTCGGATTTTCAAATTCCGTGTAGCTGGTGGCACTTGAGGTTTTTTCATTATGCCATACGATGTTCTCAACTTTTGCGGCGAGTCTTTCGTGGAATTCGTCAAATCACTGGCGAATGATTTGCGTCGCGTTAAAGTGCCAGTTGTGCTGGATTGCAAACGTAACGGTGCGTTCGGGCGATTCAAATTTGAGTTGAGGCTTGGTTTTGGAGACGGTGATCGTATACCACCAGTTGTGGATATAGGTGGACCTTGAAAAGATCGTCTTCTTGCAACTGGATTCAATGGTTTCATTTGGGCGGGTTCGGACTCTTTTGGCGTTGGCTTTGTATTAACCATTGTTGGGCCTTGTAGTGAACGCCGACGGATGACTTTTGCTGCATCTGCCTTGACCGGCGGAATCACCGATTTAATTTTCTCATTTTTCGGTGTCGTTCTTGTGATTGTGCCAAATGAACTGCGTCTTTGCAGTGGCGGACGTTGTATTGGAGTTGTCATTGGTGTGGATTGATATGGTGATGGTTCGACTTTTTGTTGAACAGCACGAACAGCTGCTAATGGTTTCTCTTTTGCCGACAGTGATTGACTACGAGCACGTTGTAAACGTTGAAAGTCACCATTCTCGCCGAAATCTGCTACTGGTTGTGTCATGACAACAATATAAGTGGGATTGGCAGCATTTGCTGTTGTATTTTCCATCGGTTGCAGCACATTGACATTTTGATGTGATCCGAACGCGTTTTGAATTTGTTTCATAACTTCCGACAAAGCCGGATCAATCGGACTTATTTCTCCATCAGCTTTGATACTCTCTTTTGAATACTCGGTGTCAGTCAGCTTACTGTCATCAACTGTATCGTCGGCGTTTTTCTCAATGCTAAATGTTCCTTGTCGCTTAATTGGCTGCGGTGGTCGTAGCCCAATCAGACCGTTACGCCTCTCTTGGTTATCGTTCCCTTTGTTTGCTGTTTGTAGAATTGAACTCAAATCATCCAATAGGTGTTTAGCTGTGGACTGTTTATTTTTATCATCGCATTGATCAACCAGTTTCATCAAGTTTTCTATTAGTGAATTTCGATTGTAAGCCGACGATTCTGGTGGCAGTACCACCGTTGAATATTGACTCTTCGGTGTGGCTGGCTCATCTTCAATGGTGGCTGGCGCTTGAGTGCACGTAATATCAACAGTTTGACTGTGAGTTGGTGTCGTCACTGCCACCGTCGACGTGTCGATTGTCATCGGTGATTGTGGAATTTTTTGTTTAATTGAAGCTAGTTTCTCAAGTATTTGACTACGATTCACTGCCCTGGATTCAACTGTCTCTTCGCTTATTTGATCACCTTCTTTTGATGTTGATTTTTCGCCAGACTTTGAGCCATTTGTCGGAATATTCAACATTGGAATGTTCAATTTTGCAATATCATTATCAATGTCGCTATCAATGTCGATGTCAGTTTGGGAATCGATTAGATTTGGCTTTGTCGCCCAAATGTCATCGAACGAATCATCTTTGCTGGACTCACGCTGAGCCGTTGGCCCATACTTTTGCTTCTTTTGTACTATTTCATCTCCGGATAACAACTCATCGCCATGCGATCCACTTTCTCCAGCCAAATCCAAACGGGTATTTGATAAACTATACTTCAGTAAATTGAGTGATGTACTTTTTGCTTTGCCGCGTGGTATTGGCGAAAGGTTTTTCAGAATAGGTGGTGTTATTTGGACGGAATCATGTGTTTCACTGGATGGATTCGCCTTTTTGGGCGTATCAAATTCTGCTTTAGAATGTGGTTCATTTCCCGATTCACTCTTCGAAATGATTGGTGATTCTATCGATATCAGTGTTCCAGTCTCAACGTTCAATAACTCGGCTTCGGCTGGTGCACTGGACGAAATTAGAGCTGCATTTACAACAATCTCAAATGGATCGTCCGACAGGCAGGCTTGTTTGTCAAAGTGATCAAATGGATTATTATCATCTGCATCGACTGATCCGGAATTGAGCAATTTGTACAATGGTTCTGATGAACAAAGAAACGCCATCGATTCAGATGCTGCTGTTGTCGATGCATTATTTTGATCCAACGCTACTGACTTATTGGAATTTTGATTCGACCAATTGCTACTAGAAGACTCATCATCCACATTCAGATTGTTGAAATCGATTAATAAATTGTCCATGTTCGCCTTTTGTGTCATTTAAAAACTCAAATTAAACCTGTTGAACATTCGGAATGGAAAAAAATGCATATCAAAACAACAATACTTTACATTAACAATGATAAACACTTACACTCAACTGACACCACTTTAGATACAACATCAAAAATATTTGATAACCAATAGAACAATAACAAAAATATCACAATCGTTGCTCGTCAGAAATAGTTTCAATCAGAAATATATATAAAAAAAACAGTGTGTAAATGTAAGTACAAACAGAGCTGAGTGGATAACACAATAGCTCTTTTAACTGTTGGGATTTGAAATGTCAGAGTAAAAATGAAAAGGTGTACACATCAAAGTGAAGTTGGTTGCGAATGACAACCGATGCAGGTTTGAAATTTGAATGAAAAATCGGTTGATATCAATTCAATATTTACATTTTATTACACGAATGTATTTTTTTTACACAATTAAATGGCTTTGTCATGCTATCACTATTATGATAGTGATATCCTAATTTCTAACATTTTTATGTGATATTCTGAGAAAAATCCAATACGGAATCATAATGTTGAATTATGTATTGTAAAGAGTTCTCTACTTTGAATAGTGTATAAAATGCCCATTCACTTAAATTCCTTTCTTTATTAATTCAAACTCACGGATGACTCATTCGTTTGGTTAGGACGGTAGAAATTGAGGGAACAAAAAATCAACAAATGGCCATCAATAAAAATTCGCCCAAAATGCAGCATAAATCCATTAATTTTCAACAAATTCGTCAATGCACCATTAAAAAAAGCCGATGATGGTTATAAAAAAAAGGAGAATCAGAACCATTTTTTGAGTGATTTCATTTTCGATTCCTTTTTGTGTTTGCTTTCCATTCACACCGTACGTCTGACAAGGCAACCGCATTTCTTTCTTTCATTCTTACTTTGCTCTCGTTCTTTTCTTCGTCGTTTGGTTTGTGTGTACCCAATATAGTCGGATGCAGTGCAAAATCGACAACCTACAATTATATCGGTCACATGTATTTCGCCTCTCTGTTTATGCAGATATACACATATACTTCAGGTCAGCAAATTGCTGTGAAACATTTACATGCGCGTACCATCACAACCACTGTACGTATTCATACGGCATTAGTGTATATAATAGAATTCACCTTGCTTTCGATTCGTTTTCTTTGCACTTTTTTACTGAATTCGAAATTTATGTAACATTTGAACCGCACGAATTTTATACATTGAACGATAAAGAAACAGCAGCAAGAACAACAGCTAAAATATCGTCATGTTTGAATTCCTGTCCGTTTTTTTCTCCCGCGGACGACAATGAGAGCTACGGGCCGATAAGAATATATTTTAGCAGCAACAAGTGAACAATTTGCCGTATTAACATTTTTGATTATTGCTTCATTGCTATTCGGACGTTCGTGATTTGTTTCTTTTTTTTTCGGTTGGTAAATTGTTCTTTTCATTCTGGTTGAGCATTACATGTTACTGAAGTGCCTCGGGCAATTTTTCGATTCAGATATAACGAGAAATTCTGAATGTACAAAACAGTGCAAAAACACTGAATGGAAGAAAAGCAAAGCGATGCGAGAGAGTGAAAGGGAGTGAAAGAGATGGAAAAAGGTAGAAAGATGCTTAGAATGGAAATAATATCATTTTGTGATTGGTATTTATAGCCAGTTGAATGCCACACAAACCATTAGACATCACGCATCGGAATGTGGGCCAATCGTTTCGTTTCGACGGCAATTCATTTAATAGTTGTGTATATGATGCTCATTCTATGCCGCAATCTCATAAATTTCAATTTCCAACGAGGTTACATGCTTTCGACAATGAAAGGGCAATGCGCGTATCAAATGATTGAATGGCAGTGATCGTTTCAAAATCCGGAAAATCCCCGAAAGTCGATTAATTTTCGATCTATCTGTGAAGAAGGTAAAACCTCCTATCAAGACAAGAACCTGAGCTGTGCGCGCGCACACACACACCGTGAAACAAAATAGTTAATCATGAGAATTGAACAAATTCCACTTTTACTGACTCCGTAATCATTTTCACGCCGTGGCGCACACAATCGAATGAATGATGGTTTGTGTAACGTTAAAAGCATATTTGGTTTCTTTCAACCTAGTTTCGATTGTCATAATTTCTATGTTTTGCCGTCGGCTTCCACCGTGCTATTTTCCATGCACATTGCGTGGGAATACATATTTAGCATTTTTCTCTTCGTCTACAATGACTGAATTTTTTCTTCTCTTCGGCCAAGATCAACACCACACGCAATCTACGTAAGAAATCTATGGTCAAGCGTCGGATTTTTGTTGCCGTTGTTGTTGTTGACATAACGCGAAGATGCGGCAGCAAAAAAGCAAAATTGAACAAAAACATAGCGACGAAGCAAAGGAGGGAAAAGTCAAAAATCTTATATTGTATTGCCGAAATGAAAAGACTACGTCGCAGCGACAGCAAAGCAGAATCAATGATGAAAAGAGCAAAAATGTTAAACACAGATAAAGACCATTATTAATAGATCTCTTTCTCACTCTCGTCATGTCTTTCTTCCTTACCTTTTTACCGCATTCAAATGATATTATAAAGAAATAAATATGTATTAATTGAGAAACGGCGTTGGGTTCAAGCCCTGGTTCATACCTCAATACCTTACCTTTTACTTATTAGCTTCTCGGAGACAACAGCTTCATAAGCGTTTCATCAATGCAGTCTTTCGTACATCATACACAACACACACACACGGACTGTGTGTATGTGCAAAGACACGAAAATCCCCGGAACCAAATAAAAAAAGAATAAAAATTTCAAAAAAAGATGAAGAAAACGACGAAAAAAAGACAAAAAAAAACGCCAAAGTTGAATAAAAGCAACAAATAGAAGAAAGAATGAAGGTATACAAACAGATACAGAGACACACAACGATCGATTGAAACCAGTCAGCTTAAGCGCAAAGTTGTATGAACAGAACCATGGAGGATCATTTCGAGCGCATACACTTGCAATGTTAACGGCTTGTTGTGCAAAGAACTGAGCACACATTGAAAATTCATTGTGGCCAGTTTTCTGCCTTATTTCAATTTAGCATTTACTTTTTTTTCGTGTCTCTTGGCTTGGCTCTCCTTCTTCGTCTTCCTCGTCAGATCATTTGGATTGTGTGGTTTTTGTTGCTCGCTCACATGTCGACATCGTCTCAACATGCCAATGATGGCGTAGTAGTGGTGTTGTTGGTATTGTGTGCACTCATATGGTGAAAATGAAGAGAAAAAAAAATAGTGTATCGTATGCGGTGAGAGAGTTTAAACATGTATTAAGGCATATACATGTGTGTGTGTATGTATGTTTTAAACTCGTGTATAGCACACTTGTTAATGTGGTTGTGTTTGTTGTTTGGTGGCTACACATTTCTTTGGCTACGCTCTCATCGTGTAGGAAAAAAGTCTAAGTCGATTTTATTAAGTGAAGTCATTCCGTTCAGATCGGTCGCGTTTCATACACACAAATCTGCATTCTGAACGAGTTGCTTTTATTTTATCACATTAATTAGAAACAACAATAAAAAAAGGAACTATTTCACATGTTTGTGTCTCTTTACACACTGTCATTGACTCTATTTTGAGTGCGAATCACATAAATTTTACCTTTCAAAACAGCTGCACAATATTCCATAAGTGTATGGTGCAATATGAACACTTTTCAATTGGAATTTAATTAAAACCATGATGGTGCTACTTTGATAGTGGGTGAAAATTGTGCTGAAAAGAATGTATACAATGTGCTAGAAAGGCGACGTGAAACTGAAACTGTTAATTTGTGACTATCGATTGGCTTCATATATGTAAGCTTGTAATCAGATGTGTGCTAATCAAATATCAAATTACTGTTAAATCCATACAAAAATTGTGTGTGTGCGTCGTGTGACGGTGCTTCAACCACATTTTTTCGACGCTTTTCTTTTGTGTCGAATATTTTATGTAATTACGAAAATCGTGCAATGTTACATCATACCATTCAAACTCCTTGGCTACGAATTGATTGAAGTTTGATTTGCAACACCCTTTCTACAATCATCAGTCATCGACCAAAAGCAGCAAGACACTCAATCAAACTACGTCGGACAACGGTTCGTTTATACCATGCTTTTTTTGCTTCTTGCATTCGTTATACATTCATTATAAATTGTCTCCGACTCTGTTCATTCCTATTTCAACTGTAGCAATTGTTATTATTTTGTTTGGTTGATTCAGTAAAAGCGTTTCGAAAATCAATTTCGATCTCATTTTTCGAGGCGTTGAATGTTTCATTTTTTTTTGCATAAACACTTATGTTCCCATACAGCAACAACCGTGGCAACTGGCAATTGTGTAACGATCGATTATTCTATTTTTTTGGGCAATTCATTGCTTCGAATATATTTAAGGAAACTGGCGTTTGTTTTTGGCCAACGAAATATGAAATGACGCGATTGCGCAAATACACATAGCGCCCATTGTTATGGATGCGAAACTGAAGATACAAATCGTACGTGTATCTAAGCAAAGCAGCCATGGTCAGAATCATGTTCGATTCAAATCTACACTATTTTGTTGTCATTAATTTTAGCGTAAATTATTTTTCGGACTACAACGTTACCATTCCTTTTGAAGTTTTGCTAAATTTCGTGCTCGAAGTTCACCGAAGAGAGATAGAGAAAGAAAAACGAATCATTTCGACCTTATGATTGGTCGGACGAGCTCTGTTCAATGGATCATTTTGGTTAATCTCTACATCGGACACATTTATTCCTATAATGGGTTATTTCATCATCATCGCCAATCGTCGTAGTCATCGCCGTCGTCGTTAGCGCTATATGGACTGCTTTTAATTATTTGCTTTGCTGTTGCTTTGTTTCAATCCACAATTTGAGTCCGATTTCTTCTGACTAAGAGCTTTGTTCCCTCGCATATATTTACTTTTCGCTCTCGCAAATTCGCACATTTGTCGCTTGCTTCATTTCATTTTCTCAGTTCATTTTTCATAATTCGGCGTTGACTTTATCGCCAGCTGCCAGTTTCACGCACAAAATGCAAAAATGATATTTCTTAATTTCGTACATATGATTTGTGAAATATTTATGTGTATGGCTAAGATGATTTTCTTTATTTTGCTTCCCTTTCAGTCATTCAGTCAAATGCACGTTTTCAGTTTTGTTTAGTCGTTGTTTTTTCTCTTTCTCTCTCGATATTTTCGAAACAAAATGTTTATTATAATATGAATTTTGTTATGATTTTGCCTGCACTCTACACAAATTATGTGCCAGTGCAGTAGCAGCAGTGTACTCACAATAACAATAATAATAAGCGGTAGCGCGTAATTATTTGAACATGATTTTCATAATCAAACATTTTAAAGAAAATAAATACGTAGTAAAGAAGAAAAAAAGCGTTTGAAATCAGAAACATATATATGAAACAAAAAAGAGCAACTGAAACAAATGAGCGAAGTTCATTCTGTTGTTCGCCAAGCAACCATTCTAATGGAAGCTTGGGGAAAATGCGAAATAAATAGGGGCACCTCATGAGTGTGTGTGTGTGTGTGTGTGTGTGCACGACTGAAATGTTCATGTTGCAATTGAATATTTGGTTGATACACACAGTACTTTGTGCCGTGTTACTGTTGAGAGTTGCTATGTCTATTTGTTTCAAACATCATTTTCACGTGTCTCGAATCGCTTGCGTACTTTTTCAATGCACTAAAGCAAAACGATTTTCTCTGCACGCCCAGCGACACATAATATATGATTTGCACAAATGAAGCGATTAGCAACCTTTATCAAAAACGCAATTGTTAGCTGGTTTCATTCGTATTTGCGAGAGCGTTCATCGGCACGGTACAGTTGCCATTGTTATCGCCTGCACTGCAACAAACGTGAAAAAAAAACAACGTTCATACCAAGACCAAGTGTACACACAAGGCAGCGGCCTGTTAACAATTTTGCATGGAATGTTTTTTTCTCCATTACCACAATGGAGCCTTTGCGCTTCAAAGACTCAAATAAAGTCGAGCATATTGGCGCGCTTACATTTGGAAAAAATTTTTTTTTTCGACGAGAGAGTAAATGAAACACCAACGTGAGCTACACCAAAGGTTGTGAGTGCGTGTTTGCATGAAGTACAAACCAGAAGAATTCGAAACTGTTGTTTTATTTTTAGCTGAATTTTTAATCGTGTTTCACTACATTTTACCTTGAAATCGAAAAATTGACAAAAGAACACCAAACGGGTCAATTAATTACCAGGCTCGACAAATTTGCCCATACAGTAAACGCAGTTGAAGGCATATGGTTTTTTGTATTGGCCGTTTTTTGTTTCTGTTGTGTCACGACCTCCTGTCAATGCGTTGCCATGGCAAAAATATACACATCGATTTAATAGATTCGGTCGATTCAAAACGCTAACGATACCACGACCCAAAGATTCGACACACACACAAATTCGTTGGTGAACGTGTGAGGGATTTACATTGAATGTTATGATTTGAAGAAAATTGACAATAGTTATTGACAAGCAATGAAAAAAAAGGTCACATGTACCACATTCACCAATCAGTGAGTTTCGAACAAACGTAAAGAAAAAAACAAATTGAATAAATTAAAAATTAAAATCATTTTTTTTCCTCTCGTCGAAAATTGAATTAACTCCACGAAGCAGAACACACAAATTTTAACTGCTATAATCTGCCGCTTTATTTTAGTGATGTCATTTCTTTGGTTTTAATAAATTGTGCGAATGACTTTCTTTTTGCTTGGTGTGTTTGCTGTGCGTCACTTAAGACGATTATACAACGTCCAAAAAAAAATATTGTAGACATGCGAAGCCACAAAATTCTTAATGACTTTTGAGCGGTTGATTTTACGATCGAAACAACAAAAAATACGTGTATATTTTGTGGCTAACAGTGCGGTCCGTGGTGTTACTTCATCAATGGTCTGAAATTCCCAGTTGGTATTATTACTTCATGCACAAAGCTTCTTTCCAAAAATGTGTTTAATTTGCTCATTTGGTATGTTGAAGTAATATCAAGCAGATCTCGAAATCAAAGCGTTTTTTTCGCGTTCTAAAATTAAAATCTTTCGTGAAATTTTTGCAAATTCATTCATCGTTTTCTTTTACTTGAATTATTTGCAGAACTTGATCAAAAATAAATGAAAAAGAGAACATGATCGCCAGTGTTCACTGTTATAAATCTCCATCCATTCGGTCGTGTAGGTGGAGAGAACCGTTAACGAAATAGCGATCGATCATCATTCGGCATCGATTCACCAACAATTAGCATATTTATGCTAATTTCTCGTACATTTACGTTTTCGTACATCGGGTACCCAATACAAACAAGACGATTTTAAAACTTGAACAGACGAAGAAGAGAAACGAAATTCGCGTGCAATGAGAAGCTCTCTCGCTGGCATAACTGGAAAATAAAGAGAGTAAAATGCAAATTCGAAGTTAGACTGTAAACGAGTTGAAATATATTCACCGAGTAAACAGAGGATGAAATGTTTTTTGTTTTCTCTTCTCGGATGAATAATTATTATTGACTCAGTTGGTTTGAGTGTAACGTTACATGGAGTGCGCCACAACATTATTATAAGATCGAATAAAGTGCTGTGCAATCGATGAACAACAACAGACTGCAACAACAACAATTTTTGAGACGATGGGGATGACTGGGAAAACAAGAGAATTTAATTATTATTCCGTTTTCTGCAACTTTGTCACGCATATTCTCATCATCATTTAGTATTCAGTGGTATGTTTAGCCGTACAGACCGTGTACTTGATCGATTCTGAAATTTCAATTCACTCTTCCATACATCAACTGACTTCGTTTTTTCTCTCTGCCGATGACAAAACGTGAATTGAGGTTTCAACGTGTTTTTTTTTTGTTCGTTTCGATTCGCCATGCTTTTCCGTGTAAATTCCTATCGGAATTGACTTTGAGTCGTTGTGTTGTATTTTTTTTTTCATTGCGTTTTCGTATTGTGCAATCGAAAGAAATTGTCAACGATTAATTTCAAATTACAAAATAAATAGCGTGTGTTTAAATGTAGTACTGAACCTTGGAATGGCATCGTGATCGAACAGAAGAAATTAAAGCACACGAAAAAAAAGCAAATCGCCGAAACGAAAAAAAAGAAAGAAACGAAGAAAAAAATAGCGTCAAGTTGAACGGCGACGGTGCTGTGTCGAAACAGCACGTAATTGGCCACGAAAAATGAGAATAATGTTTACGTCTCAGTGAATGTGAGTACAATTCAATTCGATTCGATTTCGACATCGCGAACACGCCACGCTACTCTCTGTAGCCAGGATGGAAGCTACACACGTGTGTATCATGCCCATCAAATAAATTGATGTTTTAACTTTTGTGATAAAATGAAAATGAGTGTTCATTATCGGCTCACCCGGCCCGATCAAGATTGTGAAATTATTGTCTGTGTGTTTCTTTCTTTATTCTCACCAAAGATCCATCCAGATTCTGTGATGACCATTAAATAATAAATCGTTGCGTTAAACTTGTTCTAGATTTTCTGGTAGATTGAGATTCAATGCTGCCATCAAGTCCATTAAACAAATATATATGAAAGGCATACACCCGGATCCAGAAAAAAACAGTAATCATGAGCATTTCATCTATCATAATTTTTTGATGCGTGTTCCGCGCAACAATTGTATGGTATTAATAGTGGTATTTTAAGAGATGTGATCATTGGCCAATTGTTGGTTTCGGGCAAATGCCGCGAAGCATCGAAGATGAGAACAGAAGATCGCGCTTGACAGCTAATTTCTTGAATTGTTTCTGCGGCCTTTGTTTTGAACGCAAACACACACACACAAACACGCAGTCAGCAACACTTTGCGCATATAATTTCATGTAAGTTCGTGGCTGACTTTTACCTCGCTTTCTTCGTGTGCCTTCTTTGCTTTCTTCAGCCGAAGCGACGTTGGACTGGAAGTTTGCTAAAGTCTAGTTTTTCGGTGAATGTCAGAATGCAAGTCATTTGAGAAGAAAGAATCGAAAAGAGAACCGAAAACACAACAAGCGTATGTATGTATTCAAATATTCGGGATTGTTGTGCGTGAGAGCGATTGAGTGAAAGGGAGACGAGATATGTCCACAATGGAAACGAGAATAATTGCCGCGTGAATTGATACTTTGATAATTGAAATGTGAGCGATGACGAACGAACGAACGAAGTAAGATATGACGCGCGCGCGCGAGTCGATCGTGATAATGATTGTTTGAAGTTGGCAAACACAGACAGGCCAAAAGAACACGCAACCGCATGTTAGTCGATTCAAGAGATAATACCAGTTTCTTCTTCGTTGTTGCTTTTTTTCATCAACATTCTCTGCTATCTCTCACTCGACAATATTGTCATTTACATAAAATGTGGGAATTTCAAGGAAACACACTGCCTATGTAATCAAAAAAATATTTTCCTCGTTGTTTTTTCTTTGGAAAAAAAATTCCTTAAAATATGTTCTTAGTTATGTTATTGCATTTGCGTAACGGTGAATATGGAATTAGAACGTATGCTTCGTCTCTCGATCAAATTCCAAACGTGCGCTCCAAACAGAACAATACGTACGTAACAACAAAACCAACAATTTCATGTTTAATAACCACATCTGAAATTAATGTCAATAGAAAATAGACACATGTATGGATGTCTACTTAGAATCGCAACCGGAGGATAGAACGTGTTGTCAACGATTTGAAAGAAAGCGCGGAAAACGGAACACACAATTCGCATTGAAGAAAAAAAACACGCTTTAGAAAAGTACAAAAAAATCATGTGCTTAGACGAAAAAAAACGATGGAATAACTTAACTAGCTTCTATTATTTGAAGACGCATGAACAAAAGTCACAGATGCGACCGAAAATAGTACTGCTCTTCGTTCAGTATTCTCTTTTGGTTAATTCATTTCGAAGAATATCATTCCAAACCATGGTTGTTTGTACAGTGTCGATGCAATGTTGCCCAGTTTAACGTAGTAACCGAACATAAAATAAAAGTTTAAAGCATTCTGAGGTCGACGAAAATTCAATAAGATCATGCAAATGATGTTATTATTTCTTCAACAGAACAGAACAAAACAGAAAAACCCAAACAATAACAATGCAATATTATGAAATGGACGACATTCCAGCTAGAGTGAATGGTACGAATAGAAAAAAAGAATCAAATTAATGAGAAAAGTATAAAAAACTAGCCGTTTGGACGATTTGAATTGCCCAGAAATTGACTTGCAATGTATTATTTCGTTTTGTTTTGTTTTTTTCGTGCGCCCACTTGCAGTTAATCTCCCTCTCTTTTGCTGCGTCTCTCTCTCCAGTTTCAATTTATTGTAATTGTTTTCGTTGTTGCTGTTTTTTTTCTGAGTAATTTCATTTGTTTAAATGAAGGTCAGCTTAAATACATGGAATGTCCGTATGCTTCTCAGCTACACACAGACTGATGATACCACAAGTACCAAATTGGATTTGGACTTGGAAAAAGAAGAAGTGCCGCGTCGAAAGAGAAAGATGATTTGAATAAATGTTTATTAGTTGAATGTGAAATTTTTTCCTCTTAAAGAGTAAACCAAATTTGAAATGAACAAACACAATTCAAAGTCGTTGTCGTTCGTCAGTTAGACAGTAAATATTGATGGGTAATGAGGTATTATTGAGGAATGCATGCCCGGTATCGATTCTTGGTTTACTTTTCTTCCCATCCTCTTCCGAACATTCAATTACTGTGATGATCGTCAGCGAGAAAATAACAGCAGCATCGACAACCGAAATGGCGACGGCTGTTGCAATCGTGCATATTGCATTAACCCGGGTATTATTGTTTGAATGCCGACTGATTCGGGCGAGAGACGACACCCATAAGATGAGCAGCAATAACAAATGTAATGAACAGAAAGCAAAAATTGATGATTGCGTGAAAAGTAGCCACAATGAAATGAAAAAACTTGTAATCGCTACTCGAATCGACAAAAAAAAACACGGAAAATCAAGCGCGATCTTGTTCAACTGTTCATTGCCCAACCGCGATCCGATTACTGTGCGAGGCCTTAAAGCGAAATTTAAATAAGCAACATTTATAGAGAAAAACATGAACAGAATGAATAATTTGTGTGATATAGTCGACGTAAGACGGTACGGTTTGGATTCAGAAAACACTGAAACAGAAACATGGAGAGGAAATAAGCAATCGTTTGCTGACAAAACGGCGAAAGACATTAGTGAAAAAAAAACAAAAGAAAGAAATAAATGCATACATTATATGAGTGTGTGTGTGTATATGTTTGGAACCGAGTTTTTGGTTTCATCGTATGTACAACTCTCTCGCGCCGTCGAGATGAAGAGAATTCACTTCTAGGCTAATAGTTTCAGTTTCTAATTCTATGCCGTTTTTATGTAGCCATTTAATCGCTGGTTCGTTCACTTTTTCGTTCGTCTTCTTCGTGTTTATTAACGATTTTAAAGCCGCCACTGTTGCTATTGCTGCTGCTGCTGCTGCTGCTGCTGCTGCTGCTGCTGCTCATGTGCTCAACCGAATGCGATTTTCTGGTTTCTTTTTTGTTCAGCATATTTGTAGTTTCACTAAAATTATGGAAATTGGCGCTCCGGTTTGTCCGCTTCAAGTTTGTGCGGCTGCTGTTGGCTTAACCGAATAGAATAGAAACTTGGAGAAAGAGGGAAAAATTAATGGAAACGGGGTTAAATGTGTGTCATCTGTCACAGGCAAAGCAAAATGAGTTGTTATGATTATAACGAGTTTTTTTTTGTCTTCTTCATTCATAATACACAACGTGTAATTGTGTGCGCGCTGCAAAAGTAAAAACTTAATATCTACGTCGTCTCTTGTTGTGCGCTCACGCATTTCGAAAAGTCGATCCGAAAAAATAGCATCATTAACGTGGTTATTGGTCGTTCTCTTCGGCGCACACGGATGAATAATCAAATAATCAATAAACATTTATTTTGTCGCGACGAAATATATTTTCCATGCGATGGCAATTAAAATGAGTTGAATGAGCGCTCACTTTCTGCTAAAACTTGTTGCACAGCACAGCTGCCCTTCTTCACTGGATTTTCTGTTGCTGCTGCGATCGCTGTCTATGCGGAACGAATTAATTGTATCGGAAAACGCGAATATAATCAGAACATAACGATGAGAAAATGAATAGAAAATCAGTGTTTGGAAAGAGAGCCAAACGACCACAACGAAAAAGTAAAGTTCAGTTGAGTTTAAAGCAAGTGTGTATCATCTTTTGTTGTATATTGGCAAAGCTATTTCCCCAAGCGAGTCAAGTCTCTGACAACTTGTGAACGTGTTTGTGTTTGTTTGTTTTTTTTTCACGTATAAATTGAAAAATTGCAACTGATTTGCTATTGTATCGGTTAATTTATTCGAATAAATCTTGGATCGGTAACTGAGCCGTTGCATGCACGCTTGATAAACAGCCATTTTTTTTTGTTCGTTTTAAACGCGCAATTTGTGTGCTCTCCAACAATTCTTCAATAATTATTAGTGTATCCAACATTGTGTTAAGCTTCACATTTTTTCAGTTCTTACACGTGTATTTATGTTGCAATTTCCTCATTCTTTTCGGTGCCATTTTCATTTAGATCAAAACAATTATAAACGGAGTATCCTAATTTTTATTTCTTTCATTGTTTCGTTTGCAGATATAATTGATTGGATCGTTAAAGAAAAATTCCCGGTCGAATGCCATGAGAGACGAGCCGTAGAGATTGGTGTTCGCCTCTGAATTCAACTGACCGTGTTACAAAACGAAATGGTAAATTGTGGAAAAGCATTCAGCATTTGAAGTGTGTGGCAGTGGAAGAAGAATAAGTCCAAAGTGAACACCTCAAGAAATCGCCGCAGCAGTAGCAGCAGCAGCAGAGTCGTCGAGAAAAATCATACAAAAATTATTATGAACACCAAGAATAGCTCTTCAAAACGGAATACAACAATCGCGAAAGAATTTTTCTGAATTTACTTCAACGTCGTTGGAAAAGCGAAAAAAGCAACAACAACAACAAACGAAACGAAACGAACAAAATGAATAACCGTTTTGCTATTCGTTCGCGTCGTACGTAGACAGTTTTAGCGCAAAAATCTTTGTGCGGGGAAGTGATTCATGCGTCTCGTACACTCTCCAGAGACCGAGAGAGCATACATATAATAATAAAAAAAAATATTCTCGTCCATATATGGTAAAGAGCACATGCATTGTGGCTTCGGCATGTTTTGACTCTACTATCGGTTTGACATTAAACAAACGATGTTTGTGCATATCGCACTCCTCGTCACTGGTTTTTTTTCTTAGTCGCAAGTAAATGAGTGTGTGTGCTGAATTCAGACAAAAATAAAAACTAAGCCGTAAGACATCACACACTACTCTGGTTTTGTTGGATTGTTGACAGAGTCTGAGCGACTAAGTACAACGAACACGAAGAAAAATATAAACTAGTCAACTTTTGTAAGCAAATAAAATCAACAAGACATAAAATAATCCGACTGCGTGCCGAAACAAAACAGCAAATAAAAACACAACAAAAAACATTTAAGCTCGCTTCGATCGTTCGAAATGATAGTGAAAATCTGATTTGAATTTGATTCACATTCATTGTTGTTCGCAATTTCTCCGCGTGCGTACTGCAATTTCTTTCTAATCCGGTGTAGTTTTGCATTCAAGCTGGTGTGGTAGGCGATTGTGATTGGTGTGCGTATGAACGAACTAACGAACAAACGAGCATTCATGTTGAAATTCTTGTGCTCTCGATTTGCGATCGCAGCGGCGGCACCAGTTTCTACAGACCTTTGGTTCACACTTGTGCCAAATTCGTGCCGTGTAAAAGACTCTGAGTTTTGTAGCTCTAAAAAGTTGTCTTAATTTCTACGATTAGTAAACGGAATCATCAAGTTGGAAAAGAAGAAGAGGAAAAGCACGAAAGAAATCGTAAATAAAAGTGCGCGATGAAAGATTAAAAAGTAGTCCCCACACACAAACAAACAAAGTGAAACAATTCTCGATTCAAAGCGAGATCCGATGAGAAAAAAACGAGCGTCGAACGAAATTGTAAGTGCGAACTAATGTGAAAAAAATAAATTTTCGCAAAATAGACTATTTTTTCTTGTGTGTGAAGTGAGAAGATGCATTGGAGAAACGTTTAAAGCGGCTTAGATATTTTAGAAAGATTTGCTTTTGTTCAAGTGGTTTTTATTTCTTGGTTCCGTCGTGTGTCTATCGTTCGTTCGATCGTTCGGTGTGTATTGTTCAATTCAACTGACGTCAGTAGACGTAAGCAACACCGAATACTATTGAAAAACCAGAAATTCGATTTTGATTGATCCGGTGTGTGTGTGTGTGTGTGCGCGAGCGAGCGCAATGAATCCACCAACAACCCAATGCCATATTATGCATGACTATTTCATCGTTCATAAAGCACTCGCACATTGCGTACAGTAATCATAATCAATTGCAACTGTTGAATACACGGGCGACTGTAAAATTCGACTTATTTTACGTGTTTTTATTAATCTCCACCTCAATTTCGATTGTTTACTGCCCCCGACACGCATAATGAAATATGAGAGAACGACGAAAAAGACGGAAAAAGAAGACGGAAAAGTAAAATAGCCAGTAAAATTCAACAGTCGAAACAGCAGTAGCAGTAATAACCAGCAGTCAAGCGAGGCGCTGAAGAACTAACAAAAAATACAAAAAAAAATAAAGTGAAAAAATAAACCAACATACAAGCGCTAGAGCAATAGCGTAACATTCAGTTTAGTGGAACTAATTAAAAACTTTGGCACCAGCAGCAGTAGCAGCAGTAGCTCAGCAGCATCAGCCAACGACCAAGAAAAAGAAAACGGATTTCAGTCCAAGTGCTGTTTATTAGCCATAGCTTACACTCGACGCAGTGTGTTCACCTTTATATTTCACGTATTGTGAAAGAAATTCGTAATGAAACTTAAAACTGAACTCGACAGTGAATGAACAAAACGAGCACGAGAAATAAAAAAACAAATTCGACAGATAGAAGCGAGGCACAGCAAAAAAAAAGAGATACATACATATAGACGATAAATAGTTTGTGGACACGAAAAGCGTTCAGTGTTCACAATTAAACCGCATGCGAATGTGTGTGTGTGTGCCTCCCGACCACTATCACCACTTTGAATAGTAAATGATTTCTTTATAGCTGTGCTTTATCGTGGTGTTGTTCTGTTTTTTTTTGCAGACTGTTTTAATTTGTGTTGTCGGATTGCGCGCGCGCACGTGAATGTAAATTATAAACAAAAGCCGCAAACTGACAAGATACCCGACCGATTTGGCTACGGTACACAGAGGGAAAGAAAAGCTCACATAAAATATTTCGCCATATTGAATGAGCAGGCGCGAGGAAAATATACCAACATTTATAAATTATCGTGAACTCGAGTGTGTGTTAATAAAGTGCAGCCGTTGCGTCAACGATAAAAGCAACGACAACACGAAATAGGGAGAATACGACACAGAAATTAGTACCAAAAAACCCGCAAAATGAAATGGTCTAGTTCAAATTCAAGCCTAAGCAATGGCAGTGTTGTTACGATGGCACTCAACAATTCAAACAATAACAATAGTAGCATAAGCAGCAGTGGGAGCAACACATCATCAAACTACGGCCACAATGGTAATATCGTGCGATCTACAGCCACGGTTCGTCGACATGAAAGTGATCGCAGAAGCATCTTCTACACCGATCCCCACGATATGGAAATATTTTTAAAGAATCACAACAATAAAAAAAAGGTTCGTTTTTGAATTATTCAATCCATAATTTAATATTTCCCTTGTCAGGCCATCATTGTTGTACAGAAAAAAGAGAGAGAGAGAGAGAAAAACCGAAGCGACAAGATTCGCTTTGCTCGAGCAATACCGGTGATACTCGATCGTCGTTTTTCATATATACACATATAAATGTCTTATGATGTTGCCGATTTCATCATTAGTTTTGAGTGACGTCCGTAATGAAAAGCATAAGCACTCATAAAATAATATGTTTTTTCGGGTTTTGCGATGTCTTGGTTTGTTGTGTGTGTGCATTTTGTGGTTTTGACTTTGAACATGATTCGTTTTGTATTCTCTCATCGTGTACTCCATATGCTGGTCGTGTGTCAAAGGAAATATATGACATGAAAGCGATAATGGATTTTGTAATTTATGTGACGTTTATCGTCATATTGTCTTTTGTGTTCGTATGTTTACAAATCACTTCTCGAATCTGAACTGAGGAAAACGACGATGACAACAAACAACGTCGATGACAGAAAAAAACGACGACGAAGGAAAAAAAAACTGAAATAAAGAAGCAATGGCCACTTCTACATGCATACAATTAGTCATTTGCATTTATTGTAGATAGTTATATCATACGGGTTGAGTTTTTGTTCCTTCTTTTTTTTTCTTTGTTTTGCCACATTTTATCTGTTCACTTCCTTTTGGCTCTCAATGTGTGCGCGACATTTACTCGCGCACAATTTCCATTGAATTTTTTTTTCTTTAATCTTCTACGCGTCCACTTGAGACATTATAAGCGATTTTTAAACTACGATTCATATAAGCACCAAAATAATAATAATGGTTTCCAAAATTGCCTAGTCAAGAGTTGGCGGCAGTGGTTTGTGAATTCGTGACCTTTTACGCGTCATCGTAGTATTGGTGACGAGCGTTTAATTTGCATTGCAATAATGTACAGAAAAAAACACACTTCGGTTTCATTTGACCGGAGAGCAAAAAAATAGCCATTTAGCCATTTTGCACAATTTAAGACACAACATTTTGACTTTTGAATTGGTCTGGTCTTTTGTGCTACGTGTCTACTTTACCTTTAGCCATCCATGAAATTAAATGTTGCCTTTTGTTTCTTTTCAATCGTCGGTGTGTCTGCTTTTTTTCGCGGCCTCTCAATGACTTTGTTTTTCGGTGGGTTTTCTATGGCATATATGGTGTGGATGTTTGTTTGAACCTTTGCCACTTTCATTTTCATTCCAATTAAGCACTGAACCAAAGATATCCATCAAACCTCATATGTCAGTCTCGGTTGTTGTTGTTGGGTTTTTTTCCTCACCTTTTCTCGTTTAGCATTGAAATTACTCAACAATCGACAAAATCATACTCTCGATCCAATTACACTGACCATTTCCCAGTTGTATACCCCGCTATCTATTTCTTTATCAAACCTCGACCAATTGGCCAATTGCTGTTGTTTTTTTCCTTCATCTCCGCTTGACTTACTATTATTATGTATTGCCTCTCATATTTCACACTCTTGAATAGTTCATTTTGTTGGTGGATTTTTTCCCTTCTCGTTACTTCTCTTAATAATCGCTTTGAGATATTTGCTTTTCTTAATCAACGCTGATGCTGTTTCCTTTCGGATTTAATTTTTCTTTGTTCAACGGCGATTGCGTTACATTGCACACCCAAACTGGAATATGTTGTACGGGCACACACAAAAACACACCAGCATACACATATCATGGTGATTATGTTTGTGTAGTGAGCAAAAAGCGAAAAAAAAAATCAAAATCGAATCCAAAAGAGATCGAAATCACTGCACAACTGAAATTGGTTGTGAGTTTGTGTAATGCATGACTTTTGAATGATCACCGCCATAAACGAGATTAAAATTTATTTTTCGCAAACATAGTTTAAATATTAGAGATTTTCTTTTGGTGGATCTCATGTGCGATTAGATGTTGTTGTTGTATTTTTCTTCTCATTTTAATTCGTTTGGTTTTGGCTGTGGAATTTAATAATCCGGCTAAAACTCAAACATTCCGCCGCAAACATTTTAATGCACGATTTTCGTGGTGATACAAAAATATAAATGACGACACCGCAAACGATGGACAATTTTTTTCATTTTTTTTTTGGAGAATGAACTCAACAACATCAAAGAGAGAGAAAGAAAAAAATCTGAATGCATTCAGATGTTTATCAATTAAATACAAACACAGTGGCTGTGAGAAAGTGTTTTTTTTGTCTTCTTTTTTATTTCCATTCAAATAGTTAACCCGTAGTGTGAATGGCCGTGCAGTGAAGCAACCATCACTTACGCTCCATAAACTATTTCTTCGAATCATACATTTCTCTAACGTAATCACTTGTTAAAAATTTAAACTAGGTGCTAAGCGGTACTCTCTGTGTGTTCATGTGGTTGTTATTGTTTTTTTTTTCCCTCTTTTCGTGTGTCTTTCTATTTCTGATTTTTTGTTGCCCCGTTCAATTTCCACAATGCTGCGTGTATGGATGTGGACGCAATGGTTTGTAATTACTAAAATTAAGTGGAAAACATTACACACAGCCATATGTTTTAGGTCAGCACATTTCACTTCGTTTCGTTGTCATGGACAAGTGGATGCAATGTGTCAAGAGAGAGAGAGAGAGAGAGAAAATGAAATGATACATCAAAAATTAATATGCCATAAATGAAAATTAAATTATTAAAAGAAAGAAAGAAGAAAGAAAAAAACAAATGAAAATGTATAACATTTCTCTAAATGGGCATGTTATATAAAATTCGACCTCACATTACTTTTATTTCTTGTTATTTCTTTTGAGTTAATTATTTATTTATTTTTCTACGGCCTGTTAGATCCTGTTCGGTCTGCTTGTTTTTTATACCTTTATTTCACACCTCATGCAAGCCACTTCAGTTTATGGCTTAAAAATTCAAATGCGCTTCGTGGTCATTAAAGAGATGGTGAAATTGTGCAATGGAAAATTAAGAAGTGTATCGCAGGGAATCACACACGACTCCGTCATTAAATCGATATTCATTGTTGCCACACTTGCACTCAAATATCGATATAAATACCTTCCGATAAGAATTGATGTGATTGAATCATGCTATTTTTGCAAATTCCTTCCAATCTCTCGGTCAAACGTGTTCATTTAGTCATCAACCCTATCAGCAATTAACACTCATATTTGATTTGCCTAAAATGATTAGATAAAATTCATCGAAAAGATAGACAAAATAAAACATCAAAACAGATAACAGATTTCTGGCATGAAGGTTGACGGCTATTCAGTTTTTTTTCTCGTTAATTAATATGACTCAAGACCTTTGTGCGCCTGACATTATCATGTGGCTATGTCAGTGTGTTAGCATAATATAAACAAAACCAAAACCAAAAACATAACGGATAAAAACGATTAGTTACAATGGAAATATGAGGCGCAATTTTTCGTTTGGATTTTCTTTCTGTATTACTAGTCCGCACACCGACTTCACAGTAGTAGCGCTAAATTCAAATTTGATTGCGATAAAGTATTGTAATCACTCGAAAACCGTGTAGAAACCCATTCATAATAAATTATTTATCTATACACATTCGACACCAGAACAGTTATATTATGGACATGTGGGCCAAAGTGGCATCCATAAATAGATTACAAATATGGAATAGTACGTCTTACAAGCGTAAAACAATTTCATTTGAAGTAGAAACCGTTCAATGGTATAGTCATAAAGTCATATATTTGTTTATTTTACGTTACAGTTACGTTGCAACCATATATGAGTTAGTGCGCTACCTATCAAATGTCGAACAACAGTGTTTTGCTTGCATAACAAAAATCTCAATGATCCAGTGAATAAAAATTCCGTGTGTGATTTATCATATATGAGAATCACAATTTATTTGCAACAAAAGACGGGCGAGAGAGTGAGAAAAGCAGTTTGGTTTTGCGAGTTATCCTTGAATCTTGTATAGTTTTGCCATTCATTTCTCTTTTTTGCCCCATTCTGTCCTTGCATACGCAATCGACGCGGTGGTACGAACCAGATGCAAAAACACAATAAACCAACTTCAAATTTCAATCCGAAGTACACGCATTACATTATTATCAAGGGGGCATATACATATATCATTTAACGAATGTATTCGCTGAACATTTACACCAAATATTCCAAATGCTATGAACTGAGAGAGTGCCAAAAGCTTGTTGTGGTTAGAGAGATTTATGATTTAGTGTGTATGTGTGTGTTTGTGTCGGAGTGTATGCGACATGCCGTGCAATTGCCGCCGCACAAATGTGCAATTATGAGCTTCTATGCCATGTTCATTCTATTGTATTCGGCTAAAAACTTTATGGTTTATTACGTTGATTTGTCGCACAATACTGCACACGGTACACATATTTCTGCCTATTTCCTCAGTTACATTTCATTGTTTAAATTGTGCGATAAGAATATATTGATAACAAGCGACAATATGAACAGAGAATTGTGTGTAGAGTCAGAATGAAAAAGACAACCGAAAAAATAAAATAAAACAAAGAACTAACGACACGACATCTAAGCGCAACCAATGGCGCAAAAACAACAATTGGGCACATACACACTCACTCACACTCACAAGCACATCTACAACGCTGACAACTCCGATGTTTAAATAAGATTATCACAATTTCAATTTCTTAGCTGTGCTCTACCCCAGTCGTACACTTACGAGAATATGACAAAATTTGAAATTCAATTCGAGCCCGACCAATAAAACTGCCAGCCAAACAGCCAGTCAGCGTTTGTCGCGCTACAGTTGTCCGTTTCCATTTGCTTTGGGCACTCTAACTATGTTCAACTTTTATGAAATGGTAAATTTTTCAATCGTTAGTTTGTGCAATCGCATCGACAGACATAAAGAAATTGAAAGAGAAAAAGAAACACATCAGCAACAACAACAGCAACAACAACAAAAATAAAGAGATAAATAATTGAGTGTGTCGTGCGCCGCGCTAAAATTCTTTTTATCTGTTTTCGCCGTAGTTATTCATTTCTCTCGTTTCTGTGTACTCTTGTCAACTTCAATATTACATTCAGTGACTGTATTTTTTTTATTTTTTTTCTCATTTTCTTCTTGTTTTTGTTTGCTCCCATTTTAGATGTCACCATCACTTAGCTCGAGCCGATTACCCACTAGCAATGGCATAACCAAAGTAAGCGCTACAACGAATGGAAACAGCAAAAATGGCACAGTTCATTCGCGTCTTCAGGCTAGCAGAAGCAGTAGCAGCAACGGTGGTGGCGGCGGTGGAGCGACAACAGAAGCCGATCAAATGCAACGGCGAAAATGCGAAAATCTCATTTCCTATTTCACAAACCAAATCCAAAATCTGAACAAAGAACTGGAAATAGAAAAACATTCGCGTGACACTCATTTAGCGAAAATTGCAAAAGCTCTGCTGTGCTTCGAGGCAAAATTGAAAAACGATCAGAAACAGATTCGTCAGCAACTCTACGAAAAGGATACACAACTGAATCGTTTGGCTAGCGAAGTGCTATCGTTACGGGAAAAGTACGGTGTAAAAGATGATGAAACGCAACAAATCGATCCAGTCGCTCAATATTGTCCGAATTGTCGAAAACAGTACTATTCGCTTGGCACAGCCGATGTTAGTGTTCAAGTTAATAAGCATGGTCCAATTTGTCGCGATGACATTGATAAAGGTGAGAAAAAAAGAGCAACAATATAATGTTCCATCATCAACGTATGTACGGGATTTAGTCAATTTAAAACATTTCACATTTATCTTTTCAGAAAATAATATGCGTCCAAACTCATCGAGCGAAGACGGATTGGGACAAGTATTCTCATCGGAAGCGCGGCGTAGCAAGCGTTATATGAGCAAACGAACATCGGGCACGTTTCGTGAATACCTAAATTCCAGAAACATTGACCTGGCATTCAACTGCAGTGATGAATCGTCGTTTAACAAAAGTTTCGAGAGTTCACAGCCACAATCCGAGCAAATGGAACATAAACCAATCGTTGAGACAAAAACAAAAGACGGTTTTATGCGAAAAGGAAGTATGCGACGATCAACGAAATCATCTGTTGCGATAAAATGTGATAAAAATGGCAATAAATTGAGTGATAAAACCGATAATGAAACGGCAATCATCAAAGCGAAATCGGCGGCCACCGATTCAAATGGCAGAAGAGCATTCGACATTGAAGTATCTGCAAATAACCAGACAACAAAAAGTGTATCTGGTGCAAATAATTCGTTTTTAAAGAAATACGATAACGATGTGAGCAAACCAAAAAATCCGCAATTTGAATCGAATGACGATGTATGGTATGCGAGCGCAAGCGATATGGATGACTCGGACGGAGCGGTATCCAAACCATATGGCTACAATGCAGTGAATCCAGTACTGGAATGTGTTAATCAAGTAAGCGTTTCAGCATTCACCACTTGCTATGCTAAAACCCCAATGGAATTTTTTAAATATACTCACTCTCTTTCTCTGTCCCGCACCACAGATTCTCTTGCAACAATCAATGGATGGCATAATGGAGAGCTGTGCGAATAGAAATGATACCAGCACTGATATGCCCGCTGCGACCTCAACACCATCGAACAATAATAATTTAACGGATTCTCCTCCCAAAGAGACTACAAACACATTGAAAAAACGTGTACACTTTTCCACACAAAACTCAATGGTACAAGTTCCACGGTCCGATAGTTCATCGAATTTATACCGTTTGAATGCTTCAGCAACGTCAACCGTTGATGCATGTAATGCCAAGGATCTTAGCTACGCAACCATATACGGTAACGAGTATGAGCCAATTGGATCGGAAAATAATTCAACAAACCATTATGTTGATATGGATTCAAAATTGGAAGATGAACGCTGTCCGTCGATGATTGAAAAACCAAAAACACCACCAGCTCTGCCCCCGAAGCCACCGAATCTGCTGAAATTTCGCCAAATATTGAAAATGTCCTCATCATATCCCGTTGTCGTTCAGTCAACATCAACGAAATCCGTTGATAACGAATCTGAACCGGACTATTGTTCCATTGGTGACGTACAAGAGACAGTTAAAAGCGTACAAATCGTGGCTGACGTGCATAAAAATGCAGACGATGATGTATCATCACATGCCAGCGAAGAGACGAAAACTGACATGACAGATGAAACATTCGCTGATATTCCAAAGCTACCAAACGTGGTCGCTTTGTTATCGCCGAAGAAAGAATCGTCACATAGCAAGGTCATCGCTCAAGACAATTACGTGATCAAATCGTCTCCGCCGAAACGTGCAAAACCGGCCGTGTTGCCTACGAAAGCGGTGGTCGCCAATTTACTGTCTGAAATAAGTGCACAGAAACCCAAGGGTCCTATCAGCAATCAAATATCAAAGCCAAAAATTATAACTGAACTCGATGAAAGTACCAAGAAGAATCCATTAAAATTGATGGGTCAACAGAAAATGACGACAATTGTTGAGACAACGACAACGACAATGTCAACGACGACAACGAATGCGGCACAACAGCAAATGGTATCGGTGCACCCGATGAAAGCGCTGCCAATCATTAAACAGACCGATAAGATACTGATGCCCATTCAAGCTGAATTCGATTGGTACAATTTAGATGTTGAATATGGAAAATTGTTACCCACGAACATTCTGGAAAATGGAAAAGAAAGCGAAACTCAAGACCATGTTGAATACAATTTGGATGCGGAGTTTTCGTTGACTTCATGCTCCGACAATAATTCATCGCTCGAGTCAAGTGGTAGTACCATTCATTTTGTTCCCATTACAGTTGCAGAGGATTGCAATGGATGTGGCGGTAATCAAATTTCGGATGATGATATTGCCAGCACCAAAAATAATATTTTGTTGAATCCGGCACGTTTGAAGAAACTTATTAATAAAACGGCAACCGTTCAGACCGATGTTAATGTTAAGTCATTCGACACATTCTTAGAGCAAACCGGTTTAACTGAAAAACCATTACCGCAAAAGCGCAAAATTTTTTATAATGCACCATTTGTATAGTGTGTGTGCGCGCGCGATATGAATCATTCAGTGCGGAACAACAACAACAACGAAAAATAGTAAAGGCGAAATAAAGCAGCAACAGCAGCAGCAGCCGTAATAACAACGAACGAAAGCGACAATCGAAATATGCTATCGATTGGATTTCGACCTTATATTTAAATGAAAACGAAACAATGGCAAAATTGAAACGTACTATTCTATTGTAATACTATAGATATATTTGGGTACCGTTAAGCTTGCAGCAGAAAAAAAAATATAACTATTTGTATTTAAAGCACGTTCAAAACTATTTATTTGTATTGTGTTTTCCCTCAATTTTTTTAATTTGTATTTTGGCTCAGTATTTTTTTTTCTCCTCTGTTTAAGATGTAATTTATAAAATAGAAGTTTGGTGAGCTTAAAAATGATGTAGAGAGAGTTCAGTTGGCTTGCTTTACAATGTACATAATAAAAGCATAGACTAGACTAGTATTTGTAAAAGTGATATTTTTGGCATTTTGCTCTTTGCTCTATCTCGAGCTAATTTATGTTTGCTATTCGAAACAATAGATGTAACAACAAATCATACTTTTCGAGAAAGAGAGACATTTACAATTGTCTTTTCTTTTATTATCTCTCCATTCGCAAAAGATGTGAACAGAAGAAGAGAAAAACGCGCGCAATAATTTGCTTCGACTTAACGGAAGTATAACATTTTGAAGGACCTTTGCACTATATTCATTACTTTGCGGAGGATATGCCATGAATGAAGACGAGCCAAATTTGCATACGAACCGTATCTCGCTTTCTTCGGTGCTCGGCACGATTTGCACTAAATCAATACATCTTATTCAATAGTCTCACGATGAATATTATCGGTGATTCGCCCGAATAATGATTTGTGATTATATTGATGGGGAGAGCGAGCGAAAAAAATTGGTTCCGCTTGAAAAGCAAAAGTAATTCGGGCGGATATCATTTGATTGTAAACGGAAAAATAAATTGATCCAATCGGAATGTAATAAATTCATGTCCTAGCTCTGCTCTCCAACGTGCCTGAGAGCAAAAAATGAGAAATGACACGGAAAAAAACTAGGTACTTAAAGCTACATCAAATCCCAACAAAATATTTCAAGCTCGATAAGTAGAAATTTCTGTGTAAAGATGAAAAATGCGAAATAAAATTGACTATATTGACATATTGCTTGATTTATTTGATTCATTTTTTCTTCTTCTTCTCTTCCATGATGCGTTTTCATTTAACGCCGCAGGGACTTTCGTGCATTTGGTAAATATTTGCGAACTTCAATTCCACTGCAAAATTCCGAAAAAAAGTGTATCTCTTGAAACGATACATCGGATGTATCCATCCTGTTGCTGTGGCGACTGGCGACAGTTTTCTTTTGTTTTGACATCTATTGCTGATTTCTGTACGTAATATCATTGCTAATGGTATGACAATAAAACGCGATTTTATTTACGATAGTTAGTATATAATTTTATTTTCATTTCTTTTATCAATATTTTCCTTAGTAATTTACAGCATTTCACACTTTTACATTGGTTAAATAGTAGTTTTTATATACGTATAGTAAGCTTAGAAACATTATGCTTTTGCAGTTTATTTGTTAACGAAAATATAAGCGAGGACCGTTTTTTTGTTCTTGTTTTTCTATCTCTCTTAAAACACACAATTGTGTCAAACTGACACTGTTAGTTATACGTATTTATATGTCATTTGAATGGGTTTTTCAATTGCATTTTATAATCACATTTACGAAGCTCTGCTTGTGAACAGTTAAAAGTAAACAATTTCCTTTTTCACTACAACTGTTTTCATTTTTATTGGAATTTTTCCCCCAACAAATGTTTACAAATAAAATGAAACCAACACACCTCTTAAGTATTTATTATCATCGGAATATTGCCAACACACTTCATGAAACTTTAAAGAGTTAAACATTTGGAATTCGGTCCTGTAGATGAATTATGAATTACTGGAAAATGATAAAATTCGTACACAATTACATGCGAAGCATTCGGCTTTTCCTATTAAACTTTGTTAGGTTTTAATTGTTTCATTTCTTTATTGTGGAAGCGATAACAAAAAAACATTGTTAGGTTTGCAAATTGAAATTTGTGATTAGTTATAAACGAAAAAAGATCGTTTGTTCTTGTTATTAAAAAAGCTATTGTTCAATCAATTGTTTTTATCACACTTTTCCAGCAAACCGATCAACTTTTTCATTCGCTTTATTTTCAATTGATTCATTTTCTGCGTTTTTTTTCTTTCATTTGTGCACAACTACAAGCAATTAACGGTGATTTATTAATTTATCAATTCATTATATGGATTTTGTTTATTCAGATCAGTGCACCAAAAGCAATACCAAAAGCGTATTTTGCGTTGCTTCAGCCATTTATAGAAATGCTAAACGAATTATTTTAATAAAACATGTAAAAATCAAACTCAGCGAATTCATTTAATTGACTGATTTTTTTTGGAAGCTTTAAATTTTATGCACGCACATGTGGAGGGTGTTCCAAGCGTTATAATTTGGGATGATGCTAGCAATGCCCAATTGCTAGCAATGTCACATTTCGATTAGCAATAAAATCGATTTCATTTCTTTTTTTTTTCAACCATCAAGCTTGGACAGTTGGACTCACCCAGTGTGTTGAGGTAAAAGAGTTTCATTTTCTTAGAGTGTAAATTGTGTAGAAAATTGAATTCGTGCAAAAATATATTCCACTGAACATTTTGAATATATATAGTGTATTGCATGGAAGTATATATGGAGGAAAAAATCGACCGTATGATTTAATCGGATTCATGAACTTTTTTTCTCCTTCAAAATGTATAGACAGCTCTCAGAAAATGTGTGTTGAAAGAAGATTGTTGTAGATTGAATTTTTACTGGTTAACGTGTGTAATTGGATAAACACTCTTTTTTTTTGCTGCATGCATAGCCTTCATTCATGGCGTCCGGATTTATGTTGAATATCTCTGTGGTTTTGTGAGGTTTCCATTCGAGTATGTGTTTCTGTTTCGTCTTTTTGTGCCACAGAGAGCGGACGTGTGATTGGTTCTCGTTTTAAATGCTCTTCCTTGGCTTATCGGAAGATTTCATCGAATGTCAAACGTAATTCGGAGCTTGTTTCTGAGCATCAATTGATTCGCTATTGCCACGGTCGATCCAATGTTTGAGTCGACCCCGTAGCTCTTCTAAGCTTTTTGATTTTGCCTTATTGATTCGCTTGTACTTAACATCTTTTGGCTTGGTCACTGTACGATGATTCGACATAATGCGATTGTAGCTAACTACATTCTTCGTTTTATCTACATTTGGATATGTGATGGTGGGTTCGCTGATACTTATGCTTACTGTTTCGCATTCAATGTTTTCCACATCGACCGTTGACTTGCAAGCACTGATTTTCGATTGTCGTTTGAAATTTTCACGCTTTTCGGTCGCATTCTCTGTTTCGGGATCTTCTTCCACACTGTAAACGGTTTCCAAAATATCGGGCCGCCGTAAATAGCAATTCGAGCGTCGATTCAAGTTACCGGACAAATATTTATTCAACGTGCTGTCAATAGCATCTGATACCGATCGTATAATATCGCCCCCATTGTGTCTGCGTCGCAATGCAATCGATGAATTGTTGCTATCGGAATCGATATCATGGTCCAGTACAACGGCCGAATCATTGTCATTCAATTTCTCGAAATCACTACACGAATCCAATTTATAGTCAACCAAACGACTAGACAGTGTATCAATAATTTTCTGTTGTCTCACAATCGTACATTCCGTTTCAATCAGAACGTTTGCAATCGAACGTTGTTTTCGTCGCAAACGTGATTCCAACAAATATAATTGACTAGTTAATGCATTTAATTGTTCGGTTTTCAGTTGACCAATGGCAAAGTGCTGTTGTCGTTGCATGTTATACGCTTTTTTCCAATTCAAAATCTGCTCACTTTGCATCCTACATTTTTGCTTGAATTTGTTGATTATCAATTTGGCGGTTGGCAAATCAACTGGATCCTGTGTAATGGTGGAACATTTGCCGAAGTATTCATACACACAAATTTATTTGTGTCGTTGTTTAGTGCGCGAGCGCGTACGTAGGTGGCAAAGGGGAGAAGAGAAATGAAATAATATCATTAAATATTCATGGTATAAATAGTAAAATTATTTCATTTAAGTCTAATTAGAATGGTCGTCTTAATAGAAACAATTTCCATTGTTAAATATTTCGTGGTGGCAGCACTCGTGTTGGCATTGCCCGGCATAGATATTAGGATGGGTGTTAAGTATAACGCAGAAGGATGAATGCGTGCTCACTTGAATGTGGCAACTACACACTCATATGAACACTGACGTGGTCATTTCGAAAGAGGGAAACGTATCATAATCGTAAATTCGTATATCACGTTTTATTTTTTTTTCTGTCGTTCTTTTTCTTTCTGTGCCAGAAAAATATGATACGGTTGGTGTGTTTTTATGTGATTAAATCTGTCACGAGCATATGGTGGACTTCTGCATGCACAGGCACACACACACTCAGGTAGAAATAACTATTATTCCAAGTTCTCATGCAGCTCATACGTGATCACGCATATATGCTTTCAAGTTTGAAAATATTTCTGCTTCAGTTTTTTCAGTGCCACAATAATGTTTCTGTTATTTCTTTATCGAAACGTAACGACGAATGAAAACAAAACTAAGCGCAAAGTCTAAATTTAGCCAATTTACCTCATTTAACGAGATGTTATCATCGGTTGTTGTGTTGCTATCCTCACCCTTATTCGCCATTTCCGTCTGCCGTTTCCTTCGATTTTTCCGCCGAATCGTAAAAACTTCTTTTTTTTATTTTATTTTTGTTGTTGTTTGTACTTTGATTGCAGTTGTAGCAGCAGAAAGCAATACACTCGAGTCTCTCTTCCTCTCAACGGCGGAGTTGCTGCTTCATGCGTTGGCACGTCGCACAAGAAAAATCAATTTCTCCTCAGAGTTTCCTTTTTTTTCACAATGTGCCATGCAAACCGAAAATTTGGAATATCTAATGGCGGAATTTCTGAAACGAAAACGAAAGAAAAAAATCGCCGAGTCAACATTCATTCCATATTTTATTGTCTATAAAAAGAGAATTGGGCTGATGAACAAAAAAACATGAGGTGTGGTGTACGCTCGGCAAGCTGGATTTGGATACCGAATTTCGGAAAACGGATGATAGTAGAAGAGCTGTATGAGACGAGGATGAGTATTATTCAAATTAAATTATAGATTAGAAATGAGCGTCACCGATAAATTTTCGATAAAAATGTCTTTTCTACATTTCGTATAGTATTCTACCCTCAAATACCCGTGCCACTCACAAGCGAAATATGTCCTCTTCATAATGCAAAACGACGCGGTAAAAAAAGGAAACGGGAGAATGTGATAGAGAGAGTATTCGCAACCCTGACCTATGAATGTTTCACACAGAGTGAATATGTAATGATAAATATAATAATAACCTGAATGCCCCAGCAGCAGTAGCAGCATATTGAAATGCGTTAGGACATATTCTATCAATGTAAATCCCTTCCACTACCAATGCATGAGCTTTGAACATTGAACTTCCATCACAAAAATGGTACATCGGCACAAAAACATCTAATGCCACTTGAATGGCTATAAAAATAAACGGCCCCGTTGCCATGAACACTTTGGTTGAAAAACGAACAGATACCATATCGAATGTCATGTGAGACCAACTCAATTCAAATTAGATGGTCACGTTAAAATAATCCGCAATTAAGAAAAACCAAATACCGCGAATCTCCGCCACTGTATACATAGCATTGGGAATTGGTATGAAAAAAAAATGGTGAAATAAGAGAGCAAATGGAAAATTAAGTGAAATGTAAATTACCACGTTACAAACTCGGCACTCTTCAGTACGTCGCATCCGATGTGCATTGCTTGAGAGTGTGTTTTGAGAAAGCAGAGCAAGACAATCAAATAAACAGTATGTGAAATGTGTCGATTGTGTATGGTTTGGGACCAATGAAACGCTTAAAATTGGAAATCCACTGAAAATAGATCGATCAATTGGCTGCTGTACAGCAATACAACTTTGCTGCTGCTGCTCTTTTTTTCTCACCATCTTATTAGATTGAATTGTCAGTAGCAGAGTGAGTACTATTAGAGAGACCGAAAGTTACAATGCACAGAAGAAGATGAAGAAAAGTGGTGTGTGCCAGTTGAACGGCAACGTGAATAATTGAATGCCACATTGTAATAATAATAAAAAAAACGAGCGGCCAAACGACGATACAAAAGAAAATCGAACGGCTGATGAAAGAAAACAAAGAAAGATGAAAAAAAGAAGAGAAAAAAACCGATTCGGAACAACACAAAAAATTTTCTTTTCACTCTTCCGTCGAAGTACATTTCGACCCGACCGATGTATTTGTAACATCTGTATTTATGTTGAGCGTTGATCAATATTGAATATGGTTGTTGCATTTAATATCCATACGATATGGTGGTAAATCCATTGGGGGGGGGGGGGGCATATGATGAGCGTGCGGCCGAAAATAAAATTCCTTTTTTGTATGTGGATGTGTATCATTTTGCAATAGTACTGTATATATACACCAAAGTACTACATGCATAGAAAAGCAATCACGATTTATAAAAAGAATTTCGCCTCGAAATTGAGAAATATGAGAAGAAAGACGGAACGAAATGGAAAAAATTTCGGCAAAATGAGAAGAAAAAAGAACAACAACACATAACGAGTACAACACGACGCAGCATTATTTGAATCTCTGAATTGCTTGCGTGTGCTTTGTAATAGATCGAAACAATTACTTTGTTGCTTTTGTTTCTTCTGCCATTTCGTACCAGTGTCGTACTCTTCCCTTCATTTTTGGGCAACATCAGCTCGCTCTCTCTCTCTGCGAAAGAGAGAGCAGGAAAGATCAGAGCAGAAAGAAAGAGCAAAGACTCGATAGATGGAGATGGCCACTCAATTTCATTTCATTTGTCCATAAGATCAATGTAATAACCACCTGTATAGATGTGCTTTGATTCAAAGCACTGTACCTTCAATTCATAAATTTCAGACGCGAATGGAATTTGAGACAAATGAAAATACACACATCAAACATTCCATAGTATTTGGTTCGAGCATAACACACATTCATACAAAAATGAACAGCATCAAAATATTACATATTCCTTTGCTTGGAAAAAATAATAATCAAACATTGTGCTTCTTGTGACGACGTTCCAGCAAGATATTCAATACGGTTATCTGGTATTTTTCTGGTATGTTGACTGCGTTCTTTTTGTTCATCTTGATATATTTCTGAGTTTGTTTTTTATTTTAATTTGTCGTAATATCCATAAGTGTTACGGTAATTTTGACATTTTTTTTCATCCTCTCTCTCTCTCTCTCTCTTTCTCTCTCTCTCTCTCTCTCTCTCCAGTATTTTATTCCAGAAACTGTGTCGTTGAGTTCTATCAAAACAAAAAAAGACAAGATAAAAAAGAAATCGTCTTTCATTTCATAAAAGTTTGAATGAATGGTCTGGAGGATGATGCTGAAGATGGGTTTTGACTGATACATTTCAGCTCGTTTTGATTCAAGTTTCAAATGAGTGTGCCAAGTAAAGTTTTGTGCAAATGACGACGATGAGCTTAGCAATCATTCGATACTTCGAAAACAGCAGATGCACAAAAAACATCACTCTGAAGAAGAGAAAAATACACATCTACGGAAATGGTCCGAATCGAATGAGTGAGAATCAGACAGCAAGCACACTATGAATGGCATGGAACATTCGTTTCATACGTATCTAGTATAAAACGTGCACCACAAGTGAATTTCTATTGAAAAGAAATATCAACGGTACTGTGAACGACTTTAGATTGAACAAACGAACGAAAAAAAACGGCAGAAACAAATCAGCAAACGCGGAACAATATCATGTTGACGGTCTTGTTGTGTATGCTTTATTTCTTTATTTTTGCCTTTATCGACGCGCGCGTTGTCGTTTGCTTTGTCGAGAGAGTCGTTGTTGGTCGTTTTTTTGCGCTATTTGCTGTTGTTTCTTTCTTCTTTCTCCGACTGTTCATCTGCTATGCTTATTGCATTAGTCTATATTTTGTTGTTGTTTCATATTGAAAATAAATTATACGTACAAGTTTATCGTATTAAACGTATTAAATCTCTCGTTAGAGAAAAAGAAAACAGAGAACCGTAGAGTTGCAGTTAATTTCGAGAGAAGCAGCAGAAAGGAAAAATACACAGCGGCGCACTTTTTTCCTGCCTTCTTTCTCGGTCGCCGTTTTTTCAATTAATTTTGTGCGCTGTGCATTGCATATTCATTTTCTAAGCGAAACGTTTTTTCTCTCTCTCTCTCTCTCTCTCTCTCTCTCTCTCTCTCTCTCTCTCTTAACTCGATGGATCGGAGGGGTTTGATTTCATATGCTTATTTTTTCTTCTTTCGTTATGGAGTTCACATTTCTCCCCGGATCAACCATTTACTTTTGCTGTGTGGAACTTTTGTTGTCGGAGTACAAACGGAATTGTTCTTTTTTTGGACATTGAATCGTGTGTACGTAGGTATGTAATACACACACTTTATTGCAAATTGAAAGTAGTTGGATGCACAATGGTGTGTTTTTTTTTCGCTCTGGTCTTGGTGCGATACCAGGGCAATTTATATAAATATTTCAGTTGTTTCATTTCCTTTACTTCACTTCATTTCAATTACCTACGCTCACGAACACGTAGAAAAATTACTTGGCAGATTTGCGCTTTTATTTTATTTATTTAAAAAAAGAAGAAAGCACAAAAAGCGACTGACTTTATATATATGGATCACGAAATCAGCGTACATTTGGCGAAATATAAATTCATTGCATTGCGCGCTATGGTGCGCTCAATTTGGCTTTTCGGATTTGGACGATGATGACTAAATTACTAATTGAATTACGTTGAAATGCATTCAAAACATTTTCACTTGGCCAATTTTGACAATGTAATTTGTGCAATACACTCCATATAATTTGATTATACCATAATTGCGGTGACAAACGGAATGTTGTCATATCAAGGTCTCTCTTTTTTCGGATTCCAACCACATCAAATTGCAGTTTGCTTTGATTTTATATGATAGCTAATAAACCTCTGTCAGTAATCATAGTCATTGCCGTTCCCTTTAAATCGTACGCTTTTTATTCAACCTTTATCCACAAAACAAATAAACAAACCCAGAAAAAAAAATAACAAAATAAATCGGTCACCTTTTATCCGAATAATCAATACGTATAAATTGGCGCGGTGCAACAAGTCCGACAAATTCGGAACACGATGGTCTGAAGTACATAATTCGGACACAGAGTGTGAAAATGACGAAATAAATCGTCTGAATCACTCACTTAATATCATATCAAATAAATAGCGAACAATCACCATTAACAAATTTGCACAAAGTAAATCATCAGCAAAACGTATCGTTTTAAATTACAAATGCCACACGCACACACTCACACACAAGCACACGTACATCAAAATGGTAAATGTTCAATGGGTGAAGAGAAAAAAAAAACGATGTAATATTTTAAACTCGGACACAGTACACATTGGGTGATATTTAAATCAAACAATCGTGAAATACTTCAAGCACTACAGCAATAAAAAAAACGAAGAAAAATGTTGTTACACAAACACGAATACAAAGCTCCAGAAAGAGATCAAAAACTCACACACAGCACGGATTCAAAGCTCACGGAACAAAAATCGGGCCTATGGTTGTGCTTGGCCGTTGTGTCTAATCTAAATTGTAACTGCTGGGTTTTTGTTTGCTGCTAGCAGCCCGTTTTTGGGTGAAAATCAAATCGTAATGCGAAAATGAAACCAAAAAAATCAAACTAACTAAAACCATAACAAAACGAACGAACTATTCCGATCGAAGCGACAAAATATACTAGTTTGGCAAACTGCTCTCCGCATACTGTTCGCTCTGGTTGTATGTTCACAACATTCGAAGCGTTCGTTGTGGCTTGCTGCTGCTGTCGCCGTCGCCGTCGCCGTCTGTTGTGTTGTTCTTGTTTCTGAATGTTTGCTTGGCTGTGCACAGCCAGTTGATGTTTCGCATGCTATGTGAACTTTTGTGTTGTGTGTTCTCTCTCTCTCTCTCTGCATACGCGCGCACACAAGCCATTTATCGCGTTGTAATGTTTACGGTTTTACCTATACCATTTTATGTGTACATTTCCAATGAGGAATTGTGTGTGCTTTTGAAACGGACGCGTCAGATTTGTGTTTTTTCATGTTTTTCGCTTTGTGTCGTCGTCGTCATGTTTTGTTCAGCCAGCTCTCTGGTTGCGTCGAGCCAGTATTCATTCTATCGTTTGGTCATGAACGTGTGCGCTGAAGTTTTTCCATGTAGCATGTGGATAGGTGCACGCTTTTGCACACATTACACACTCTTAGCCTGAATGTAATTGCAATGTAATGCAACGAACGTACGAATGGAGCATTCATTTTGGTACCCAATCCATCGCATCGAGTGTGCTTGATTCTACACCGTATTTTTTTCTTTTCGGCTAGTTGTGCATTTGAGATATATATGTATGTTGGACTCTCTATTCGCTTTTTCGTAATCGGCATCATCGCAGTCGTGTGCATCGTCGTCGTTGTCGTCGCCGTTGCCGTCGCCGTCGTGGTCGTCGTCATTTGTTTGGCGAGAGTCGTAAGCATTGCTTGATACTTGATGCGCGCGTTCGCAGCACTACAAGTCAGGTCTAGTTTTTTTCGGTTCCATTGCCCGCGCTTTCAGCTGTTGATGCCGAATCCAATTCTACTTGTACTCTGTAATTCAACGCAACGCTTATTATTGTTATTATTATTGTTCGCCATGCTTTTGGTACATGGATTGCAGTATTTCGCAATGTACTCAACACCAAACTCAAAAATACCATCAACACAGAGCAGAATACTCGAACATAATAATGATGTACAGCGAGCATGAACACACACGAATTTCGTTTCTTCTTATTTGTTACTTCTGTCTCTCCCTCAAACTCTCCCTCTTTCTATCTCTCTTTTTCAAAATTTCTGCTCCATCTCTTTACTTGCCACAAAGCACACTCATGTGTGCAAAGAGTCTTGTATGCAAAGTTTGTTCTTTGTATCCCCCCGAAAAAAAACGTACACTCGAAATGTTTCAAAAAGATAGGTAATTCCACGTCGAGTGAGCAAAACCATCACACATATTTTGTTGGGAACATTTGTATCAAGTGGTATTCTCAGTGAGTTTATAGCACCATCGTTAAGATGGCAACCGCTCACAAAAGCATTACATATTAATAATTGAATTAATTAGCAGCGCATTTTGCTCGTTTCATTCTTATCATTCGGTGGAAGAAAGAAAAAAAAATCACCATAAAAGCAAATCGTTATATGGGCGCTAAAAAATGTGTACATTTATTGCCGCAAAAATGCTTGGAAATTGGTGAACAACGGCATTGCATCAATTTTCAAGACCATAGCCTGTCTTCCAGTCCAACGGTGTCTTTTATTCATACCGTACTCAACAAATCACAAAAAGCGAGAAAAATGCTATCAATGTAAAAACGTTACACAAACACAAAGTGTTGTTGTTGTCAGAAAGAAAAGATGAAGATGAAGACGCACAGCAGAATGGATTTTCTTCCTTTCTTCTTATTAGTTATGCTTGTGCATTTTACCATTCTGTTTAGGAGACATAATATTCATGACTTTCTTATGTGTTTTCGGCTTTTATCGCAACGAAACAACGAACATCAGTGTATATATAAACTTGGGACTTGGCGTACATGTACACTGTACACTCACAGCAGTGACTTATGCTTACTATTAATATATGATGAGAAAGAGTGATGCTACTGTAAGGAAAGAATTCTTGCCTGTTGATTTCATTTGCATGCATATATAAGACAGATATCTCTCGGTCTTTCTTGTTCTCTCTCTCCTTCTATCTGTATCCGCACGTTTTGATCAATCTTCACGTTTCAGGAGCGCATAACCATTCCAATGAAGCACGCCGTATCGTAGACAATGTTTTTTCTTCGCTTGTTGTGCTTGCAGTTTGCTCAAATCGAACCTTAACGGAAAAAGTAAACAAACACAACGACGTCACGCTATCGAATAAATCATTATCGTATTATGTAAGTTATGCATGGTCACATCATCATGGTTTGCTGTTCCTGTGGTCAGCTGTGGGTTCGAATCGAGGCAAAGTTTTAAATTACCCGAAGGCAAATTACAACAACCACTCACTGTGTAGCCGTTACCATCGTATGGATTCATCGTTTCCGAAAACCGAAAAATGTGTGCTGGGAAATATTTGCCAAAAAAAATGAAAAAACTTTAGCATTTCGGTCGATACGGTTGAATTCTGAAATGTTTGTAAAATCGGTATTCAGCTCAGGTTTCTCGATTTTCCTACTTCAATGCACACACACCCACTTGATGCTTCATGGCAATATTCACCGTTCGATTATTATTACTCGCTGGAGATTATACGATTTCATATGCGGCCTTTTATACGCCTCGGCTGTAAATTCAGAATAATTGAAGACGGAAAGAAGCTACATCGAATACAACCGAGCACAGCATAAACGTAGCACAATATATATTACATCAGGCTTCTGCCAGCTTGAGTCTCGACCACACGGCATCATTTTACAATCGCATGAAAGCAGAAAACATGCGAAACGTATCCGAAAATACGACACAAAAAGGAAGCAGCAACAAATAGAAAAAATTTCACCCATAATTTCGTCGTACGTGTATATTTGATTCCTGTGCTGTGTATTGGCCATGTTTTCCTTCTCACACGTTATTGTTATCTCGCAGTTTTTGCTTGCCATGCATATCTTCATTGTTTTTCTTCGCATTTTTATTCAATACATTTTCCATTTAATACCAGTAGATTTTCTTTTCTTTACTTCTTCGGCTAACATTTACAGCGCATATCTTTCACTTACTTACGTCTCGTCTTCGGTTTTTTTTCCTTACTGCGCTACGCTATAAATACCTAAATTTTTATCTAATTTTGTTATTATGTGTATTTTATTGTGTGCAGGCCCATGAATCGCTACTGAATTGCCAACCAGCTAACTCATGCACATTATATGTCAGAGACTGCATATTTACTGCTGTGTAGGCCTGAGCTGAGCTGAATTTTCTACCTCAGGCGTCTGAAGCGGTATTTTAGCGCGCTTACGGTGCAAAATTGTCGTGGTCTACTGGAATCCACTCAAATATAATTGATAAACAGCGTGGGTTCCAGCTATCCACGACAATTTTGCACCGGGATGATGTGCGCTAAAATACCGCTTCAGGCGCCTGAGTTAGCAAATTCAGCTCAGCTCAGGACTGCTCAGCAGCAAATATGCAATCTCTGTTTTATGTACTGATGCTTTTATTTAGTCGGCTTTAAATCTTTATTTGATGTTGATTCGAAACGGAATTGACTCTGTTTATAAGCTTTGTGAACGTGTACCTAACATAACAATAATTTCGACTGTGTTTGTTCAACAAAAGAAAGAAATACGTTTGGATGCATAGCATATTTGCGAATAGAGACACAATCACAACAATGTCGTTTGGAACAACGCTTGACGAAGCGAAAAAGAAAACTTTTTTTATGGCAAAGCTTCAATTGTACCTTATATCCGATTTACTGCAGATAATTGGATAAATTTATTAGTCTATTTCTAATGCTTATATTATATGACAGTCGTTTATAATGTCATTATTACTTATTTTTTTTATCGCCTTTAGCTACTTATGTAGGAAGCAGCTCGCTCTTCGAATATTACACTAATGAAGCTTTCCAAACTTCGAACAAGTGAGTGTTTGAAGAGTGTTTGTAACTATTTAATTATAATTGTACGACTTTTTAATGATCTTCTAAACGCACTGTAAATCATCATCATATACTCCATACAATCATCATTATTTTAAAGCTCATTGAGAACAACTCATTCACTTATGATGCTCCATGAAATTTAAATCACTCACCCGATTTTCGGGTAAGTAGAAGCGCACATGTCGTTTCCACCTTTTGCACTGTAGCAATACCAATTGGATGTGCGACGTGATTGTACACTATGCTGCTGCCGTTATCATAATAATCGATGACTTATGTACTTGAAACGGTGAGTGTGTTTTTGTTCTTCGTTTGCACGAGTGCATTTTAATTCTTGCGATCTTTTGATGTTCACAACGATTGTATAAACATTGATTTTGAAGAATGGAGCTTGAAGCGCTTTGTAATGGATGCGTGTGGGTGAAGATAATTGATAAAACCTTTTTACATAAATTACGATTATTTAAATATTCATTTGACTTGAGTGAATTACCAAAATCATCAAGACGTTCTAGACTCATTGGTAGATATGGTATTTATTCAGCATGAGTAAATTAAGATTTGGGAGTCCAAAACTCATTCGTTTAATTTCTTAATGGCAAAGCCTAGAAAAGAGCTGATATAAACACTTATAAATGGTAAGAGTGAATATTTGGAAGAAATTCTTTTGACGTGAATTTTTTTCTACCTGCTTTGAATATTTTGTTCGTACGTCATAGGTTTGGCAAAAAAATTTTCTCATTAACTGAGCTGCATACTTTGAAAATTATCTCTTTATTCCTCATAAGAATCGATAGAAATATACATTTTTTCATACATTCAGAAGCACTTTGAATTCGTTAATCTAAGCAAAACACTTGATAGTATTTTTAGAAAAAAAAACTCGTTCTCACTTCATTTCCCATGCCATTCATAGAGAAACCTTTCAATTGTTCCAAAACATTTGCAAGTACTTGGATCTGTTATATATTTGACATCAGTTTAAGTACCAAAGAAGTACTATTCGCTTAAAATCACGAATATTGTTCACGCAATATTCTTCGATTATGATATCATAATGACATTGACATTACTTGACCTTCTTCTCCGTCTCCGTAATGTGTACATAAGACTCATACAATAATTAAAATCAATTTACCGATGAATGTGTTCGAGATTATGTCACTCTCTTGTGTACTGTCATCGGTGATATCGAATCACATTTTTGTTATCAATGTGTAATGCATAGATGTACGTGAGCAGGCTGTTGTCTGTTTAACATATATATATATAAAGGCTAACAAGGCCGTGTCGTCTAGTCATATTTTTAGTGACAGAAAAAACATCAGCTGGTTCTAGTGTCTGAAAAAGTTTAGCTATAATGTTGTCGCGTAGTATATGTCCAAATTTAGCGAAAAGCTCGAAAATTTTACAACGTGGCTATGCAATAAGTTTTTTTGGCTCAGAGAAGTAAATAATTGTTTCTGCGTATTCGGATTAAATTTGAATTTGCTATTTTTAGATATTCGATTCAATTGTTTTCATGTATTTCACAATGTTTCGTCTGTGTTACAGTAACCATTAGCAAGTGATATTATCTAATCTAATGTTTGTTTACTGTTGTGAATTGCATTGACAAAATGTTTGTTGTTCACTTTTGCTTTTAACAGAGTGGAAAAGTTCGATGTTGTTGTTGTCGGAGGAGGTATCGTTGGAGCTGCATCGGCTCGTGAGATTTTGCTCAGACATCCATCATGGAAAGTGGCAGTTGTTGAGAAAGAGGAGCGACTGGCATTCCATCAAACGGGCCACAATTCTGGAGTCGTGCATGCTGGAATTTACTATAAGCCAGGCACACTGAAAGCAAAACTTTGCGTCGAAGGCATGCAACTATGCTATAAATATTTCGACCAGAAAAGCATTCCGTACAAAAAAGTTGGAAAATTGATCGTCGCCACAGAGGAAGTCGAAATTCCGAGACTGTTGGTAAGTTGAATTGTCAACAAATCAACCAGTTGATTGAATTTTTCTTCATTCGCAATTTTCATAAACACAAATTTGTCAATATTTATAGGATTTGCACCAACGGGCCATGGAAAACGGAGTACCAGACCTGCAGCTTATCGATGGTGACAAAATTCAAGAGATTGAACCGTATTGTGAGGGATTAAAGGCATTATGGTCCCCACACACCGGGATTGTAGACTACGCCCTTGTCACTGAGCACTATGCAAGCGATATACGTTCGCTGGGTGGCAAAATATTCCTCGAATACAACGTAGACCAATTTTCAGAAACTAAAGACAATTCGGAATATCCCGTAACTATTGCTTCTTCACAATCCAATACAGTGCTGCAATCCAAATTCGTATTAACATGCGCCGGATTACAATCCGATAAAGTAGCTGAAAAAACCGGATGTCCACGAAGTCCACGCATCGTTCCAATTCGTGGTGAATATCTATTGTTGTGCAAAGAAAAGCGTTTTATGGTCAAAGGTAATATTTATCCGGTACCAGATCCTAGCCTACCTTTTTTGGGCGTTCACTTCACACCTAGAATGGATGGATCCGTATGGATCGGACCAAATGCTGTGCTCGCATTCCAACGTGAAGGATACAAATGGTACCAAGTGAATCCATTGGAATTGATTGACGCTTTGAGATACCCAGGTTTTCTTCGTTTAGCCTATCAGCACTTCCGATATGGTCTTACCGAATTCTTCAGATCGACACTCATTATGCTTCAAACGCCACATGTACAGAAATTCATCCCAGACATCACCGATTTCGACTTGAGCGTTGGACCGACCGGTGTTCGGGCTCAGGCATTGGAAATGGACGGCACACTGGTTGAAGACTTTGTGTTCCATTTTGGCGAAGGACAGAGTGCCGTAGCCAAACGAGTATTACATTGCCGAAATGCACCAAGCCCGGGGGCCACCAGTTCACTGGCCATCGCAAAAATGATTGCCGATAAAATTGACATTGAGTTCAAATTATAAATTAGAATTTATGGTTTTGACCACTTGTGTCGAATATATAAAAAAAAAATTTTACGACATCGATTTTTGTAAAATCTAATCTGTAGGTATAATATTTTTTGGCAAGATTAAACACACACAATTGTTATATTGCTATAAAGCTTGCTTGGTTTTCATTTTATTTTCAAATATTGAAATGCACAAATTTATCGCTGAAACTCAAAACAAAATATCAGCTCTGAATTGTTTCCTCTCAAAATTTTTACATTCATTTCAGTCGACTGTACTGATTTGCTGTGATCATATCAAAACCGTTGATTCTGTCGCAAACAATTATTTTGTCACTAAAATCCCAATAGGCAGTCATGTGAAAAGCCATATTCGTCAGCACTACGATGTATTCCATCAGGGCGAATAATGTGTAAACTGTGAATTGAAAAAGATAATCATTTTGTTAATTGTATTTCAATTAAGTTGTTAATTTGATAATCAATTGTTCTTTCCTTATCTTAAGTCAAAATGCCTTACCTCCAGCCTCACAGTATGAATTGTGCCGCATAAAAAAGTATCCAGCAAACCAAAAGCCAATAATATTCACGAATAAAAATGTTCGTTTGTAATACAATGATTTCCGTTCCACGGTTGAAAGGACGTCGAGAATTTTGCGCGAATGTCGATTAAGTATATATGAAATAAGCATATAGCACTCTGATGTCGCGATGAAGACAATGAAACAAAATTTGTGGATTTCTGTGGAAAAGAGAATGAAAAAGGGTTTAGAAATTGCATGAACAGCCGAAATGTTGACATATATTTACCGTAAAAGTCTGATGAATTCCATAGACTAAGTCCGACCAACGCGATATTTTCGATCAGGTTTAATACAAATGCCAAATAGGCCAAAGCACGACGATTCCTTCGGATGCGACTGCTATTGTGCCTTAAATACTGTTGAGCGACTAGGAGACGTGGCAATGCCTGCAGCAAAATTGCACACTGCCAAATGAAACGTTGTGGCTGATAATTACCGATGGCCGCCGATATTGAGGGCAGGTAATTGACAACGCCGCAATGCGTAGCGGTGGATCTGTCGAAAAAGTAAAGGACGGACCATACGACACAAAAAATAAAACTAAAAAATGGTAATGAAACTATTGCCACAGCAAACTTTCCGAATGGTATTTTAAAGAAGTGGGCTTTGGTCGACTGGGATAGGGGCTCATACTGTCTAGGAATCATGTTGTTTTTTTGGTAATAATGAAAAACTTAATGCGTTAGAAATTTTAGGTCTTTTTTCACAGCCCTTGTTATAGTTGTGAGTTTCCGTCGCTGAACTCCCCAAACTGTTGTCGGTAAACTAATTTTAAAACTATTCATCATTCGTTGCGACGGTAGTGAACGAAATGTATAACATATTTTCTTTAGAATATTCGAATTTCTAGTATTTCTAGTATTTTCAATAAAAGAGCACTTTGTAGCAAAAAAAAAATCGCAATGCAGTAGAATAATCATTTGTTGACAACACACTTTTTGTTATTTAGGTCGATTTCGTGTTCTCTGTCAAATACTCACGCCCTCGTGATTGTCACAGTGCATTTGACATTTGTGTCGTTTTGGAAACATGCTTCATACACTGACATTTGTATAACCTAAACAAACAAGTACCGAGAGAGTATTGCGTTTAAACTACATTTATGACGAAATGAAAGTGTTTTTTTGTTTGTTAAATAAACGAATAATTTGTACAAATCGGAAATGTTGAAAGTTCGTGTGGTGGAATGGAGCGCCATTCGAGCGATGTCTTTTTACAAGAATGTAATAAAGACTAAGAAGTCGCCCAAAAAGAGTCACATTGGTGAGCCATTGTTAACATGCCGACGACCGGAGTTTAATTTGTATCGAGGTGATAAAATTGAAGAGAATGCAAAATTCGGAAGCATCCCGCTTACATCTGACGGCTGGCATCACTACAAATCGAAAGGAGACTTCTTCATAATTCATCCGCACCATTCAGAGGAGGATATCACCCGAAAACCCGAGTACAATCAACCGTTTGAAACGTTTAATTTGTACCCCGAGCTACTAACGAATTTATCGGGTCGATTGAATATGCCACGAACAACGTTCATTCAACACACGGCGATTCCCAAGATTTTAGCCAATCAGCACACATTGATTGCGGCCGAAACTGGATGCGGAAAAACCATTGCTTATTTATTGCCAATCATTCAAAATGTATTGAAGCGAAAACGAACGATCAACACAGAGTCGACTACGGAATTCAACACACCAAAAGTGCTAATTATCACACCGAGCCGTGAGTTAACGATGCAAATCGGAGATGTGTGTGAAGATTTATGTCATGGCTTAGAGTTGAAAACCAAAGTTTTAATTGGTGGCCACACAAAATCAATTATGGCCAATCCACCGATTGAAGAAATTGACATTTTGGTGGCGTCAATCGGAGCGCTGAGTAAATTGATTACGACAAACATCTATCGTATGCATGAAGTATGCCATGTTGTACTAGACGAAGCTGACACTTTGCTGGACGACAGTTTCCAGGATAAATTGCAGTACATTTTGAGACGTTTCCCGGTAAGATAAAGCAAATTCTGTATTTCGACCTCTTTTTCTAAGATTCTTTTTCTTTCTACAGTTCCACAAGAATGTGAGCCGACGAAATCATGATGAAGTAGCAACTCAATTAGTTTTAGCATCAGCGACAATGCCAACAAATGTAAGCGAGTCTTTGCAAATGATCATCGACACTGAAACGATACACGAAGCAGTTAGTCCGTATTTACACAGAGTTATGCCAAACATAACGCAGAAATTCATTCGAATACGCAAAGCCCAACGCCCAATTGAGCTACTTGACTTGGTCAGAAAAGATATCGACAAAAAACGACCGGTTATTGTTTTTAGCAATAAGAAAACGACATCGGATTTTGTTTCAATGTTCCTCAATGATCATGACATTGATGCTATATCAATGAATAATTCGATCCTGGAGAAAATTCGACAACAGCAGTTCAGAAAGTTTCAGTCTGGCCAAGTTAACATTCTATCAACGACGGATCTTGCCAGCCGTGGACTTGACACAAAAAGGGTAGGGATTGGATGATGAAATGAAAGAAATTTTTTAATTGTGTTTTATCCATATTGTTTCAGGCTTGTCACGTGATCAACTTTGAGTTTCCTATGTATATTTCGGATTATATTCATCGATGTGGACGTATCGGACGTTATACCAGCGCAACGAATTGTCAAGTGACCAACTTCATTAGCAGTATGCACCAGCTACCATTAGTGAGAAAAATCGAACACGCTGTACGGACCAAGGGCACTCTTCCAAACGTAAATGCCAATATCAACAAAATTCTATTCGACAAGCATGTTAAGGAGGCCGAAAAGGAACAAAAAGAATTAATTAATGCGTTGGAAAATGGTTCATAAATTAGTTGACTGAATTCAAAATAAAAATACGGAAAATAGAAATTGTTCATCTTTTTTTTCTCTATCGTATGTATTAGAGCAAATAGTGATTGCCGGAGCAGATTCATTGTGTTTCAATCTTGATTGATGATACGAACCTATAAATGGACAATATCATCCATAAATAATAAACTCTATAGTCAACTTTCTAAACCCATGATCAAAGAAGAATCGGGGTTTAAAGTACATCGTTGAATACATCGGCGGGCTTGGGAGTTGGTTTATTCCCCTCGGGAAGGGAGGGGTTTCTTAGGTATTTTGAAAAAATCTATCGTATTGTATCCGTTTCCCCGAAAATGAACAACTCTTCTGAACATAATTGCCAAAAAATCACATCTAATGTGTTTTGAGTCAAAATTTTCGAAAAAAGAATTTTTAGCCAAAAAGGTGAACAGAACATAATTTTTTGGGTTGATGTATTCAGAAAAGTTGTTCATTTTTACACCAGCTACAATTTCGCCGAAGACCGTGCCAAAAAATTGAATACATCCTGCGTTTTACTAAAAAATGCGGAAAGAATATGGGATAAAACGTTTCAACCTAGGGGGTAATAGCGAGAACAAATGTATGAAAATATGGTAGGGGAATGTTGTAATGAGCGGATCACCCAAGCCATTTCGGCTATAATTTTTTTTTTTCTATGTGGACTTATGTGGAGTTATGTATACAGTTTGATAGCTATTGACATTAGCTAAAAGTTTTTTGCAGCCGTATCTTGTTACCTCTTCAAAACAAAATTTTTGCTTATTTTTCCAAAGTGTTGATTTTTGGCACCCTTAAATTTTGTAGTAATAAGTGTGGCCCACCTGATAAAAATCCCAAAAAATGTCAAAAAATCAAGTAAATGTTTTCCAAAATTCCAAAGTTCTAATGTATAGTTAGTTCTGAAACATCGAAATCCACGTTTTTTGGAAGTCATATTATTTACAGGTGAATTAGATGTGGTCATATTTTCGTCATTCGGATGAACGGAAATATTACACTAATTGCGTTTTATAACGTTTTTGCGGTGCAATCAAGTCTACACTATACACGGGTTTTCGGTCTCAATTTGATGTTTTCAGGGAAGAAAATAATGGGTGGTCCACTAATTAAATTTAAAGCCATTTTGATTGACTCACTAAAAAAAGTGTGAACATCAAAATTACTCCGGAATAATTTTAAATGATCGATATCATGGCTTGAGCTAACCAAAAAAATAAAACTCTACTTAAAAAATACGATTTTCGAACTTGTTTCGGGCTTTGGTTGAATTCACTTTCTTATAAAATGATTTTTTTCCACAAATTTGGTCTAAAATAGTCATTTTTCGAAATTTTCACCAAGAAATGACACATTTTTACGGGAAATAATTGAAATAGCGATTTTTCGAGGTCAAAACTGCTATTTGTCAAAAGTAATGAAGGATTGTTGGGTAAAAGCAATAAATTTCATCACTGTTGTCTCATATCAAAATCTAAAACGAAATTAGCCAAACTAGTAGCTAACACTGTTGTATTGCAATCCTGTCATGAAGAAATTCTCATTGAACTTTTGGTTAAACATTAAGCGGAATGAAAGTAAAATTGCTGTGGTGCGGAAAAGTTTGGACTAACTGGTAAGTATGTAAATCGTTTTATTTCAATTTTGGAAACAACTTTTTAGCCACGCAGTTGTTCAATGCGTTCATGTAATCGAAATGTTCTTCAGCACAAGTCTCTTCAGTTTTTATTTGAGAATTAACTCGGTCATTGCATGTTTACAATTTTTCGTAGCTTTTTGTGGATTGGAAACATCGTCTTGAGTTTTGACGCTTGGAATTTGTGCAGCTTTGAAAAAAAAAAAATTTCTCATCAATAATTTTCTTCATGTGGAAGTACATCAAAATTTGAATTAGAAATATCGATTGCAATCATTCAAACGTTATCCACATATAAATTGATGGCCCCATAAAATATTAAGCGATAACATTGATTTGAAGGGGAAATGCAATGCAAGTGTCATGAATCGCAGAAACACGATCTACTACAACACCGCTATAACTCATTTCCCCTCATTGTGACGTTACTATGTATCTGTGTTTGACGTATAATAGACTTGCTGAGATAAACCCAATTTAGTCTACATGCGCCATTCGCAGAGTACAGTATTCCGTGAATATTTGTGCACATTTTTCCAGTCAGTAATTTTCCATAAAACAACATCAGAGCTAACAATGGCATCACCAGTACCAAACATTACTTTGAACAATGGTCTATCCATTCCTCAACTGGGTTTGGGCACATGGAACGTAAGTATTGAAATAAATTAAATCAAATTGAAAAATCATTCCAATTTAAATGGGGTAGCAACACAATAATTTTAACACATGAGTGGTACCAGTTTGATTGGATTTGCTGGGAAACGACACCGCCGGATGTATATTTGAACAATATTTCAATCATATGCATTGAATTGGTTTTCAAGTTTCAACTGGTTGTTTATTTGGACAATCATGCGCGTCATCGTTCGAACGTTCTGGAAACTATACCTTGATTATTGTAAAATAGCTCACGAGAGCAGTCTTCAGAGCATTGCAATGTTACACAGTAACGCTACATTCCAACAATTGATTATATGATGTGAAAATAAAAGAATTGGATGGATGGCAATGAGTGAATTTTGTCACCTGTTTCGAACTAGAACGATGCTCGGTGCAAATTGAACGATATTCGTCACTTGTCATACATATTTTACATAACCTTAAGATTAGCATTGCAATGTTATTTCGTTGAATTTTTCATGAGAGCAAATATGTACGGCGAATCAAACGAAAATCGCTGTTTTCGCTTCAATTACAATAATTGAATGTCAATTTTCTTCGTGTTTGCCAACGCTTTCCTCGGAAGAGAATGTAATGCACGGTTTCCGTAGTCTTTTTTTTAGTTTTGTGTTTGCTTCATATTTCGCTATCGCTGCGTACGTAACTTTTGATTAAGTAATGTTCAATGGTTGATAAAGCGAATAGGCCAAAAGGTCGTTGCGGGGTAAAAAAAAACTATTTGCTTGAAATTTAATGACAAGATAATTATGATTTAGAAGTTGTTGTTTCGACAAACTTATTATCTCCATCTACCCAGTTTGAGCCCAATCATATGGAATTATACCAGTTTCAATAAATGATCAGAATTTTCGATAACCATGACCTTAGTTACAAGATACCCACTTTAATTCTACCGTTATAAAACTTTAAATATGCTGCTCTAACGAAAGTATATGCACAACAGATTGAGAACCGGTTGAACTTCGAACGGTGTCTTCCGAATCATTTGCATGTGCATCATGTCGTTGGATACGCTAAGAATTCTTTTCGTTCGCATAAATAAATCAATTTAGACTCTCTGGAAATAGTCGGATTCATAACATTTCGACATTGTCGTTCTCGATATTTTCAACTTATGACAAAAATCAATATTGTGAATTACGTGTGCAACTTTACAATTTTATTGAACCAATTGAACTCTAGACAACGGCTTTTAATCAAGTACACGTGAATTTAATGCGCTAGTAATAATCTGTGAATATTTTTGAATTGAACTTGTGACGAAAAAAATGTGTCTTACGATAATGACTTCGCAATTTTTTTTGATTGCACAATGCACTCGTCATTCCATCAACAAACATTAACATCCCGGCTTATCAATCATTTATTGTTGCTGCCAGCAAATCGTATGAGATACATTGTCACTTGCATGTAATATCTTATCGTTTCTAGAAATAATAAGAAAAACACTTTTGATAATTTTTTCCAATTTATTTGCTGTTTCCGCAGTCGCCACCCGGTGAAGTTTCGCAAGCTGTTAAGGACGCCATCGACATTGGATACAGACATATCGATTGCGCTTACGTCTATGGTAACGTTTTCTTCTAATTTCATTAATTTGAAATGATTAATTTTTATTTGTTTATTAATTGGATTTATTAGGCAATGAAGCCGAAGTTGGAGAAGGCATCAGCGCAAAAATCAGCGAAGGCGTTGTCAAGAGGTTTACAATTTCTACTTTCCCACAACAGGTCAATCAACTTAACAAATTGCTAATTGAGTTTTTTTTTTCTCTTTCCAGAGAGGACTTGTTCATTACCAGCAAATTGTGGAACACATTCCATCGTCCAGACTTGGTTGTTCCGGCTCTCAAGAAAACATTGGAAAACTTGAAAACACCCTACCTCGATCTGTACTTGATTCATTGGCCGTTTGCCTACAAGGAAGAAGGTGACCTTTTCCCAAAGGACGAGAACGACAAGCTCCAATTTTCCGACGTAGACTTCGTTGATACCTGGAAGGCCATGGAAGAAGCCGTCGACTTGGGTTTGGTTAAAAGCATTGGAATTTCCAACTTCAATGTCGCCCAAACCAAACGCTTGCTAGAGTCATGCCGCATCAAACCGGTCACCAACCAGGTCGAATGTCACCCGTATTTGACGCAAATCCCTTTGAGCACGTTCTTGAAGAGCGTTGATATTGTTTTGACTGCATACAGCCCATTGGGATCACCAGCTCGCCCATGGGTTACGAAAGACGATCCAGTTTTGCTTGAAGATCCTAAGGTAAGAAGAAGTGATTATTTAATTGATTCAAATATTTAAATATTTCGTTTCAATTCGAAACCAATCGCCCAATTGAAAGAGAGAAAATAAATCACACGAATTGTATTTTTTGTCAGATTCTCGCCATCGCTGCCAAGTACAACAAGAATGCTGCCCAAATTTTGATCCGCTATCAACTCCAACGTGGTCATGTGGTCATCCCGAAGTCAGTCACCAAGGGTCGCATTGCAAGCAACTTCAATGTTTTCGACTTCGAATTGACCCAAGGCGATATTGATGAAATCAATACGTTCGAATGCAACGGTCGTATTTGTCCGATGGCTGGGTAAGAAACCATTTAATTTTCTACACGTTTTACTTCACTTGTATTTTTTCCACTTAGATATTGTATTTACAATTTATTTGTCTAATATATTTGAAGCGTAACTTTGTAAGCGACAGCTTTCACTAAAGAAAATGCACAAAATTTTAAAAAATAAAAATTTTTTGACCAGGGGAGCGATTGATTCAACAGCCCATCGTGATTATCCTTTCCATGATGAATTCTAATTCACCTGTAACGGGCTAATCTAATTCAAAAACCAAACAGCAAAACCAAACCAAAATAAAAAAAACAAACAAATTTCATATCAAAACCATATAACTATTGGTTAAATCTCAATACAAAAAAAAATGAGCATTTGAACACGTATTCTATTAGGTAAATTGGAGTGTGTTTTGTTGTGATGTAGTTGTGTAGTCTTTCTTTTGTAGTCTCTTTTCTATCAAAAATTGAAGCAAATTTTTTTGCATTTCCTGTTCTTTTTTTCACATTCTTATTTGTATTCCAATCCCTTACGTTCTTCCACTTGTTATGCAATAATAATTTTTCTTTGTTTTTCCCACTAAGTTTTGTTGTGTGTTGCCGTAGCAAATTATGATAATGGGTTTGAAATTGTTTTGGTTATGTTGCTAATATTGAACAATTTACTAAGCAATTTGTTTGAGTGCATGCTTGCTTGCTTTACTTTGGGTGAAGTTCAGAAATAATTTGTTTTCTTTTTCTCTCTCTATTTGCAGCGCACTTGGTCACCCATTCCACCCATTTGAAAAAGATGAGTTCTAATGCACCAAATACGAACCAGATTGTTCTTAGAACAAATTCCTACAAATATTTTCATGTACCAACCAAATTTAGAATTACATACACAGCCTCACGTATTTGATGTTGTATGTTGTTTGATCGTGGAACGTTCATGAATACCTCAACATCATTTCACGTGAGATAATAATTTGATGCTATGAATAAATCAGAAAAACCAATAGCTTGTGTCTATTTTGTTTGGTTCATTCAAATTTCACAGCGGTTTGTCAGTTCATGGCATAATATTGCTTAAAAGGTAAGTTTTGAGCAATTTTCGGTTGGTCCATAAAACAGAAAACCGAAACCGAACACGTAATTTTGATGAAATAACGGCACTTTGGGTAAACCAACAAGAAAGAACAATCAACGTTGGCCAATGTGTTTAACCACATCATTTGCCTTCAGTGAATTGAACGAAAAAAGCAAATTCAATTGGGTGTTCTATTTTCCGATTGTATCGGTATAATTGAATGAGTTGTGCCATTGTATCACACAAACTTGTGTAGAATGAAGCGAAATCGCGTTGACGACACAAGTTCACGATTAAGAGAAAAAGCAACAGCAACAATAACAAAAACAACAACAACAGCAACAATAATAATGACTGAAAACAATCCGGAAACCGTAATCACAGTAAAGCAAATTGCCATCCCGTACAATTGGAATGAAAAAATGTAATTGATAAACTAAGAGTCTGTTTCCACATGCGAAACCTGTTAAAAGTGGAACAAAGTCAAGAACATATGCAAACAGAACCAAACGGATCATGTGTATGATGCGGAGGATGTTTCATATATAAACATATAGCGATATGAGTTGCTTATTTCTCTCTCTCAGCCAACGATCATCTTGTCGCACAGCATCGACGTTCTTACGAACGTATGTATGTTGTTCACGTGTTTCCCATATCTTTCTGTTTCGCATCATTTAACGGTTTTTCGCCATCTCGATCGAAAAAAAAACATAAATTGAATATTTTGTAGCTTTTGGCATTGCTTAATAAATCTCGACGATGAAACCAAGCCAAAAACAAGCCGCTCCAACGAAAATTTACTTTGGATGGAATATTTAGGTGACAAGAGAGATTTTGTTAGAAACGGCACGGCGCATGTATGTTCTTGCGCAATGTTTTTGTATTCTTTGAACGGAAAGACAAAAAACGTAAATCCATTGGGAAAACCACAATGTGAATTTAAATGAAATGTTCAGCCGCAGCATGAATTTTGCGTATTCTTTCATGTTTCCTACTTTCTATGCCTTACCATTCAGCTTGAATGGTTTGTTGGTCTATTTGGCTGAACATTTCTTACTCTATGGTAATATCGAGAATTGCTGCAGAACCACCGTACGGCCATATTCCTACATGCATCTATTCAATTTCGCGTGCGAAATGACAACGACATTTGACCATCGAGTAAGTCTAATGTTAAATGCAACACAAATGACTTCTTCGAGAAGCGAACAAATGCTGATCTCTCTCGTACGGCAAAAAAGATGATTCCTATGTATTAATGAGCATGTGGAAAGAAACAAAAAGACAAATAGTTAACATCAACGCACGTCGATTTGTTGGCTTTATTTTCCTCTTTGCTTCGTTTTTTTTTTTCTTTTTTTCGTATAAAAATATTAGCTACATAAAGAATAATAATAAGCGACAGAAAAAAAAAAATAAAACTGCACGCATACACACGGTCGTCGTCGTCGTCTTCTTTGGCTGTGTATACAACACTGAAAGTCGGCTGAAGCTGAAGTGGAAGTGGTATGCTGAGTATAGAACTTTGAATCTCGTCATTTCTTTACACCGTTTAACCAAATACAAGAACTCTTCAGCTTAACTGAATTTAGTCGATTGATATCTGCAGACGCAAACGGACGGTCTACCACGCGCCGCGAAACTCAACAGTTGTAAGAAAAAATAAAGAAGAGCAGGCGTTTTTCGTAACAACGTTTTTTTATCGTTAATTTAAATCGAAAATAAAAATGGTGAGTTTCAGTGATTGTTCTGATTTTTTCGAAGAGATTTCGAATGTGAAACCCAATCTCAAGAGGTGTTGCGATTTAAGTGGTACAAAAAAATAATTTAGATGTATTAATTTTGGAATATAGATCTTCAGTGAAGATTCTTCACTTAAAAATTCAGCGATGAATATGATTTAAAAAAAGAAATATGTTTGAATAATTGGCTCTTTGCTTCCATGTCGATCGGTCGAAGTAAAGAATATTTACAACGAAAAAAACAAAAAAGACTTCTTCATTCGAAAAACAAATTCGGCGAGCAGAATTTGTAGAACAGAAATACATAAATTGCTTAATCGTAAACATAATGTGAATCGGCTTAAAATCGACAAATCAAAGTTGCGTAAAGAATGTGATCAATTAAGAATTCATTCATCGTTCAAACCAAATGTGTCATTGACATCGACAAAATTTGCGTACATGTTCTTACATAACACCTCATAATTATTCGGAAAGTCAGAAGAAAGCCATCGTCTTCATTATGAAAATCCGAAAAAACCCGTTACCTTTACCTCGTCGATTGAAATTCGATTATGCGCTATAAAATTTCAATAGTTCAATGTCCAATGAGTTGAGACCGAACCAATGTCCAGCACCGTGCGACTGAGCCAATGTTCACAATGTTGAGAGACTGCGAGCTGTGAAGCGAATTGGATTTAATCTCCAGCTGATAATTTGGTGTTAAGTTAACACTGTTACCCATTTCCACAGGAACATAAGTAGATTTTATGCATAAGTAGTTTACGTTTGCATAAGTAGATTTTATGTAAACTTAAACGTGCACATCTAATTAACAAGAGCTAACGAGTTATAAAATATTCGCAAAGTTATTGGATCGAAAAGTCACTGACTTTGAGCTGATCCCTTTAATTGCATGTGATGATTCTTTAGAAATAAAAGATTATTCATTCCATGCGATGAAAGAATGAAAATATACCTACCATACGCAAGATTTAAACAATTGTGCACCATTTTAATTACACGTTTTTAAGAGCAATAACAACAGTTTCATTCTATCAAATGGAAGGAAAAAAAATAATCGTCTTTCACGGTGTAGTCCAAAATGTTAACCGGATTTCGATGCGAATGCTATTTGTTTCATTTAATTTGAGTGAATTTTCATTTTCTGTCTACAAATAAATTATGTTTTGTCGGCAACACTATAATTTAAGCCAAGCACAACAAAAGGAAGAGAACAAAACAAAAAGTGAAACCGAACACAGGAGAAATAGCATGAAAACAATTTCTGTATAAATTTCATCACACATTTGCTTAGATATAAATGAGTTAATGGCCTCTAATGATGATGATTCGTTTAGAATCACAATTCAACCTCTTTCATCGTTGTCTTTGGAATCGGTTCAAAAGTGGAGTGAGAATTTAATGTGAACACGACTTTGTAAAGTTTTTCTTCATCATTCAGTGATATTCGAAAAGAAATTATGTTTTTTTTTTCATTTTTCTTCATCTCACCTCAAGAGTGTGAGAGCAATGATGACAAAAATGTACACTTCAAAGGAATTTTAAATCAGAGAAAAGCCCGAGAGATTAAAATGGGATTTTTTGTTTTGTTTCAATTGGCAGTTTTTTTTCTTCTAAATGCGTCAAACAACATACAAAATAATAATTGCTTCTTTAATTGCACTGGATCTCATAATTTATGTGCAATTTAATAAGCAAAAAAAAACGCAAAGAAAACCTAGTGGAATGGAATGAACATCTTCTTCAGCTGGTAGAAATCGTTCTGAGCGCAAAACAACCTGTACAATAAATAAAACAACGACGATTGTTCAACAGTGCGGAACCGCTTTGATTCTTATACTTACGCTTTGTGAAGAAAACAAGAATTTTCACTTATCACACTTCGTTTGCGTAGAAAAAAAAACGTGTTGTGTGCCGCTGTTGCGGCTGTATGAGGGGCCTCGTGCAAAACAAGTGATTTTCTATTCGCTTGAATCACACATCACACAAACAAGCGGTCGTTTCATCTGAGTCTCACTATAATTGCTCGTCGCTGAGCTGAGACGAATCCGATGAACCTAGAAAAAAGAGCTTAAGATTGACACATGAAACTTAAATTGCTGTACGTGTTACAAGAGCGTCGTAGTTTGTTGACACATAACAGCATCTTCCCCCCCCCCTCCCCATCCATTTAGAATGATTATCGCTGTGGTGCAAAAAGAACTCTCTTTTTTCACGATATTTTTTTAGCCTAATTGATGGCTCAAAGTGGTTTTTTGGTAAACAATTAAATGAATCCAAATGAGGTAAAAGTGACACCGACTTAATTTGATCAGATTAAAACGCTCGGTTGGGGGTTAGTTGAAGAAAAAAACACAACAGTGAATGAGCACAGAAATCGTCGAGCACGTTTAGTAATGTTCACCGAAGAATATTCTTTAGACAGTGAAAACAGAAACAAAAACGAAATACAAAAAGAAGATAAATGTTCACTTTTTCGAGAACAATACAATTAAACGGAAAAAGAACAAGCCAAAAGAAAAGAGAAGCCGATGGAATGCTATTTTTATTGTTGTGGCTCCATATCAGCATATTCATCGCCTGCAAACAGAAACATCAACGATTTCTCATTTCATCGAAATGAAATGTGAGCAATGCGGCAAAAAATGTTCTAAAAACCACGCGCGAGACTGTTTCTCTTTTTTCTGCATTTCTCTTTGAAAGAGAAGATCTTAGGATGGTGTAAATAAAAATAATTAATTTTATCCAAATCTTTCTTTTCCCGAATTCTAAGCTGAATCATTGTGTTTGAATGGCAGAAGATACCATCAAAAGAAAAATTCAGTCAGCAAATATGGATTTGATGTTCAGCATATTCGCAGCATTTTTTATCGTGCAATGGCAGCCGACAAATGGATATAGTCTAACAAATGCAACAGATTCGGGTGAGTTTGAAAGTTTTTTTTGCAATCAAAATTTCTGCTGCACATTCTTGTTTGCAAAACGTTCATAAAAATGGCAATTTATCTGCTCGAAAAGAGAAAAATAGAGCCAAAACCGTTACGTGCCACACCATAAACGCGATAATACTGGTAGAATTCTATTCATTGCTCTTAAGTGAGTGACCGTGTTTTCAGCCCACGTAGAATTATTCTGTATTGTATGAATGCGTCAAACGATAACTTTCGAATTTGTGCTTTCCATTGTCAATTAAAATGTGAAATGGGAACACACAGTTTTGCAAAACACACATTGTTGATATACGTATGAATTCACTACTTTGACACGTGCAGAATAAAAAAAAACGCTCACCAACATTAATGAAATTAAACTCGGCATTATTATTACCATTGATTGAAGCTCAATTCATATACACACTACAATTACTATGGCAGTTATGCATTGTGAAACTAGATGATCAAGGTTGTGGTGACTTAATTCCATACTCCAGATTAGTTATCGGTTTGCATTTATACTGGTATGCAAACACACTGGTTTAATGCACTTTGTTTCCTCTTCGCTTCTGTCGTGTGTTTTTTTGTTGTTCTTCTACGTGTTACGGTTGCATATGAGCCATGCCCATATGAGCCACGGGTCTCATGTACCGGAGGCTTTCTTTCCTCGCAATAAATCTAACTGGATTATTAACTCATATGCAGCATATTCTTGTGTACATATTCTGTTGCGGTGTTTCATGCTGTGATGCAGCACAAAATGAATGTGTGTAGTACAAAACCGTGTGTAGTCAGACCATTGGCGCTCGGTTCTCCGTTTCTTGAATAGCCTACTTTTCGATTCGATCACAATACCGTTTAGATCAAGTGATGCAACTTACTACTATTTTTTTCTCCTCTTCTTCTTCTCTTCCTTTTCTGTTTATTTTCTCTGTACAGTTTTGGGATGTTCTCACAACAATACGCGATTTGCCAATGGATCGTTTGTGCCAACAGTAGAGCCTTGTCTGAACTGTAAATGCATAAATGCAAACTTAATATGCGCTTTGCGTGTGTGTCCTGATCAGGCGTTTCCGCCGCCCCGCGGCTGTGTGATCGTGCAAAAAAAGAACTCGTGTTGCCCATACATGACATGCTCAAAACTCCATACGGTTTACAAAGATCAAGAGAAAAAGGTCGTTACACACGATCGCAAATGGTACGAACAAAATATTCGGAATCGAATATTCAGCCAGAATGCGCTGCAACGACGGATTGAGGACTCAGACGCAGAGCAGCAATTGAGCAATGGAAAAAGTATGTTTTTGTTTGTTCATTTTCATCGATTTATCCAAGTGAAACCGATAATTTTACCGACTCAATTACAGTGTGCGTGGTCAATGGGACCGTTTATCGAAGTGGTTCAGCAATGACGAGTTCATCATTGTGTACTTACTGCTACTGCATCGAAGGCAAACAGAAGTGTATCCAACCGAAATGCACTCTTCCAGCCAAAGGCTGTGAACCAATTTTAATCGATTCGTCTTGCTGCCCAGTCCGGTATGATTGCACTGAAAACAAAATCATCAAAGCCAGATATAACACAAAATATAATCGGCGACGAAACGATAACAAGCATTACCTGCGAATGACATCGAGAATGCAGAGAAGTCGAGGTGGGTGGTATTCGGTTCCCAAAACAAATCGTTACTTAATGTTTAACAAATAAATTTCCAAAAAATTATATACGTTTATGTTGACAGGTTGTTTGTTTAATTCCACATTCTATCCGGAGGGCCATAAACTGCCAGCAAACCAAACGAACCCGTGTGAAATTTGCTTTTGCATTGGCGGCAGTAAACGATGCGCACCAAAGAAATGTGCTCCGATGATAAGAAACTGCAGACCAATCATTCCGGATGGCCAATGTTGCCCGTCCAGCTACGATTGCAGTAAGTTTTTATTTTGTTCTTCTCGCCTGCTTCGACGGAAATATAAATAATAATTCGTATTCTCGATTCTCAGAAACGGTTTCAGATCACAAGACTGCTCGGGGTTTTATATCGCGACAGTATTCGGATTTGTTTTCGTTGTTTTTCGGTGATGAAGATAAAGAGAATTCAACAGCATCATGGGATTATGAGACTGAAACCGAGTCGATAAGTGCCGAGCTGAATGCAACGAATGAAAAAGGCCTGCTCGACGTAATAAAAGACAGCTTGAATTATGTCGACGGGAACAAACAGACGGCAGAACAGCAAACAAATGTTCCTAACCAAATAGTTCAGTCGATAGCAAATTTACCAAGCTACAATGTTAGCGACGGTGATGACGGCAACGGCGGTGGGGACGATGATGATGATGACGATGAAGAAATAAGTCTGCTGGACTTTTTCTTAAAAGGTGAGAGTGAGTTCACCTCAACAACAACTAAGCCGTTTGTGTTCAATGTGACTGGGAAACCACTACTTAATGGCATGACGAACAGTCCGATGCAAATTCAACCCATCTTACCAGACAATATGAAGAATGATTCCATTAGATTCTCAATGTTGCCCATGTCTCTGTATAATATGGTGAAAGATGATGGTACTGTGATGTTTGATGGTGAAAAGGCAAATCAATCACAACAAATTGTATCTTCGCATCCATTAGGAGTGTCTAATTCCAAACACGCAATCAAAGAGATCGAAAGTGACGTATCACCAATTAAAAGCCACGTAATCCACGCGCCAACAATTAGCAGTGATGTGAAAACGACAACACATTCATTTGTTTCAGTAACAAAGCCTAGCACCAGCACTCAAACGTCGACCTCTGCACCAAAAGCAAAGCCACACAATGATTTAAATGTACGTGTTTCCAATGAAACCGCAAAAATAAATAAAACAGAAAGTGTCAGTGTGAAAAGTGCGGTGAATAAAACGGAAAGCAGTCGGATCGAGACGACGACAGAGCAAAAAATCTCAGTTACAACTACTCCAAAATCGAAGCCAACCAAATCTTCGGTAAATCAAAATATGACGAAATCCACTGGTTTAACAACCAAAAGGATTATTACAACATCGACCATCAAGCCCACCGTTAAAGTGACATCAACTACACCAAAAATCGATGCAACCACCGTAAAAACAGCTATTAAAACCACAGTTAAAACGACGGCCAAAACAACGACAAAACCAACGACTACTAAAGCACCACTAATAGAGAGCACCACAGCTTCGATGCAACCACTAACAACCAAAAGCACGACAATTCCGAAAATTACCGCCGTTCAAATCAATTCGAATCCATCGATACTCGAAACGGATGTCAGTTATGACTACAGTGAACCTACTCTGCCTCCAAGTCTTCCGAATTTGAAAATTATACCATTTTTGCCGACTGATGCCGTTAAAAATATAATCCATCGAAATGATGGCTATAAATCAAATTACAATTACTATCAATCCAGTTCGAATCACTATGCCGGCCCCGAAACACATGTGGAAAACACGGCATATTCACCGTTCAACGTTAAGCCAAATATTGAAAAATATCCTACATACACAGTAGCAGATGACCGCATCGATTATGATAGCTATAAAATGCCGGCTGAAAATGTGGATGGGTTGGATTATATAAATGTATACTCAAACGGTGGTAATATGATTCAACCAACGTCGTTCCAATTAAGTGTCAATTCAAAACTTGACTACGGAACCACAGATCAGAAAGTGGTTCCATCGAAAATTCCACCGATAGTGAACAAGAATTTGACAGTGAAACCGCCGCTGCCTCCGTTTGAACCCGAGCATGAATATCATCTGTATAATCCACCACCGAAGCCGCAGCTTGAGTTGGGCAATGGCTATAATGAGTACAGTGTTAATGGACCTATTTCGAATGATCCGTTCCCATCCGAACATAATTATAATGTTCCACATTTTGTGACAATGCCACCGTTGAAAGAACCACAACACAGACCGGTAGCCAATAAGGATACAGTATTTAGTTATGGTGGTAAAAACAAATTCATTCCACCGGCAAAAACAGAAGGTATGTCGAACACCATATGGAAATATGTGAAAAATCTAAAAATGTCTCGTATTTTTTAAATTATGATCCAATGTTGTTTCAATTTGACTCATCTATTTGAAGGTGGTTTTGTGCCGAAGCGAACGAATGGAGAGAATTACATTCCTTTGCATGGATCTAATTATTATGCTGACAGCAAAGAAGACGAAACTAACTCATTGAAAAGTAATTTTTCCAAAAACAGATCATGAGATGTGAACTAAAAAAATTAATTTAAATTTTATTGCTAACCAGATTCGTCGGATACACCAACAGATAAAGTGCAGCCGAATGAAAGTGAAGAAAAAACAAAAACAGAGGAATCAAACCAAACCACATCGAATTTGGATAAATACATAATATCAATAACGACAGAAAAGGACTTCAAAATCCCATCACTCGAGGAGTATAACGACGCTTTCTTGGGTGTTGACATTCTTGGGCCATATAAAAAGCAGTCGGAGGAATATGAAGTGGCCAGCGACAATGACCAAAATACTGCGAATGCTCAGCTTGTTGATCATAACATTTCCTTCAATAGTCTTTACGGCGTGCTATTTTCAGATGAAGAACACGTACACACACCTTCGACTGCATTAACCGCTTCCAAATCTTCGAATACTACAAGCACCACTACCACTAAATCCACCACTTCGACTTCAACACCAAAGCCTCCTTCGAAAAATTTAACAGATAACGCCATCCCTTTAAAATTGATAACAATTATAAACAACACGAAGAAGGAGAATCCAACAAAAGTTGAAATACCGCAACGGAAAAATAACAAAATCATCGATCCGACTGATGAACCATTGGTAGAGAATTTGCCGACAACTGAATTGCCCTCATCCACCACAAGTGAACCGGAGAGTAGTGAAAATTTGGCGATACTTCGCGATGTGTTCTTTTCAAGCCTAAATCGGGCACCAATCGTCAGTAGTGATATTTCTGAAGACTTACTCCATAAATCTCCTATATTCCTGTCCCGTCCAATAAACAAATTCGGCATCAGCACTGCTGGTTTTTCAAATCTAAATTCATTGGAATCAAAGCACAATTTCCAAACCAATCCAATTCGATCTGAACTCGATTTGATCATTCCTGAACTGAACAAAAATAAACACAACCACGATTTCAGTCATACCAACAATTTCAGTTCGGAAAATTATCAAGTGCTTCCCGCTGACGATACAAACATTTCAAATACCGAATCGTATGTAGTGAATCCAGTTGATGTGGACAAATTGAAGGAGCACCATTCGAATGGTGAAACCAAAATATATACACCTCCGCACAAAGATCCGGCAGGTCTGTTGAAATTGGCCGGTTGTAATATTTATGGTCGCATGTATCGCGTTGGACGGATTATTGCTGAGCTATCGAGCTCATGCCTCGAATGTAGATGTACAGAGGTTGGTGTGTCGTGTACGCCATTGAATTGTTAACAAGTGTATTCAACGAAGCCAAGTGATAGTGACAAAAAAAATTTAGCAATTTTTTTTATTCAAATTTATCTCACTAATACATAAAACTTGTGTGCCGAACGGATTATATTAATTTTAGTTTGGTAGAAGAAAAACAAATGCACGAAATTGTTTCGTTTGGTTTTAAATTTCCAGTGAATATCGTTGAGAGTTTTCGCATTAAGCAAAGTCAAAGATTTTATTTATGTTTAATGTTCATGTGCACTCTTTTTTTAATAGTGTATAATTTCAGATCTAATTTTAGCATCTTGACGAATTTTATTGCTATGGAATGAATATTAATATTCACAATAATTATTATGGTTTCTTTTCGTACAATTTTTGGTCATAATGTGACTAATTCTAAGAACTCAATCGATAAAAAATAATATAAAAATCGAAAAAGAAGATGATTGTTTCAATTTTTCTCGCAGAACTCAACTTTGGTTGGAAAATAATGGTTTTAGATCATTATTGCTTACTTTGTAATGAGTTTGATCGATTGTTTTTTTCTTTTCTTAAAAATAATTAGCCCTGTAAATAACCCAGCAATTCCGCCACCTAAACGAGGGAAAGTAGTGAAGCAAAGTAAACAATTTAGTAACAAGAAGAAGAATTAGAAGTCAATTGAAGGCAAGGCTTACTTACAGTCATGGACAAAATTGAGCGTACGCCTATAAATTTTGTGTTTTATTTTTTCCAGTAACTTTTCATCTCAAATGTAATATATCAATGGGAAGTACATGAAAAATGAATAACATTGGCAATTTTGAACATCAAAATTGGTCGGCCAATAGGCGGCTTATGGCCCTCGGTAAAAACGGCCAAAAATTCAACTTTTTCCTCAGCCGTTCGATTTAAAAAGTTTAAATGCAGTTTCGAAGGCCTTCAGGAGCAGATGCTTTTAAACGCTGAAAACTTTCTGTTTGGTTTCAATTTGGCCAAGTTATGGCCGTTGGAAAAATGGCCGATTTTTTTCGAAAAATTAAACCAAGCGTTTGATTGCGAAATGTCATATGTCGTTGGAAAGCCCATTTAATGAAGATAATTTTAATAGTATAAAACATAGAAATCGGTTACAATTTAACCAAGTTATAGGCGTACGAAAATTTTGGTCAACATTTTTTTGGGTTTTCCAACGGCCATAACTTGCCCAAATTGAAGCCGATCCGAAAGTGTTCAGCGTTTAAAAGTATCTGCTCCTGAAGGCCTTCAAAACTGCATTTAAACTTTTCAAATCGAACGGCTGGAGAAAAAGTTGAATTTTTGGCCGTTTTTACCGAGAGCCATAAGCCGCCTATTGGCCGGCCAATTTAGATGTTCAAAATTGCCAATAATATTGATTTTTTATGTACTTCCCATTGATATATTACATTTGAGATGAAAAGTTACTGAAAAAAATAAAACACAAAATTTATAGGCGTACGCTCAATTTTGTCCATGACTGTATGTGTACTTTTTGCATTGCACTGTATATGTCCATAGTATATGTCCATAAGAAATACACAGAGACAATGCAAAAAGATAGGCAGATTTGTTTACAAAAATAAACAAAACAAAAATCCCCATAACTAATGCATTGGCAATATAAAACTAAATGGCGAACATTTTACATTTCTTAAGAATACTATGTAAAGTGGCAATGCGTGGATATAGGCAGACTTGTTGACAAGGGTCAAACACTATGTGTGAGAATCGTTGAATGAACAAGCGCGCGTCGTTTCATAGCCAGAAACTTCAATGCTCTGGTTCTGAGAGTTCATTTTCGTAATCTCCGGCGCACATCATGTCATTTGTTTATTTTGTTTGTGTACCTCGCACTATTTCTTTGTCCAGATTTGAATATGAGTTCGTTGTGCTTTCGATCTGAAATACATTTGTCTGATTGTACCAGTGCCACACAATTGCACCGCACGTAGTGCATTTAATACTAATCACTGTGACCAATTAGCGGAGATTGTGGCAAACAGATCGGTTAAACATTGTGTCCAAACGGAACGGCTTTGTCTAATTGCAAGATAGCAATATCAAAGTCAATGGTCATCAAACTGCTTATATCAGAAAATTGATAATTCTCGTGTTTATGGACACGTATAATGTTTCGTCTGATGTCATCAACATTGGTACCACCCAAGCAAACTTCTGTATGCTGATGCATTTCGTGATTGTCAACTACTTCATGGGCGCAAGACCCTGAAACCAGCACATGTTTATCTGATATCAAAGAACCCGAACAAATGAAATTCATGGGATCCCCGTATGGTCCCCAAAACACTCCGACTGTCTACAGATTTTGATCGGGCTGTTGTTCGTTTTCGCCGAACTTTTGTTTATCCTGACCGCAAACTGGTAAAATTAAGGAAGAGAAATGGTTACAATATTGTCACAGATCCTATGCATTGTTACATCAGTTTCTACATGCTCTGTAGCTCAAATCTACAGAAAGGAACACATTTGAATCGATGCAATTGGCATCTACTTGATGTAATATTTTTCAAATCCGTACTACGCCGCCAATAAATTGTTTTCATGTCAGAATAAATCTAGAGAACATTGCTCTCAGAACAAATTCAATTATCAATTCATAATTACCACAATCACAGGAATTATTCTCAGCTGGGTAACAATTTACAGCGCTGACAACAGCCAACGAAATGAGCATTTGAATAATATTCATTTTGAACTGTTTAATTTTTAATCACCAAGAGAAATTCCACAAACTCATTTGAAACAAGTTTTATTTTGTATTTATTTAAATTATTTCCTTTTTTTGATTTTGTTATTTTTTCGAGAAGAACGGCATATGTCAATCCAAGCCACTGTATTTGCATAGTGTCGTCCATTTCATTTTTCTGAATTCATTTTGGTTTTACTTCAGTTGTTTTCAAAATATTACAATTCACACATACAAAAGGATAATTATCCTCGGAGGCAGCATACATATACTCACTATGTGTTGCACTTTGTGGCGCCGAACATTGAAAAGCTATTAAAGCAGATGTTATTCTCCAAAAATTGATGTTATGCATACGTGCATTGATTGGTTATTTGGCTTTGAATCCATGCCAAGAAATTGGCAAAACGCGTATAAACAATTGGCGTTCCATGTGAGAAACTGGATCTACGACCACTGAAAACAATAAAGAGTTAAAATTTTCCGCTATTAATTTCCTGAAAATATTTCCGATTTGATTGAAAATTTGTAACTAACAATGAGTATATTCCGACTAACTCCGTGCTGCCATATACGTTTTCACAGTTACAATAATTCCAAATATTTAATCAGAGAAATATATATCAAACTGAATGTTCGTCTCTGTGTGTGTATGTATGTAGCCAGTTATCTTTCCTTTTTTGATTCATGGATTTGTTGTTATGCGCGCTGTTTGATTTCTCGCGGCCTCAAGAAGGATCTTATAAATGCAGTTTTGATTTTCAAATGAAATTTTCAAAAGTTTGAAGAAAAAAAAAATTCATCGTTTTCCGATACAATGTACATTAATGTGGATTGATGGCAACGAACATTTAATGCGTATTATTGTAAAAGAGATTGAAAAAAAATGATAATTCGCATCAGGACAAACCATACATGAGTGAAATTTGTTTTGAAAGAAAGAAACTCAAAATGGGGAGAAGACACACGTAGATTTTCTTTATATAAAGTAGCTTGGAAGAGGTAATGGTTTAAGCTTGAAACACTGATTTAAGAGAAAATGTATTGTTTTCTTCAATGCAAGAAAGAATTATGCGGTGAAACAAAAAATTGCTCTGAATTCGAGTGAAAAATATAAATTAGATATATGTTTATTAAGAGAAAAATTAGAACGTTAAACGAATGGATGATGATGATGAGTGACTGGAAAATGAAAAAATTATTCGAATTAAAGATAGACGTTATTCAGATTTTTTATTTTTTCATTTGATACGCGAAGCGACCTAGCCCCGAAGCCGAGCGAAGCGAGACATAAAATTAATGGAAATGCCATTTTCTATTTCCGGAAGGAATACAATTTCTTTTAGCGAAGGCAATGCTTTCATAAGCAATTGTTTGTCCATAAGGATGTTCCAACACTCAATCGAATTTTTAAAAGTCAATTTTTCGATTGTTGGATGCTCATTAATAAACATGAAAAATGGTTTAGTTCCTCCGTCAAAATACCCATAAAAGGTAAAATCTTTCAGGTGCTCGCACAAAAATGGAATTTTTTTATTTCCAGACAGTACTAAATTCAAATGAAATTCTCTTACATTCGGTAAATGTATCACATTTTGGTCAGAATATGAATAGTTCATTTTTAAATGAAGAATTTCGATTGATTGAAAATATTGTTGCGCGAATGTTAATGGTGCGCTGCTCTCGCCGAGATTCAAACTCAAACTTCGTAATTGAGGATTACAACGCAAAGCAATCGAAAAGGCGCAATGTTCATGGTCATATGAAAGGTGTAAATAGTCAATTTCTAGATGTTCCAAATGCGGAAAATATTCCGATATGCATGATGTTCCACAACCGTACAGCTCAAGTTTTAGACGACGTGCTCTTGGAAACACCTTATTCAATCTATGCACTTGATAGGATCTTTTGAACTCAATCTCTTCAACGTTTATAAATGGTTTTGTTAGAAAATCTGTATATTCAAAGATTGTGCCCGCTGAAAGCTTGACTAGTGAATCGGCACAGTATTCGTTCATATAAGATAGAAGTAAGAAATGTCTTGGGTGGTGCTCCCATTTGCCTGTCATAAACGGATCGGATATTTTGGTGATCATGTGGCCAAAACATCGTAAAGTTTTCAAGCTCGTTTTGAAATCTTTGATTACTTTCACACTGTTTGGGTCTTGTTCAATTAGTCGGTTTGGGTTCACAGGAACAGGATTAACTTCAACGACTCTTTTTGAATATTTTCGCTGAAATGGCAAGTACGTACAATTTCGAAAATATTTGTTCACGTGGGCTACGTTAATTAGGTCCTCCAAATCCAAATACATGAATATGTGCTCGAGACATTCCTGAATCATATCAGTGATATGAGTTCCTTCGGTTGGATTTTCATTGTAGTATTCCATTTTTCTACGTTTGGATTGCTGACTGAGTTCACCGCACAGAAGTTTGTCTTCCTTTTCCACTTTAATTTGTCTCCTTCGAAATGGCTGTCCAGCAAATTTCTCAACAATCGTCTGGTTTATGTCGATTGTTCCATCGGGAAATATTATTCGATTTAAGAAAATGCCACAATTTCACTATATATTTATCTTAATGATCTTCTGCCGAGAGTCGATTTAAATGCAAAGGCTGAGTGTTTTACAAATTCAATCTGTATTCGTCAAAGGCGAGAATGCAACTGACTCGGTTTTCTCTTTCAAATTATCCAAGCTATTATTTCAAACATTTACACATCAACTAATTACCCGTAATTACCTTAACTGTCAAATATAGGACGTTATATGCTTGCACCTGACCACACCAAAAATGTGTATACACAGTCACTGAAAAAATTGGGATTAATTAATTATGATCCGAACATAAGGAAAATTACCAGAAAAATATCAAAAATGATCAGAAGAATATTCAAAATGATCAGAAACTTTTTTATTAATTTGATCAGAAAAATATCTAAAATGATCAGAAATCTTTTTTCAAAATTGATCAGAAAAAAAAGTACAATGATCAGAAGTATATTTAAAATTATCAGAAACTCTTTTCGTAACTTGATCAGAAAAATATAGAATTTATCAGAAATATATCGAAAATTAACAGAGAATTTTTCGAAATATGATCAGAAAGAAATATATTTTTATCATAAAAATATCCGAAAATGACCAGAAAACTAAATAGTTTTACCATGAGTTATATTACCTATTTTTGTGCTGTTTTCACCTTTTGGCTCTTTATTTTATTTGATCTCAAAAGAGGAAGAGTAGAAGGAAAAAAGATGGTATTTTGAAGAAAAAATTGTCTTGAGAAGAAGGTCAGACCTATTACAAGGTAAAAATGGCCAACCCAGATCTCACCAATTGTGAATATCCTATTCAATGAGTAAAAATAAGACTAAAACGGAGGCAATTCAGCGGCTCTGGAGCACGACCGAACCGATGGATTTGGTGCTTTGGTGGTCGAAATCAAAAAACAAATCGAAAAAGAAAAAAAAAAACTAAAAAAAATCACAAGAGCTATCAGCCAAAGTTACTAAAGGTCAAAAAGCGAAAAATGTCGTAGCTTCAGAAGAGCAAGAGATGTCGCGAATTTTCGATACACTCACACACATTCAAGCAAACAAATAGAAGGATAATTATCCTCGGATGCAGCATACATATACTCACTATGTGTTGCACTTTGTGGCGCCGAACATTAAAAAGCGATTAGTGCAGAATTTATTCTCCAAGAATCGATGTGACCAGTGTTGTAAGGTGGACAGTACTGATGGTAACTCACTTTCCAGTGAATTAAGCCATACATGGCCTATGGATATATATTATTCAATTGCCAGTTCAACATTTCTTTGATTTATTTTCTCCCCTTTGATATGAAGGAAATGGATTTCCAATTTGGACATTTAGGTACATCACTTTTATCCGCATGAATTTTTACTATTATTCTCGGATGAAGACACAAGTTTGTTTGAAGTTCTCGCCATGGCTGGCTTCTTTAGGTGCATACGTGCATTGATTGGTTATTTTGCTTTGAATCCATGCCAAGAAATTGGCAAAACGCGTATAAACAATTGGCGTTCCATATGAGAACCTGGATCTACGACCACTGAAAACGATAAAGAGTTAAAATTTTTCCGCTATTATTTTCTTGAAAATATTTCCGATTTGATTGAAAATTTGTAACTTACAATGAGTATGTTCCGGCTAATTCCGTGCTGCCATATTCATTTTCGATGACTAATTGTCCAAAATCGAACTATGAAACGAGAAATATGGTCAAAAAATGAAAAAATGTTGGCGAATATTTTCACTTTTACAAACTCAACTTACGGACACTGCTAAATGCAGTCGAAAAATTTCATTCAACAGCGCCGTACCGCTAGAAAAAATGCAGATGGGGCTCAGCCCCGACGATTTTTCTAAGGAAAATATTTAATTCAAATATAACTTTTGGTCTTTTATTTTAGTTATAAAACAATATTTATATCAATGCTAAATTTTCGGTTAATTAGCACAGAATCTCCATGATTTACAACCACTTGAATGTCCTTTTTCTCTAATTCTTGTTTACTCATTTCGGCTTTGATCAAATCCAATGAAACGACCTCATCCACTGCGATGTCTCGAAGAATGTTCGGAATACACGACTCCTTAATGTAAACCAAAAAGTATGCGTTTGTTGTGTTCGCATTGTCATTACCAAAGTTTTCCTCGACAGCATCTTTTAGTGAACATTTTGTAACCGTTTCATCGTTGACTTTAAGCCATTTACCATCGGCCTTTGGGCAAACGTATGCCATGTAATGACCCGACGTGTTTGTGCCTGAATGAACTGTTGCGAAGAATGTTTAAGTCATTCGAAATGTCGATAAAATATGCAAAAATCTGAAGATTAATTAGCAATCAGTCTTACCCAAAATGGAATGTAGCGTATATATCGCATCTTTACAGAAATTGGTCAGATCAAGGCTTGGATAGAACCGGAAATGTTTGTTATTTTTACTTGTTTCTTTGGTCGTCGGATTGAGATTGAAACGCCGCAATTGTACATGCAATATAGCCGGCAAACTGGTAAGCTTGTATTCTTGTATCGCTTCCACTTTACCACTTTCATGTTCGTAACTGGATGGAACGCAAGAAAAAATGTGAATATTCATTGAAATAGGCCAGAAATATGTTCAAAACAGGGAAATCAACGAAACTTACTCAGGAATTTTCAATGGCTGCAAATACGTTCGAAACGCACCAAATATGTCATCATCATCTTCGATTGGCAGCTGAAGATCCCAGAACATTTGTGATTGTTTCTTCACGAAATTGAGTTCACTGCATATGGTTGTCGTTTCCAATTCACCAACGAACAATCGTGTCAAGCGCTCTTTGAATTCTGTACCGTCGACGAACTACTCTAGCTTATCTATCAGGCGTCACAAGAACTCATGTATATCTTGTTGCGCTGTGGTGGTCATTTCCTTCCAATCAAAACATTGGATCATGTTGATTGTTCGGATTTTGCTCAATCCACCGAACTGCATCGCGTAAAATATGTATTTCAGCCAAAAAACGAATGAATCATCGACATCCCCTGGTTCGATCTCTATACCGTACACAAGACGATGAAGTTCATTTGTGCAAAACAACGACTGCAGCAACGAATTGATGTAACAGGTGGCACCTTCATTTACTAAACCTTTGTATTCCTCTTCTGATTCACTCGATTCATCGCTTTTCCTCTTGAACAGACACCAAGTACGGCTTCATTTACTAAACCTTTGTATTCCTCTTCTGATTCACTTGATTCATCGCTTTCTCCGCTTGAACATACGCCGATTCCGATTTCGTTTTCATTTTTGTTGTTCGAGTCGTCTTCGCTTTCTCCGCCTGAATAGACACCAAGTAAGGCTTCTGACATTATTCTTGTATATGGTTTTAAAATATGTCGTTTTGGTTGCATCTAATCAAATCATTGCCACTAGTCTTTTTGAATCCAAGAGGCAAATCTTGCACAATGTCCAAGCAAAAACACAGTACAGCAAAATCGTCTGCTTGATTCCAATTGGCAGGCTTTGTTATGGGCTAAATCCATCACGCTGAATAAATTCATGCGATAGATTTATGCGATAAATGTGATGCGCTCGCTTTGCGGTGAACGAAGTCTGTTGCTCTTCAGTTGTTCACGCATGAACGTTCATGCTTCACCGTTCATGCGTCACCGCAAAGCGAGCGCATCACATTTATCGCATAAATCTATCGTATGAATTTATTCAGCGTGATGGATTTAGCGCATAACAAAGCCTGCCAATTGGTGATGTATTTATGCATTTTATGACCATTGTTATCATTCTGTGTCGGTTTATTTACCTTTGCTTCACTGAGTGCCTTACTTCCGCGATTCATGATTGTTTCGAATACGGGATAAATCTCATTTTTGATTGGAGATTGGAATGGAATGACCACAAATGTTGTTTTTTCGTTGTCGGCCAAGTACCGTTTAATCAGTGTAATTCTGTGTGAGGTTTCTTCCAGTGGTCGGATGTGAAGCGCTGTAATGCTTTTATCCCAGCATCTTTTCCGTTGTAGAAGTTTGTAATAAGCGTAATCATACCCTTTAACATTCTTTTATATTCAAAAGAGACTGTCAGGTTGTCCACTTGTTTCATCATTTCGAAATCATCTTCTTCTAGAAGCGTATACATTTAGAGGTGTCAACGGACACGGACAAAAATTCGGACATTGGTGTCCGTCCGTCCGAAAACCGAAATATCTTTTCGGACGTCCGATCCGAATGTCCGATTTTTTTTCGGACGGACGTACGGACAAGGGGTTTTGTCCGAAATTTTTTTAATTAAAAAAAACAAAAGAAAATTGGATAAGAATACGCTCTCGACTTCCGAGAGTTTTCCAACCAAAAAATGCAAAAATGTCGCCGAAAAAGAATACGAAGAAAAATATTCGGACGTCCGAAAAATTTCAAAAAGTTCGGACAAAACCTCTTGTCCTTCCGTCCGTCCGTCCGAAAAAAAATTCGGACATTCGGACCGTCCGTCCGAAAAAAAATTGGTTTTCGGACATTCGGACCGGACGTCCGAATTTTTTCAAAATTTTTTCGGACGGACGGACAAAATTTTGTCCGTTGACACCTCTATATACATTCCGCACATTTCAGGTTTTTCTGTTATAACTCGTCTTATGCGTCAATTTTTAACCACATGTTGCCCTTTGTCTACCGCTTCGGACCAATACGAACATCCTGTAAGGAATTTTACTTCATTCCATTGCCTCTTTATTTGTTTTATGAGGGGTAAATGCCCTGCTTCTAACCAAGATGGCTGAATTCGCACTTTTACTCGTATTTATAAGACGATGTCCAAATGATTCATAAAAACATGAATCCATGCAACAGGATAAATCTTGTTGCCTGAATATTCATATTTTATTGTTTCTTCGGTATAATCGACCACATCGAACTGAAGAATTCGGCTGTTCCATTCTGGCTTATTCATGTCGAAAATATCACCATTATTCGAACAAATGAACGAAGGTGCACCTTGAATTGTTTTACCAATGCCATATTTGACATTAGCTTTCAATGATGCAGCTTCCAAAATATTTAACCATGGCTTTTAATAAGGGCCGGTCACTAGCTCATTGAAATAGTTGATTTTGCAATCAATTAAGTCTTGGAAAGGAAATTGGCCGGGTTCTGTAGAATTACTAATACTACCGACCAACAAAAACAAGACAGTGAGAGACTCGACGATGAAAGATTCGCCAGAATTAGCTGGACCGAGAAGCCATATGGTACGTTGTTTGCAATTGCTGTTAATAATGACATTGTACCATTGTCACTTGATGATTGATCACCATGTGGATTTTAATTTTTTGTATGGTGAGGGAACGATAACCGCATGTGTAGCATTCGTAACTACGGAATGTACACACTCGCTCGTGTTTTGTAAAACTTTGTGAATCGACGAAGTTCAAAAAACAACCGTAGCATCGAATATGGCCTTTGGTGTGTGAATTGGCATGTCGATTGAATTGGGTAATAGTTCGGCTTTTATATGGACAATTTTCCACCGTGCATTTGCAGTAATTCCTTTTTAGCAAATTTCTTCTCGCAAATATTGCACCACCAAGCACCTTGCACGTCTTCCTTTCGAACTATTACCTCATTTAGAGCTCGTTTATGTGAGACCAATCCGTTCGCAGTGCCAAGTATTTGTGAGCAAATATTGCATCGGTATCCATTTACTCGTACAGATGTATCAACATTGACTTTTGGTGGTGGGCTTTCATAGTTTGGATGATCCTTAGCCATGTGTGCTTCCATTCCTTGCTTATTTCGCTATTTCAAATCACAAACAGCGCACCACCAACCGCCTTCTACATCTTTTGCATGTAGTAATGTTGCAGGAACTTCTTAGCTTCCATCTAGACTTTCATCATATAAAAACACGTTGCAAAAACATTTCGGCAACATATTTACAACTTGTGTTATTCAAGTTGCATTTCAGTTTTTAAAATATTGTATAAACGTAAGAGTAATAAAAAAAATTCTATTTTGCGTTTCAATGTCAAACAATATTTTGGATGCCAGCATATTTTTGGACAATTCTCTACGTTTTTTCTATAATTTTCATTCTTTTTGATTTTATCCCACGACAGTTTCAATGAAATCAGTCTGTTTTTGTTTTATTTTCCATGATTTTATTTTATTGCCACAGAATTTTGATTAGGCGATGTATGCCTTACGGAAAGAATTCTAATGACAGCCAAATTTTATTTATTTATGCAACATATCTACATTCAATATGTTCAGTTGAAGTAACCTTACTGTAACCTCTATATAACATGAATGTAACTTAATTATAACTTGAATTACGTTATTGTAACAAGAAAGATAGTAATGAAGTAGTTTCAACACAAGTTGTTTTTTGTGCTTTCTCTGTTTTTACTGTAATGATTGGTTTTAGATTAGATGAAATCCACCAACGCGAAACGTTTAACGTTTCCAACGTTTTCGAAACTCATTAGCTTGGCAAATTCTTCAACAGGAATTGCATTCTTGGACCAATTGTATGAATGTTTGACAAGGTGAAATGCACTGACGTATCATGGTTACGTATGTAACCAAATCGCAGTTGCAGCAACGTTACAATAAAGTTTTGAGATTATGAGTTATCTGGCAACCAGTTGGTAAACTTGTTAAAATATTTCTCCTTTTCTGCAACTTAAAAATAACTTTTCTATAACTTATATATAACAAAGCGGATGTCTTGTTACCTAATAACCACATTGCAACTGTTCTATAACATATTTTGTTGCGAATAACTGAATTGAAACCGATTTATAACAAATTTTGGTTGTAAGCCTGAGATTTTTGCTACTCGGGCTGCTGTGATACAAATCCAAAAGATGATGATCGCCTAAATTTTCTCTTGCTGCAGAACTGATACTAAACTCAACCTTTTTTGAAACTAATGCTTCTCTATTGCTTACTTTACAATGATTTTGATGGATTGTTTCTTTTCTTAAAAACTATCAGCCCTGTAAATAACCCGGCAATTCCACCACCTAAACGAGGGAAAGTATTGAAGCAAAGTAAACAGTTTTGTAACAGGAAGTAGAAGTTAATTGAAGGTAAGGCCTACTTATGTGTGCTATATAAGAAATCTTTGGTTCAACGTTGCTCCAATAAATATGCTTCAATATTAAGAATAACACATCGCTGAAAAATAGCATCAAAACGGCAGCCAGCCGAAAAGTTCGATGTGAAATTTGTGTCCACTTCTGTATCAAAGAGAGACAATTGAGGGAAAAAAGTATAGAGTTTCCGCAAAGTTGCTATTTTATAGTACATTCTATTTTCGTATCAAAACATGTGTTTCTTACCAAGATACATTGACTAATATGACTGAAGAGAAGAGAGTAAATCCCACCGGATGATCCCACTATTGCCTGTGTTGGGTTTAAAAGTAATGATCCAAGTGCTCCGAATGCCACACCAGAAAAGTAAACAAACAGAACTCGAATATGACCTTCAGTCGTTTCTAACGGTAACGCAATGAGAATCTGCCATGAGAAACCAAAAAGAATAGTTACCGTATCCATTGAATGTGCTTTGCGATGGAGACGGTTGAATTTCTGAAAAATTCTGAAAAGTTTCGTTTGAAAAATAGACGAGTTCAGTACCTGAAGAGCAACATTCAGTAGTAAGTGCGTTAAATTGAAATGAATGGTGTGATACGTGATAAAACGCCAGAGATCGTATTTCTTCTGCGGTTTGAATATAAGGAGTGCGATAGAGTCATTACAAGCAACAAAGTAAACGATCACCTGATCATGTGGAATAGAAAACAAAAACACTTAAATGTAAGAAATATTTGAGCGTAGATTTATCCATATTGACGCATTCAAAAGCCATACAAACCTGAACGATACTCAACAATACGATAATCCAAGGCATTTTCAGTGCGTATAGCTCGGTTATTCGTCGGATTATCTTCATACTACTCCTACAACAACAACAGCTGCCGGTAATTGTTGTATTCTCCTGTACTTGCACCACCGATTCGCATACAGTTCGATCATTTTGAATGTTTTGAATCACATTGTTCGATTGTTGTGGTCTTGGTACTACATACAAAACTCTTAAATTCAAACTTTTTTCACTCATCCCCTCAAGAAATTGTACACTCTCATCGGGTTCGTTATCTGCAGTGCACCAAGATAAATTCGAACCAGAACTCATTTTGTTTGAAAATCCGTGCAGATTACCAAAACAATAACTTCAAAGATAGACTTTTCTTATCAACTTATCGCACAAACTTAGTTCGACGAACAGAAACAAAAAGCAAAAACCAGTATGTTATCGGCACACAATGTTGACGGCTACGGGGTCAAAATAAAATATAAAATTTGTTGTTAATGAAACCTCTTCACTTCGACTCTACGACATGACTGATGTTCATTGAACGAATATCGATTTTGCGTTCAGTATCGAATAAATCCAAGTGCGAATAAAATGTATGCGTATTTCATTCCATTCATTCAAATGTCGCATACATTAAACAAAAATCAAATTGTGTTTTTTAATACACACAAATCATGTTTGTCAATTTTTTTGTATTCTTGGGTAGGTTTCGTGAACACGAACGAATATAATAGGCAATCGGTGGATCCATTTTCAGCAAAGCTTCATAAAAATTAGTAAAATTATTTTCATGTGTGTGTTGATTGATTCAAGAGAGAAGCAATCGCCACGTATGATCTGATCCGTTAATTCTGAGATCACGTTCGAGACGGTGATGTGATACGAATTTTGATTCGCCACTTCCAAACACGAGCCTTGCAACAATATCAAACTTTGACGTATTTGGAATAGCATGGCGCTATGCTATGGATTCATCCGCAAGCGATTTTCGATTCATTCAATAAAGTCAGCAGCTTTCTATGGCTTCAGCGATTTGAATGAAACAAAACACCGACTCGATTTTGTTTTTCAATTACTTTTAATACTGATAAAAAAAACACATCTTGATACAAGCACAATCGGTTTTGGCACAACAAAAACTAGTGAATATATTTCGTGACGTTCAAACTGATAATAAATTTGAGCATGAATTAAAAGTAGTAATCTCAGCAGCATATGATACGTATTAATAAATCAAAACATGAAATAAATTTCTACTATGGACGACAAGTGGAATCGAATGAGTTGTTTAATTTATTTCCAAAAACAAAATTATATGCTAGATTCCAATGGCTAACAGCAGACGATGAATTAAGAATTAGCATGCAGTTTCGGCGGAAATTTTCGCAGTTGATGTGGTGAATGTATTGTTGGTGATTGATTCGCCCAGCGATGAGGCAATTTGTGACGAACTGGAATTTTGTTGACCGCCTTCGGCATTCCTATTCCTATGCCGGCATTGGATGGTTTTCGATCGCCAGATTTGCTTCAATACACTTGAAACCTGAATGCATATACAATTACAATGAGAGAGGAAGATAGGGACAGATAGATAAAGAAAGAGAGACAGAGAGAGAGAGAGAGAGGGAGGAAGAGATACGTATCAAGATACAACGTAGTGAACGATGGTTTTGTCTATACTACATAGAGATTATGATATCAGTTTCGCCTTACCTGCGGTTGGCATCCGATAACGATGAAAATGAAAACACCTTGCAACGTGTTTATCAAATCCGTAACAATCCAAATGTAGTACCCTCCGCCAAACCATACACCATGCACCCATGATATTACATCAGCTATCCACGTCAATCCGCATACAATCGAAAGCTTTATACAAATTTTGCCGAGCGTCGTGCTGTGAAAACAAGAGAGCAACAAGACGCGTACATGTTACATTGCTGCTAAAATGTCAAGCCCATGTCCATGATGGTTTGCATGCAGTCGCTTGTCGCTTGAAGCGAACAAATATGTTACCGTTCTGTAGTTGATTTAACTTCTTCCCGTTTCCAAAGACCGCAAGTTAATTGTCGAGCGGTTGATGCAAATAGCAGTAGGTTGATAAACAGTAAAACTCCGACCGGCCCATAGAAAAATGCCAACTTCTCCATATTACCTATGTTTTGGGAACATTGAAAGGGCGAAAACATTTTAGGATGGCAAGTTTCATTCATCTTTTTTTCTGTTTGAAACGAAAAACTTTTAATTGCATTTGGTAAATGGTTTTTTTTCCGTCCATTTCCATCCAAAACTTAACATATACGCTGCAGCGTATTGATACATGTATCAACAATCAACATATTACCAAAATCGAAAATTGGATTTTGTTTTTAGCTAATGGATTGCTAAAACATATGAGACTAAAGCATCAGCACAAATTTTATTAGTCACAATGTAATACTGACCGGAAAACCAATACTCCGATTCACAGAATCTCGGCTGTAGATACGCATCTTGGGCGAGTGAATTTTTCCGCATGTGATCCAAAGTAGCCGCACCGCTTGATATTAACAACGGAATACCAAACGCGTATACTTTATAAATGCGTAATCGCACTTTTTCATGACTTCGTTCCAGTGACTTTGGCCGAAAATCTCTGCAAAATACACACACAAACATCACATGAGTTTTCAAAGTGACACTTTTCATTTCCTAAAAATGTGTTTTTGTTTGTTTTTTTTTTGCTGTTGCGACAGCATGAATCCAAGAATTGCGAAATTGCCATTCGTTCTTCGGAAATGAAATTAAAACTTTTGTTCCAGGAATTTGTCCAATTAATACTGCGTCCGATTGCATTAATTTGGTTGCCTATGGTTGGCAATTTTTTTTCCTCCTCTGCTCATAAATTAATAAAGACGGTTGAATTAGTGTGCATTTTCTTCCATTCAAAAATAATTTGAGCCGCTTAATTGCATTTTGCCTATTTAGTCGTTGTTGTCATCAAAATAATAGAGGGAAAATCGTGAGCGAGTCTGTGTTTTTGTTTGAAAATGTTTACTGAAATATACGGTTTCGCATTTCAGCCATCGCACTTTCGATTTTCAGAGGCGAACATTGTATGTTGGTCGTGCAATTGTTTATGTTTTTGCATTATTATTTCTTGTCTTGAACGTCAATTTCCGCGAAATATACGTTTTACTGACAGACGAACGTGCATTCGTAATTAGAGTCATTGAGTTGATGCACTTGTTCACTGACAACACTCTCTCGGTCCGTCGCCGCCGCCATCGCAATACTATTCAATAAGTTTCTAAGTGAAAAATGTTGTTATTTAAATCATAACGACTATCCGTACGTGCCATCGAATCAAATTTTAAACGGAAAACAAAAACAGTAGCAACAAATGACAAATTGACATGAACTCTGGCGTAATTAAATCTAAAGTCACCGAATCGCCTACATACAATCAAAATGCAACCAACATAACATCATTAATGGCTTTGATTAAACCAATTCAGAGTCGTTTTTATAAGCCCTTTTTATCTTTCAACGCACATTGTGTACTATGATGCGGAGGTGGATTTTTTTTTAAAACGAAAAGTTTTCAAACTGTCTGAACTTATGCAGAGCCATGTTAAGCTAACTTTATTAGTTTGTTTTATAAATATATAGAAAGAAAAGAACTCGTCGGTCGTTTTATGATTTATGTTGGCAAACGTCCAATTCGAAATATGCGATGAAAAAAAAGAACAAGAAAAACAAAACTTTGTTTGGAATCGTGAAACGTGGTGCACAGCAATCGGATTTGCTTGAGTCATTATTAAGACATTTAGTAGAATTTATGAAATTCTATTTTCACATTTTACGGTTAATTTGTGCAGAAATAAGGCGTAATAAGTACACGACCGACTAACAAGCATTTCATTCAGATATGTACAAGTTCATGCGAATCCGAATTCTCTCTTCCGACTTTTCGTCGAAACACGATTTAATTGTTGCAATGAATTCAAAAGTTGTTTTCGAAGTTGAAAAGAGTGAGATAGAGACTGAAAGAAATCTCACGGCGCTTTCGCGCGCAATTCTATTAAAAACATATTTCGATTTGCGATTTTTGCACGTTTCGCTTGCTTTTCGTTTTAGTTGAATTGAATCATCTGATTATAAACAATTTTATCACACCGTAATAATAATAATCAGACGGTGTGTTGATTTTGATTTGGTTGCCGTGCTCAGTCTGGAATGAAATTAATTGAAAGGCGGCGAATGTGGGCTCCATTTATCTATATATAAACTACGAAATAATTTGTTTACAAATCAATATCAATATATTGATTGGAAAGTAGCAAATGCAAAGTGTAAAAGTTCATCAAATGGAACCACGAAAAAAAAACAGTTTGGAATCTCCTGAAATGAATTTCATTTTTGTGGGTCACCAATTTGCTTTGAAAAATGAAATCGAGACTAAATCCAGATTATGATGTAATAATTCATAGCAAACGCCTATATAGACTAGAGGTACTCTAGTGCTATGCTATGAAACACATGTTCCAATCAAAATTATTTGAGCCACTTGACGACCTCATGCTCGAAATTATTTTCAAAGTACACACATCAATCATGCAATATGAGCACATGTTATCCGTGCCACTTGGCTTGAAACATAATAATAATAGCTATGCTTACTGAAAATCAACGTCGAAATGAATGGGAAGATTTCTGATTGAAATAATTAACAACGAGAATTCAATTAGCATATTTCCGAAAAACAAAAATATTTTCAAATTGTGTTTGTGTTTTAATTCCATCGAAAACTTCTTCAAACAACCAACATCACTTACCGAAAAAATGCAAAAAGGTCCAGTCTAAACTAATACTCACTTGAATGTGTACCAAATATTCAAACACATGGTATTAAGCCAGAAGAAAGCAGACAGGAAAAAGAAGTGCATCGAAACGGCTGCAATGACACAAAAGTTTTCAACAGTTTTAGTGTGATTTTGTTAAAAGCAGTAGACAGTTTAAAATGAGTTGACTTTTGTACAGTCGCCGCTTTTTTTGGCAACATGGTGAACTACTGTATAAACCGATGTCGATGTATACGGCAGTAACAAGCCAATGCCGTCTCATAATTTACTATATTGAGACCGTGTTTTGCGTGTTTTCTTATTTTTCTGGTGCAAACACACACACAGGCCGCACTCTGATGCAGTGCTTTCAACAATGAAGAAAAAGTTCTTCCCGAAGATTTATTTTGTAGGCAAAATCCATATAATCAAAGCTTCGAGTTAAAACCTAGGTTTAAAAAGTTGCAGCACTTTCATACTTGCTTCCTGTTCACCATCCCGACTGCTCCTATTTGTATCCACTATTTTTGTGTTATATATCGCAATTTTTCATCGTTCTTTTTTCCTGCGTTGTTGTTGGTACTGATGCTGCATTGAGCCTTTTCGGGCACTGCGAGAGAGCATTCAGTGTGCAACTATTTCAACGATTCCTTTGAGCGATTTCCATTCATTACGGCGATTGTTTGCTGTTTCAAAGGAGAAAATTGAAATTGTCTTTGCCAGCCGAGCTTGTGTACACGATGACGACGTTGTGAACGTGTAAAAATTCGCGCAGCAAAACTTCGTCTGTGTTCGTTGATGCACAAACTGGCTTGGTACCGAGATGCGAGGGAAAGGGGGAGAGAGTGCGAATTATTTTGAAGACGATGGACTGAAAGTTGATTTGCAAAGGAATCCATTTTTAAACTTTTAAATCTTTCTCGCTATCGCTTTTTTTTCTCTGGTGCATTCAGGCGTACAGAGACACAGCGCATAAGAAAAGAGAACCGACAATAATTTAAAGTTTTCTGTGTTGGAACAAGGGAAATAAATATGTACATTCAGCAATTGGAATCGACATTGCATATTCATTATCTAGCAGTGGTTTATCGGGTTGTTTCGCTTTTAAATTGCAACTAAACACACTGTTGCAGCAGCATATTTGACTTGACAAACTGTGTGTTTATTGCTGCGTGTTATGTTTTTCGTCTGATTTACACAGTCATATTGCTGAAGCTGCATCATTGAAGGCGACAAAATAAATATGAAGTAAACAACGCAAAAAAAGTACGCATAAAACAAATACTGCAGCGTTCTTTTTTTTTTAAAGAATAATCATTTTTTTGGTGTGTGTACGTGACTGGGCAATTGAACATCGTGTTCGCTTCATTATGTCGATCTAAACAGTCACAGACATAACAAAGAAATTTTAATAATCAATAAATCGGAAAATCAAAGTCTGTTTTTGTCGTTGTTCTCGAAGAGAACAAATTGAAGCGAACAGTCATACACATAGCATAAACGAGTCGATATCTTGTTCCAGTTGGATATGTTCATTTTTTGTCGTTCGACTAATCGCAAAAGCAGAAACTACCATTCGATGCACAATTTCAATCTATCGCGTTCCTTTCATGTTTGAATTTGTTATTAAACGTGCATATATTTATTCCACTGTGTGTGTGTGTGTGTGTGTGTGTGTGTGTGTGTTCAATCAGAGGAAAAAATCACATTTCAACACACGGAGCGCAATGCAAAAAGGGCATGAAAATTCCATGCCAGCCATTGTAGAATTTTTCCGATTTCCATTTAAAAACCATTTTTCGAAATCAGTGCATTGTATTCATGAAGAATACATGAATGAGCTGACGATGGGACGAATAGCTAAGTTCTCATTTCCATGCGACACAAATGTGTACATTGTACACTGTACAATTCAGCGCGAATGCAATTATTTCGAACAGCCAAAAGAATCCTCAAAAATTTCCGAGCAAACAAAGGAAGCCAAACAAAAACCCAAAACGAAATCAACGATACACACACACACACACACATTCAGCAGTGAAGGGAACGAGGCAAAAAAAGGTGCAATGAATCTGCCTGCACACAAATGATTTCCGCCATAAACAAAAACCTATTTTTGAGAGCTGAGCTATTTTCGGTTGCATTTCATTCGCCTTTTCATGTGCGTTCTCCATAAATATTATTGAGTTGTTGTTGTTGCTTTTTTTCAGTGTGTTTCACCACATTGTTTTTGCTTTTGGCGCTCATTGTCACAGCAAAATGTATGCACATATATAAATTTTATTAAAGAATTTCCGTTAATATTATTGTCGTTGATGTTTTTTTTTTTGTTGCTGTCTCTGAAAAATTTGCTGATAATATGCAAACGCAGCGCGCGCGCACGCATTCGAATGATGTGTGAAAAATGTGAGTGTGAATTTATCGACATAAATTGTGTCTGGTCCGCGTTTTGGCGATTTTTAGATGCGAATCGATAATATTTTGGCGCGATTTAATTAATATCGTGGTTGCATCAGATTGGTGCTTCCCACTGGCATTGTCATCTCTCTCTCTCTCTCTCACTCTCTGCTCGCGTGTCCAATGCCAATGCTGAATGTAATTGAACTCTGTACGAAAAACACAATGGAAAAGTTCACTTAAATTTATTTATGTGTCTCTTGAGAAAAGAGCGTTTAAAAACCTATAGCGTTTTTCTGCAGTCGTTGTTTTTGTTCGTATGTGGGAATTTCGAGTTTCAGCTCCCATAAATCCATTACATTTTACGATAAGTCGATAATGACCCTGCCAAATGTTTATGTAAAGTTAAAAAAAAAACTTTTTTAACCGTTGCTGATGTATCGGAAATGTTCAACATTTCAAATATGCGTTGATTCTGCCTGTCGTTCTGTCAGGGAATAGGGACACAAGACACAAAAAATCCGAATCCAAACATGGAATAAGTTTTCGTCAAACTTTTCGTGTGAAAGTGTTTGATGCAAATGCCAACAAACACAAAGCCAATGTAAACAGAGCGATATTTGTTCAGTTCTGTTGGAAATGCGTTCATTTTATTAGTCTATATAGCTTGTACTACGTATACATACCGATTGAAACGCATGTAAAACCATTTGCATTGCGACCAAATAGCTGGGTGAATGCCAACAGAAGATCTCCGATCAACAAGCATGTAACATAAAATGTTTGACAACGCCAATGAAGTATGTGATGATTGGATGGTAATACATAGCGTGTGGCAAGTGTCGCCAGCAAAAACACGACGGAAATTAACAATCCGATCGGAAATAAGATGAAACGTATGTCCTGAATGGAAGAGAAAGAGAGACAGAGAGAGAGAGAGAGAGAAAAAAAACCACTCGGGGTATATCAAACATGAATTGGGATGAAATGGGAGATAAATGTTGAAAGTTATCGACAGTGATTGTTACCAATTCGATTGTCATTATTTATGTAAATATCGAGAATTCACAATGAGACACAAAACTTACCCTTTCTGGCGTTGGGTTGGTATTTGGAGACGCATAAAGATGGTCGGCACATGTGAATACACTTAGGGGTAGTATGTTATCAGTTCCATTATCGATGACGTGTTCGAGACAAAAATCTTGCCAATTTAACTTTCGTCCGGATTGCAATACCAGTCGATTGGTATCCCAATCCAAATTGGATTCTTTGAATGTTTCCGCTATCGTGAAATATTTGCTAATTTTACATTCGGGGAAACCGAACAAAATATCCGTTCGCGTTGAATTGAACACAATCTGTCCGACATCGGCCAATGTGTAATCGTTTGATGGAATACATGTGCTGTCGTGTGATTTATAAACCGCGCTCTTGACACAGCACTTACGAATTTTCAACAGTTTTGTTGGCTGGATTAAGGCATCAGGTGAATTAACATCGGGATCACAGACAATGGCCGAATTCTTATCAACACAGTAATTTTGAGGCTCAATTGATTTATGCTTTGCCGATAGGTACAGTGAACCATTGGTAAATAGTGCCAGCTTATCTTGTCCGATGTAAAATTCGGGTTTTTCACACGACGGACGCGATTCACGATATTTCATAAATTTCGGAGCACCACCTTTTGGTTCGAAATACGATTGTAGTTTGATCATAAATATCAGTGGCCACCATTTATCATTATCACCGTCGATTATGCACTGGCCATTTTCACTCGTTAGCCATTCACCTGTGCCACAGCACTTATTCACAGTCACCGTTGCTTTGGTGGTTGTACCATTTTTTCGAGGTGATAACGCTACACTATTACTTAAAACTACGAACACAACCAGAAGAACGATGAACGAAAATGAGCCCGAAATCGATTTCATCGTAGTCGTCGTTAAAATGCAATTTTATGTATCGATGATGATGAGGAGAGGAAACGCTTTGAATTGTAAACGAGAAATGTAAACATGTCACTTGAGAATTTCAATCGAATTTTCTTGTATGCACTAACTTCATTGTATGCCATTTAAGGTCGATGTTGAGATCGTCGAATAGCCTTTGCTGCTCGCGCACACACGACCCAATGGGCCCACTCAATTAATTTCGAATAATTTAATGGTTCACGTTCAACTCACAGACACACGATACGTATAGATATGTATCGATGAGAGAGCAAAGAAAAAAACAGCGGTTTAACGAGCGCGATATTTTCAAGCGACTTAACTCAAAACCCGTTGACCTGACGGCGAACCGCACTAAATGGCAACTAAAAATCGCTACACGAAATAAAAGTTTGTGTGTGATTTTCGGATATTCGGATCGGTTGAATCGTGATTACGTCTGTTGATATATTTTGTGCGATGCTTTCGATTTTATTTTTTTATTTTTTATTCTTTTGCTTCTTCGTCTTTCATCTGTGTGTTCGCCAGACAACACTCTCTCCTCCATCACTCGCACTTCTTCTATGTAACTCTTCGTTTCGGATATTGTATGAAGGCAACTCACAGTCAAATACATTTACATACGTGCGTCGAAACTTTGCTCTGATTTTCATGTTGATTTTTACTTGATGATGCTTATATCGGAAAGTTTCAGTTGAATGGGATGCACGATGGGTGTTTTTGCTTGTTGTTTGCCGTCGTTTTTTTTGTGTTCCCGTTCGATTTTTGTTTTGCAAATACAAACGGAACAAATGTTTGATGTGTGAAATTTCACTCGTTCGCTCAATCGCTTCGCTTGCTCACACGTTCACTAGCGTTCGTAGCACACAACACATACGAGCGCTGTTTACAGTGTATAAAATTTATCGCTGTAGTAGCGGTCCACGATTACGCTTACCGATTTCAACCGAAAAATTGTGAATATCTTTCCGTCATTTGATTCGACGAAAAACTACTATAAAAATAGATTCGCTTACTTATCCGATTCAGAGGATTTTTCATGTTTTTTCATACTCACATATTTGTTTTTGGCACGGTCTCGTTCGTAGAATTCCAATTCGTGATATCAAACGAACAAATTATTTGAATTTTGATTAGGGAAATATAAATCACTCTAACTGTCTGCCATTTTTCACCGTTGAATTAAATGTACAATGTACAAATCGTAATTTTTTTTTCTACTCCGTGGTTCATAACTCTAAACTTTTCATTTCCAAAACAGATTTTAGTTTTATGTTTAATTATCATCTTTGGCTATCTACAAAATGGAATTAGAAAATTATTACCAATACGATACATATGACTGTTTTCATTTTGATATATTTTGGTGCAGCGTATTGCAGTATTCTAGCGTAGCATTTGATAAAAAAGGTTGGCAGCTGCAAATACCCATAAAAACTCGATGTTCACTAGACCCAATTGATTCCTTTTCGGGATTTTGAAAGACTCTACACGAAGCGTCGAATTATGGGCCATGAAACACACGGATTTTTCAAGTCCTGCTAACAATACAAGTGTAATATCCGTTCCTGTTTTAATTTTGACGCCGACTTTAATTTTTAAAATAGCAAATTTGTGGAAACCACCAATAGAGTGTGAACACTTAGGCACGATATTAACATGGATATCGTCATTTTTACCTATCAGAACTCAATTTTCAAGTTAAAGCCACGGCTTTAATTTTAAATCTCAAAGCCACAGCTTTAACTAAAAAGTTAAGTTCGATCGATGAAAAAAAAGATATCGGCAAAAAATTCTCGGTCAGTTGATCAAAATTTAATCACATTTTTACGCCTTATTGGTAGTTCTTCGATAAATGCACTCTTGAAAAATTTTAGCTGAATTCAAAATTAGAACAATTGGAATGGACATAAGACTTTCCTAACAACAGCTTTTAGTTTATTAATCAACGTTCGTGCAATTTGATTGTTTGAAAAGGCCATTTAAAGAAAAATTGTTCTCCAGATTATATTGTATTGCGTGTATTCATGAAACATTCAAGTGATAAATAAAAAAAACTAATAATTTATTAATGTGTGTATTGTGTCTCTGTTTTCTGTAAAATCAATATTATTGAAGGCTTTATTCATTAAAACATTGTGAACTGTTGAAAGGGGCTGAGCTTTTAGTGAATAATTCCACTCATTCAGCAGATTGCACGAAAAATCAATTGAAGAGAAATGTACCGATATAGCCACTTCAAGAAGATTATCGTGAATGGAGTTCGATTTCCGGTAAGTTCTTCAAACTAAATTATCATTATTAAGACTCAATTTTGTTTTTCGATTGACTTATAGGTACGACGGATTTTCCTGATTGTACAGCGATTGTCTAGAGAATATTGTAAAAATAGTACGATCCATAGTGTTCAGTATTTCACTGAACAGTTCCTGCATTGGACTGAAAGGTCAATATCTGTTACATTGTCTAAAAAAACTGCATTTGAATCTCCTCCCTACAATATTTTCGATAGATTATGGTTAGACCCCCCATCGATATTTTGGCAAATATCGGGAATTCGTCGTCGAAAAATCGGGACAATCGGGATGTTTTTTTTCTAAATCACAAAATCGGGAAATATCGGGAGTTTTTATAAAAAAAATCCGGATTTTTATTGAAAAATATCGGGAATATTATTGAAAGGAAAAAGCAAAAAAAATGTATATAAATATAATGAAGTTCCTGAAGATATTTCTAAGCAAAAACGTGAAAATTAGCAATCGTCGTCGGTAGATTCAATGTATGCCATGTTATTCAGTAGTAGAGCAGACTGTGACATTCGATTCTTGTCCTGTTGGTATTTAGCACCAGATTGTATTGCACTCATTTTTGTCGACTTATTGTCTAGAGTTGTTTATTTGATAAAATGATCGCCAAAATGAAATATGTTTATGTAATCGATTAATTTATACCGAGAATTATTCTTTTCTGCTTCTTCGCCAAAACATATGTACTGCTTAAATCCATGTTGCAAAAGTTGATTCGATTGTTATGATTCATCATCAGACGTGTGCAAGGGGGGGGGGTATTCCGGTTTTACCCCCCTCTAGGATTCCAAAATGTGGACCCCCCAGCGATGTGGAAAAATTTACACTAGATATAATCGATTTTCAAAAGTGAGGACCTTTTTTTTTTTTTTTAGTCCTCACTTTTTTCGGAGACTGGTTTTACACTAGATATAATCGATTTCCAAACCCCCCCCCCGGCAGGCAAATTTAACCCCCCCCCCCCTAGAATTTTTGACCTTGCACACGTCTGTTCATCATCGAACAAAGATAATATTCTATGATTTGAATAAAAAAAAAATTATTTCAAAATTTTAAGAAATATCGGGAAAATTGACTAGAAAACGAACAAAAACCGGGAACCGGGAAGGCGGTGAAAATATCGGGATTTTCCGGAATTTCCCGCAATTCCCGGCGGGATGGGGGGTCTAATTATGGTGGTTATTCGCTTTTGAAATTTCGATTTGGATGTGCAGTTCATTGATTCAGAATATTTGGTTGAAATGGTGCGATACGCCAGTTACAATGAACTCGGCAGAAAAAGATGTCCCCATTTCAATGATTCCATTTCCAATGGTCACTGTGTGTTCTTCAATTAAAAGTTATGGTTCCTTTTTAACTAACATACTCAAACATTTAAAGACATTGGACGATATAGAGTGAGGCAAACTAACACTCTCAACACATTTGAAAATATATTGAAATCATTTTTTCCTTTGTGCATCCTCTGCCTTTTCCTTTCTTTTCAGAGAAACGTACTTACTTAAATGCTTTAGCACACGTATGCCCACGAATAATATTTACGAAATAATTCCCGACGCACCGTACAATCTTTTGAAAGGAATGTATCCTGCGTGTTTGTGGAAAAATGAAGAAATTGAATGCACTAAATCGCTGAAGCTTATTTTCACTGAAGAGGGTCTCTGCTATACATTCAACGCCTTGAAATCGAATGAAATTTATACCGATGAGTAGGTGTCAATTTCTATCATCTTGTGCTATATCATTATTCAAGGAGTAGGATACAGTGAAATGGAATAGAAATGTTCAACAATTTGCCGATATTACAATTTTCTATAAAAAACATTATTTTTAGTCGTTCAGTTTATAATGATTGAAAAATATCTACAGATTTGTCCACAATCGACGAGTGTGAAACAGAAATTGCATATATGTTTTCAATTTTTTATCCGGAATTCAATAAGTCTCTTCTCACTGACACAAAGTAAGCAGAACGATTTTTTTCTATCTTCTGTTTAATACTTTGAGTTCATGTTACATCCAGTGTCTATTTTCAAAATCTACAATAGAATATCGCGATTGAATGTAATGAGTCAAATTTGTCGACAAATAGGATCAGACATGAATTTGATGAGGATATTTTTTAGAAAAAAATGGGTAAAATAGATTATTAAGTTATGATCGGGGAAAATATGACGGTAACTATAGATTTACATTTACGTTCTGCTTTATTCTCAAATATTTAAATGATAAATGAATTGATATATTCATTTGCCATTTTCTCTTTGTCAATTTCTTCACTTGAACTCTATCTCTGTAATCTAAGTCTCCGCTCTATGAAAACGAATCATTCTATTCTACAATGGAAGATATGGCCCCCCAATTGAGCGACACAATCTACAAATGTTGGTGGCGAAACAAAGTGGTCGAATGTTCCGAATATGTTGTTCCGACATTCACCGATGCATAAATTTTATGGCGGGAGGAATTTAAAGGCCACCACATCATATTTATAGTTTGAGTTTGCCCACATTTGACATGTACGCAATGGACGAGCATAGAAAAATGAAGCGAATCTGTGTGTAGATTGGTTTCGTTACTATCTTCTCCATCTTCTGACAAGCAAAAAAGTCGTGCTATGGCGAAAAACATTGTGTGATAAAACTCAACTCAAAGAACAACGCTGATAGTGAAAAATGAATGTTCCGTATTCCGTGTTCCCACATCGTTCGTCGACGGATTCTCATTTCGACGAAAAAATAAAACTAAGATAAATTCGTTGATTTGATGTGGCAGGTTCTCTCGTTATTCCGTCCATAATTTACAACTTGTATGCAATAATATATGTCACACGCGTTTTATAATTAGATTTATATGGTTCACAGCAAAGTGGCGCTTGCAAATAATGCTCTCTCTCGCGCAAGGTTCGCCAGCGAAATACAGAACAAAAATGTATTCTCTCGGCTTGTTTATTATTGCGATGAGGATACATCATGTTATAGACCGCAAAATGTGTTAATGTCATGATTGCAAAAACCTGTGTGAAAAATCTTCGAAGGCAATCAACACATACTCAGTCACGTTGAAGGCTTAATTTTGTGCCTCTTGGCAGAACTTTTGCACTGGCCTTTAATAAAACCAAAAAAGTATGACGTGTAATGTTGCAGAATAATCCGACACACTAAACTGCAGTCATGAAACTCTTGAAAACAAAAAAAATGTACGATTTTCGTAAATCCTCATTTCAAATGCTCTTCAATGTTACGAACGCAAACGATTGTTGTCAAATTAACACATGAAATACGAATAAATATGAAATACCGAACAAAGCAGAGCAATGATTTAAATCATCATGACGTCGCATTCATTCGCCGAGTTTTTTTTCGAAACTCTTTGAATACAGTTTGCCGCCGCTACCACCGCTGCTGTCAACAAAAAAAATCTCTCCCTCCGAACAATTTATACGACGTTCGTATTTATGAGGAGTCACGAACTTAAATTGCCAACAAGCAAATAAAATATTTATCCATATTTTAAATACCCAATTTCATCGCATGCGAGCGTGCATACAGTCTCTCTTAATCCTCATTTTATTGAAATATTATAACCATTTTATATTGTTGCTGCAACGAGATGTATTGCACGCACCGTCATTGCTCATGATTGCGATAACAATATGATTCTTTCATGCTATTCTATATATATATCAATTCCAACGATGTGTACTTTCTATCAAACAGCATACTTACTCATGTCAAATGTTTCCCTAAACACCAAAAAATTGCTGATTGAAACACCGACATTTATTGTTATCTTGTAATAATTTTATTGAATTCATTTTGGCTAAGTTTTTGAATTGAAAATAATAATAATAATAATACATAACGGATCAAACAGAATAGACAACTATATGTGCAAATTTACATTATTCTCTACACATACAAAACATAGTTTAAACATTGGAAACACTTAAATCTTTAGGACTGATACAAAAACAAATCACTGAAAAAAGTAAAAATAAATAATTTTCATTGATTAATCATCATTTATTGCTTTGAATTTCTCTTAATCAGGGGCATCAATTGTGATAAAAAGTGTATTTGTGCCGAGAATGATCACTTTTTGGTAACTGATTTAATTGCCAGAACGTGGTTGCCAGTTTTGAAGTAGAAATCATATATTATGATTCAAACCTATCAAACCATGGCTCATGTTATGGAATTAAACGAGTGACTACTTTTTTTTCTTCTAAATTTCTCTCATTCGGACTATAGTCCACAGTTAAGTATACTGATGTATGCTGAGGCTGACATTAAGTTGTCAGGCTAAGTTTAGCGAGTGACATTCAATTCCAAAGCATCACTTCACATTCAATGTATTATTGTCAAACAAAATTTCGATTACCTGTTTATGTTAGTTAGACATTTAGACAAGACTAAATTGTGAGCTGAAGTTCTATCGATTTTTTTTTGTTTAAAGTCTGTCGCAGATATATCGGAAATACAAAAGTTTTTTTTTTCTAATCAAAAAAGGCCCTACACTACAGTACTTCATAGTACGGTTTCGTCAATTTTTGTTGTATATTTTACGTTATTTATGCAAAATAGTCCGAAAAACTCTCTGCCCCTGTGCGCCGCATGTGGACCACAATATTGTTCAATCTGAAGAGTAAGTAGATGAATGTTTTGTTGTGAGTGTATTTTGATAAAGGGAATTAGGCTATTCCGTCACTTACGCATGCTATGAAGTCTTACTTAAAATTTTAATTCGATTAAAAACTACAAAATCACAAAGTTATAAAATTGTTCGATTCGAAAAATTTTCCTCTTTCTACCTTCCACGTAGAATAGTCTAATAATAAATTTCCGCATATTTGGTTTCACGTATTAATTTACTCGACACATCGGTCGAATGAATGTGCGTAGACCGAGTTGTGCCACTGACTTGTTTCAGCTAATAATATATTATGTGTATGACTTAAGCCTAGCAATGGCGATATTAAATTTCTGGATATGATTTACTTGATAGAAATATGAACATATATATTGAAAACGGTGCATGAGACTGAAAAAGGTTAACACTATTTTTTGGCAGTTTGACGAAATGAATAAATGCTTCAACAGAAGAGATAGAAAAACAGAAGTAGTATATCGTTTAAAGTAGCTGGTGTTTTGTGTGTGTGTGTTTAATTTTTTCATTCGGCTTCATTTCGAGAATAAAGTATGATGTATTAATTAACATACGGTTTCAAGGGGAGCTTTTGTATTGGCTGTGAATGAATTGTTAGTAAATGTATTATTCGTGCATGATTCTCCGATCGACGGTAATCCCTGCGATGAGCTGGAATGCTGCGGTCCATTTGTTGTGTTGGTCGTGTTTCGTCCCACTTTCGAGCACCAGAATCGTTTGATCGCCATCAGCACCTGATCAAATTCATTTAATCGCTTTATAATTTCTGACAATTTCTTTCCCATTTACAGGCTCTCGCACATCAAATGGGGGTTTGACGTGAGAATGAGCTTCCAAATGCAATGTATGCAAGCACATGATAAAGGTATGTTTGTTTCTGAACATATTTACCTGTGGCTGACATCCCACAACAACGAAGATGAATACGCCATGAAGGGCATTTATCACATCGGGAATGATCCAAAATGCATGTCGGTTGCCGTCCAGTGTTACGTGCACCCATGAAATTAAATCAAAGACCCAAGAAACGCCCATCACAACCACCAATTTCATACAGACGCGACCCAAAGCGGCTCTGACCATCGAGAAGAGAAACGTATAAATTAATCGCCAACCATTTTCAAGCGAATTAATGTCGCTTATCATTATTTAGCTGTGCATATACACATGCACTCAACTCTCTTTAACTCTCAAAATGATTCAACAGAATTTGCATTTGAAAGCAATGTTTGTTTGGTTATATCTCTTGTCTGCTTTTTTCTTCTACTTCTTCTTCTTCGAGTCAAAATGAATTTATTCCAAATGTTTTTTACCGTTCCGTTGTCGATTTGACTTCGTCACGTTTCCACAATCCGCAGGTAAGTTGTCGAGCAGTTGATGCAAACAGCAGTAAATTCACGATTAGTAGAAAACCTACAGGTCCGTAGAAATATGCCAGCAATTCTTTGTCACCTACGAATAAAACCAAAAAAAAAACACGAAATGAAAAGAAATATATCAAAAAAACGCGCAAATTGATTAGGAAAGCAGTCAAAGGCAAGTCGCGAAACAAGTTTTACGATCCTAAAGGATTTCAGCAATATATAAATGTAATGTCTATATAAGATGCGGCTAACAACTGTGCGGTAAAACAACAAAAGTGGCAAAGACGAAGTAGTGGCCGTACTTTTTTTAATCGAAACAAAAGTTGCTGTCTTTTTTTTTCTCGCTCGCTACATGGCCATATCATGTTACATTACAGTGTTCGTTTCCCTTTTTCGCGTAAAGCGTAAACAATAAATTTGCTTTGTGCATGATCGTTACTGATGTTCAGCGACGTAGCGAACTGTCGTTTCGGAATACAACGTCATTTACAATCATATCGTTTTCAAGTGCTGGCAACCACAACGGCATGGTGTCTAACGGTAAAACTTTAATTTTGTTCTGTTGTTATTGTTGGTCTTGTAAGTAAAAACACAAGAAAAGCACTCCATTTCTTCTGTACATTTTATTTGAATGTGATTTTATCTATTCCTAGGTTTTTCTCCTGCCCTCACTCACTCGTCTCAAAGACATTTCGTGTATTAATGCCCTTTTTTATGTTTGTTTCGCGTTTTATATTCATCAGTCTTTCGTGTAGATATTCGCCTATTGCTCTTAGCCAGAACAACCAAATAAACAACAATCAGTTAACGGAATGGAATATTAAGTCGTAATTCAAACAAGCAAAACCGAGCTGTATCAATTCAGACGGCTGCGATAGAAACGAATCCGAATAACAATAAAAATAGATATTTTTAAAAAGTCATAAGACTTGCGGTTGAGCGCGCGCATTGCCAAAGAACACTCATCAACGTAATTACCATGGCAGAGTAATCAAGTTCTCCTCGACGATGCTCGTATCGCTTTCCTACGCCATTCCGATTCTCTGCATCGTCATTTCATCGATTCTATTGAGCATAATATTGTGTGTATGTGTACATATTCAAAAGAGCCTATACTGCTGATCATCATTCGACAATATCTCTGTTTGCGGGTATGAACCATTCTACAGCATATTCTCTGTGTATGTGTTTACAAAATTATTCAAAGAATAAACAAAGAACGACCAAAACGAGCGGATGATTTTTTTCCATCATCTGTAAATGAATTTTTGAACTCGAGTCTTGTTTTTTTTTCCTTCGTCTGTTTGTTTGAGCTTGCTGCAAAGACGTTATTCCGCACTTATGATCTCAGCAAGTAAACTTATCGAATACCGCACACATCATGCGGTCGCATCTATTCGCTCTTTCTCTGTACAAATAATAATTATTTAATGAATTCTTGTTATGAATTTTTTTTCGTTTCGTATGTAAATTTTCTGACGATCCTCGAAAAGAATTTTTCGATTATTTGCGCTGTTGCTGTTTTTTCTTTGCGCTGACATTAAAAGAAGTCAAAATTTATATTTATTTATTATAACCATTTCGTATAGACGTATTAATATGGCATATATAGCTATCAACAAAGTTACTGCCTTCTGCCACTCATGTATAAAAATGTAAATTCCAATATTCGCTGTGTGGGTTTTTGGTTCAACGTCTCTATTTTGCCGCCCCTCACTTCAACTCATAGCCACAGTTTGTTTGTTGTCGCTGCTGTTGAAGACCCATCAAATTTGGTTGTCTACTTGTATTGTGTGTAAATTAAGGTTCAATTGTGAAAAATCTTTTCACACAGAAATTTTCCCCCTTTTGCCGATTTATTAGTTTGAATGACAATTTTATTTCCATCTTTATCCATTCGTAATTTTTTTCATGCGGTATCCGAATGAATTCGGGCAAAATACGAATAAAAAATGACGCACACATCGCACAAATCAATTTCGACAACATTGCCACAAACGGCGAATTAACAAACCGAACACAATGAATGATTTGCAAAAATGTTTAAATCCACTATGTCAATAAATCCTAGGTCCAAATTTGGAGCGCACGACTTGTTCGCCGGTACAACAATGTAATTTTATATTTGCTTATATGAGCACAACGAGCAACTATTGATTTCGAAGAACAAACATGCATTCGGAATATTTTAAGCATGTCCATAAAAATGACAACCTGCAGTTGATATAGACAGGTAGACATAATATCGATGGAAAAAAAGAGTTCGATTTAGTGTGTGTGCTTACCATCGAAACCGCATCGAGTCTGTCCAAAACGTGGTCGCAAGAAATCGCCATTCGGCAAAAAATCCAAAATCAAAGCCGTTGTCATAATCAGCAATGGCACACCCCATGCATAGGCTTGATAGATTCGTAACCGCATGGTTTCTTGCACCTTTTCCAGTGTCGACGGTCGAAAATCGCTGCAAAAAAAAACAAATGGTTAGAAACAAGATTCTTGTTTGGTTATACCTAGATAGTAGTTTTTCTATGAGATAATTCATGTCTAATATGTTCTTAACGACTGATCCAGTCGATTATTCATCATTTCTTTGGCATCACATGTTCTAGACCTATTCTTAGCGGTGAACGGTAGAGGAAGAAGTCAGAAGAATCAAAAACTTATCAAACTATCTGAAATATTCTGCAGAAATAATTTAATCAAACGAATGAAGATTTGAAACCGAACGAAAAAAAAGCGATTAACTCAATGAGCTATAGATCGTGATGATGTTTCGCTTAATTAGTAGATCATGAGGTTACGGAAAAAAAACACATCAGAGAGAACTGGAATGTGAGCACGAAGTATTAGTGGAATTTCTCACATCAAGTATTTCTCTGCTTTTTTGGCGGTTAACATGGTGTCCTCATGTCCGTTTGAAGATCATTAATGACAGCACACACGTTCGATCACAAAGTAACTACAAACCGGCTCAAAATATGGAATCTGCAATGCGAACAACGCAATGTCAATAACCGTCAAAGTATTCTCTATGTGCGTTGATTTTTTTTCTCTTCTCACTCTTCAAACTCTTCCTCTTGTCTGTCTTTCTTTCCGTCTTGCTGGATTTGTTTATCGAAACCACTTCAATTTGGTAAGAGGTAGCACCAAAAATGGGCAGAAGTTTGTTATTCAAATTCAGCTCTGAAGCATATCGACGAAGAAAAAGAGTGTTGTAACGTTTAAACTCTCGCTTGGAAATACCATTTTCGATAATCATAATTTGGAAAACACGCCAAGATCATATAGCCGATGGAATGGAAGAAAGACAGAAAAAAAGCGCGTCTTGTGATCTATGAAACAGAGATTCTGGTTTCGATATCGAGGAGAGTGTGATTGATACGCATGTCGATTCACAGTTTTCAATGGAGTCCCACTTGAAAATAATAATTTGTTTATTTCACTTCGAAATCGTTCGAAATCTTGATTTCAGAATTCCCAATCGATTGCTGTGGTGTTGTATTGTCGTGACAATAACCCAACAACGATATCACATTCGACCGTCGTTTGTTTGCCTCCAGCTGCTAAAGCCTGATTATTGCTGATAGCTACAGTATATCGACATATTGTCTGTTTGATACGATATTTTTATTGACAATTTTCAATCTACGTGCTGCCTTTTTTGGATACGTTCGACCGTCTATTTCATCAGTTCATGTAAAACATCATCGAAAATAATCCATGTAACTTATCGGTTAGACATATACAAGTATGGATGTGATTAAAGTTCATTAACTTATGCGATGTTCGTTAAATGGCTTAAACATTCTCTCGCTTATTATTTGAACAGAACATAAACTAGCTGCCGTAATTAAACAGTTTGACTCATTTATTTAGAAACGCTCTTTAAATACACAAACACACTTTTTAACTCGAAAACTTTTGGATTATAGACATGCGCTCACGCACGTCCAATGTTTACATAAAAACCGAACGAAAGCCGATTTGTGTCACTCAGCGCAAAAGTGTGCACATTCCAATCAGATTTCTTGCATCAATTGTGCGCACAACTAGATTTCCATTGCATTGCATTGGATTCAAGTGAAGTTTGTTATTAATTGTGACGGAGAAAATACAATTTATTGAAAAGAAATCAACAAGGCCAGCTTATCAATATGGCATGCATCTCTAACAAATCTCGTTTTGTAGCGAAAAAAAAAAACAAAACGAAAAAGAAAAGAAAATAAGTTCTGGTTGTATAGAAAATAAAAATTGCCATTTAATGTACGATGAGAAGAGGAAAAAAAATTACATTCGCATTCGTTGAATACGTATTATAATATAAATGCAATATAAACTATTCAATCCAGACATTCTTTTTCCTTTCTACCGATGATGATCATCATCATCGTGGCCATAAAATTGCATTGGCAAACGAACTAACGGCCATGGAGATGAAAACACATGAACGTATTAAAACGAAGTCAAGAATAAGGAAGAAATAACACGCTAGCAAGCGGTAGAGAGAGAGAGAGAGATTTGAAATGGTTATTGCCGACCTTGGACGCGATATATGCACATCTAGCTAGTTTTGAACGAGATGAATGCATAGAAAATGGCAATCGCAATTGCCATAGCCCAAAAGAATGCAACGAGCACTTCATTCATGGCAAACAAATGTTTTAGCCAAACGGACTCACAGTCGTCACTTGGTGCACTGGCACTGTACATGGTGTCGAGATGCATGTGTTTTTAAAATCCCATTTAATTGGCATTTTAAAATGTTTCAAATGGCTCAGCAGCCAAACACATACACACATACATACACAGATACAAAAGTGCAATCACTTTTATTTATGAATAAATGAACGGAACTGATTGCGCATTGGGCTGCAGCCCATAAAAATTATTTCTTCAACAATCTTAATTCTTTTCACACGAAAATGAAAATTTCATGAAACGTTGATTATTCCATTGAACAATTGTATACGGCTGGTGAAATTAGTCCCCATGGGTTATGAATAATAATGATAAAAAAAAGCGGAAGAAAAAATATTGGCAAACTAAAGTGAATGTACGAGTGAGACTGAAAAAGATGATTGTTTAAAAATGTAGCACATTCAAGTGATTCGGATCTTGGGAGATTTTAAGCGCACTAAACGCATTTCAGTGAAATGTCAAGACACTGCCACCGTCACACTGCACACGAACAATAAATTTTATTCCTTTTTTCGAGTTAATTCAATGAAACTCATTGTAATTGACATTGCTTTTCTTTTGTAAATCGTACGAATCCGCACTTTGGATTGTTGCAAATGTGAGAGTTCGAAAGAGATGCACATGGAGTAAAAATGCCACGCAGTGAAATGCGGTTGGGAATGCAGTAGCAGTGCTATATTTGCGAATTAATTATTTTGTCTCGAGCAAGTTGACTGCTAATGATAATACTGTACCAAGTTGTTACAGATGCTTGGAATCATTCCAAAAGCCCATTGTACTAAAAATAGCATTTTCTACACGGGTTTCTTTCCTTTTCCCGTAAAGGCGAATAGAGAGTAATTGATGTTGCGATTTGCAAGAGAAAGGAATTTCATTTCTACTGACTATTTTAGAGACTCCGATTTTTTTTTATTCTGCATCGAAATGGTTGAAAATTTCTGCTCGCAGACGTTATTTGGCATGTTCATCATTCCGGTTCTCTCACTTTCAAACAACAACATTAGCATTAATTAAATTCATATCACACCAGCATTGGATTTCCGATCTAACAATCGGTTTAGTGTTGCCAGTACAGTATACAACAATACACAAATCCATTGTGTGCCGTATGCTATCGAATGTTTTCACACCACTTCAAATTATAATAAATAATATGCATGACAATGCTACACAGTACGCAAATATCCACATTTCTTCACGTGTTTCTCCAGTTATCGTGTTGACCAAAAATAAACAGCATGTATTTAAGCGACGCAATCACTTCTTACGTGAATATGGCTTAATACCGAATCCAAACAACAGTGACTAATGAACGTTTGTTTTCGGATGGGATAGTAGGGGGAGAGAGTATGAGGAATTGAATTGTATGTTTGTGTTAAACAATTTGAAGTGATTTCATAATATAGTTACAAGTCTATTCGATTTGTTAGTGCCAAACCCACCTTAGAAGATTTTGTGAGTCGCTCACCGAAATGAATGTAACAATTTCCTCATGAATGAAACGGTTTTGTTCAAAAATTTTTTTGGCTGAAAATCAATCAATATTCTAAGAAATGCTTACCGGAAAGTCCACCATATATTGACACACGCTGTATTGAGCCAGAAGAAAGCACACAGATAACAAAAGTGTACACTTATTGCTGAAAATAGAAAATGAAAAAAAGAATGAGGTATTCGATCAGAGTATTTGTAAGCTAATTCTGAACCATTTTAAACACTAAAAAGCCACATTTCTACGTCAAACGAAAGGCGTTGTGCAAATGAGTGGATTCGAATTGAACAATGTCGATAATGTATTCAAAGTCCATCCATTCATCCAATCTAACTGTAGATATAAGCAAATTTTCATGTTTCTCAAATTCATGAACATTTCGGTTCCGGCAGAATCATCATTATGCAGTTACAGTGAAAATCAATTATCTTCGATTAAAGTTTTCATTCCTCCTTCTCTTCGCATTTTACTGGTGTTGCACATTTATACCGCTAGATTTTATAGTTGTGCTACATAAGCAGATGCTCACTCCATCGCTCTGAGTTCATTTAATATTTAGAAATACGGTGTAGCCAAGAGATTTTAGCATTTCCGCATTTCGGTCCAAATGGATTTTTAAGCGTGAACGACTTTAGACTATGATCACATACTACGGAGAAATGAGCCTCGAAAAGCGATTTTAACGAGCACCCATCAATCAAAACACATGATGATGATTATGAAATGGGTGCAGTTTTGCGCATGTAAAGCCATAAAAACAAGTCCTTCAAATAGATCTCAATCGATATATTCTGGATAACCTTGAAGGCTGAAAAAATCAAATGTCAGCACGTCGAACGATTCCGGCGAAACATAGAATATGTGTCCACAGTATCCATATGAGTTTTATGACTTTATTACTCGTAAAAAGTATAGAAGCATATTTTCTTTAATTGCATCCGAACAATCTTTGCGATAATTTCGTCGAAAGTCCAACATGTGTTTTCAATTATACCAAAGAATCTTTGTTCCCAATGGCTCCGCTGTTCTTTTTTTCTGCCTTTTGTGTGTCTTTCGGTAGAATCGTAATTGACAGTTGATTCGAGTTATTTTGAAGCATGAAGTATAATAATCATTGTTGAAATGAAGCATGTTCTTTACGACGTTACGCCTAACCAAGTAAGAGAAAGACTAGAAGTCAAATGTGTGTCAGTGAAATGCTTTTGAATTCACGCTAAATCGATGATTTTCGGCGTTTTTCCTCATCGCTTTTGAAATTGAATCACTAGCTCTGATTTCTATTCCAATTGAAAGAGATTGACCTTATTACTTCACAAAGTTCATCATTTGAACGCATTTCATTTGTTAATGGGTTTTGATTTACGTGAGTTTTCTTCAATTCATTCTATGGATTACAGTCTCAATTAATTTTCGCTTAAAACGCCGACTTTGTTCGTTGTTCCATTGAAAGTTTTAGTAGAAATCCAATTCAATTCACTTCACTTTGTGCAGAGAGTGTAATCTATATATCAAAATGCTCTCTAATGGAAATTTTCTGATTCGAATAGTTTCGAAGTTTAATTATTGGCAACGATTAGTTTAGCGGCATTCATTATTTTTTCATTTATTTCACGCACTTGACTTAAATGGTTCAGTTATTATAAAATGAAGTCATGTCTGAGAGAACGACCGATTTTTACCATCTCTCTAATCGACTTCAAGGTTCGAATCTATTTATTTGCTAGTGTGGCTGTATATCATCAAAACCGTAACACCAAACGCTTCATTGTTTCATCTTTTGAGTGTCTTAATTAGACACACCATCATGGTAATGGATAAAATGGATTGATTGTGGTTCAACGCTGAACGGGAAATATAGATCAACGTACAGTTTTGGTAGAATTTTTTGTGTTGAATCGTTCCCGTTACATTTGCGAAAAAAAATTGTTATACATCGAATACTCACACACACTCGACACACTGTGGCAAGGTTGTACCGCTTCAAAAACCACATGAACAGAGAAAGCAATTCAGTCATGCACATAAACGTTTAATGTGCATATCGAAATCCAAATCGTTCATTCACTGTGAAATATCTGTGTTTTTGGTTGACGGAATCCACCACGCCATTTTAGCCCACATTAATTTTTTTTTCTTCTTCCTTAGAATAGAATGCTAACCAATTTCATGATTGTATCATAATTCATAATGTTGGCGATAAAGCTGACACGACAATTTAGTTGAATGTATACGTGTCATTCTAATGATGAGCTATTACACGCCAAATGGTTCTATCTTTAAATTGCGTTCATCACAATTCGAGTTAGCGGAACTAAGTTACTAAAGATACGGTATTAATTAATTTATATCAATTTCGAGTCAACTTACTCGAATGTGGACTAACAAATGCATTGTTTGTGTGTTGGTATGTAGTGTTTTCATTTAAAAGGCCACATTTAACTAACGATGTGCCAGAATGAATGATTGATAAAAAAAAACTGTCTGTTTCGTCATCCGTTTACCGTTTCTACGTGAATATTAGGCAAATATGGGCAATATGTGGCGTAGGTAACATCACTCAGGTGACATTACTCACTGATTTTTCCAATTCGTTCAGCATTAATATGCGTCGCAACACGGAATTTTAATTGATTCTGTCGTCAGCAGGCAATTACGAATGCAGCGAACACTACACAAAGTACCGCTCCGTGGTCGAGTATTGCAAACGAATGAACGAATGAACGGACAACAACAACAACAACGTCGACGACAAAAAATGCTGAGAATTATTCCATCTTGTCACTCGGTGAATCGCACATCGCACAAAAAAAGACGCAAAAATAATATCGACGTTGACACGAATCCAGATTAGGTACGGAATTGAAGAGCAGCAAAAAAAACATACGAAAATATCACGAACAAACATGTAAAAAATGTTACTATGTTTTAATTTGTGAATTTTCTATCATCACTTGGCATGAATCAAGCGATTCGACAGTGTCTAGAATGAAAGGCTTTTTGTTTCGTTTTCATATTCATGAATTATGGCAGAGCATGCTATTTATGGATTATTGTTCGACTTAAAATGTGTATTTTTATTTTATTCGTCTCTATCACCAAGCTATCTCTTCTTCTCGATTCGTTCATTCGTACGTGCGATTAAATGAGTAGAGTGATAATAATAATTCGCATCGAAATTGTCGTAATGATCTAAATCCAACGTGTTTTGAATTGAAATGAAAGCAGACATGCTATTTGGTGTTTCGTTTTCTTCTCTTTTCACATGATAATTATGATTTTCACATTCGGACTGACTGCTGACTTGGTGTTATTCAGACTGTCCTGTGTGTGAGAGGAAGAACGGCTCGAAATGAAAAGAAGAATTGGAATTCCTCTTTTTGTGTTTGTTTGAATTTATTTTGCTAATTCTTTGATTCTATTCTCATGCACACAAGGGCCATTCCCGTGGCTGAGAGAAACGACATGGTACACACAGAGAGAGACCACGCACGAATAACGTTACGTTCAACTGACAGCAATTAATGCAATGCTGGTTTTATTTATTTTCTTTAGTTTTTTTTTCTTCATTCGTATTTCATTATTTTTCCCTTGTTGAGAAGTTTTCTTCGCGTTATTTAGTGTGAATTAACATCGGAATGTTGAATCGAAACGAGAGCCAATATTCACATATGCTGGCAGTAATGTGAGGAATTGCTCATAAAGAAAGATCAACCGTTAGTTTTGGAATTTTACAATTGCGTTTTTATGCCAGACTTTTTCAGAGCCCGTTCCCATTCATTTACCGTATTGAACTCGCGAAAAAAGCAAGCAAGCAAGCAACCAACCAACGAAAGAAACAGCAACGAAATAACAATGAAATACTACAAACAGTCGCACAGACCTACTCAACCAACTGCATTGTTTGGCGTATGTGTGTGGCGCAACTTTCGGTATTCGCATGAATCTCTTTGATTCCGCACGAAAAAAAGCGATTCAAAATTCCGACAATTCACATTTTCATATATGATGAAGCATGATTTATGCATCGGTATTTTCCAATCATACACAAAATAAAATGGTTAATAAACTCCCATCATTCAGACTTTTGGATTTTATATCACTGTGTCTGCATTTAAATAAATGGAACAAATCGGTGGCTTTCAAACGACTCCGACTCACAGTCTAGCTCATTTCCTCAATTTGAATAACAAGAAACACGAAATTTTACCGTTTGTCAGTATATCATTTTTTTTATAGATCGAAGTGTACGTTTCTTATACACGGCTTATTTGAGTCATTTCGATAATTCTCTTTTGTCGTTTCACTGCTAACGTCTTCGTCATTTAAAATTGAGAACAGAACAAAAATCAAAACAAAAACCAAGAACTAACCAAAATTGATATAGGTTAGTATTTCATCTAATTCGTATGCATCACACAATCGACATATAATGATATAAAATTAAAACGTATGTTCGTCACGCCATCAGTCAAGCGGCTACTATTTTTCATATTTCAATAAAAACCAGTATGTAAAAGAATATATCTCCAGTGGATTTATTCGAGCGGCTTTTGTTTGTTTTTGCAAAGCAAATTTCGGAGAGTTCCGCTTCTGTGTTTTTCTCTTCTCATTCAGAAGCCAATCATTTATGGAATTCAGACAAAACCGATTGATATAATTACATTTCGAAATAATTCTCGCTGCGAGAAGTGAGTGAAAAAGAAAAACATGTTGACTCATATTGACGTATTTCGGAAAGTGTGTATTCAGTTTGTAGCGGATGGATTTTGTTCAAACAAAAAATATTTTCGACAAACTTTTTTCAAGGTGAACAGACAAAGACAGATATGCACTGCATTCCGTTGTTGTTAATTTTTGTTTAAACCATACGCCTTCATACGTGTGAACATATATATATATCCAGACAACAATATCAATCAAGCAGCAAACAATCGGACAGCATGCTAATTTAATTTAGAAAAATTTTATTTGACTTAGTTGATACGTTGGAATGATCGGAGCTGATATAAATGTTTATATTCATGTGTTAAAAGAGAGAAGCTGTTTTGGCTTTCAAGTGACATTGTTTATACGAAAGTAAGACACTTGTTTTTCCACTGTTATTTCATTGCGTTATGTAATTTAAAAATAGCCAATGACTCGATCGCTTGAGTAAAAACACAATGAACTAACTGACGCATATGTTAACGGAGTGACCTATTTCGTGTTAAGTCTAAGCAAATCCAATGTTTTTTGCAGTTTAACTCGATTCAACGCAGACAAATTTTCTCTTTCCAATTTTGGAAATACTCTGCGAATATTTATCTTCAAGTTCTAAGAAACAAAAATGTATTTTTAATTTAAGACTTTGGTTCACCAGATATTGTTGAGACTGTTGTTATTGTTTTGATTTAAAAAAAAACGCTGACTCGAAAAAAATCAGTGAAAATTATAATTTTCAATTGACAAATCTTAAAATACGATTTAAATATTATTTTCGTTATTTCTGAGAATACGCGTAGCAGTAAAGATAAGAATATAAAGAAATCTAGTATTCGTCATTTTTAATAATCCGAAGAAAATGTCACATTTTAAAAATGAGTCAAACTTTTAATGTTCGCATTTTTTGAACGCTTGAAGTTAATCCATTGTGTAATATATAAGTTGAAAGCCACTCTCTTCTAGAATCCAAAACTGGCTAACACTTAACAATATCTGAGGTGATTCGGTTTTAATAGAAATGGAGTAGCCTCTGGGTGTTGTATATGGCAACGCTCGGTTGATTAGGGTTAATGTTATATAAAAACTTTCATTGCTATTTCTTTATTGAAATAATAATTCGTTGCTTACCTATTGAAACGCACTGAACACTCTTAACCTTGATTGCATTTCCGGATAGTTGAACAATGGCCAACAGAATGTCGCCAATGATAAGACAAACAACATAGTATGTTTGACAACGCCAGTGTAAGACGTGATGATTGGTTGGTAGTAGAAAACCAGTTGCCAGTGTCGTAATCAAAAATACAACTGATATTAATAATGTGCAGCCAATGATATTGAGCGTCAGTCTCGAATCGGTTGTCTAAAAATGGGAAAATGTCATTAAAATATATGGTTTCATTGTATTTCAATCAAAAATGGTGCGCTGTTATAGCTATAATTGGAAATGAATATTTTTTGTTATGATTTTGCATCGGATTTGTGGAGCGCGAGGACAAAAAAAAATTGGAATTGAATTGAATAGGTCGATTTTAATTAAAACTCACCTTTTTTTCGGAGGTCGGCAAATAATCGGTGCACGTGAAAACGTGCACATTTACCGTGCCAGTGTCATTGAAGTGCTCTAAGCAGTATTGGTCCAATTGGAATCTACCCTCGGCTAATGTCAAATTGCCGGTGCTTTCATCGAACTTCGACTCATTGAATTTACCAACAATAACCACACTGTTGGAATTGCATTGCGGAAAACCATATCGCAACTCTAATGGATTCGTCGCGTTTTCTATTAATTTCCGTCCAATGATTTCATGTCCGTCACGAAGTGTCACGCATGTTGTGTCATCATTGGTTTGGTAGATTGCTTTTTGTGGACAACATTTACGTACTCGTGTCCGAATCACTGGCTGATTGATTAGATCGACATTCTCTGCCAGCGGACTGCATATTAGAGCCACATCTTTATCAACACAAAAATTATCACTTTCAATAACTTCTGAACGACTGGGCAGATAAAGTGTACCATTAGAGAATACGGCCATCGTATGGTTACCGGTTACTAATTCAGGTGATTTACAATGCGGCCGTGACGATTCATTCACTTTGAAAAAACGTGGTGCATCACCATGCGGTGTAAAGTAGGTGGTTTTCTGTAGCAAATATATCACTGGCCACCAGTGATCAGCACCGGCACCACCAACCGAACACTCTTGATTTCGGTCTAATGTCTCACCGATGCGACAGCACTTGTTCACGAACACTGGTGACGGGGCTTTGGCCGCATCTGCCGTAAGCATGGGCCAAACAACAAGTGCGATTATCATCACGAAAAGTGACATCGTCTTCATTTTCGTTGTTGTACACGCTGCCGACGAAATTATGCTAAATGGGTCAGCGAAATTGCTTTTTTGCGGCACCTGTCGTTTTGTTTTCGCCATGATTAATCAGACTAATTTGCCGACGCGCGTGTGCCTTTTGTTTCCGATCACTAATTCTCTCTTTTTTTTCTATATACCACTCGATTAAAATAAAACTTTTTCGCCTAGTTTTCGTCGAATTCGTCCTACATTGTTTTTGCTTTTGCTGGCGTTTTCTTTTGTCTATTTACTTACTTTTAACATCGTCCAAATAGTTTCGCTAACTACCGAACTCAATTGTTGAACTCTTTCGTTCGTTCACTTTGGAAAGTTTCGAGTGATTGTCGCGCTTCGGTTGAAAAACTTAATAATCGGTAGAAAATCTCCTAAAATCGGTGTTTGCGTTTTTTCTCTCTCTCGTATTTCACTTCACTTTTTACTTTGTTCTCATTTGCCATATGATCATCGGCAAACCATTGTGTGATCTCTTGTGGAAAATTCACCTGTGTGTGAACATTTGTTGCAATTCGCGAGAGACACAGTCACTTTGTTTTTACTTTAAATGAAAAAAAAAAGAAATTTCAATTTTTCATTATGGTTTTTTTTTTCGTTGTTGTTGCTGTTGTTGTTTTTATTGCAATTTTACCACATTCACATACACGAGGCGAAGCTATCATTAAACACCGTGAACACGAGAGAGCAAAAAGAAAGTTCGATTTCTGCCGTGTTGTTGTTTTTTTGTTCGCTTCTCTGCTTCACTCGTGCACAATTTGTTTGTTAATAACGTTTCACAATGATTATATTTAACTAAACCGGATTGTGTGGCCGGAAGAGTGCAAAAAAAATACAGTATTTTATTGATCAACATCTAAAGAAACGCACATACGTAATGGCAATGATAATTTTCGCAATGCGTTGTGACAATGCACTCAATTATCTTATAAATATCTTATGATAATTTACATTTTCGTCGAAAATGATCGAAGATTTATATTAATTTATTTTCTATCACTAACACAGTATTTCGATTTGATCATAGTCACACACAAATATTAGCATATTTAAATTTAAAAAAATCTATTGGCATTCACTCAAAATAATAGATAACAAAAGATAGCCAAAAATAGCGAAACTAATAGAAATTTTTTTTTTCTGTTGAACAAAATACAAAATATCGGGATTGATATAGCGGAATGAAAGAGGCGCGCGCGCTCCTCGCTTTAAAACGTTCAAACCAAACCAACTCGCCGATAGCCGAAGAGCAACTGAATATGAGTGCTTTAAATGTTATTGGCTATGATGATGGTTGTGTCGCTTCAATCACGTATATATTTTTTTCAGTCGCTCTGTGTACGGTCACAGGTTCCAGTTTCTTTCTTCCCTTTGCATTGCATTCTGTTTAGTTCGCAAGCAGCAACAATTCACACAGACATACTGTGCCAAGCACACAGCACAGAGCCGAGCCGAGCACATCGCTTGCCGTTGATATAGTGAGCCAGCGAGCGAGTGCTGCTGGTGTGAGTGAGAGACTTGTTGTGGAGTGTTTAAGCGTGCGGCATGTATACAGCTCTGAAGCAGTAGCATATTTGCAGACTATTGTTGCGATTGTGTTGGAGTGTTGAACTAAAGTATGTGTGAGTCATTGTTATTATTGCTTTTGGTTTTTGTATCCATGCTCTTGACTAACCTGCTTGCTTGTTCGCTCACACACGCTCTCGCCGATGCTGCTGCTCCTCGGCTATATCATGCCATGTTAATTTTCGTGTGCCATAGTTGTTATTGTTTTTGCCCCGTTGCTACAGACTTTTCTGTGTTTTGTTTACATTTGACAGCCTGTTAAGCATGTGTTGCCTCTATTGAATACGCGCGCTGTCCAAAAGCACGGCATGCATGCATATATGTAAAACTCATTGAACGCAATTGTTTCGAGATTCACTCTCTTCCCACCGATTTTGAGTATGCAATTTTAAAACACTCGAATAGGTAAAACAATCTCCTAGATGCACTTGTACACTGTACAATACATGGAGACATATACGTGTATGTTGAGTGAACGAGTGTGTGAGTATGGAGAGGTAAACCAAGACGTACTTTAATCTGACTGGTTGCTCTTCAAAACTATAACAGACATGGTTTGGTTTGCAGATGAGAGAAAAGCAACCACAACAACAGCAGCAGCATCATCAGTGCATCAGCAGCAACGTCATCCACAATTTGGCTTCACCAAATGCACTTGTGAGCTGAGCTGAACTGAACTGAGTTGGCTGACTGCAAAGCAATCGCTTCTAGTGTTACAATATTTCATCTGAACTCCATTCACTTTTTCCATCCGGCTACTGCTGCTGCTGCTATTGCTCTGCAGAGCCATAATTTTTACGGTATTTTCATCATCAAAATGATCTTCTTTTCTGCTTTACGGACATTAGCCGCCAAGTATTGTCCATTCACTGGTTATATTCATTATGTGCAATCGTTCAAGCGTATCATACTTCACCATACAGAAGAGTCAAAAGACTGGAAAACTAAAAAAGTATATCTTAATACCGGAATCGGAATTCATACAACCGTATTCAATATTTCGAGAAGATATGCCAACAATGATGCCTCTTCAACCAACCAACGATTTGAAAAGCGGAATTAAAATTTTCTCCCGAAACAATCCACTTGAAACTTGAAATTCCATTCAAGACTGATATGTCACTTTATTAAGTAGAAAAATGTCATAAATTGCATTGCTTACCCAACACATACAGACAGCATTGATAGCCCGCAATAGCCCGTAATAAAATGTATGGAATGTCATGAAGATATTTTTGGTGCAAAACCCATTTGTTAATTAATTTTAATACTCCTGATGGATTATGGGTAAAAGATGACCGGTGTGCAAGCATCAAACGTTCAATTATGTTTTCCATCTGAAGCAAATAATTTCGAAATTGTAGAAAAAACAAAAGAAAAAAGTAGAAGGACCATATCCGTTCGACAATCAGAGGGAGAGAAATGTACTGCAACGAATTCTTTTGAAATGAGTAGACTCAACTCAGTAGAGAGAATAAGGCAAAAGAAAAAACAACAGAGATTATATATGGTTTAAATAGACTTAAAGCAAAAAAGGTAAAAAGTGTGGCTCCATAATGTCGGTTTTTTTATTACTCACTTCACAGATAATTTCATTTCACTCAAACTGAATTGTCCGGAACTCGAAAAATGTGATACGAAATTCAATTTTGTTGAAATGAAACTTTTTAAACATAGAAAAAGGGCCTGGAAATGCCATCAAAAAATTATCTATTAATTTTCCTTTTTTTTAGAAAAAAAACGAACCAAAAGGTATGTCCAACATTTCCCACATTCCATTTGATTCATTCTGTTTCCTTTTGGTGAAATCATCGTCGTTTTGTGTTTTTTTGTGAGTGTCTAGATACGAGCTCATACACGTTGAAAGTTGTGCTCCACTTCAGGTATTTGCAATAGCTCGTATTTCACTGGTGTGTGTGTGTGTGTGTGTGCGCGCGCCCGTTATGCAGTCACGAGAAAAGAAGACACATCTATTTACACATGTTATTTTCAATACATCAGAGTTATTCAACCCTAAGGCGTCGTTGCTATTTTTTTTCTATGCCGGTTTTGCTAGGCATCATCGCTGAAGAACGAAAAAAAACAGCAAACTCTTAACTTTTTGAAGCGTGTTCTATTCATCGTACAAGATTGATGTGCATGTTCATGTTTTCAACCGAATGGATTTCCATCAACAAACGTTCACGTCAAATTCATGCACGTCAAGGGAATTTTTTTTATCGACACGAGACGTGGAACGTAGCACTGGAATCGGTTTTCGCAGTAGTAGGCAGAGCAGTCAACAATAAATGCGAAGGGCGAAGAATGGAAAAACAACAACCAAACAAAAACGAGGGAGAGATTCAAAAATTCAGATTGCATACACTATTTAACCATAGTTTTGAAACTTTTCTGCAATCAATATCATATTCATGGGTATTTTGGGCGTGAGCGAGAGCATAATAGTCATTGTGTCGCCGTAACATTTCAAGCGATTTGTACGATTTTAATCAAATTGTCATGATTTATTCCGATGAAAAGAGTCAACTTTCTCCAATAAATAATATGGTTCAGAAACAGAAACTGTTGCCCACACAATTCTACGGAAATATCGCACCCGAAATCGCAATGCGACTACAGACTCTAGACCAAACGAAACAAACTCATTTGAATTCTATTTACAAAATATATCAACAACGATAATAACAACGAAAATGAATAAGTTTGCATCACACGGCATGCGGTTAGTTGTTAAACATTGTCATGGTAATGAAAACTACATATTTTCAACATCTGTCGGTCCGAAATTATTCTGCTTGAATGATGTAAGTTCATGCATATACCCCAGCCGAAGATAGTCGAATATTTCGGAATGAACTCAATTTTTGGTGCTTGTAGTTGTCGTTTTTTTTCTGGGCCGAAAAACCATAAAATTCAATGGATGCATCGCATTCAGAATGGAATAATATTGAATTCGATCGCATAATAATTCGATTGTGTATGATTACTGTTATATTTGTTAAACGACGGTATCCATCAGCTGCATGGTTGGAATAATGCGTTATTGGAACGGTCATAAACAATATGTGCTTGTGCGTGCAATATGTTCTACGAAATCGTACATCGTCATCGACAAAATACACACATCTGAACGGCAGTCACAAAGAAATCCATAGCACATATATGTCAGAAGAATGAGAAAACAAAAGCGAAATACACAACAACAGAGAACGAAGTGAAGAGAAAAAAACATCCATTCGCCAACTATGAAAGAGTCTATAATAAATTATTATTGTTGTAAAAGTAAAACGAACGACAGAGAGAAAGAGTTTGTGTGCGAGTGTGAGTGTGCACAGGAACGATATGTTGCAATATACGAAGAAATAAAACGAAGTACATTTGAAATCTCTTTGTGGTGTTTGTCTTTTTTGTGCACGGAGAGAAACGAAGAAACGAAGTGAAGAACAGAGAGAAGGCGCTGAACAAAATAAACCAAACAACAACAGCGCAAAAGAAAATTCTTTGCTCGTGCAATGATGAGAGACAACACAAAACTTAGCATACCGGCAAAAAAAAATAATAGCAGTGCGAGATAGAGAGTGAGAGAACGACGCAACAACAATAACTACATTGGTTATGCACCAATACACTGAATCCTGAACAGACTAATAAAAACGCGCGCTCACAACGTCGTCCCTAACACAAGCGGCGAATGCTTATCGTATCGGGAGAATAGAGAGAATGAGAGAGAGAGAAAGAGCCACATTGAGAATGTATAAAATTGCTTTTGTTGTGCCTGCTGCGGCTGCTGATGTCGCTGCTATTGCTGAAAGAGGGAAAGGAATGAGATGAGAGAATACAAATGTGAAAAAATAGTAACGACGTTTCTCCGTAATAAGAGAGACTCGACGATTTTCCAATGCTACGCTTCTACTTCAGTTGTTCGTCGACTCTGGACGATGTTACGCGCGTATTGCATGCATTCGTTTTGAGATAAATAAAAGAGCGTTTTATTCGTATCCAACATTTTCTTTTTATAACGTATCAACGTTCAAACTAAGTGCTAGTTTTTTACAGAAAAATAATCGTTTTTTGTTGTGTTCGTGTGAAAACCAACCGAATTTTACCTTTTTAAATCAAAAGTGAATTTTTTTTAGCGTGGATTCAATTGCACAAAAATTGGTCAATGAAAGGAGAGGAGAAAGAAACAATTCACTAAGAACTGCTTCATTTTCCACGCCAGGTTGCTTTCATTGTTTATATGTGTGTTAAGATAAAACTAGTTTGTTGTGTAAGAGCAACGGTAGTGCTGAATTCATTTCATCACTTTTTCCCCACAACAACGTCGTGCAAGTGTTTTTCGTCGTCGCCGTCGTACGTATGCGATATTCTCAAAGAGTAGTAAACAAGAGCAGAATTGTGCACGACAAAAGAGAAATATTCAATTTTAATTTGTTTCAAAAAATGTGTTCAATTATGTGCAGCGGAGCGGCTAAAAGTAATAAATGTGTGTGATATCGTTTTAGTGTGTTTTGTACTCGTAATTTTGTTGCTAAATTAAATTCAAGAAAAGAGAAGCAAAAAAATGACATCACATCGAATTAATGATCACTTAAGAGAAACAGCATTCCAACGCACTTAAAAAAATTATATTGTTGCCATTTAAGCGAGCATCAAATGATGTGTTCGCCGTTTTTGCGCCCGTGCTCAACGTGTACTTCTATTGTGTAAAATTGATATTGCAGTTTGTACTTCGAACAAAACGAAAAAAAGAAAGAAGTCAGAACACAGCATTTAATTGTGGTATAAATTGAATAGTAACGATTTTACAAAGAGCGGAAAAAAAGAAACTAAAAAGGTTGCGATTAAACGAAAAAAAGAGAGCCATACTGAGTTGATTGAGCCCTTGTGACAATGACAACGGGCTCTACACGCAATTTGTGTCTGAATTCAAGTGTTCATTGAAGAAAAAAAACAGAACGTTCAAAAAGAAACGCAGTCGTCACGCAAAAATGGAACCGAATTTCATACGTAGATCGTCACGAAGAACTTTTTTATCCATAATTTTAATACTCATCGCCAATGGCATCGGGATTGAGCATGTATCGGCCGTTCGCCCGCCACCACCTACTGTGGAGATAAATAAATGTTGTCGAATTGGCGAAACACTAGACCGTAACAAGCAGTGTTCGATCGGTGGAAACGGTACAGATCAATGGTGGCCACTAATTTACCTTGTTGCTAAAGGTACCTACTTTGCGAAACACGGTGAAGCACCGCGATTCTTACGAGCTCGTGAATTTACGCAGCCAACGTGTGAAAATGCCGAATTATTTTTAAATAATATCGCCTTATTTTCCAATGGTTCACTGTTTCTGGGCGAACGGAATTCCTTTATCGATCGCAACGACTACTGCATCGACAAAGATGTGGCTTTGGTGTGTTTACCGAATGTAAATAGCGCCGATTCACTGAAAACACCCATTAAATTAACCAAAATCCGAAAGTGTTGCAGTTTAAATTCGATCTACTTAACGCATGATCAAAACTGTGCTCAATCCGATGAAAGTCAACGAAAACTATTAGAAACGAAGAATACATCGAATATCGATTTGGTGTACGGATTTCCTTTGTGCAAAGGTTTGGCCACCAACAATTACATGATCGCCGATCAATTTCGCGAACACAATTTGAACATCGACAATGGGACTTATACATTGGAACCTTCACGCAAGACCCTGACCAATGATGAATTTTGTATTGATCATTCACATCAAAATGGACACTTAGTCACTGCCAATGTGTTTGCATGCGATGAATTGGTTGATGTGAAAGAAGCGCCAGAACTGAAAATCGAAAAGGTTCGTATTCCGTGCATCATTAGTACACATATTCCTTTTTTTCTCTCATACGACCGAGAATCAATTGATAATTTATTATTCATTCCCGTTTGCAGAGACGACGCTTTCTCATTTATTCGATCGCCTTAATTATATCGGTGATATTTTTGTCATTGACATTGGCGATCGGTTTTCTGTTGCCCTCCAATCATCATGTGCTGCATTGCAGATGCCAAACATATTACGTCGCTTGTTTATTGATCGGTGATTTATTGCTTGCAATCAACCAATTATCTGGATCGCTCATTAAAGGCATTCCCTGTCTGGCAATTGGTAAGAAATTTTACAACTGACTCTCTGTCTCTATACATACACATAGCATATATTCGGTCCGAAATATATTTTGCATTCGGACGGGAAATGGAGCAGATGTGTTTCGTGCATTTGCATGAATATAAATTAGTAAACGGTTTGTTTTTTTTTTTAAGTCACTTCAGTAAGCTAAATTGTACACAGTTGAATTGATTTCGAGAATTTATGTTTTGTGGTTAATTAATAATGGTTTGAAAATGCATATTTCAATACATTACACACATTCAACGCGAGCAAACCGAAATCTATTCAATCGAAATGGAATTCGATGAAGCCGAAACCTCAAACTCTGCTCTAAATTCGTATAATCAATTTCCAACAATTCCAACCCAGATGCAACGGCAACATAGTAGTGCACACATTCAGTGGCTTCTATCAAATTAAATGTGAACGCTTAATCATGATTAAACAACAATAATATGTTGATCCTAACACTGATACATGGGTGTCAACAGCCAAAATCAATAAACACGAAAAATAAGTACGGATTAACATTTAAATCTGTCCCGCTCCGACCACGGCTACGACTACTACTACTACTTTCACAAAGACCCAATCGAGAACGTCCACCATGTTTGTGACTGCACTTCGATGACCGAACTCCGGACCGATAAAGTCGTTGCTGCCGCTATGGCATTATGCATTCATTCGAAACTCATTTTGATATGACCTCATAAAAAACACTTAGGCCGAGAGAGCAAGACTATAATTTAAATAGCGAACACAAAGACAGGCGATTAACCAAATCAAACATGAATGATGCCATTTGTTTTTGAGTGTGTTTTTTCTTTCCTTTCCATCTATCTGGGGAACTCTTTCTGGTGCCATGTAAACACGTTTTGCCTCCTTTGTGCGTCTTCATAAGTCTCGGATTTTAATTGAATCGTTCGAATCATAGAGCTATAAATAATCACACTTTAATGGTGCCATTAGACGAGCTAGAGAGAGAGATCTCGAATAAATTCCCATGTGTCGAGATATTGTGTTTTGATTCAAAAATTCCTTTGTGCTGTTGAAATTGAATGTTGAGTGTAAGTGTGTGTGTGTGTGCGTCTGCTAGTAAATCGTGTGTTCAAACGCAATTGCAATTAGTAGCAATGTTTCGAAACCGTTTAAAATGATGTATAGCTCTTATCAGCATGCTACACGTGCTTTCTGCTGTTTGTTACATTTACGTACAAACATTGCACACATTTGATTTAATTGTTTCGGTCTTTTCGACTGGAAACCGATGATATTAAAACGTAAGCGGCAGTATTAAATTTACTCAAATTCCTGTTTGGATTGCATATTGGCTTTGATTGCCCGCAAAATACACACATTGAGTGTGCGTATGTGTGTGTGTGTTTGTGTGACCTCTCTGTTTTCAATTGTGTGTTTTAGTTGAATTCCGGATATGTACAATACAGGATTCAGACAATATAATGAAAATCTGTTTTGGAGAGATAATATTCAACAAACAAATCGAATAGCGCTCATCCCGTTTGACCATTGAATGACCACCCGATGTGTGAATGGGAAGCTGTTGTCATTTTGAAAATTGCACCATTCAACCGAGAATGCGATCCATAAAATTCGTCCGTCCGTCCAACGTACCATATATCATGGAATAAGAGCATCCATGGCAGTACCATATTAAAATCGATGGTTGGGAAATATTTTCTGAAAATATGATCTTTTTTTTTTAAACATAGCCTTTACACATTTCATGGAATTATGTCACATGCAAATACCACAAAAGTGGTCGACGTCTGTTTATCAAACATGCTTTGCTTCCTGCTGAAGCATTTTCGCATTTAATTTACTACATTGAATTTGTCATTCATTATCCTCTCTTGCTCAACACTTTCGTCGTTTTCGTCGTCGTCGGCGGCGGACGCATCATCTCGTTTGTTTTGTATTGCCATTTGTGTGCTGAAGCACACCGAAAACTGAATGTAAAAAGGAATCACAGACATTTACTTAATCAAAATGGCAAAATCGCACATAAATTCGTCTTTATGGTGAAAAATGAAAGTCTTTTCTATGTGCGAATTGAATGTGCCATACACAGCAGACAGTGAATGCTATACGCAACAAACACATCCTGTCGGGGGTTGAAAAAGGTCTGCAAACTTGAACAAATTGGTAACTACACTCCACTTGTGTGTGAAACGTGCTGTCTAGTTGCCACTGCTGCTGCTGCTGCTGCTTGCTCGCCGCATTGTGCACTTAGCGAATTTATGAAAATGAAAATGAAACAGAGACACACTCACTCATACAGACACACACGACGTAGCATCGTCATCATCCCCGTCGTCGTTGTTTTCGTCATTTTCCTATAGACAGAGAGATACACACAGTATAATGTGTTTGCATTTGGCCGTGTTTATAAAATGCATACACCTAGGTAATTTATATCAAGCTGCGCATTCATGCGAAAGCGGGAGTGCTAGCTAACAGTTTACCAATGGGTTTGGGATATATTTACTGTTTGTGACACTCTCCAACATACACACATAACATAAAATATAACAACATTCGACAATATAACATAGACACGCTATATATATGCACTGCATAATATGACTACGGCGCCCAACGTTCAATGGAGTGCATTTACGCGCAAACAAATTTTTCGAAATAATATTTAACCAACGAAAATATTACATTGGGCTATGATAACATCCTATTAACGGCATGGTATTATGTGATTCATGTAGGTTGAAACATAGAGTACATATGTAATTATTGCTTTTGTGGAATGAACGTTTTTCGAGAGACAAAAAAAACGGTTTGCCGTCATCTCTCCATCCATCTATCGTATCGTCTATCTCCAACCCGATCAACGCAACATGCACTATGTAATTAGTTTTGCATACATCGCCTACAATTAATAAAATGCTTTGAGACTTCATTCAAAGCACGTCGAACACACAGTTGTGTGCTCACAGAAAAGTGCTCGTGCTAAAAACCGATACTTTGCAATAGCAACAAGAACAATAGTAGTAGTGGCAGTGGCAGCAGCAGATACATGAGCGAAAAAACAGACTCACATTCCAGAGACAAACCACAAAAATGTTCATTTTTTTACCATTGGTATTCATAAAAAATATCCACTATATTTGGCCCAAATATATATTAATCCATGGTCGGATGGGGCCATTGAACTATGGCCCCTACACTTTTCTGGGAGTTTATCGCACATGCCTTCTCCTCACGAAGGGAGATAAAATATTATATATGAAAATGAAATGGTAGTATTTGATTACAGTTATTCGGGAAATTGACGTGAGTCGTGAGTAGAAAGAAGAAGAAAAAAACTGAACTGTACAGGACCAATAATTGTAAAACTAAATGTAGTTTACACAGAGAATAATGTCTACTTGTATCTTCACATATCTTATGCATCAGCCCGACACTATTCGGCTTCACCCGAACTGTGAACACAATATGTATAGATAGCGGAGCAGACCGAGTGTCGGAAATCATGCAAAATTGCATAAAAATTGTATGGGCCAAAGTGAATTCAAACACATAAATTATTACAATACCCGGTAATGGCGATAGTGAAAAATGGTGATGGAAAACTTTGTTGCAAAAGCCATCCATTGGCGAGCTACATATCGAACCCATTGCCATTGGTTACAGCATGAGTTCAACGAGCTGTGCGGTGATACAGCCTGAACATTTCTTAACAACAGCAGCAGCAGCAGCAACAGAAGAAGAAAAAGAGAAACAAGTTGCGGTTTCTTGAGAAAATTCAATTGATCGTCTGCATATGAATGAATGAATGAATGAAAGATGATTAGATTAGATGAAATTTTGCGGTCGATCTCACCGCGTTCTTATTTTTCTTTTCTTTTTTCATTTCCATGTAGTTTTTTTTTCGAGTGAAATAAGTGACCTTTCTCGTCAAAGACTAAGACTATTGTTTATAGATGTATGAGCGTGTAACACATTGTAGAAAGTCACGTTGTATCCAATTGGAATAGTGCGCAATGCATGTGAGAATAACCTTTGAAATGATTTATGTATATTAAAGTTTTGAGCAGCATAAGAATAGGCATCGAGTGAGGCTATAACATCGATTTCAATATCTATTTATTCGAGAATTGGCATGCTACATAGACAATATACATTCAGTTTGTGCATTCATCCGAGAGCGATGTTGGAGAGAAGATGAAAGAGAGAAATAGAAAATATGTGTAATAGAAATATTGTTTTGCTGGTTTTACTATATATGCTTGATGCCAAACAACGACGAAGATGACGACGACTCGACCGATCAATAGAGGAAGCAATGAGAGAGAAGAGTATTTGTTGTTACAATGATCATAAACTTATAGATCTTGAAGTTTCACTCACGACTTAAAAGTAGAATTTTCATTTCTAATTTACATTTCGAGCTCGCGCGCGCTCACGCGGCTGCACCGTATTTCGTCTATTTTTTTTTCACTCCGATGTTCTTCACTTCAACCTCATTGTTTGCACAATCGAGTATATTTTGCTTGGCCGCTGCAGTATATGAATCTATTTTAAGTGTATTTGTAAGAAGAGTTCGATTCTTTGACCGGGGTTATTTAGAAAACGGTAATTTCATCGCATAAATATCATTAAATCGAACATAAATTGCCGCAGCAATACTCATTTAGTCGAAATTTGTTTCAATTATTTGCCGCCAACATAGCATAAACTGTAATGCCACTATTATAATAATCGTAGTATCTCCACTTGGGCCGTGGCTTTCAATGGAAAAAACAAATTTGAAAATCCGTTCGATTCGTGAGTGTTTTTCTGTATCTATTTCAATATGAATTTGCGAATTTCAATCGTAGTTCGGGCAAATAACATTTATTTAACGTATATGGATTATGGGAATCATGCTGTTTGGATTCCCATTTTTCATATTGTAGATGTAATAACAACGATAAATATTTAATCGTTTCCATTTGCATATCTTAATTCCGTAGATAAAATCAACTTAAAAGATATTAAATACAAATATTCCAAAAATAAATTCTAATTCATACGTGGCACATATGTTTGAAAGCATGTAATTGTAACAAAATGCGGTTTATGTTTGTACTCAACCACACACATACACACCATTCGCAAACACAGAAACTCACTCAGCGACTGAGCACAGCGAATGCAATTTATGCAGTGATTAAGCCGCTGATGTTTTCTTCCTCTATTCTCCGTACAACACAATCAATTCATTCAGCTTCAGAATGTATTACTATTCTTGCAGCAGCAAATGAAATATGCTTTCGCAATTATAATTTTGCATCATTTTTTTTATTGAGAATGAATTGAATATGAAGCTGCTTTATTCTTTAATGATTGCTATTTTTTTCTGCCATCGACTCTCTCATTATAAATCTTGTACAAGCTGCACATTTTTTACTGCGAAAGAAGCAATATAAAATGTGAAATGGAATTAAAACGACGAGAGAAGCGAAGAACAAAACTTGTATATTTATTGTTTTTGCATTGATTCACATTGTTTCTCTCTCTCTCTCTCTCTCGCTCGCTCAATGCATTACGGAAATGCAGTTTCCAAGATGTCATAGCTCAAAAATATAAAGGGAATAGTAAATTTTCTTCTTGCCTCGTTTGTAAAATAAGTGCGTTTATGATTTTTTTTTCCTCCAACAGAAATACAAAAGACCAACGAAAACAAAAACACAAAATGCATGCAAAGAATTGAATCCCCAGACGAGGTGCACTGAGTTTTTGTTGTTGTTGTTGTTGTTGCTGTTTTTTACATTAAATAAACGAGACACAAGTCAACCTTAGAACGATCGTGAATGCGATCAAATCGGGTTCAACACATTTTTCTTCTTCGTTCATATATATAATAATTGCTCATTTCTTCATTCCACTCTGCGCTTTGTATTATGATTTTGCGCGTTCAGATCAGCTCTATTTATTTATTGTTTTATTCTCCGGGTTTTCTTTAGCCAATCTTCTTGCAGTTCAACTTGAGCACAGAAAACATGTGTATATTCACATCATCTATTCGCTACATCTTATCCGCGTGCAGTTTATCTTCTTCTTCTTCTTCTGCTCTTCAGTTTATAATAATGTTGTATTTTAATTGAAGCAAAAAGAGAAAGAGAAAAAAAAGAAACCACAAAATCGTTCTAGTTGTTTGTTTCTTGTGCTGTGAGCGGCTGCTGCAGCGGCTTTTTAAATCCGCGTGAATATGAGTGATGCAACTCATTGCACCAATAATAATGGCTTATTGTTTATTGTTCATTCCCATTTTGTCTTGCTCGTTTGTGTAAATTCTTTTTGCTAGATATGCGCACAGCAAAATTGATTGCCTGTGTTTTTCACTTGAAAATCAAGATGAAGAGGACTTTAATCTTGTGAATACGTATATAGCATAGAGCATTGTCAAAAAATACTATCTTTTGATTTATTAATGTATTCTTTTTTTTCGTTTATTTTTTTCTACAGCCACCTCGATGCATTTCTTCTTCTTAGCCGCCTTCTTCTGGCTTAACACCATGTGTTTGAATATTTACTTCACGTTCAGGTAAGAACAATGTCACACAATAATCCAATTTCAGCAGAACCGATTTGTGTGCCGGGCCACCGACACAAACATCATCAACAACAACAGCAACGGCAAATTATTGTGGAATGCAAAAGGTTGTGTGCAAAATTCCTTGTTGAGTTTGTGATTGTTGTGTCGATCGCGAAACATGTTAATTACGTTTGATTTAATAGGTGAACATTGTTTAAACCAGATATACCCTCGTGTGTCTTGTGCGCGTTGACAATCGGTCGACTGGGCAATGTCGTCGACGACTGCGATGTCGACAAACGGAGAGAAAATTAAAATTTATATGTAGAATGGGACGAGAGAAAACAATTGAACACATGGTGAAAGATCGCTCTGACAGCTCTCTGTTATAGCACAAATATTCAATGTGTGTGACCTGCACAACTGGAAGAGTTGATCTGGTTTTGTTCTAAGCGCTATCTTTGTTTTGTTACTTTTTTTTTCTTTCTTTCGCTCGTTCGCTCGTTTTTTTATCCGTTTTTCTGATCTCGCTCGTTGCTTGAATTATTAAAACCGAGTAGAATAAATAAAACGAAAGAACTAAAAACGTTGAACAAAATGATCGTTTCATAAATAAATGGAATGTAAATGTCAATGTGTCCAATGTTCGTTGAGTTGAGCTATAACACACAAATCGAAAGATCTCTGAACAAACACTTGTTTTGTGGACGGTTTGATGTTTGACGTCAAAGAGTATGCGTGTGTTTTAAATTCTTGCATTTATGTGTTTGACGCACTATACCAAGGTGAAGATTCCTAGACACATGATTCGATTTAGAAAGAGAAATTGCGAAATGATTTCGGTCGAATCAATATGAATAATATAGTTAGTTCCTCTTTCACAATGGTCAATCGCTTCAGATCTATTTCTACCCAACTATGGTACCAGAGTGCCATTGTACTATGGCGAAATATCTTTTATTTCCATTGCGGATCTCCAAAAAGATGAAAGACTCATTAAAAAGTCCAAAATGTTACAAAATCAACTGACGTCAGCGAGTAATAAGACGGATTTTTTGTTGTTGTTTGGCTTCCATGCCATTATATTGCCCACACTTTCACTTTTTTGTTCACGAGAGTATGTGCGAGCACACAGAATGGATACATCGGCTTAAAGCGAACCCAAAGAAATGCGACGACGACAAAAAAAGAAGAAATAAAAAAAATCTTACGTTACCATGAATGCTCAATTTACACAATGGATTAAAAACACACAACGTTCACGGGGCAATACAACACGTTACATTTCATTTCACTTTATTTCCTGCAAACGAAATCTTTCGTCGAAATTTCTTATTCGCCCAATTCTTTGAGCGATTTTTTACATGTAAATTTTCGATGCATACATTGTTCAGAATCATTAAGTCGTAGTTATTCAAAATATTTAGTGGCTCGGCGCTCCTATACCATTTCATCAGCATACAACTACTAAATGTGAAAATCCATGCAAAGCGCATTTATCAACTTCTTTCGTCTTTAATTTCACTCATAAAACATATGCCCTAGCTATTATATGTTATTGAATCAGATTAAATTTCCATTGACATTTAAAGAACGCTTTAAAAAAAAAAAAATGCCAATTTTAATAATATCACAGAGATTTTCGGCCAACAACATTGGGAAAGAAGCAAGAGAAAATCCGTTTGCGAGTCTATAGAACGTATGCATGGGGTTTTCCGTTTCTCATCACCGCTATTGCGGCCATTATGGACAATTTACCCGATTCACATGATGTATTACGACCGAAATTCGGTGAAAAGACATGCTGGTTCGTTGGTAAGTGTGTTTATAAGATAAGCGGGCAATGAGCAATTGCACTGCAGTGTTCATAATAAATATGAAAAGAAGAAAAACATCGTATAAATTGGCATTTTCACTTCTATTTTAGGTGACATGGAAATATTTGTGTACTTCTTTGGTCCCATTGGATTGCTGTTGTTCATAAATATATGCCTATTTGCATCCACAACGCGACAACTTATGTGCGGCCTATGGAAACAAGACGACGTAAAATCATCGACGGAACGGTAATTTTCAACGCCAAAAAATATTCTCATGTCACTAGACAGAGTGCACAATTTGTGTATGTTGGAATTTCAACATGATTGCAATTCATGTTTATTTGTTCATTTAACAGCGCTGCACTGGGTCGCGTTTGTATGAAGCTTGTCGTTGTTATGGGCGTCACTTGGTTATTTGACGTGTTATCTTGGGCACATAACGTATGGATCTCCGAAGTAAATGCCACGAAGAACAACACTAACTCTAACTCGCTAACGCATGATGTTCGCTATTATTTCTGGTATGTAATGGATGCGATCAATGCATTGCAAGGAGTTTTGATTTTCTTAGTGGTCGCATCACAGCCTCAGGTAAATAATTTTGTTACTTTTTCATCCCTATCTTTTTCATTTTGACCAACTTATTTATGTCACATAATCTTTTTCCCACTTCTCAAAAGGTTTATTCGGCGATTGCGAGATTTTTCTCACCAAAAAGCAGCCGCTCCAAACTGAACACCACACATGGCCAGCAACATTCAAGCTCATCAAATGGATTAGCATCGATCGGCGAATCAATGGCAAACAATACATTCAACAATACCACCACGTCGAAAGTACCAATGGAAACGATTTGTTGAACAAAAGAACGAACAGCATCAGTCACAACAACAGTATCATTCAACTATGATCACATAGCTCATCGAATTCTATCGATTTTTTTTCTGTTCGACAAAAATCAAATCAAATGTATTGATTGTACATGAAATTATTATTTAAATAATTTAATTGAAGTAATAGACGCTAGGAATTGGCTATGCATATGCTTAATCAATTCTGTGATTTCGAGGCAAAATAATCCCATATCGCACATCTAAGCACTTTATTCATCAGCTACCCGTATTTATTGAACAAACAAAAAACCGCATGTTTGCTACACAGTAATGTCTTCAACTAAACTATGAATCGGCTATAATGAGGCTTTATTCTGTGGTTAAGCAAATTGAGAAAAAAATTTAACATAAAGGCAAATGTCATTATGAAATTAGAAGCATTCTACTTGCAGATCAGAAAAAAGAACCGCACGACAGTAACGCACTTCACACATGATTGATCGGTGACAATAATGTGTGTCAGTGTTTAACAAACCTTCACGTCTGTCTGTCTGTCCAATTTACTCAGCAGCTTCATTACAGCTCCACTGGATATAGAAGATGACATCAACATTATTTTCTATGGGTGATACTTTTGTGTGATGACTGGGAGTGGTACATACAAATTAAGTGATAAAATCGCTTCTACACCTATTCTACTTGAATTCTTAGAAGGAACATTCATTTTTCCCACCATCTCCCATTCAACACCATTTTATTCCAATGAACCATTTATTCTTCGGCTTTTGTTTTCGTGCTACGATAATTGTCAAATAATTCGCATTGAAAATAAAAGTTTGCGAATGAAGGTGTTTTTTTTTAAACACAAATATTAAAGATACTCTGACCGCCTACGCAACAGTATTACGTTGATTTCATCCGATTTTTGCTCATAAATGTATGATTAAATTATGTCCTTTTGTGTATTGTTTTCTTTTTATTTCTTTATATTAAAGAGAAAAAAAAACATTTAGTTTTAGTTTGTAGATGAAAATATGTTTTGTAAATACCCAACTCATTTAAACCATATTTCGACGAGATTCATCTCATTCCCAAAGATAATATTTCATTTTCCAATTTTTTCACATTCGAAAAAAATTGACTCTATTCCTTGAAAACCATTCATTAACCTGGCCAATCGAAGCGGTGTGGTTTCATCGCAAAATCATTTTTGATACAAATATAATCAAATCTTATGTAAAGCCATATATAGGAATTTTTAGACTTCATACAATTCACTCATAAGTATGCCTTGTTTTGTATTTTGAACTAATTTACACGCATAAAATTTAAGATATAAAGGAAATAAACTTTTTCAATTCAAAGAAGCGTGTGTTATTACGTATGAATTGCGGATACAAATTTCAGGTGAAAATCTTCAGAATATTGCTTTGTCTGGTCCACAGCTGATGAAAGAAGGAATTACCATACGTCATGTGATACATTGAATGTATATGTTAACATAGCTAATGTATAATGCAGTCCAAGAATGTTTATGACATAATCTTCAGTGCCATGATAAGATAGACGCCCTATCACCCCATACTGAAAGTATTTATAGCTAGAAAATTCTACTTTAAATAAAAACACCACAATTTCCGCATCTGAAAGTTATATTTCTTTTATTATCTCATTATTCTCTAAGCAACAACCACACGAAAATATGCCTGAAAATATCAACATTCCCAACCGTATTTCTGTCCTCCCTTTCTTTATCTTTTATCACAATTTATTCCTAAAATATTTCGAGCCGTCTGAAAAGCTGAACCCAGTGCATTGGCCATTGTTTTTGTTTTTTGATCTGAATCGCTGAGGAACTCTTGAATCTGAATGCCTTCGTCCATTCGCCGCTCTAAAAATTCCCAGGTTTGTTGGTGATTTGGTGATTTATCCTGTAGTAAATACAATTCGACCATTTTGTATATCGAAGCGATGCCAATGCGTCGCGTATACCAACCGATGTCGACCGATCGATCGCCGGCACAGTAGCACACATCATCGACTAAGGTAAGGAGTTGAGCTAGTGATGTTGGTACATTTTGCGGTAGTGTCATAATTGCTAGCGCTTGTGGCCATGTCTCTTTGTACGGAATAATCATTTCTAGTCGCAAGCGTATTGCTCTGATGGCGAAATCTCTTGGACTCGGTCGTTCAGCAGCTTTTCCACTGTCATCAGCTTTCCCAGTAAGTTCATCGAATTCACGCTCCAATTGTGTGATCAGCTCGCGGTTGCACTTGGCATAAAAATGATGAATCAATTCGATTGCGCCGTTTGGAAACATTCCGTGGGCAACACCTGGGTAATTAATCGATTCGGCACCATTGGCAATTGCTTCTTGACTCCAACCTTTTGTCGGCACAAACTTCAAAGATGCTTCTAAAATTTCCGAACGAACTTTTTGTATTTTTTCATGGTCTTCGGTCGATTCGGATGCTGTGTGGTCCTTCGCATTTGACTGGTTTTCCTTCTGCTTCTGCTCTTCATATTCACGCTCAATTTTTACCTCCTCAGCACGGAATTGGTCAATACTCGATTGTTTTGTACTGTTATCTTCTGTACTTTTCCATAAGTGGCTGCATGTATGAATCATGCGACGATTATGCTTCACCGAATATGAACGATTCAATACATTTTGACGCACGGTTGCATCATTTGTTCGGTAGTTTTTACAATTTTCTATCGAATTCAACTTTTCACTTTTCAATACAGAACTATTACCCAATAGTCGTATATTCGAGATAACGATTTGATTAATTGTACGCAATTTCAATATTTTTGGCAGTACCGAAAGGTTCGACATATTGAACGAAAATAAAGTGCTCGTCGAATTGTCAAACTATGTTCAAATGATGCCATAACCTCGAAATTTGTCGACGATGAAAAGTCATTGTCAAACAAAAGTCATCGGCGGACTATTCGAAATATGCTGTAAAAGCACACACCGAATGTTCACATCGAACGAAATACAAACAATTACGTCAAGCTATCGTCGTTGTGAATACATAAATTGAACGAGCATCTTATACCCCTCTGTATCGTTCAAAAAGCATCCTACACTTATATACTAAATTGAAAGAAAAAGTTTAATTACCACAGTTTAGCACAGTTGACGTATACTACCACACCAGTGGTGGCTGTATAGTTAACTCAATTTTCTTAATTAAATCGGCGCCGCTGAATGTGGTAATTCATATTAAACATGATTCATAGGCGTTAGTTACGCATTTAACAGTGCATCAATTTCGCACGTACATTAAGCACAGGAATTACAGTCAGATTTGACGACGAAATTGTTTTTGAAAGAATAGTAATGCGTCGACGACGACGTGTGTCTAGATAAACAAAATAAACGGACAGATTAAATCGTTGCATATGACATTTTAATAAAAAATCAATTTAAAATCGCAGCAAATGAACACAAAAGCCATTGTTGAATGCGGAAGTCGGCAAAAAATTGATTCAATCCAAATAAAGTAAAAGGCTACAGTTGTTTTTTTTTCTTCATTTCGTTTGACATTAAAACATTCAATATTTGCTTTGATGTAAGCACAATTGTACACACGATACACAGTAAATGTGTGTGATAATAAGAAACGGTGACAAGCCATAGGTCGCTGCAATTTATTGCCAACTTGAAAACGGTAAACAGAGCAACCTTTTAAATCAATAATTGCATGAGCAAATTGAATTCAATTTCGATTGTGTGTGAAAAATAATCCTTGAACTGCTATTCTCTATTTCAATGTGAGTCCGATGATTTGAAATCGGTGTGTCTAGATCACCACCAAATGGGATCGAATCGAGGTGGTTTCGATCTTCCAGAACGAAATTCGAATTGAATACCGAATACACGTACATTGAAGCAGGCAGGCGTTTTCGAAACTATCGTAGTAGATTGGATTGGAATGTCAAACAAAACGCATGCACTAACACAACCGCACAATAGGCGAAACATCATTCGAATAGGTGTGTGATGTGCATTTCACATAACACAAGATGTAAATACAGAGCGTAAATTAAACAGAGAATGTGATCGAATGGAAAAGAGAGACAGGGAGAGACGGAGAGCGAGAGAGCGAGAATAAGAAGAGAAGAAAAAAAAATAATACGAATACACCTAAGCAATTACAACAGAGCATTCACTTCAGAGCATACGAATGATTTTGACGGGAGTGGAATTTTTGTTTTTCGCTCCGAATTAATTCCGTAGAATTATAGAGAACAATAAAGGCGACTACATCAATCATCGTTCGGTAAATCACAATCATTTCTGCCCATTTTCGTTTTTTTATTTGCCAGTGCCAAATGGGAAAGCCGCAGGTTTGAGCAGAAATTTGTACAGGAAGAAGAGAAAAAAGCAGTGTGTGATTTTTGTGCACTAACAAATAGTGTATGTGTGTTTTTTTATAGCAATATTTTACGAGCATAAATTAAATTATTTACTCTCGGGTGTTTTCTATCGTTCGTTTTTATGTGTGTCTCTTTCGCCCGTGTCAGCAGCGAGCGGCAGCAATGTGATCGAATCAACGAAAAATTAAAATAAAATGATTATTTCTCTCGCACAAATTCCAAACGCAATAACACACTTTGGCCCATTGATTGCACAATAATAAGTTGATGTCATTGATAGCGCATTGATTTCGAGTGAGAACAGTGTGAATCAATCATTTTTGGTGATCATAACGTAAACGAAAATAAGAAAGTCGATTTCGGATCGGTGCGTACATGAAAAGGGCAGCAACATTGTTTATATAGACAGAAAGACGACAAAAAAAAAAAAACGATAGATGTGAATGCTCGCAAATTGTCAATGTGACAACAACAATTGTTAATCATATCATTCGAACTGAGAGAGTAAGAGATAATGTAGTGTTTATTTGGTCCGGATTTCTTTGGAGTTTTTTCAAACTATAACGCTGTTTGGTGATTTTGCCATTGTACACCAGTTGGAATTTGGGAAGTGAAAGAGTTGATTTGTGCATTTGTGTCTACGGCCTACAAACGATTGTATTTATGTTGAATTGTGGCAAGAGAAAGAATCGAAATAAAAGTGACATATTGAATGTTGCAAAGATGGCGGAAGCCATTGACGACGATGTTAACAATAGCAACAATAAGTCCAATATCGCTGCCGCTGCTGCTGCTGTTGCTGTTGCACAAGTCGCAAGCAATAGCGGTAATGGTGATATGAGTTTCGTGACCAACAATCACAATATCAATTGCAATTCGAACAGCAATCAAAGTGGCAGACGATCGATACTACGATTCTCATGCTCGCGATGCTGTAATGACATTTTTAACTATTTGATGCGGTTTCGCGCTAGTCCGGAGGAGTTGGAGCAACGATACAAATCACGGGAAATCGACAAATTTTTGGAAAAAGATAAACATACATTCCGACGACAGGTACACTTGCACTGTTTTTTTCCCACCTAATTCAATCGTGCAGAGAGCTATTCGTTTTATTGTTGTTGTTGTTTTTGTTATTTTTTTCTTGTTACTTTTATGCATCAAATGCTTTTGTTTTTCTCTGTAATCTGTTCGGAGTGTTATTGTGCAGTTTTTGTTATTCATTTGCATTCTCGCTCGGTTTGTTTATATTTATTTTGTGCTGGAACAAAACAAAAATGAAATTGGCCATAAACATCTGACTAAAATGTGTGACCAGTTGCATGTCACATGTTTTTGGATCGCGCTAAAAAAAACTAGTTCTTCTCTCACCTCATCTGATTTCGATGCGGTGGAATCAAAGCGTAGCAGCAAAAAAATAATAACAGAACAATAACAACTTTTATCACGACTATTTTGCAATACAACGTTTGCTTTATTATTATTATTATTATTATTTAGGCATGATTCATAGCTCTGTGCCTCGAAATAATAAATACGAGATGATTTCGCTGATATGACATTATTTTCGTTGATGTTCACTTTTAATTAACTGTACAACAATGAATATTATGCCAATATGATTCATAATTTTCTTTTTTAATCAATCTTCGTAGGTGAAATTGCTCTTACTCGGCGCGGGCGAATCTGGGAAATCCACATTTTTGAAACAAATGCGAATCATTCATGGCATCAAATTTGAGCCAGAATTAATGCGAGAGTATCAACATGTAATATATCAAAATATTGTGAGAGGAATGCAGGTATTAGTCGATGCCCGTGAAAAATTAGACATTGCATGGGAGAATCACACCTCTGAAATGGCTGCGGAGCGAGTGCGTAAATTTCTTCATGGAACCGAACTTGATGCCGAATTTTTCGATGACTATGCGCCAACTGTACAGATTTTGTGGCAAGAACGGGCTATTCGAAGGGCATATGATCGCAGAAGAGAATTCCAAATCGTGAGTTGAGAAACGTTGCTCGGGTGGTGGTCATGAATCCCGGATGAACAGACATCAACTGTTGGTTGATTCAACCATACAGATCTAACAGTTGATTCAATGATATAAATCTTGCACTCAAACTGTCTAACATGAGGCGTCTGTCCGTTCGCGATGTTATCACCTCCACTCATTGAAACGATACTCTTTTGCTTGGAATGTATCATTTATTCCAGAGATTACTATGAGATATTTTTATTCATATGGGATAGAAATATCGCATAAAAATATCAGATATTTTTCATGCGTTGCGTTGTTGTAACGCATCTGCAGTACAAAATTCATATTCCCTCCTGGGAGTCAAGTCGAATTTGAGACTGATCCGAGCCAAATTCAGCAAAATTGACTTGGCTCCCAGGAGGGAATATGAATTTTGTACTGCAGATGCGTTACAACAACGCAACGCATGAAAAATATCTGATATTTTTATGCGATATTTCTATCCCATGTGAATAAAAATATCTCATAGTAATCTCTGATTTATTCTAACCGATGCTATGTTTGTGTCTTTCCTTTCAGAGTGATTCAGTTAGTTATTTTTTCGATGAGATCGATCGAATAGCAAAACCAAATTATATTCCGTCCCAAAAGGATATATTGCATTGTCGGAAGGCAACGAAAGGTGTTTACGAGTTTACAATAAAGATCAAGGTAAGTGTTACTTTCAATGTCACCAATATGGTACATTGTCCGATTGGAACGACTGGAGATGGAAGAAAGTGTGAAATTAATCAAAATACGTGAATTTTCAGGACATTCCCTTTGTGTTTGTGGATGTAGGAGGGCAGCGAACTCAACGGCAAAAGTGGACGACATGCTTTAGTTCAGTGACATCGATTCTATTTCTTGTGTCAACATCGGAATTTGATCAAGTTTTAGCCGAAGATCGGTAAGTTTCAATGTCGTGTGTACTTGCATCACATAAAATAAGAATCAATAATAACCAATTACATGTTTGTCTCCCAATTGTCTCCAATAGGAAAACGAATCGTCTGGAAGAGTCGAAAAATATTTTCGACACCATTGTAAATAATACAACGTTCAAAGGAATTTCAACGATATTATTTTTAAACAAAACCGATTTGTTAGCGCTTAAAGTACGAAATCCAGAGACTGATATACGCTGGTATTATCCACAATTTACAGGCAACCCGCATTCGATACTAGACGTTCAGAATTTTATACTACAGATGTTTATGAATACCCGACGAAATACTCACACAGCCATTTATCATCACTTTACGAATGCGGTCGATACGCAAAACATTCAAGTGGTTTTTAATTCGGTGAAAGACACTATTCTGAAGCGAAACCTATCGGCACTGATGCTACAGTAGAGCACCTAATCCGGAACAACAGAACAACAACAACATAAAAACGAAAACAAAATCAATAGCTGCGCTTCAGTTGTTAAATTGTCTTTGACTCTACATCGGTTTACGATTACGAGCGCCAGTGACGCAATATATCGAACTCCTAACTATTTTATCCTTGTTTGATAGTAGTTTTTTGTCATATCCACACACACACACACAAACAAGTAGATATATCCAGAAACGAAACGAACACAACAACAAATTAAAAACTAAAACTAAAACGCAGGCAGCAAATCATTATTGTACAATCCCACTCTGAAATGCACAATCCAATCATTTTGTTACTTTTACGAATGGAAAACGCATTTATCTTCTCCGTGCAAGTAATGAAAAAAAAAAAACAAATTTACCCGCGCAGTATCACACCATCTACCGTTTTAAAAGCATATTGTCTATTTTTATACAGATATTTTTGTTATGATATTTTTTTAAGTTGAAAGAAGTGAGAGGAGGAAAGAAAGAAAAAAAAGTGTAGCCAAAAAATGATGTTTGATTCTGTGGATGAGAACACACCATTTATTTCAACAATATGGAATAATTGGACTCGAAATATAAGAGGATTCCTTGGGTTTTTTTACGACGTTTTTTTTTAATTATAAATTGTAAATTCAGAGTCAGAACCAACATATTAGCTTTAAGAGCCTCCCCCTGTAATTCGGCCTGAATTTAAGGAACCAAACATTTCCGTGTTTAACTGTATATTCAATATTCATACAGCATTTTGATATTTGAATTTATTCAGAACATGTAGGAAGGAAAACACACGAAAAAAGAAAACAATCAAAACATAAATGCAAATCTCGAATTTCGCTCGAACAGTATTTAGACACTAAGATCTAAAAGAAACCGAAAAGCAATTTATATGATTATTGTATAATATATCGCACTCATTAAACGATATTAAATGAAAGGTTATGTCTACTGGTATTTTGATTTGGTCAATTTGATTCCGCATTTTAGAACACATAAAATCCAATAAGATTCTTCAGTCATTAGAGCCAGACATGCGTTGATGGCGAAGCAAGCAGATTACCATGGCACTATTAAGGTTCTCTTACGTGGTCTTTCCATAATTGCTCTGTAATGCACATCATATGTGGTGGGGACTTATTTTGAATGCCATACCAAACAGTGGTTATTAGTGCATTGGTTAGTGATCAAGAAACATTGCAAAGTTGGAATCATCGACGTTTCTTTTTCTCTCTGTCAATATTAAACCTCATTACAATGAATCGAATACCTTATAAATTCCTCGTCGTTCTATTTTCTGCGTTCTTTTTTGTTTCATTAATAAAAAGTGATGATTTAAATGTGCAAGCAAACGATTCATTTACGTCGAATGCACCAGCTGTTTCAGACCAGGGTGTATTGCCTCTTTTTGGTGAATTTTTATTACAATTTCGCAATCAAACCGCTAAGTAAGGCTAATGGTAATTGATTTTAACGATTTGTTGAATTAATTTTATCCCCTTTTTTTACATAGTTTGCCAAAACATTCATCAAGTGACAATAGTAGTGGTTTCGAAATGCATAAGTTAAAAAAGGTATTGCAAGACGTTTACAGTCCGATTCTATCCAAACGTAAAACCGGTCAAAGTCTAGCGAAACAACAAATGAGTTTTCCAAACTTGCAACAATACTTGGACCCAGTTCGATCGTATATCAAAACTGCATATAGAACGTATTTGCTACTGAATCCGGAAATAAAGATGGCTCAATGCTTATACAAGCACTTGTACGTCGAATATCCTCGTTTGATGGGATTTTTCCGCATGCAAAACCTACGACTACTTGCTAGACGCGCATATCAGATGGTTGCGAAGTTCGTTAATAGTGTTTTAAGTGGCAGTGTGTTTGCACCCGTTGAGACTGAGGCCGATGAAGAGCGTGTTGGTTTGAAAGTTGCGATGATCACAAAAGAAAAACCACCACAAAAACCAAAGACACCACAATTGAATTTGGGCAATTATGGAGCGTATAATTTACCTCAATCAGTTCCAAATTACAACTATGCATATTATCCTCAGCCAGGTGTGGCATACCAACCAATTTCAACGCCTAACTTTGTCTATCAAAGAGTTAAGCGTCAATCTGCACAATTTCCAATCCAAATAGTCGAAGCAAACACACAATTTTCCCCGAACCAACAATACCAGCCAGGATATACACCACAAATGACACACACGGGAACGAAACAACCACCAAAAGAATCTTTACATCCAAGTCAATTCGTCGATAATGTTCAAGATTTCGAAGACATGGACCCGGATGCCAAGATCGATTTGAGCAATTCAGCTCTTCAAAACCAAGCCGACCAACTATTCAACATGGATTCATTGTTCTGGAAAAGTATGGGTGTCGAAGATAATATGATTAGGAAATACTCGTTAGCCTATTGTGGTAAGGAATATGTAACGAGTATACTTAGACGTTTCGTTAAAAATGTTATCCTCAGTTAAATCATCTTCAGTTTATTAATATCACACCATCTTCACCGCACTAAAATATAAGTCTTAAATTGTCAGGTTCACATCGTCCAAAGCCAAAACGATACACATTACAATTTATGGATTAAATCTCCGTTTATTTCAAACATTTTTTGATATCATTTAATTTTTTGTAGAGAAATTCATAAAAATATAGCGCGCGTGTTTGATATATGTATTTATCAGCTGAGTAGAATTTCGTTCATGTTGATTGTAATCACATATTGTTAAGATTGCATTATGTTAAACAGAAAAAAAGTATGTAAATTTAAAAAAAAATCATAAAATTTTTGAAATCAAAAATAAAACCGAAATCCGAATATGGCGTTAGGATGTGTCGGATATTTTGAATAGTTTTTTAAGTTGTTGAATATTCGGCACAACTTCGTCAATCCATTCGGGATCAATTTGTGTAACGGTTCGCATATACGTTTTGCCCGTAGCTACCAATTCGGTGAATAATATGTACTTTGCCGTGGATTTACCGTTTAGCACACTTGACGGATGGATTTTGGCACGTTGTCGATTCGTTAGCGTCAAATAATGATTGTCACGCTGCAGCTCAGCAATGTTTATGAACAAACCGGAAAGTAGACACTTCCGAACCTGGAATTGCAAAAAGGGAAGTTTTGCCTTGATTAAATTTGTTCATTAGACTAATAGTGTCTACATCTGCAGTGGTAAAACGGTCATGTCTTGACTACATTTTTGATTGCAAAATTGTATTATCCATCATAATGACTTTACCTGATCGAATTTATTGCCACAGCTCTCAAATTCTAAATTGACTCGCTTGCAAATCTCGCTCAACTGATTCCGTACCTCGAGTGCATAGCCCAAGTTGCGAATATTCAAAAAATTGTCGTGACTCCATATTTTCGGTCGTTCTGCCTTGGCGAACGCCTTGAATACATTCAACAGTGTCAAATGGTCTCCAAATTCATTTTCAAATTTTGCATGTGCAACCAAGGCATCACCACGTCGATCAGTATCATGGATATTGTTTATGAACACATCTTCACCTGATAACAGGGCAACAATACTGAGAACCTGCAATTTCGGACGTCAGTACAATAAAGTATCTGAATTGAATTAGTTTGAATAGATTCATTTACCTCTTCCAAACATCCAAATTGTGGAGCCATCAGCAAGATTTTACTGTATTTTGGATCGAGTGGGAATTTTGCCATTTTTCTACCAAGTTCAGTTAGTTCAGTTTGCTTCCCGATACTCACTGCTCCCAAGGCAACGAGTTGATTTAAGGCCAACTCAATTGACTGCGCATCTGGCGAATCAATAAAGTCAAATTTTCTACAGTCAATACCGAGTGACATTAGTTGAAGAACCTATGCAGAGACGGATAAAATTAAGATGGATTGAGATCTTCTTATGTTAGAAGAAATTAGTTCATACCGTTGCAGCAATGTTACTTCGTAAAATTTCCGGCGTCGTTGTGATTGGCATTTGTTTATATTCATTGAATGTGTATGTTCGATAGCAAAAACCTTCGGATTCGCGACCCGCGCGACCGCATCGTTGCCACGCCTGATCCTGGCTAATTTTTCGCACTTTCAGTGTGTCCATACCAGTTTTTGAATCGTACACGCGACGCTTCACAGCACCGCTATCGATGACATATTTTATACCCGGAATTGTCAGCGATGTTTCGGCAATATTTGTACTCAGGATGATTTTACGTGTGTTCAGTCCAGATGGCATGAACACATCCATTTGACGATTCTGAGCCAATTGTGCATACAGCGGAAAAACACGTAGTATCGGCCCCTTCAGACTATTTGACTATATTTTGACGAAGAAATTGTTAGCCATGTTGATCCACAAAAAATGTTATGAAGGTTTGAATTACCTTGGTCATTGACTTAATTTGATGTGCCATACTTTCAATCTCCTCTTGACCCGTCAGAAATACCAATATATCATGACTGAAATTGGAATTTAATGTTGAATTGAAATGTGGAGATATCAAATTGATTCAGAAATTACTTTGGAGGCGCTTCTTGATGAATTTTGAACAGAGTCGACATAACTGCGTACAGGTAATCACTTTGTGTCTCTTTCACGTGCATAATTTTGATCGGATATGTTCGTCCTTCGAGGTATACGGTCTTACAATTGTTAAAATAACTGGAGAAGTGATCAACGTCCATCGTGGCTGACATGATAATTATCTAAATTCCATGGATAAAATGAAATTGAATTCAAGTATAAAATAGAGACGGGTGACTGTGCAGTGTGCAGTGTGCACTGGACAGTGGACACACTCACCTTAAGGGGGTGTTTATTTTGCGCTACTCTCTGTTTCTGTGCAGCTTTGACTATACCAAATAAAATATCGGTGTTTATCGTGCGCTCATGAGCTTCGTCCAGTATTATGGTACTGTACTGCATCAGTAATCGATCTGACATAGCTTCTCGCAAGAGTGAACCATCGGTCAAGAATCGGATCTTTGTTTTTTTCGATGTCATATCCTCAAAACGAACGGTGTATCTATGGAATGGACATCAGATTTAAAGCCATTGTCTTACAACAAATGTGACCATTTCGTTTGCTTACCCCACCGTTTCTCCTAGTTTACATTTCATTTCTTTGGCAACACGTGTTGATATTGATATTGCCGCTACCCTTCTCGGTTGTGTCACCGCTATGGCCGATTGTCCGATTTCTAATAAAAATTGAGGTATTTGAGTTGTTTTGCCAGATCCAGTCTCTCCTATCACAATCAATGTATGGTTTTTGCGTAAAAAACCCAACAACCTATTTGGAAAATAAAACGGAACGATCAACAACAATTGAACAAATACAAAAATTGTGGTTAGGTTCTCATACTGGTCGCGAACAGCAAATACGGGCAATCGTCTGCGTTGCATTTGAATATCAGCAACGGCGCTTTTATTTGTTGACGCTCCATTTTGGTTGATGTTTTGCTTGAGCGATGCATTCGACGGTTTTGTATCATTCTGTAAATTTGGTTTCTTTGCGGCTGGTGGTACAGAGCTCGGCGAACCATAGGAAAATTTACGTTTTAGGTTCTGACTGAATGGACTTGAGTCAGACAAATTTGTCTTATTTTTTGAAAATATCGAATATTTTGAATCCATTTTTTTGATTTTTCACTACTTAAAAATGTGCTGCGAATAGAATAACGAAAATCTGTGCTAATAACAAACTATTGCTACATAATTCACGTTTAACAAAAACATTTATAACGCGTGAAACAAGTCGACGAAAATGTGCCGTTTACTTATTATCGCTGAAATATACACTGCGTTTGACATTTGACGACTGTCAAAGTGTTGCGTTCGCACCGAGCGGGACTTTTGGATCGGTAATGCAGATTCATTGGGATTTTTACTGGCGAATTTTTTAAACTTGTCGTTTATTATTAGTCTCACAAAGAGATGTTTATATGAAATCATTGTATGATATTTCATATCGTGTGACACAAGTGCAATTTAACGTTTTTAAATTGAAAATCCCAATAATTAAAGACTGAGTTGTCAGGAAAGGGTGAATATCAAAGCTTAGAATTCCAATAATATAATTTCTATCAGTAAAATGACAAAAAACGTTGTTTTTTTGTTTTTGTTTGTATGGGTCAAACCAACTTCCTGAATTATATGTCGAAGCCAAAATGTTTGATTATTTCATATCTTTAATTGCAATATGGCTAATTTCTTGCTGAAAATTGTTATTATCTTAGTCGGAAATTTCCAAACAATATCACATCAAATGTATGAATCATCAAATGAATAACATAACATTTTCAAATGATTTGTAGAGTGATGGGAGTAGCAAAAAAAATACGTGGAATCATTCAGAAATGCTTTGTTATTCATTAGCTTATACACGTTGAATCGTTGAAATGCGATATTGGAAATATCACGACTCCGATGGGAAAAATGCTCCCTAGGAATTTACAAGTATCTATGATTATGTGCAGTACTTTCTAGAAGAAGAAAAACAACAACAATTTACAATTTACTTAAGCTCTAAACATATATAAATTATGCGACGTCGTGACATCAACATACATATCTTGTGTTATCACGAAAAAAAAAAACATGTTTACATTTTCCATTTGAATCGAAACATGTTGGTATCTATTACTAGCTCAGTAACTCAAACCTAATTCACTTTCGATCACACAACATGATATACTTACATAAGGAATGCAAAGCATGGAGTGTTCTGCTTGCAGGATGATTTTGTCAATTATATATGCGTGGGACCATAATATAAGAGGATTTAAGTTTTCTTTATAGAAAAAACATTCATTGCTTCACATATGAATATGCGTTTGCTTTGATCCTACTTCAAGGCACTTTCATCTCGATTTTTCACTGGATATTATGGGCTTGGTTCAGATACCGCATACTGCCAAATCTTATAGCCAATACTGACTGAGATGCTTTTGCAATTTTCAACAACAAAATCCACATTTTCCGACAGTATATATTTTGCAACGGCGTGTTTTTTGCACCTTTTTTGTACGTAATAACCAAAACATAGACAGTAGTAGCCCATTACGAAAAGTAAATAACAATTAAAATAAATAAACTGAGATTAAAATCAGCCAAACGATTGCTCGGTTTCGGTTGTATTTTCTTGAATATGTGCTTTATTTGGAATTCAAAAGAAATATGGCAGACTTTGGTGAAAAAAAATAGAACGATCTTTAAGTATAGGCGCCAATATATTAGCACTTATCTCAAGTGGTCATTTTCATTGAAATTCTTTACTCATCGCTCTTTCTAAAAGATAATTTTCGAAGAAAGATTACACTGAAATGCTTGCACCTCCTATGTGGAGGTTGCACCTCGGTTGATGAATACATTTTCTCCAAATGGATCGTTTAATGTGTCATGAAGAGTTCGCAATTCATGCTATTAAAATATTTATTTGCTTTTTGGTTTTCACCACTTCAAATTAAATACATCAATTTGTATAGTTCTATCAAATTTATAGCTTCGCCTTTGCAGCCTTAGTATCTATCATGAATTTAAAAATAACAATTATTCGGACGGAAAAAAAGAAAACATCGTTTAGCGTTTGCTGAATGTGAAAGTGAAATGAATGTGTGAGAGTAGAAATGGATCGCATTCATGTGTGCACACAGGATAAGATCTAAGGTCACACGCCGGCTTTATCTTTGTTTATGTTTACGTTTTTTTTCTGGGTATTTAAATGATCGTGTCGAATAACATTTCATGTAACGAGCTGCACAAAAATTATATGATTTATGAACTTAATAACTGAGTGCGAAGTAGCTTTTTTCGGACGAATGTTCCAGTCACTTTGCAATTTTGTCGTTTTGATATGCGGCGAATTATAAAACTAAACCGCAGAGCTTTGCTTCGCTCCGCTCTGTGTTCTTGAGTTTTTAGTTACTTAATCTATTTTGTTGTTTCACAACAAACTATTTTTTGGCGCACTACATGAAATGTATTTCATCAAAGTAACTTTGAAGTAATATATTTATTTGCAAAATGAATTACAAGATCTTGATTTTATTTCTTTTTTGAAATACACCGCCTTTGGTTTAAATTAAATAAATAATTATTTATTATTGTATATATTATAATATGAGCATAGAATCTAAAATCACTTTAATTCCGTTCAAGACACAGAAAATATTATACGAAAAATTAATGTAATTTTTAAACAACATTTGATAATAAAAATTTGATTGGCTCTTTGAGATATTATGCACTTATTTGTCGTTAGTGCACCTGTTTCAAATTGAATAAAAAATATGAGCATAAAATTCAAATTCACCATAATTCGTTTCATCACTCAAAAAGTATTAAGAAGAAAAATAAGCAGATTGGTAGCTCTACATTTGATGTAGTGCTAAAAAGCATAGGAATGAATGCAAACGCATACTAAATTAATGATTCGTTACCCGAAATTTTCGACGAAAATATTTATGATGTGTCTGCATGTAATACCATGTGCTTTATACTCGATTGATTCATTGATGCAAATAAGTAATTGAAACATTTTGGTGTTGAGTGCCGAATTTTTCGATATCTCTGATCAGTCTGGCGAAGTTTAAAAACGCTATCTAGCTAATGTTATCGCCGACCGTTGTTCATGTATGGTGGGCGATACAGTATTCGCCAGCTTGCCTTACGGTACACACTTCGCATGTTGTTAGTCGTAGTTAAGCGTTTCAACTGAGAGGATGTGCCTATAAATATCGCGATTAATATTCTCTGAATAAGTGATATCGAAAATGTACGGAATATTGAAGTCATTTGCGGTCTATTCGAAACCATTTTTTTGCATTTTATTCGTGCTTTGTTCTACTCGACACATTAAGTGTGAAGTGACTAAGTGTTGTCCAGCCGGATTCGTTCTTGAGACTTCCAACTATTTTTGTGCACCAAACAATACAAGTTGGGATGCATACAACATTGTTCCATCAGCGCTGCCATACTGTGAACGGAAGGTGGCCAATGTATTCCAAAAGGACGAAACTTACATAGAACTCAATGGTTGTGTTGATAAAGATTTGAATGACGAATTTGTGACGGTTTCATGTCCAGGAAATCCAATTGGCGTACATGCAATGAAAAAATGTTGCCCAATCGGACAGTCATATGATCATCTGAAACGTGCTTGTGTGGTCAATCCAAACACCCATGCAGATTTCAAAAATCTGTTTCAACAATCTGCGGTTGTATTTGATGAAAAAAACGCAATCCCAAGCTGTTCCGACGATGAAGTGTTTGTTGAGTATTTTTCCACGGTGCATGACATTAAATTTTCGGGGAAAAATGTTCAAGTCAATGACGATATTTTATCATCCGATAAATTTTGTATTGAAGATTTGATAAATATCGACCCAATGGATCCACGGCAAAATGGTCAACATATGATAGTTCGAAGCTGTCGTCCGCGTTCCGTTTGTGATACGATGCCCTGCATTCGTCGGTGTTGTAGTGCCGATCAAGTTATGTTGAATAGCCCGAAAAGATGCGCGGCACACCCCGAAAATGCCAACATAAAACCAATTTTCTATGACCTCAGCTATCCTTTGACTAGCAACCAACAACAGACACGACTCACAGGTATGACTTTTTTTTTGCGAAATCAATCCATTGATATCGACTTTATTTTTCAATAAATTGCTTACGATTTTCAATCAACACTCAAGATCGAAAAAAAGAACACAATAATGATAAGACCCATGATATGATGGTCGTTTTTTGCTAGCATTTTTTCCAACAAGAACAGTCAAATATTGAGTGAACGAAACAACCGCAACCATTCCGACAGAGCACGACTATCAGTCTCGTGTCAATAAATAATATTTAAGAGATAACACAATTGCTGTAGTAAAAACCATATATGTCGTTGTTTACAAATCATATTTGCAATACGCCGTTTCAATCGGTTTGTTGTAATTGGTTTTTTCAGTGAAGAGAAATGTGCGGTTTTAGGCTGTTTACCCGGTGCTGTATTTGTTTTTCACCTATGCTATTCTATATGTGTGTTATGTGATTTCGTCTGTCCGATGTGTTGGCCCAAGTGTTAGTCATATGAAAAATAAAATTTACGCGAAGTACTCGCACACACTGTTTGAGTTTTGTTGTTTCCGTAGCCACACCGAGGTATGATGAGTGAGATCAATGATTTACATTTGTTTATCAGTTTTTCAGTAAACAATGAGCTCGATTCAGTGTGGAACCGCGCGCATTCCGCGAATACTCGAGCGTGTGCAATAAAAAAAATACACACGAGATATTTTCAATTTTCAATTGCTTTCCATATTTATTTCTAACAAGAAAAATAAAAAAAATACTGAACGCTTTAAGTGCTGCTCTTCGTCGATTTTATTACTTCCCTCCATATTGGGGTTCAAGTTACTAAAACACCAATGGAACTTTGGAATGATGAATTTATCACCATTCATCATTTTTTCGGATATGTTCTGACCCAATTTACCGAAAATATCCCAGAAAATTGTGTCGATTTTACTTCGAACATGCTTCTCTGACATAAAATACTAAAGGTTGCCTCTTATCGTAAAACAAATCATTTCCTCTCATTTTATACGACATTAAAACAAAATAAACAAACCGTTCACGAATTATTTTAAGGTTTTTTTACGGTTTTAGTTAATCCCAAAACTGTGACATCAAGTAATTCTTTGAATCACTGTGAAAACAATGCTTTTGGCCTCATAGTTCATGGCACTTTGAATCTTAGATTCTTTCGCATTTCTTCTAAGGAAATTTCGTTAACGTATGTTTTTTACACATGCTGTGACATCAAATAATTCTAAAATTTCTATAGTGCTTAAATTATGCACCGATTTACATTTGTCAATCTAAATTTTGCTAAAATCGAAATGGTTGATTACAAGGATTCGTTGACGTATTTGACCTTCTCAAGCAATTGACGCGAAGTGCGCTTAATTAAGGAGACATGTTATAGATGAATATTCAAATCTTGGAAAATTTGCCGAAATGACTTCGGCTAGGGCGATTTCAATTGTAGATTTTATGTAGTTTAAGTAGTGTTTTTACTTTTTTTATGTAGGAACAATTTTTTTGAGTAATCGGCTATCGAAAAACTGCTATAAAATGGAACAACTTGGTCAAAAAAACGTATTTTCCACAAATCGATTTTTTTTTTTTCGAATGAAGAATGGTTCCAAAAAATTGTAGATAATTTGTAGAATCAGAGTTTGACTTATCCGCCAAATATATGCTATGGCATAAAAAAAATATGCGCATATTTTTTGGTACATTTTTATTTTGTGACTAACTTACCATGTAAATTCATATGGATACCACGAATTTGGGACAAAAAATCGTGATATCCACATGAATTTACAATAATATTTTTTTATGCCATAGCATATATCTGGCGGATAAGTCAAACTCTGCGTAGAATTGATATCAATTGTCTGTTTTCGAATATGTCAGCCCATTCGTTCGATATTGAGACGAGTCATGAAAATTGGTCCAAAATCGGTAATACTCAAATCTTGGCCACAAATTGAAATTTCCACAAACTGAATCTTCCTCTATTACTGCTAATATTATTCCAAGTTTGGAAACTGAGTGTAGTGTTGGCCGCCGAACACTTTCAAACGCTTGATCGTTCGTTTCATCGAAATGATTACATTTTAAATTAATTTATTTTGTTTACTCTTTCGTCCGAATATATGACGTGTAAAAAAACAAACAAGCACTTTTTTATAAAAACTTTCAAAGAACGAAGCCAATGCTAGAGAGGAGCTATAACTTTTCTCGAGAATTTGTTATTTCATCTTGAAATCTCCCCCAATAATTTCTTTCCAAAAAGTTTCTTGTTGAGTTCAAAAACTCAAAAATGAATTATTCCCCAATAATAACCAAGTAATACAAAATAGTTGGTTCGAAAGCCATTTTTCAAGATGATTCTGTTGGAAAGTTATGAAAAACCATCTAGATTTAAAACATGCCATTGTTTATTGACGAAAGAAGACTGTTCACAGCCGGTTTTCATTGAAACAGCAAAGCAGCAATGATATAATCACGTTCCACACTATTTTTTATGAATAAATAAAGTATCTGCAATAGAAAAAAAGCAAACACTCAAAATAATCCGTTGAAAATCATTTTGATTCTATTACAGAATATGGCATTTTGCAGGCGTGGAAATGCAAGTCGAGTTATCCACTGATGCCAGACATAGAAGATGATCTTCACTACTTGCACAAGGATGGTAAACTGCATATGGTTGGCGAAGAACCTCTAGACCATGACCACTATTGTATTGAAAATGTCCAGAAGAAATCGGGTGCAATTCAAGTGAGCCATTTTCAGATCAAGTGAATCGTGTTCTTCTTTTCATGTGATTCTCCTATCAATTTTTACAGCTATTCACATTTCTATGTTTCGAAAACAAAACATATGAGCAGCTTGATAAATTTGCGTACTATCCCTATGGAATATCGATATCCTGCATATTTTTGACTACAACTTTGATTGTTTATTTATTAGTGCCAAAGGTTTTACATTCAGTTTTATTTTACTTCAGAAATCATTTGATTTTACGCATTACAACATGAATCTTTTACTTTTACAGCTCTTGAATCTACATGGAAAAACACTTGTGTGCTACGTCCTATCATTCTTAGCCGCTTACATTACATTGGCCATATTGCAATTCAATGAAGGCAAACGATCTCCTGTTTGCTATCAAGTAGGTCGGTGTATGCATGTTTTTTTTCATATCCCTCCTTTGTCATTCTCCTCCATCCACTTGCAAAAAGCGCCTCATTAAAATTATTATATTATACTTTTAGCTTTTTTCCTTCTCTACTGTTTTATGGCCGCCTTTTGCTGGCAAAGTGTGATGTGTTTTGATATCTGGCTAACTTTCGGGTATGTCAAAATGTCTTTAATTATATGGCTCATATAATCTTGAAGAAAAAAAAACACACCAGAATTCATCTTGTATATCGTCGAGTACACAGTGGAACAATTTTCAAAAAGTTTGAAAGAACTTGACCGTAGCTATGCGGGGACAAAAGTAGACCTATAGCTGAGTAAAACTTCAGCTGGGTTTTGCCGAATTGGCAGGGGATCTCATTTTTGCAACCTTTTAGGCGTTTTTTCAATAACATGGTTTTTCGGCGATATGAACTATGTCAAATTTTAGTCAATAAATCGTTCGTTTTTGGGGTTTTACTCAGCTATAGGTCTACTTTCGTCCCCGCATAGTCACGGTCAAGTTCTCTTGGGGCTGTTCCACTGTGGTATTCTTCGAATCGTTACGCCTATGCATTTGTTGTTAATCAATATCTGTTTGCGTGGCGTTCAGTTTCGGCGGTCAATTTAATGATTAGATCATAAAATACAACGATTTACCACCGCTGAGAACAATAATGTAATTATCATATTGTCTCCATCCCATGAGGAATGATACGTGTTCTTAACTTAGCTTTGACCGTAATTTATAACGTCGCTTGTTCGTTCAGTTTCTATGTTCTCAATTTCATTGTTTCTGTAAAAGTGACTAACTACTTGAAATATGATACGACAATTCTTGGCATTGGCGTGTAACTATCCGAGATGTTTTATAACCAATCGAGACAAAGAAAGCATTTCAACGAAACTAAAATGTAAAATAGGAAATTGATATCAATATTCTCCGGAAACCATATTTTTTAGGTCGTTGCGTTCATCGTTCATGATGCGACATAATCGACAAAATCGTCGAAAATTTTTCTACTATTCAGCATACGCATGGCTGTTTCCATTGGTACTATACAATCTTATTTCATTGATATTGTATCGTATCCAATAAAAGCTGAGTACCATTTCTTTGCCTTCTGTATAGGTATGGATCTTGTTTACTTTGTATGCCGAACAAAAGCGGCCGCTCCCCGACAAGTGGAATCCAAATATTGGAGAAAACACTTGCTTTTTCACTGGTACGTTCCTTTCCATTATTGTTTTGTGTGTGTGTGTGTGTGTGTTCATATTTTTATCGATTGCCCATTAAAATGCAATTAAATTGCGACCTCTATATATATGATATATATATATATATATTCCAGATGATGTAAACTGGAGGACCCATTTCTTGTTCTTTTTGATGCCGGCTGGAGTTCATGTTATTGCGAATTGCATTCTATTTGTCATAACAGCCATCAATTGTTCGCGCGTCAAGAGTGACATTCATCGAATGCAATGCATTTCCGACGAATCGAATACGTCAACAAAACGCAAGAAGTTCCTTGTTTCGAGGGCAATGTTCGTGTAAATGCCCAAAATTGTTGCTATGCTTTTCTCGGGCACAACTACTTTTTATTGAGCACATTTATCGCCACTTATGAACACTGACCAATTCTATTATTAATTTCATTGCAGATTCATCATGAATTTGAAATTATTCACGGTGATGGGAATATCGTGGATGCTAGAGTTCATTTCAACATTTTATAAAAATCATTACTTCGAATACATTCTGGATTCTTACAACATTCTCCTGGGTGTATCGATTTTCTTTATATTTGTGTTCAAACGCAAAGTTCTCTATGAGCTTAAGTGTCGATTCGGTGAGAGATTGGCTATGATCAATTTTGATTACTCAATTATTAATGATTGATGAATATTTGTACAGGTCTTAATCCGAGAACCATAGGATCAGCTACACCAAGATCAACCACCGTTACCAATACTGCTAACGTCAGTATGAGGGATATAAGATGCCCATCGGAAAAGAACTTACCTTTGCTTGTCGTAAACGCAACCACATTACAAGTTCCTAGCATAAAAAAATAATTCAAACTATCCCGTTATAGACACAAAGTGTCTCTTACACTTATTTCACTTAAGTAGTTTTTTTTTTGGCAAAACTAAATTTCATTTCAAAAGCATTTCACAGTTTATTGAATACTTTATTATTCGAGTGTTGCTAAGTTAGATGTCTAAATAATGATACTTATATATGTTTATTGAACAAAGCACAAAATGAGCTATTGAATCAAAGCATGTTTGGGTGTGTGTGTGTGGTGTGGTCGGGTATTGTTCATTTTCATTGGACACAATTAATTGATAATTGCAATGCGGCAACTATCAAATATCGCGCATACAGAAGATTACACGTGTGATTACAAAAGTTGAGATTGTAGTTGCAAGCATGCTTTGATGAATTTTATCAAGATCTCCGTTACGATATTAACCAAATAACAAGATCATGAATAAAATAAAATCATTCATTTTTATTGGTTGAAATGTTAGTCTGATTATTTTCGTGTCCCCCTTTTTGTGCGATGAAAACAACTTAATCAAAATTAAGACGGCAACTGCTATGAATTTTGTTCGTAGTGCTCATTTCACTTTTTTTCTCTTATTGAGTTAAACAGAACATAGAATACTAATTGTGAGGTAATCGAACAAATTTGAAGTACTAACGAACACTGGCGAGACCAATAGCAACACCGCCAGCAAATCCGACCAAAAATATGTGCAAATTGTTAATTTTTGGGCCTGTCTCATCTCCAATTAAAGTTGAGTACCATGTCTTTGCCTTCTTCTGGCCTTTCTTCAATGCACTCTCAGCTTGGTCCAGTTTGCGATCTACATAACGTTCGGCCTGTTGAAAAAATCATACTTCAGTGTTTGTAATTCATCTTAGAGTAAATAGTTTGTACGTCAAGGGAAGAAATAATGTGAAAAAGCCAATTAAAAAAAACCAATAAAACACAAATTAGGATGCAAACGTTGATAATTTATTGAGCAATTGTATCAAGTAGCCATTTCTTTATTCATAAAATCAACTTAAATGGTATCGGAGAAATGTATCACCGGTTATTGTTTGAAGAAATTGGCTTGCTCAGTAACAACATGTTGTCTCTGCAGAGAAGGTATTCTTTTGTAAAATGAATAATTTCAAGATCTTTTTTTTATCAAGTAGATGATGAAAGGGCTAAGGGTTATCCCAACAAAGCAATAAATACTGTTGTACAATGAAATGTCTATTTTAATTGGAACAGGCACAGCACTTTGTTCACACAATTTATTTCTTCTTTTCTCCGCGCCTTCAATAATTTGGCTCGTTATTAATTAAATTGATTGACATTACGATGATATGCCCAACAAAAAACCTCCCAAGAATCCGGTTGCTGTTGGTACATTATTTTTAATATAATATTCGGCCTAAAATGTGCAGAAAATTGCAAAGTTTTACCACTTTTTTTGAATTGGTGATGTTTCATCAAACATTTCTATATTTTACTCAAATAAAAATAAACAACGTTTCGTGCAGAATTGGTACAGAACAAAAACTCACCTTGTCCATCCATTTTGGTGCTTCGCCGGTCAGTGTTTCCTGCACTTTGTCGCCAGCTTCATCGACTTTGCGATAGAGTCGGCTCCAATCGATTTTTATAATTCCTTGCTCGTTTGCTACTTCTAACAAGATGATGGCGCCGCCGATGGTGAACGCAGCCAAACGACCCACTTTTGCCGAGGCAAACCCAGTAACCCTGTCAACCAAAGAAATGAATAAAATGTAGGTCTTTGCAACTGTCATAGATTTTTACGCATTAAATGGTAAACATTACCATCCTGAGGCTGCTCCAATCAGGATTTGTTTTGTTGCCGATTGTTTACTGACATCGGCCAAAATTTTATCCAAACAACTGGATCCTGTGGTGCTAGCTGGCATCTTCTTCAATTTATTATCTTTATCGTTCCTTAAAATAACCATTCCTGTGAATTATGAACAAAGCAAGAAAAAAAATGCGCATATCTTAATTAGTATGACATCATATGATTTTAAATGCTAAAATCATACACTTTATTTCATCATTTATTTTTATAACAAAAGATACACCAATTTTGGCACTTATTTCGATGCAACCAATTTTCGTATTTTCAAACTTTCATTCTACAATGTATCCTAGGATTTTCATTGGCATTGTTTGATTTTTGTCATTCACGAAATTATAGAATATTTTGCGTCTATTTTAATTGATTGTGTCATTGAAAGAGACGCCAAAAATATTCACATGTTTTATTCCATTCCTTTGAACAATTGATACGCTTCGATGAGCATTCAATTGGATTCAAAACGTTTTATTTAGAAAAATGAACACTTACGTTTTCTCTTAATGTGAAATAATCGATTTGTCGGACAATCGTAATTCGTGTTATATTCGCAGTAGGAAAAAAAACAATGAAAACTGTTTAGAAACCTTTTCACTTTGACAATTTCGAAATGACAGAAAATGAATGAAAAAATGCGATGTTTCTGCTTGTGGGATGAAGTCATCCGCACATCGCGTTGCGATACTAGATTGCATAGTAGATTTTTCTATGATTTTCGAAATTTATCCGCTTAACAATTTATCAATATGAGGACTTTTAAAAATAAATCACAATTTACCATAGCATAGAATGTATTTTGATCAGTTCATTGGCTTGCACGCAAAAATGACACAGAATGATTCAGACACATGATGCTGCAGCATTGTTTATGGGTGAAAATACTGTCTTGCTGTACTTCTGAACATGCTCGTGTGACAGATGAGTGGAAAGGTATTATGACAGGTCAATGATACGGCATGCAGTGATACGACATGTAACTTCGGATGTATTTCGTTTAAATTAAAAATAAATATTAGAGAAACTGTTTTCCAAACAACATGAAAGGTTATTGTGCACAATATTGAAATCCTTGGTAAAAAATAGTTTAAATTATAGTAATATTTATGGTAAATATCGACAAAGTTAAAAAAAAAAGTACCAGTATGAGCCCGATCGCCGTACCAGATGCGGATCGATTGGCAAAAATTTGTTATCAAACATTTGAATCCATATCGAAAACCGGCAAGCCAATTCTTGGAAAGGAATGGACAGTACTTTCGTGTATCGCGAAATATGAACATCACACCAAAGACTTGGAGGTGGTGTCTCTGGGAACTGGTAAAAAAAGCAATTCTATAAAAACAGCAATGACAATTTTAATCTCATTCATTTGATTTCTTCCGATAGGAACCAGATGTATCGGCCGAAGTTTGTTGAGCAACCAAGGTGACAAACTGAATGATTCACATGCCGAGGTGATGTGTCGTAGAGGTTTTCTCCTTTATCTATACGATGAAATATCCAAAGCCATGGATCCAGAGGAGAATTCCATATTTTCATTCAACGAGAGTAAGAAAAAATTCGAAATTTCATCAGACATTTCATTTCATTTCATGACAACCTTTGCACCGTGCGGAGATGCGAGTATATTTGACATTGAATCAAGTAGGAGCGAAGAGGTTATTGAACCAAGTGAGAGTAAGAGATCTAAATTACACGAGCCCAGAGATGAAAAGTCAATTGATAACACGAAAACAACCAACTTCACGGGTGCAAAATTAATTTATAAAAATACAGAGGTAAAAATATGGAAAGCGGTTTGGAAAAAAGCCATGAAAAAATCGGAAAAAATGCTCTATTATTGAATTGCATGTCAATTTTTGGTGTTCATTGACACCAAATTAAAAAATTGAAGAAATATCAGATAAATAAGTTAAACCTGAACTTTGAACGTTTTCAGGTACCCCAAGATTTGATGGCACAATCGATCGGTGATGTTCGTACAAAACCGGGACGAGGAGAACCGACCCTGAGCATTTCATGTAGCGACAAGCTCGCCAAATGGAATGTGCTGGGACTTCAAGGAGCTCTGATCTATTCGTTGTTAGACAAACCAATTTATTATAGTAGCATAACTTTGTGTGATCATCAGCACTGTGACATAGAAGCGGCGAAAAGAGCCATTTGGAAACGGTTTACTAATACAAAATTCTCCCCTGAGAAACCATTCACTGTGAATCAACCGCTGATTCAGATGAGTCGCGGTAAAAAATTCAAGTATGAAAGAAATATGGATCGAGACCCTGCTCCAGGTTCCATAGTATGGTCGAAGTTGAAAAAGTGTGTGCATCAAGTCTCGGTTAATGGCAAACTCCAAGGTGCAACAAAGAAAAGTGGCGGTCGTCTGAAAATATCGAAAATTGAACTGTTCCGTTGTTATTTCGAAATTTTGAAGAAATTTAATGACAAATTAAATATATTCGAAGGAGACGTGGATTTCACTTCTCTTCGATACTGTGATGCGAAGAGCCAGTCTACGGAATATCAACAAGTGTGGAAGAATTTGAAAAGAGATTATTTTAAAGTTTGGGCAACGAAACCATCAGAAATAAATATGTTCATCATTAGCTGAACACTCAAAGCAATTCTGATATATAACTGTTAAATTTTTAATAAAAACCAATAATAGTTACCAAACTTCAACGTGTAAGATTTTAGGTTTAAATATTTACAAAGATACATATACTACCTAGGGGGAGACACGAAACTTAAATTAGTAAAATTAGAACATTATTCAACGATAATAGGAAAAATAGAAGAAATTAGTGAGTTTGGTTTGCCAATGTTAACGCTTATGGACGTATTGTTTATTGTTTACAAAATAATCCCGTTAGGTCTTTCATAAGCGTTGTATTGACAGTGTAATACGCTCTGCAACCGATTTTACCAGAAATAATAGCACAATATTAGCACAATAAATGTACCAAAACTAGAAAAATTAGAGAACATAAAGCAAAAAATATATAAAATTGAATGTAACAAGACTTTACTAGAATTTGTGTCTCGCCCCTACACACATTGTTGTATTAAAATGAATTAGAAAATTTATTTTTTCTACGTTTTAGACAATTTTGTTTACCACCGTTTGTGTGTTCATATTGAGTTGAAACGACAACAGTGTTGGATAAAATTAACGTCTGTATTAAAATGACGACTTTTTTTGTTTGAAAACATGAAAATTTCGAGTCTTCTTTTGTCTCAATTGTTTATTCATCGATTCATTCGGCATCAATAGAATATTTTTTCTTGAGCACAAAACTGATATGCAACATTACACATGAGGATTAAAGAGCGAATATTTCTGGCGTAGTCTTTCAATCACATATCGCACTCGATTTAACACGATTTTATACAAGTTAAAATGATTAAAATCGACAAACACAACTCGATCTAAACAGTGACATCATTTGTTTTTTTTTCTTCTTATTAGACATACATGCGATGTAAAGTTGGTGTATTCAATGCCTCCAAGGTCATGGAGATGCAGTGGATTTTCTATTTTCTGTGAAACGTGTGTGTTGGCGTCACATTCACGAAGCCATTTCCACATCATAACATCGAGCGAGATCATAGAAACGTTGTGAAATATAAATAGCTAAAAGCTTTAAACCGTCCATCAGTTAGGCACCAAACGTATAACGGAAAACACATAGTGGCTTAGAACACTTTCGGAAAATCAAGTGAATTTTGTGAAAGAATTTCTAAAGTAAAGAGTAATAGTGAAAATGTCGGCCGTATCGCCATATGGAGCTGTAATTCCACAAGTTGGGCCCAGTGCACCAGACAATTTTGAAGTACTAATTGATGCAAAACATTTCGACCCAAGGGAAATCTCAATTAAAGTCAACGGCAACATCATTTTCATTGACGCTGAGCATGTGCAACAGCAACCTGGTTGGCCAGTTAAATACATTAAACGATCCATCCATCGTCAATTCAATCTACCACCAGGTTTTGATGGAGCAAATATCGTGTCAGGCATAACTCCAGACGGCATTCTTTCGGTTAGATGCCGTGCCGCAAATTCTACAGGTCACTATCCTGTCCCCACCCGTTACTGAAATGATGTTAATAAAATGAAGAAAAAATTTATATGAATAAAATAAACAGAAAAACAAATTGAATAATCCGTGTATCTATTTATATATGTGTATATTTCCAAAAAAAATGAAGTGAAAATTATAGTCGTTGCCTATTATGTGAAACAAGCTGCCTCGCATCGCTTCGCTAGACTTCGACACAAGGTCGAATCGCGACTCTATAAGATTGAGTGTTTTTGTTTCTGTCGCTGGTGTTCTATAATTAGAATGAAACGAAAAAAAAACTTCCTTGACTTTTCATAATTATAGAATGACCGTCTTTTGAATATTCTAATTGCTTAAAAGTGAAAAGAAGCAAAACACTTGATGATCAAATTGACAAAAGAATAGTTTTCTCGATAGTTATTGAACACTCAACACACAATTTTTAAGCCTTGATTATGACCTTATTGATTTCATATTGAAATGAATCCGTCTTATTTACATACCTTCCCGCCACAAAAGTAATTTTCAACCACAAAATAAAGTGCTATTAAAAAAATATTTGACTTTTTTAAAATTCCAACATAAGTAAATTCAATAACAATCCACAAATTGTGAATCACAACTATTACCACATTGGTACATATAAAAGTCGATTATTCTATAGAAAAAATGTCTTGTTTTTTTTTCAATTTTTTTATGTTCATTAGGTTTATTAGGAATGAATTTCTTATTTAACGACTAAGTTTATAGTGACGAACATTCAATGTTATTCGATTATAGATATGGTTTGACATTTACAAATATGCTTAGCATGCTGAGAAGCCTCCTTCAATCGGCAACCTGTTTTGAGAAAATCAAAATGAATGAATTATGTTAATAGAATATTCTCCAAAAAATATAACAAACGAAGAATTTTAGAGAAAAGATACGTACGAGTGTCCGCTGATGAAAGATGATGGGCTGCCGAGGAAGAAGAGAATTGGATCGACTACTTCGCGCAATTCAGCGAATCGATAAAGTGGAATTCTGCTCCAGAGTCCTTCAGCCTTAGCCTTGTCGCTCCACACAGCGCGACCCATTTCCGTCATGCAAGCGGTTGGATTCACTGAGTTCACTCGAATGTTTCGTGGGCCGAATTCAAGTGCTAGGGAACGAGTGAGTGCATCGACGCCAGCCTTTGAGATGTGATAAAGTGCATGTTCTGGGAACGCACGAAGCCCAGCCAATGACGAAAGATTTACTATACTTCCACCATTTTTAATTTTTGGTGACACAACTTGCGTTACATTGAATAAAGCCTTCACATTAATGTTCATCACTCTGAATCAAGAATATAATTTTAAATTACATTAAATTAGTATAAGTTTTTACTGGAGATTTTTGCCGAAAATTTTGTTTTGAAATAAGCTGATTCACAAAACGGCAAACAGATAAAAATGAAAAAAGTCTCACTTATCATAGTCTTCTTCGGTGAGTTCTTCGAATGGTTTGCAGATTGTGATACCAGCGTTGTTTACCAGTCCATCAACGTTCACATTCTTAAAAACTTCGGTCAAGGTCTGGCGTGTTTCACTCCAGTTGCTTAAATCCAATGACACCGTAACCACACTTGGATTTGATTTCAAATTATCCATTGGAGATACATCCAAAGCGTACACTTTGGCTCCATATGAGACGAGACGTTCGAGAACCTCACGTCCAATACCTATGATGTTGAGCACACGAAAAATGATCTTATTAAATTAGACATGTCAAAAAATGTTGTGAAATAGCGGATTTCCGCGTGGAAATATCATGATTGATTGACTGACTGACTGCTTAAATCGATTGAAAATTATTGAAATCGCGAATGGTTGAAATTTTCTTTGGAAAAATGTTTTTTGAAAAACAGTTGACTCTAGTCACTTCTCAGTCAGTCGCTTCATTTCAGACATTTATACTGAACAGTAACTATATATTATACGACTTCATCTGAAATTATCGACTGGCTACTCAGTCAAAATACTTGAACAAAAAAAATCGTACCGCGACCAGCACCGGTTACCACGTATGTTTTGCCTTTAAAATCTTGTTCCATTTTATTCGTCGTCGAAAAGTGTACCTATGTGAGTAGTTCTTAATTCAAACTGAACGCTCTCCTCGCAGGATCGTCGAATTTATACAGATGTTTGTGAACGCAGGGGAATTATAGTGAAGATAAGACTTAATTGCTATTGGTTATCAGTAAGTTTACTGGATTTTTTTTGGTAACGAAAAAACAACGCTGGAAAATATTGTAATTAAAGCATTATCAGAAAAAATAATTTATTGACTTGGTTCCGGGGCAAAAATAGACATCTATCATAGAATATACGATACAACACTACTGCAAAATCTGTGAAAGTGTTGAACTGGAATAAAAATTCCATATTATGATTTGCTTGCTAATTTTGGCATACATTTAAAAAATATTTCCACTTGGAATTGATGATGATATGAATTCGAGTTGGTTACAAGCGTGCTGAAGTAACGTTTTCAGCGGGTAACAGTTGTTCAAACGTCTCGTGTCAATTTGTATTTATTCATACGTTTCTCATCTAATGCGTTTATTTTGTTTTTGAATGAGCGGTGTGGGACGTAGAGTGTTTCAGTAACTTGTTATCATCACAACGCTTGACCGCGGAAGATTATCAGCATTATATAAATTTACACATTTGTTGTATATGCTTGTATATTCATCTGTTTTCAATTTTATTTTGAGACGAATTTGTGACGCATATCATCGTTGATTCAGTTTATGTGATTTGAGATTAGACAGCGCAGGCCGCAGGCTCTCCCCTCGATCGTCAGGAAATGTCCATTGATGAAAGACGATTTGTCGCTTAGCAAGAAAAGAGTTTGAGGGCTCAAGAGCGAAGCTGCGTGTGAACGCATCTACAGCTGCTTCAGATGCTGACTGAGTAAATAGTGAAATATATAGCGAAAACGTGTAAGCCAGCCAATAAAGATAAGATCACAATGCTACTTACATTTTTGATATTTGGCAACGTTAAAAACGGGACTAACATTTATATATTCATAGTTAAGTATCCCAGATTTTTTTCGAAGCGATCCGGGCCGGGCAAATCTGGGGTGAATTTCCGAGAAATCCGGGCAATATCCGAGCGATGAGTCTCGAAAATTCCACTCAAAAATACGGACAAAATCGGGTGAAATCCGGGTGAAATTCAAATTTTTCCCGGCCCGAATCGCTTTAAAGTAAGCGCCAAATGCTCCGCTTTTGCCACCCGGCATTTTCACTTTTACTTTTCCGCACTTATGCGTGAAAGTATGGTTTTTGACTAAATTTCTGAGACCCCCCCAAAAACATGATTTCTGTCCGTTTTCAAGGCCGTAGAACACGAAAAAACTGTTTTTGGAGCAATGTTTTGTGGGTCTGTCCCACGTCGTCCGTCGTACGTCGTACGCAAATTTCTTAGTGAAAATTTAGCGAACCCAATCAGAGATAAATAAAATCTAAAAGTGTCAAAAGTTTTTTTTGCTCCACTACACTTAGAAACCAGTAGATTTTCAGCCACCCCAGATATACCCTGGGGTACAAGTGGTAACTGATATATGAGACTAGAAAAATTATTTTTTTTGTATGGAAAGTACTTGAAATAGGGCCGATGTTATTTGCAGTCAGATTTTCTGCAAATAGCACTGGATGCTATTTGCAGTCTCAAAATATAATTTGTACTAGACTGCAAATAGCATCCAGTCTCAAAATATAATTTGTACTAGACTGCAAATAGCATCCAGCGCTATTTGCAGTTTCATTTCGAAGGCGTGGAGAAATCACTCGCGCGCGCGCTTATGATTTCTCAATGCCACCGACACAACAAAAATATCATCAAACACTTACATTATCATCAAGAAAGTATGTTTGTCCCTTTCATATCAAACCTTACATTCATTGCTATTCGCAGTTTTATTTCGGTGGCGTTAAGAAATCATTAGCGTGTGCGCTGGATGCAGTCAATGCATATAAGGTTCGATATGAAAGGGACAAACATGCTTTCTTGATGATAATGTAAGTGTTTGATGATTTTTTTTTTGTGTCGGTGGCGTTGGGAAATCACCCGCGCGCGCGCGCTCATGATTTCTCATGAATCAACGCCACCGAAATAAAACTGCAAATAGCATTGGATGCTATTTGCAGTCTAGTACAAATTATATTTAGAGACTGCAAATAGCATCCAGCGCTATTTGCAGAAAATCTGACGGCAAATAACATCGGCCCTGAAATAGGCCCCTTAGAGCATTTTTATCACTCCTACTCGATTCAATGAGAAAAATGACTAGAATGACGTTTGGTTTGGCGCCATCTGCAAGGTGGAAGTATTTTGCAATACAAATACGTTCTATTGTTGCTGTCATTGATAGTTGGCAGTATATTTATAAAGAAGTTTCATAGTTCAGCGTGCACCGTCGAGATGTCGATTAAATATAGCATAAACATGTGCTCCATATAAAAACATAGGCAAATTTGATCATTGCTCGATTTATTTGAGTGTCGAGTTTTTTCTTGAGTTTGTTTGAGTGTTGTTGGTAAAGGTTAACACATCAGAGTTGCCATATTAACATAAGAAAGCTTATTCATGGAGTTTACTTCTTCTAAGTGTTTCTCAGTTTTTGTCGTGTTTTTCTATTTTCTTGTGGTTCAAATCTTGTGAAACTCCAAAAACGTTCTCTTCTCGTTGTTGTTTCATTATTCACACCATTTGGTTGAATTTCCATTACAATGGAATAGTCGGACACCATTGCGGAGAATTTCGTCTTACTTCGGTAAGACCCTTTATTTGAAATTTTCGACATTGTTAAATAGCCGTTTCGATTCAATTAATTTCACGGTGGAAAGAGAAAATATTGGTAAACTGGCCTTTGGACCTCTATTTAACACGAGTTAATAACAAAATCGAAATTGGTGTTTATCATAAAAAAACATCGATACAAAGAATGATTCCTAACGCCTCACATTGCACAATCCAACATAAATTGGCAGGTTTTCATAGTTTCATTCACCGGTTGTGTAGATTGCCATTATCAGTGGAAAATTATAAAAAGGAATATGATTACATTCAAAAAATTGCAAAAGTGAATGGCTACAGTAGTGAACTTGTTGACAATATCGTTCATAAACATTCGGAGAAAGTGAGAAGATCAAACCTTTCTACGTTTTTCGCTACGAACGAAAAACACGATCCAAAACGAGTGTCGATTTCTTTTGTTCCCAGAATAACGAATAAATTGAAAACCAAATTTAAAGAATTTGATATGCAGTTTGTTCATCGCAATGAAAATAAACTAGCGAATTTATTGGATTCAACAAAAGACAAAACACCGAAACTAAAAAAGTCGGGCATCTACTGTGTAAAATGTAACATTTGCAATCGTGCATACCACCATAAGATTGTGAGTCGGTGAACATTTTACATGCGCTAGTAAATGACCATTTAGACATTGGCATTGAAAACGTTATGTTAGAACAACAAGTGAACGACGAGAGACGCCTCGACGCGTATGAATACTACTACATAAAAAAGACCCGAACGCAATGAATTTGGACGAAGGCAATATTACATCAAGCCTTATCGACCGTCTGATTTAAAACAGTTATCGATATTGTCGTCGGACTCTCTCTGCGTGTGTTTTGCTGTTTTATTTTTTTCTTCGTACCTACGAAATGTGACTAGCCGGTGTCCAAACGATGTTTTACAAAACAGTCGTGATGCTGAAGATGAACCGTATTACAGGTGGGCGAATTCGCGAGTTATACTCTCATACTCACTCATTTCGAAAATGAGTGTGTCTCGACATACTCTCATACTCATAGATACTCTTTGAGTATGAGAGTATATACTCAGAGTATATACTCTTTGGTCTTGAGTATGTCTCGACATACTCATTTTCAATTTTTTTTCTCCTCAGAAAAAGTTATATATCCTTTGTATATTTTTCTGAGGGAGGGAAAACGAGTGAGTAAGCGTAGTAGTTACTCTTTCGCAAAAAAATGAGTAAGTCGAGACGTACTCAATTGAGTATGAAAAAGAGTAGGAAAAAGAGTAGGTGTAGATTTACTCTTTGGGTAAAAAATGAGTATGTCGAGACATACTCAAAATCAAAGAGTATATGCTCTGAGTATATACTAGGCTAAACCTACCAACTGTACTGTTTTTATAAGGAGTATACTGTTTTTTTTGCCGATTTTTGAGCCAAAAAACAGTATACTGTATTCAGTATATATACTTATTTTTAGACTTATGTACTGTTTTATACTTATTTTCTGCGATTCGGCAGGTTTTGCTCAAGATGCGGTGAAAAGAAAGAAATCGCATTTTGCAAGCATACATAAATTTAGCAGTGAAATTGAAATGAGCTCAAGAGTGTGCACATAATCGAATATTCGAAGCAACGTTTATGTTTCACGAAATGTGCCTCATTGCGGTATTGGTTTCTTCTAGACTAAATTTTTGAGAATTTATCTAAATAAACCAAGTCGAAATTCATTTGGCGTGAATGCAAAAAATTCAAGTACCTGGTACCATAAATTTCTCAATATTTTTCACAGATGATGCGCGTGAATATCTGCTGAAGTGGAGCAAAGAATTTGCCATTTTCCAGAAGTTTCTATGGGCCGATTTACGAAAATTTCCCGACTGGTCTTCAGTGAAGAATTCATTCAAAGTCTTAGAAGAGAAAACTTCTTATGATTTAGAATCAAAATCATCCGAATGCTTCAAACAGTTTGCTTGCGTGAAACAGTATTGTAGTGAAGAAAAATGAATGACTGGAACACTAAAAATGTTTCCGCAGAAGCTAGATGGGTAGAGATTTTCTGTCACTTGCAAAAAGAAAATGTTCTTTTTGATGAATTTGCCACTTTGATTGAATACGTGTTTTGTTTTCCCGGAACGTCAACTCCAGCCGAGCGAATTTTCAGTAGAGTAAATAAAATATGGAAAAGTGAAAGTTCTTCTTTTTTGATTAAAACTATAAAGTCGATTTTAAATGTCCAATTTAATATGAAATTTTCATGCCCCGAATTTCACCACTATTTGATAACTCGCGAAAAAATCTTAAAGAAAAGTACGACTTCAAGAAACCAAACCCAAAGCAAACTCCTGGCGCCATGTCAGTTGACTTCGAAGATAATGAATAGATAAAATCTAAAATGATATGTTAAAGGTTCTTCATTTCGCTATATATTCATAATTTAATTAAATTTTGCTTTTTTTTTTCAAAATTTCTCATAAATTTGAGCGTTTTTTTCGATATACTGTTTTTATACTCATTTTTTGAACAGCATACTTTTTTTTCCATGGAATCAGAAATGAAATACTGTTTTTTTACCAAAATAAGTTGGTAGCTTTATACTAGGCCATTTCACCATGTTGAAAAGTCGAAACCAATATACACATTCTGAATCGGTAGAGCCTGTAGATTTTGAATATATAATTTTTGTGTTATAAAATTTATTCCTCGCGAGCAAAATTGCGAATTAATAAATAAATGAATTTGAAAGGTTTTATCATGAATCGTACAATACGTTTGAGTCTCGCATCATAGCAGATTTCGAATGTTTTGCAATGGATACTTTGCATACGAGATATATGTATTTTCGACATCACAGTGACGAGCTATTGTTTTTTTGAAAACGCAGTGGGGTACCAAAGTGATGTCTTAAAGAGGTTTCCAGAATTCGAAAATTTTCTCCAAAAATGGTTGGGGAGACGATTTCTGAGTGATTTAAATATATTGAATTAATTTCTGGCTAATTGAATGATATTACCATTGATAAGAGCGCTACAGGATAAACGTATAACTTATAGATATGTTTTTTCTAAAAATACTCATTTTACAGCAGATTTTTCTAAAACTCATTCTCCAGAACTGCGATTTTATGAAATTCTATCATTTTGTATATATTTTTCTGAAACTCATCATAATCTTTGAGAGAGTTCTTTTCAACATGGTGAAATGGCCTAGTATATACTCTCATACTCAAAGAGTATCTATGAATATGAGAGTATGTCGATCCATACTCATTTTCCGTTTGTATGGGAGTAGGAGTAGGAGTATGAATTATACTCTCTTACTCCGCCCACCTGTAAACCGTATACGGTTCGAAATGCATTCAGGTGTGTTAGATAATTTTTTAAATGTTTGATTTTTATGTGAAATCATTAAGGTCGTCGACTATTTCAAAAACAATATTTGTTGGGTTTCACGTCTGATTCCAAAACAACATTTAATTTAAGCAATAAAATATTGAACACAATATCGAAGTCGTCAATCATTTTCTTATGTTTTAAGGGTCAGTGAGTAAATTAAGTACATTTGAGTACAGCATTTTGAATTTTGATTAAACGGTTTCAAATACTGTTCGGAATAGACTGAGACAATTGTCATTTTCGGAAGAAAAAAGAATATTGCGATTATAATTGTGGAAAAATGAGAGAATAATGAAATTTTTTGAAAAACAAGAGCGAAATTCGGATCTATTCCTTTGAAAGTCCGGGCGAAATCCGGGTAAATTTGGCAATATCCGAACATCTGGGCCGGGCGATTTTTTGGCCGGGTTTCGCCATGAAAATCCGGGCGATCTGGGATGCTTATTCATAGTGCTGTGTGAATACAAAGAAAAATAATATTCTAATGCAGTGATATGATTTGCTTAAGTCTTCGTGATGTTGGCCAGTCGCTTAAATGAATTGGAAGAGGATTGCCATTTTTCGGCTCGATCAATGGTCCAACAAAACGTAAAATTTAATAAATTTATGCACGCAATCATCTAAACTGTTCGCAAAAATCGCTTCAGATTCCTATATGTACGATGAAAGTCTCATATCAAAGTGATATTACGCCACTATAATTCATCGCAACGCAAGTTTAGTTTTCTAAATTCAAAAATAATGGTTATTGTGTTATTTATCGATTGAATACATGAGTTTCATTTTAGAGAATTTTGTGGAATGAACAGACATAGTCAACAAATTTTAAAACCAAACGACAAACAGATGTGTCGGTTGAACACAAAATTCTGAAGAAAAAACATTTCGAATTTCAATTCTCAACCTTTATTTGGAAACGTTTGTTAATTGTTGTGTAATACATTGTTAACATTGTCATTACAAAGTCAGTTCACAAGTGAGAATTATCTGATATCTTACTTTATGTACAGAGGACATTTTGGTTTGGGAAAACCTCTGGGGAAAAAACCCATCCAATAAGACATTCACATAAGAGAGAAAACTGCATCTGCAATACCACAGTGGCTGTTCCTGTTTCGAGCTAATCTCATAAACCCATCTTCACCCCAACCTGTGCCCCAACTGTTTTTTATTATCCAATAATCTCCGTACTTCCCATCATGGCCATATCCAACGATGAGTACTGAATGCAAATCCCCGTTCTCGCATTCCTCATCGTAATATACACCTTCTTTGTACAAATCGAACGATCCTTCAGGAGCATTTATGCCAGCAATCAATGGTCCATTCCAATATAGTACTCCTTTTAATGCTTCTTCATCAAGAACCTTAACATGCCTAATATCTCTAATTGCATGAAATTTGGTGCGTTTTATGCTTTTGTCGCATTTACCGCTCTTGGCAGTGTATGGATAACTATCAGCTAGACATATGCCATTTTTTTGTACGTACTTCACTCCTCGTGTCGGATTATTGCCTGTTTCACATTTGTCTTCTACTTTTCCTGATTTTTCAAGATAGTCAGAACAATCGACTAGGTATTGTTGCGATAGTCGTACCAAATTTCCAGTTTTAATTTTATAAAAGCCTTCCAATGCCCCCGTGACAGTGAATGCCCAGCATGAGTCACAGTTCCCTTGGAGTCCCACTTCTGTTACAGCACCACGCTTTCTCCAGTCAAAGGATGCGGGTACTTCTTCCGATCCATTTGATACACATTGTTTGTACGTACATTGTTTGATGTTCTTTGCCAAAGATCTGAATCTGCAACGGTAAAATATTCGCATAATTTTTTGTCATCTTTGATGAAAATACAAGACTTTTTTACATACTCGTTCATTATATTCTTAGATTTAGATGTCAGAGCTAAGAATTTTCTGGCTGCGACATTCACCTTCATTTTGAATGAAGTCTTTCCTTTCTCAAAATCTGCGTTATGCTTTTGGACAATTTTCAATTGTTCTTCTCCTATGATATCCTATTTTGCGGAAGTTAAGTGGTAAAATGTAAGAATTGTGCTTATTTTGAAATGACCTTTTGAAAGGCATTTAAATAATTTCTATTTTTGCCTTATTGTAATTTCTTCATTTTTT